GTTTTGCCACAAACTTGAGCGGAATTTTAGGAGGGGGGGTCTGATTGCATACTAAGGCTTCGCCGTAACCATGCATTTTTTCATGTGGTCATGGTTACTATGCCTCACCTAAGGAAAATGAAAGGAGTGAATCTTTCACTCACAGTCACTCATCCGAAATGACTGAATCCTTCATTCATTTTCATTCAAATAGAAGAAAATTAATTTTCATTATCATTCATCATCCTAATCAATCAAATGATTGAAAGTGAATAGGTATGTGTGCATTTTAAGTTAGAGCTAACTTCTTTAATCTTGGTCATTGCATTGTGTGCATATCACAAGTTTATATAATAAAACTAGAATTCAATTTGGATAATTTGTGTAACTATTTTATTGACAGAACCATGCATCCTTATGATACAAAAATATATGGGCACTTTGATAAAAACATGTAGGTCAAATCGTTATATTAATAACTAGGGACAGGCATGCTCACGTAGATTTCTCTATTTGCGCATACTTCTGATTAATGACGATTGAGACGAATTAATTAGTTTGATTCTATATGCAATCAAACTAATTAATTTTCCCTGCTCGTTCAATAAAATTCTGGACGCACTTATTAATAATTTTATTTCATATCAAGCCTGCATATTCATCTTTCACAGGCTAAACTTGCATTCAAAGTGAAATTGTAGTATCTCTTGAAGCCATGGATAGCATGGTATCGTTCAAGAAAAGCATAGTTCACATTACCAGTAACCCTTTAGTTCCGGAACCATTTAAATCGCAAATATACACAAATTTTCGGATATTTCACAAATTCGCGTATTATACGATCCTCTCCCCGTACAATTACTGTTCTCTGACAAATTCAAATTTGAATGGGAAACATTATTTTAACACAAAAATCAGCATTACCCGAAAGGTAAGCTAATTATAACCACGCACATATTTAACAGGCTAAAGTAATTCTCTTAACCTTGTAATTACCAAAATTATTTGTTACAGTGGCTATCATATCTTCCACAACTGGCCATTACAGCGTTATTTTTTTCCACGAAAAGTCACAGGCTTAATAAAACATTGCAACAAAACCCTGCAAGTTTGTACGCTTTGAGTCACACGTACTCCGCCCTATTTGCAATGTTCATATTTACCTATACACTCCACAGAAATGGTGGGACTGCAATGGGAAAATTTTACTCAAAATGTGCACAACAATGCGGCAGCCCTTGTATTGCAATGGGATGGAAGACATGGATAAAGGTAAATTAAAGACAAATACATCAATAAATATAATTATATGTAGTATGTAGCACACTACGTAAATCAGGCAAAAACGACAAATTTCTGCTAGTGCTCCCCATAAACTCAATCCCGAGTCGAATCCCAAAATGCCGGAAATCCGGAATTAGATTAGGATTCGAGAAGGCTGAATCCTCCAAAACAGAGATTCGGGCTCGGGATTCGAGTCGGACCAGGATTTGTGCAGAACACTAATTTCTACTTATGACTTTAATAATACTTACAGTGTCGGACAGATGTCTACGTCCACATAGTCGCGTCAATTTCATTTTCAAATTGTCACTGAACTACTGAACCAATTTTCATCATTGATATATCAAATTCTCACAAATTTAACGTAATTTCATAGCACATTATTAGTTTTCCGCTAAAAAATTTATTTTAGGCCAGAGATGTATTTTAATTCAAAATGAAAACAATTGGATGGACAAAAGTCAACGTCCAGTCAGAGAAAACATACAAAAAAAACTGTAATTTATAAGGAATGTTATAACAATTAATTTTTAATATTTGGTTGGGCCTCCGTTCGCTTTAAGGACGGCTTCAAGGCGTCGAGTCATTGAGTTTACCAAATTCTTGGTCACATCTTCAGAAATGGTTTCCCAAACTTCACGAATTCTGGATTTAAGGCCCGGAATTCCTGAAAAAGATTGTTTTCTTATTTCTCTTTCAATGTGGTCGCACAGATGCTCAATGGGATTCAAGTCTGGAGATTGGGGAGGCCATTCTAGCTTCGGAATTTTTTTTTCTTGAAGTATTCCATGGTGGACTTGGCAGAGTGTTTCGGATCGTTGTCTTGTTGGAAGGCAAATCGTCGTCCAAGTCCAAGTTTTCGAACAGATTCCTGGATATTACGGTCAAGTATTCCCTGGTACGTGTATTGGTCCATAATTCCGTCAATAAATTCCATTTTTCCTGCCCCACTTGAAGCCATGCATCCCCACACCATTACCGACCCGCCGCCGTGCTTAACTGTGGGGTTGAGATTTTTTGGATTCAAAGCTTCTTTTGGATATCTCCACACTCTACGACGCCCATCTGACCCAAAGACATTGAACTTTGACTCGTCAGTCCATAAAATATGTCCCAGAATGTTTGTGGCTTGGAAATGTGGTCTCTGGCAAACTTCACTCGTTTGGTTGCATTCCTCGGTACAATAAGAGGCTTCCGGACTGCTCTGTGGGATTTCAAATTTCCCTTATTCAGTGTTCTTTGGATGGTCATAGGACTAACCTGTTTGCCGAACATCTCCTTGATCTCGGTAGATAGCTTTGGAGCACTAAGTGAGGGTGTAACGTTGACTTTGTTGAGCACGTGGCGTACTTCTCGGTGAGCCAAAATGGGTTTTCGACCACTTCTGACCTTGTTTTGGACTGAACCATTAGCTTTAAAGTTCTTAATGATTGTCTGGATGGTTGTCCTTGCTAATTTATACTTGGTCCATATTTGTCTCTGCGACAGCCCCCTTTTTGTCCACCCTTCCAGTCCTGAATGACAAGATCTCGAATAGCGATAGGAATTTCCTTGCGTGTCGACGCCATCATATTTTTCTGGAAGAAAATTATTTAAAAATTAATGCGGCATATGTTATTGATAGATTTATTAAGTTACCTGATTTTATAAATTGGAGAGATTTTTGTTGTTGACAATTAAAGTGAAGTGGACGTAGACTTTTGTCCGCTCAAATTTCATCCTCTCTCGCTCTGCACTATGATTCTCAGTTTTCCCAGAATTTTCAGAAATAACTCATATGTTTTATGAAATTACGTTAAATTTGTGAGAATTTGATATATCAATGATGAAAATTGGTTCAGTAGTTCAGTGACAATTTGAAAATGAAATTGACGCGACTATGTGGACGTAGACATCTGTCCGACACTGTACAAATCAACAATCGTTTAGGCTTTTTATAAATTACACTTGCGTATTTTCTGCCGTAAATTGCGGTAATTTTTAAAATGGAAAACTAAATATATTTCCAGACAACTTGGCCGACAATCCTTCTGGTTTCCACGCCAGCTGTAAAAGTGATGAAGTCTATGATCTCAGCCTACTTTGCATTTTCTAAAGATCGTGATCTTACCGACCAAATTGTACACTTGGCTATTTCTGTATTGATGAGTTTTTACATGACTGCTTGCGTCTCGTACATATACATCGCCGTTGTCCAGTGTTACCAATTGAGCAAGGACTCTGTCAAGTACCTCAAGACTAATAGGAAACATCTCACCTTGGACATTGTGAATATTCAAATTAAATATTTTGAAAATCTGATATGTAACAGACTTATATTTTGTTCAGATTGTGACGCATTACGGCGTCTTAGTGGATGTGACCACAAAAATGAACAACTGCACCGCCAATATAATGTTGGGTTCTTTGATGATTGGAATTACTGCATTTTGCAAGTATTTGGGAGCACTGGACGAGGTGCCGATGGCGAATTTAGTCGAAATTATCATCCAACTCGTAGTGTTTATTTTGACATTGGCACTCTGTGGAGAAAGTGCGTCTAATGTGAGCACCTATATTTATAAATTATTATGATGGCGTATTTCCTCATACATAGATATTTCCGTAAGAAATAGTTTCAGAACATTTCCAAGCTGATATCTGAGATGTGGCGAAATAAGGAATTTGACCAAAGTGAAGAATCAGGTGTGTCCATTCTTTTGCATGACATGGCACAAAACCCGATCGGACTTAAGGCACACGCATTCTTAATGACGTATTCTTTTATGGGGACGGTAAGCAAAATTCGTTAGATATTTTAAAAAACTAAAATTTTCACGAACAGTTTAATCGTTGTTTTATTATTTCAGATTCTTGGAACTATTTTGACCTACGTGATAATATTTTTACAATTCAGCTATACTGAAAAAGTTTAATGCGGGTTTTATGTAAGTAATTATGGTCTTGGACTATCTTTGCACATAGATATTAATTCCATAAAAAATCAAATGTATTTACGCATTTAAATATTTACAACTCTGTCCTCGTCAATAATTTAAAGAAATGTACATAAGTAAAGATTCTTATACGTACATATGTACATATGTGCATATGTATTGCAAAAAAGCAGAAAAGCGAAGTGAAATATTATTCATATGAATTCGATTTGTTTTCATTTCTTGAAATTCACTGAACACATGGATTTAAGGCAACCACGGAATGAAGTTTATTCACTATAAATTTAGATAAGCCAAACAATGGTATGTATGTATGTATGTGCAAAAGTGCAACTCTTATGTATGTACATAAGTATGTACATGCTTATGTACATTATGTACATACCGCAAAGAATGTTTATGCACGAAATACGTACATAAGCTTTGTTGCTTATGCACATTCGACGGAGTATGTGGTATGCGGTGACCTGAACAAAAATTAAATCTGAAATAATTAAATGACGCCAAGGATTTCTGAAATTTAGGTTTTACAAAATTATTAGTTCTGGTTCGCGATCTGGACTGTGTTGTATTCAACTGTTAGCATTAAATTGTCTTATCCATTACAAAGAATTTCGTGTAATGCTGAACATTGTAACGGATTCGGATTTGTGAACGTGTGTATGTACAAACATTTTTATGCATCATCATATGCATAAAGGTAATAACATTACGACGCAAACAATTTTTTTCCTTTCGCTTTCCACGAAATTGTATTACATGCCCACACAAGGCTGACTCACAGGCTGATATGAAAGTTGGCAAACCTCAGCTGAGGATTGAATCTGCATCAGTGGTTAAAGTGCGTCGTTTTGTTTTATCCATATGTTAAAAAACTTGTTATCGTGGGAATTTAACCAATTTAATAAATATGTACATCATACAGGCAAATCAGCCATCCATTTCACCACCATCGTAGATTACCTTGATTGCGCTAATTTTTAGTTAATAGCTGAATTGAAAAAAAATGTAAACTAAATACATACGTAAATATGTAACATCATATCATTGGCTCTTTAAGTGTTTTAGTGCATGTTAAAAATTACACCTCATTCATTAATTACTTACATAATTCTACGTCGAGATGGAGGGAAAATCCAGCCACCTAAAAATTCGTGATGGAGTTCTTTTCATGTTAAGAGGCGTCCGTCCCGGATGGACTTGTTCCAGTTATCGTCTTGACTTCGACTGGGAGCGAGAAGCCGTACTTCTGAATAAACCTGGGCAAAAGGTTAGTCCGTTTTGCGTTGATTGGTCAGCAGACTATGTAAATTGCATGAGTATTTTAAAGTGTCTTTTTATAAAATAATCCAATAGTACACGATTGGAAAAAATTTGGAAAGCTTCGACCCCGGAAAATATGGACAGTTTTTGAAATTTTGTGACAATGCTGACGTTTCCGAGGAACACTGTCAAATTGAATGTGATGCGAGTGGAAACTTTTGGCTGCGTAGTTTAGTGAGTTCGATTGCTTATATAATTTTGCATGAAAATGAGATATATTTAGTTTACACAAATTTTGACAGGGTCAAGCAAAAACTTTCCTCAATGGGAAATTGATTCAAGATTCTCCAGTCAAGCTAAAATTTGGAGATATACTTTACTTTTCGTACATTTTTTCACCATTTTGGGATTCACTATTATTTCACCTAGCCAAAAGTAGAGGTAGGAAGAAGCTGTTGTATCGCAAAAACTCATCGGGTGAAGAATTTGCTGTATTCAAATTTGATGTGAGAATAATGCGACAATTAAATTAATCCGTAGTAATTATTATGGAGACAATTCACGTAGTCATTTGTAACGCGTAAAATCCGGAAGTCTTATAAAATAATTTTTCAAATTTTCACAAAATTAAAAGACGCCCTTGATCTGAATCAGTTTATAAAAATTGGTAGGCTAATTTTCTCTAGAAATATTTGTAAAATTTTGTAATATTTCTACGTTTACAAAATTTACGGATTTTACAATGTTATCAAGACCCACGTGAATTGTCTCATTATTAAATATAAATTATTTAATGGTTATCATTCATCGTAGATATTGACGCTTGGTGACCCAGTAAATCGGAAGTTACCGAATAGAACAAAATATAAAGCAAGTAACCAGGACAAATCGGACCCCGGTCTCCCCGATTTTAAAAACAAGTCACCAATTTACCCCCTGCATCACCCCATTTTTGAAAACCACATCATCCTCACAAAAATATTTGAACACTTGGCCAACCCAGACCCCTGGATGCCCTGGCACCAAAGAAATCTCTTCAACTTTCGCCTCGTCTCGAAATCTTGGAACGACTCGGCGCGACTCGTCCTACAGAAAAATTTCGTACCGAAATTCCGCATAGTTATTGACAAACTGATCCTCAACCCATACTACACGACGAACCGATTCGACACGCATCGAATGAAGGGGCTAAAATTTGACGCCATGAACATCGACATCTGGCCAGAGGCGTCTACTTGTCACATGCGAGATAACCCAAACCGGGACAAAGCAGTGATAAAATTCAACCAAGATTTCTCCGCGTTTATAAACCATCCAGATTTCCACCCGCTCAAAGTGCTCACCATGAATGTAGATTATTTGACCCCGATTTCCACCCTCCTCACAAAATTTTGCCCTTCTTTGGAAGAACTCGACATCCAAATTAACATGATGTGGATTAACGATGAGAAAATCTTGGACAAATCTGGATTCCCGGAAGATCTAAGGTTTCCAAAATTAAAAAAGTTAACCCTCGAATTCTGCGACCATGCGAGAGGCGACCTGAACAAAATGTCGGATTCTAAGTGTCTCGCCCAACTCCTACAAGCCACTTGTAAAATTGAGGAGCTCGTGTTAAAGAATTATGGAAAACTTCCCGGAAATTTCGACTCTTTTGAGAATTTGAGAAAAATCACAATTTACGGTGGGAGGAAGTATAACGTGGAAATTTTGAATTTGCACGACTTTCTCGTCCAGTTCATGACCTTACCGACGGATCAGTTAAGCTCGTTCAAACTAGACATTGGATGGATTCCGGTCCAATCGATGCCAGAGGAAGCGTTGCTGAATTTCTTGGAAAAACAGCGACAAAGTTTGGAAAACTTGGAAATCTCGGTAAACGCAGGATTTTTTTATCAATGTATAAAAGTTCCGAGATGCATGCCAAAGTTGAAGAAGTTGTGGATAAGTGTTACTCCTGAGAGGAAATGGGTCTGGGCATGGGGGTTTAAATTGAGTAGCCAATTGGCCAAGGGCAGTGGGGATTTTACGATTGCGAGTGATTCAGAAATTTTGGAGGCACCCTTGGTTGCTCGTGAGGGGAGCAAATGCGGTCAAAAATCGTGCCCTAGTTGCAATGATAGTTTGGTGTATGGAACGAGGAAGAAAAATAATGGCAAATAAACCGTTTATACAATCATGTACTTAACCAAACTAGTGTCGCAGGTCAAAACGGGTAACATTTTCGTGTTCAGTGATCAAAATCTGTGCAAATTTACACCTCAAAAAAGTGATTTCTACATTTTTTTTACATCTGACCTCTTCCATGTGGTCAACAGGTCAACGAGGGTCAAAATGTTCTACTCCGCTTTTATTTAAATTTCCCCAAGGTGGAGTAAAAAAGAGAGGACAACAATTGGGTGAAATTGTCCAATAGTTGGATAAAACTTAACCTAATTAATTCTTGTGTCATCCTTTCTGTTACTCCACCTTGAGTAAATTTTACTTATTTTTATTACCGTACAATACATATTTACTAAAAGTGTGCATTATGCCAAATTGTGAAGTATTAAGTTAAGTGTAATTGTAGAGTGATTGGCCCCACATTTCTAAATATGTCGCTTCTGTGTAAAAGTGTCATGTCTAAAAACTCGATACCGTTTTTGATAATTAGAAATTGTGAGACTTCTGTGATACCGATTTATTGTGTGTGTCCCATAATTCTTCTGGGAGTGTATCCAACTTTTCCTTGAGACAGGTTTTCTTGAATTATGAGCCAGATTCTAGATCGGGTAGATTTAATCGTCTTCGATACAGTATTTATACATCTCCAACAACATGATATGATAGTTATCTATCTAGTTATTGAGGCTGGAAGATGTATGTAATGCAAGTAAATATGCAAATAGATATTTATGCAAATTTGTGATACATACTTTTAAAAATTAATATAAATAAATATGTACAAGTAGAAATTATTAAAATTCAAAATACAATCATATATATTAAGTACACCCTAAACACATTTGCTTCACGTTCGTCTACGTAATTCTCCTCTCATTCAAAATGGTTAACAGTGTTAATAAAATTATCATGCCGACAATACTTCCAAGCTCATATGGAAATATGGCAAATAACTTCCACCCCCTCGTCATAACAGATCGCATCATTCGAATTGGAAAAGTCGCTGGGAGACAGTAGCAGAAAGGTCGGTACCACCACGCAACACTCTCCACAGGCCAGAAGGTATCTATACGTAAATATGTTTTTGCTCGTCAGAAAATATTTGCAACATGTACATAAATTTGCCATAAAATTTTCTATTTTACCCGACGCATAAATTCCAGCCCAGAGGAAAAGGAGAGATACAAAAATCCCTTCAAGCTCGTTTAGAACAAATCCTGCTAAAAAGTACGAAAGAGATGATACCGTTGTGCGAAGGAGGATGAGAATAAGCCAGATCTCTGTCCAACTTCCTTTTACTTCATCGCCACGATCCCACCAAATTAGAAGCACAATTGTCCCGCAATGTACGATTATTGCTGGAATGTCGGCTAAATAGTAGGATAGCAGAATTTGGTTAAAGTCCACGCCTGTCGCAAGTGTGCGTGACAGGGTGCCTTCCCTTCGGTCTCTAATGTGGAACAGTCCCATGTAAGTCGACAGGAAACTCCATGTCCTGAGGGAAAGTTAATTCAATTCGAATTTGGAAAATAAAAAGTTAGGATATTTATATAAATATTTATACAATAAGATTCCCATCGGGGCCAAAAATTTGTTCCAGGGGTCATTCATATTCCCATAAATTGCGTGGAACTGAAATAAATAAGTCAGATATGCAGGTAAATATGTAAATTCAAGTAAGTAGATTTAAGAATTTATGTACAAATATGTCGTCTACGATGCTGCGATGATGAAACGACAGCATATTCACTTGAAGTATTGTATTTACATACATACCTTTCGCTGCTTATCAAACTTGTAATTTTTATAGATAATCATATCTTTTGAATTAAGTACATAAATGCTATTTTTTATTATATGTAACTACTGTACCGCTAATGGTGGTGTGACCAACCTCTGGTCGACATCGTATCCCGCAGCGATTTCTCCAAATAACTTCACCACAGCGTTGCACAGGGATTGCGTAAGAAAGTATAAATTCATGTATGCTAAGAGGAAACGATGTACATATGTAGTTTAATTTATTATCAAAGTTGAGTCGGGTGTCTGTTTATTTGGGTTGGAAATCCGTGGTCCGATTAGATCGGATATTTATTTTTTTCCGAAAAAAAATCGGATTAGATAGGATACATATTTTTTAATCCAAAAAACGGATTGGATCAGGTTTCTGAAAACGCGATTACGACTCAACCCTGCAAAGCATGCATGCATAGTAAATATGTAGATTTTGACAATATACCTGCACCGGAGTTGTCCAATTTGACCGAAATAGTGGACCCCTCAATGGATTCGTTGTCCGAGTGGATGTTCCAGACAAACCGGTTGTTACTGTGAAATGTAAAATTCGACGGAATTACGACATAGCCGGAACTTTGTCCAGATGTGACGCTATCCAAAGCGTCTAATTCCGTTGTCATCTTGACCTTCCAATTAAATGTATAATTATTACATTAGAAATTTTGCACTTTGATGATTTCAACATTGACATGCTAACCACATTAACTCCTTCATGTTCAAGGATCCGAATAAATTCACAAGCGAAGTTTCTTCCTTGTTTTACAATGAATTCGCCATGGCTCAAACAGGACGGATTATTGTTCATCACAAGTCCCAATTTTAGTCCGATTGGATCGTTTCCAAGCACGTGGAGGAAGAGCAACGTGTTCCCAATTGTCGTTGATAATATTATAATTGAGAATCTGTAATTTCAATAATTTTCTTAAATCTGAACACATGCTGAATAAGTAGTTTGTTCGTATTTTACATCGAGTATCTCATGCACAGAGTGAAGTTACGTATTGTTAGAGCCAACACTTGCATGCAGTAGGTGTTCAAAGTTTTGGGGTTGCATATATCTAGCTGGGTGTCAATTCCAGGGTGTGCTATTTCAAAAGGGCGTTGGCTTTGATTTTTAGTCTGATTTATTATTTTGATGGCATCGGTCGAATTCAGTTTACACAATTGTATCACTACATTATCCACACTGGTTGCGTTATAAGAATCCAACAAATTCTGGGGCGAATCTTCAACCAAAAGTTTGCCATCCCGAAGATATCCAATCTGCAAATCACAGGTAGATTATTAAATACTGCTTTTATGTGAATATTCTTAATTCTCGCTAAATATAAAATTTTCAATGATGTACACAGAATTGCTTACTTTGGCACAGTCACGAGTTTCTTCTGCAAAATGTGTAGTTAACAGGACAGTTTTCCCTTCTAATGCAACCAAGTTTGAAAGGTATTCCCAAACACTGTACATATGTAAATAATTCATAGGGAGTTTTCATAATGATGGTTTTTTAATTAATTTTGTCCCACCGTTCCCTTAAAATGGGATCCAGACTTACAGTCGCCTCGTCAAGGATAAGCAGTTGTGGGTCATGCAACAATGCTACGCCAAGAGAAATTCTGCGACTTTCTCCGCCACTAATGCGGAAAATAAGTAATCACACCTTTGCCCTTCAGAAGCTATGGTTATAGATAATTTCATAAGAACCTAGTTTCGGCAACGTATTTGTCTAACATTGGCAACTGTAATAAGTCCTTGAGTTTGCCTAATTTGCATAGTATCCTCTTCTTCGGGATGCAATGAAGCCTGCCGTAGTAGAGGAATGTCTCCGTAATTGTGAAAGAATCGTAAAGTGCAATTTCCTATCATGAAATACTTGATTGTTTTCATATGTATTTTCACATTTTACAGTTTACAGTATATTTAAATGCTTATAATTTAGATGGTATCAATTTTACTTGTGGCATGAATCCAATAATGCTTCCTGGAATTCCGTCCCTGTAACGTTTAATTTCTCTCCCAAATATCTCAATTTTTCCGTAATCTAATTTTTGTCCTCCTACAAGACAAGAGAGTAGCGTCGTTTTTCTGAAACCAGATTATCTATTTAATGAAATGTACATATATATAATTTTGTCACAGAATGAGTATTAATATCAAATCTGTTACCCGCATCCACTGGGACCAAGTAGAGCATATCTAAATTAAAAAGCATATTATGGAAAAAAACTATAGGATTATGCACATAAAAAGATGGCTGGAAAAAAATAACTAACATGGTGCCTCGGTCAACGGTGATATTCAAGTTGTTCAAAACGATTTTGTCCCCGAAAGATTTTGTTGCTCCTACGACTCTTAATGCCATAGTTAAACCCCAACGTAATAAAATATAAGCTGTTTAAGTGAATATTGAAATCGTTTAATTCGCAAAAGGAGTTTATAAAGTTTGTAATAACTTAAATAATTACGATATCTATTTCTGCACTGTGACTTCATAAATGCTAAATAAATCCTTAGTAATTTACTAAATGTATGCACGAACAAAATACTTTGAAGGAAGGCAAGAACTGAATTGCCTAATATGGATGACAAGTAAAAATATATGTATTAGTTCTATAATCGTTCCCATAATGGGAACTTGATTGGTTGTACATACATATTTATGCACATCTTATAGGTAGATCTTTTTCCTTTCTCGGCACTTAACGGGTCCTGTTATTACATAAAATAATTAGGAAAAATTGGTATATTAAAATGGTGACTTCCACGACTTTATTTAGAGTGTAAACATTTAACAGGTGGATTGTAAAGTGATGAATTTGCATTAAGGAAAATTCTCACGGAAAATTAGAACCAGGAAAAAGAAAATTAGGATATGTAGCTTCCATCGCCAGGTCTGAAGAATATACATATACATAGATATCAAAATAAATGTTGTAATTAAATATAGCGAATAAATTCTGGTTTTTATTGATCGAAATATCGAAATAAGTATATGTAACTAACAATAAGTACGTTTTGTCAAATACTTACGATAAATAGAATACATAAATACATATGTGGAAAATTCAATATTGCATTGTATGGTTTATAGCACACAAACAAGCATCGCATAAAGTAGCTGTGTTGTGCTAAACTAATAAATAAATAGTTAGCACGGCACATGTTCCATATCTTTGCGAGTTTAATTCGTTTCTTGTACTGCAAAGTAAGAAATGCAAAAAAATGCAAGATACGTGACCTGTGAAATATAGCGGCGGGAAGTAGTTTATTGCACCTAACATTTCTTTCAGGTCCAGGTAGCTGCGGGAAACTATGTACTTTCTTGCAAGTGGTTATATATTCCCACCTAAAAACTAGGCAAAAGCTAAAAGAACAGAAACGCTCTGATCCAACCAAACAGCATACAAGTTGAGCATCGTAACCTTGCTGATTTCTCCAAACCCACCGCAAATCAGACTAACCGGTTGCAATGATCGACATTCCCTCTCAAAATACTTGCGATTTTTGTTCCCTTCTTCGTCCACCTTGTAAGTGTCCAACCAATCGCTCGAATTGACCAACACTCCCGCTCCCGAATTTAGCGCTTGTCCCGCCAAAATAGCCATGCCCAACGCGAGCGCTACAAAGGCTGGCGTTAATATTTGCGGTAACCCTTCATACCGCTTGACGGAGGCGTTGAATGCGCAGATGAAGATTACAGACGCTCCCGCAATCGCGACCGTCATAGGCCACGCGATAATTTGGTTAATCCGTTGGATCAGCAGGGCGATGGAATTGTACGCAATTTTGCCACCAGTTACCGGTTGACGATTCATTTGTTCCAGGATTTTGGACGCGTAATAGACAAATTCTAGCCCAAGAAGGGACATCGTCGATGTCCCAATAACTTGGAGGTATCCAAAGTACGCGGAGAAGCTGGAACGCACCAATTTTCCAGAGAGACTCCACTCCCATCCGCTTTGACGAGGCGCCAACATCTGAATGAGATAGAATGCCGTGTCGTACTTCAGACCAATAAACGTTGTCAGGACAACACCTAGCCAGACTAAGGCGACATTTTGGTAGGTTGATACGAATTGGTGCGTTGCCAGGGAGACGAGCCAGGTATTTGTTTTTGATTTCTTTGTTGGCGGCCCCCTTGTGGATGTAACTGGACAGAATGTTTAATAGATATTGATATCAAATTGCTGCTATAAATTTAAAATGCATTCTTTCGATAGCATAAATATTATTCGGAAGATATCTTAGAAAATAAAATTTAATTTTTTTAACAATTCTCCAAATAACTTTTAATTATCTTAACCGCATTTTAATCAAATTCGTCATATGACGTATTTCAAAAATCATAAGAGACTAAATAAGTCATATCATGTATCAACAAAATCAAGATTTCTAAAAATTTCTCAAAGCTATGAGTATTTCTTTGATATTTTCTGGAATACTCTAAGGTAAAAAGTTGATTTTTAGAGAATATTTCTCTTCTCAAAATTTGTAACTTTCACCAAATCAATGAATGTAACAAAGTGCATTTTTTTAAGTTTTTCGTCAATAAAACTCAGAAATGGGAAACCGGTTGAATAACATTTCGTCTTTTATAAGAAATCATGAAAATTTATGTACCAGATGTATGAAATTAATATCGTTTTATCGTAGATTTTCTTTGAATTATGGTCAAAATGAGGCTAATTTAAATATATATCGCTAACCTAGTCGTCTAAGCTCCCTGGATATCCAATTCATCTCCTCCCACGAGAAAAAGAGGGCGTAATCGCACCACAAACTGGTCACGGCTTCCATCAGGAACATGATCTGGGCGAACATCACGACCAGACCGACTTCAAGTTTGTCAGTGTAGCCTACATGAAGGACCAACACGATGGCAACCACGTAACCAATATTGAGCACGGATGCTACACCGAATTGCGTAAATTTTCTTTTTGCATTTTTTCCTAACGGTTTGCCAAAAACAGGGGGAAATTTGTAAAGAAATGTGTATTTCTCGATAAATGTTTCCACCGTGACAAAAGCCCCCTCCATTCTGAGCTATAGTTCAAATAGAATGAAATTGAATAGAAATTCAGCTCTCTTATTTACCATGTTTTGAACTGAACTGGATAAATAATGCGCATTGAGGCGAATAATTTATGAATATTTTGATTTTCCAGACAGTGGGGAATGGATACATTTATTGTTGTCTATATATTTACTTTATTCCATTTGAAACTCTGATATCATCAGGTCCGAGATTGTCTAAAATGTAATAAGATTAATAAATTTGGGTATATCAAGGATTTATCGATAATTCTGTATATCATGAAGTTGTTCAAGGCATCGCTAAAAATCCGACTTGTTGGATTTTCATCATTTCAGGATTTTGCATAACTTCGTCTTCTTCATGGTCGTGTCAATGTACACCGACTGCTTAATCGATCTAATAGAGCAACAAGCGAAGTTATAAATCCTTTTACATGTGTATATTTATGTACAAGTGAATTATTCTACAAATGTGTTATAATTGTTGGGAATATTTGCAAAACAATTAACGTTGCAGGCATTAAGTACAACTTTACAATTTGCAGGTATGTTAATCCAAGTTTTCCATCTCACTTGTACCTTTCATACATAAAGATCTGCAAGAGTCGACTCAATTGTTTGTAGCATTTTACTCAAATATTTGTATGTGTTCAAAAAGTGTGGTCAGAGTCCATGCGAGTGATTTGCGTAATTCATACCATCTCATTCTACACATATTTATGTACATACATACAATCATCAATACAGATGGGATTGCATTTTTCCATGAAAAGTTTTCTCAAAGAACAAAGACTATCTATCCCATTGAATAAGATACCTATCTTTCCTTCGTACTTACAACGAGATGCGTACCGTATCCCTTCTTTACTTTCATCGGGACAAGAAGCAACAAAAAAAACCACGTTGATTAATGGCGTAACATGTAAATATGTATGTATGTATTGCAACACACATATTTATCCAGGTATATATGTACATAGATACAGTAACTATGCAACAACTGCTCACGTAATAAACAAAACAGTGCGTAACCATTCATAGCGTTTGGTTTTTCTACGTGTTACATAAAATATTTATGCACAGTGCAGTTTGAACTGTGAACTGTACGTATTTGTAATTTCCGTGCTAAACTGATCCATCATATCCAAATTCTCTTGCGAGAATACATACACATTTATTATTATTTAACTAGATCTAAAATTCATTCCAATTAAAAAATGTCCACCTTAGAAAGTGGGAGTGGATGGGATTACGCCGGCTACGGGGAATTTAAATGTCCTCGGTGTCACCGTTTCTGGGCCAGCAACAAAGCATGGGCCTTATTTGGCCAAAAGTGTGCAAAATGTGCAAATAACGTCCCTGCACCGAGTCGTATTGAGACTCTGTATTATTACGAATGTCGGGACTGTAATCGGATTTGGAAGCATCGCTTTGACCAGGATGGTCAACCTTGTCCCAAGTGCAAAATTAAGGTCAAGGCTAACACTTACGCTGATTATAGAAAATACATACTGCCACGACTCCCAGACTTCCCCATATTCGCAGATATGGCCGAAGATAATGATGATAACGAGTATCGCCCACATCGCAGAGATCTTTGCGAAATTTGCAAGTATTTGGGAAAAGATTGCTCATCTTGGAATATGTCGTGAGTTAATTGTGCATACCTCATTTACATATTTTAGGCTGTGGTCAATGTCCACAATTTTATTAGATAATTCAATTTCAGCTCAATCGATGAATACCAAGATCGTGGAAACAGTAGAAAATTTACTGAAAATAAAAGGACTCCATCCACATTACTCGGTGAGTCACATTTTAGACCAAGTACATCGACATCGACTCGGGAATTGTGTCCAGTTCCGGAAGAAAATCAATGGTCAAAATATGTTAGGTATATGTCTTTGCGACAAATATCTTTTCTGTGATACATACATTTTTACATATGTAGGTACATACAAATTATTCGATTTTTATACAGAGGCGGACCCAAGAAAAACAAACGACGAGTCCTGGACGATTTATCTTGGCCAACTTTACTTGAAAGTGCGCCCCCACTAGGATATCTACCTGATGCGGGGGATGAACAATTAGTTCCAAAAGAGCAATTAACGGAAAAGCAGCAATTCATGGAAATTCAGCAATTAATTGAAAACGAGGAGTTAATCGAAAGCCTGCAAAAATTGGATAAGGAACACATCCCCTCAGAAGCACTGCTCTCCCCAGTCACTCCTCCCACCGAAGTGGCTGCTACTCAAAAAATAAGACACAAAAGAAGATTGAGAGGACCACGAAAATCCGCTAAAAAACGTTCCAATTCAGAAAGCATGGAGCAAGATTCTACTGTGTAAGAAAAAATTTTTTTTTTAATTCACTTGTTCCATTTTCTAAATGGTTTTCATGAATTTGTAGGAATTTGGTCGTGCAGCCGGAAATATCCGGGGCAAAAACTCCCCATAATATTGAGATTGAGCCAAGACCTCAAGAACAAATTAACACTATTTCACGACCGCGTTTAATTTATTATTTCATGCTCTACATTTGCATCTGCTGCAATGCTGTTCTTAGTGTGGACAACGTAATTAAGCGTTATAATCACTTCGCACTGTTCATGCCCTTATTTTGGCTAATTATTGCCTACGAGTTTTGCCAGAAGTATGGCAAACACTTGGAACCTTCAGGTGCCCAAGAAAGGAGGAATCGGGCGAAGAACTATGTTATATCTTTGTATAATCGATATGTTTTTTAAGTAAAATATTTGAGGATTGAACAATGTATTTATAATTATTTATGTAAATACTAAGAGTGATAAATCTGTAAACTAAATTACCCATATTTACATAAAATTGCTAACAATTTTGACACAACATTTTATGTTTATTACGGATGTCAGCATGTGTATTCTAAATAATTCCAAATATGCATGTATTCCCAGATTTATTTGACATTTGTAAATACAGTGGTAAACTTTTCAACTAATAAGAAAAATGTTTAAAAATCTGTGCAAATATTAAATAATTGCGCAATTTATCATGTCGGAAGCCACTGCACTTGATTATTTTTCGAAATACATTTTAACGATGACCAACTTTAATTTTTCACAAGAACGCGTATATTTACATACATACATAAATTTTAATACCGCTTATCGACAAGGCTACTTCACTTCTTTGGAATGTTTCTGCAATATACAAAAGTAACTAAAGGGTAAAGTCACTTACCGATGCAGGATGTAAAAAATTACGTACGTACAAAAATGTAATTTTGATTGTTCTACCATGCTTTGTTGAATATAATTGCATATGTGTACATACATATATACATATGTACATTTATTTATTCACATGTTGAATGCATTTATACCCATTGCAGGAAATTAAGTATTTATGCGTTTATTATTGTTCTTTCCATGAAATCATAATACCACAGAATTAGAGGAGTAATACTATATTCAATATTACCATAATACATAAATTTGGTTCGAAAATTAACTGATATACACATATGTACAATTATGTAATATTTACATATGTACATATTTTTGTATAAATTCATACTCACATATTTGAATTATCGAATCTAAATTACATATGTATATCTAATTTTATCAGTAAATATGTAAATTTAAACTTCTTACATGTAAATTTACATGCAGCCTCATCAACATCTAAGTCATCAGTAAGAGTGAAACCGTCAAATTAAGGCAATGATCCAACACGGTCAGTGAGGTTAAGTGATCCACAAAATTATTTCCGAATCGTATCTTCAATGGTGGCAGTGATATCGCAATCCGACCCGTTGTTCCGTCTCGTCTTCCTTTATGATGTTCCATCTTCCTCCACTTTTCCGTTACTTTGACCGACTTTTTATACACGTCGCCCACCGAGGCGAGGTCCACGCCCACGGTGAGGAGAAAGTCGCCCAAGAGCATGACAAAGTAGGAGAGGCCGGCGATCGAGATTGTCCCATGCATTCGAATGATGACGAAAAGACAGAAAACGATCCCATTCGACGCTATCACGAAGACGGCTGGAATAAAGAAATTCCGGAACATGGTGTTCATCATGGCGACCAGGATTTGAATTTGGGGGTAAATACGGAATGATTTCAGGGCTTGGAATTCCCTTTGACGCCGTGTAGCCCATACGTTTGATTTACCGGTTAGTGATCTGAGTCCATAAATTTAGATAATTAGCGCTACACGGTAATTAAAATTAGGACAGAAATCAGACAGAAGCGGAAACTTTCGAACTTCACGGCCCACCAAAAATTCCGACTACAATTTTGACAAAAATTCTGGCGTCCGGAAGTTAGTTTCCGATTCCGCCGATAAATTTCGGAAGTTAGTATTTGCCGATGCATGACAAAGGCTCGACCACTCCCCATGTGGTGGAATGGGTCAAGACGGGTTATTCTGGGGGTATTCAGTACGAGTTTTTATTGGATTTTGTATGAAAATTAACTTGCGAACTTTCGTATTTAGTTCGTATGTTTTTTCAAAATTATGTTTCGATAGCGATACTTGTAATGAATACTCCCAATATATTAGAAAAAGTAATAACGTACTCCGAAATGACGGTAAGATATTCCTGAAGACAAGCTCCGAACCCCATTAGAAAACTTGCAATCATCAGTGCAGCTACCGGTCCGACGTGGAAATACATCGAGGCGTCCAGCAAGATGGCCATCACCACGAAGAAATCGATCTCTTCGGTTTGAGATGATCCAGGATTTAAGCACTTTGTCCTCATTGATACCACATACGGAGGTGTGCAAGGACTAAGGAATAGCTGAAAAGCTGCAATTATTCCGAACGACGAGCAAGAAATAGTAGCCACGACGAAAACCATTTTTCGGAGTGTGGACCCTTTTCTTATTTCCGGACTCAAATTACGAAATTCTGTGGTAAAAAATGATTTTATGTGAAATAGTGGAAAGTACAAATCTACATGCCTCACCTTCTGTATTTAATATGCATAATGAACTAACTCGATGAAGCATCCCCAAAATTGTGAAAATCAGCACCTTTTTAATCACTTCTCACCTCTGGATGTATGTCTTTGCCAATTTCAAAAATATAAATACACTCCAGATTTTGAAAGTTTGTGAGGAAGGAAATCCCAAATTTAATATGTAAACATTTAGAAAAATTGAGATTTATCGAAGCTGGCTTAAAAAACTCCCCGTCATTCAATTAGTCAACTTAAGGGCTACAAATTTATCGTCCAATAAATTCCCAGAGTCAAGAAATGACTAAGGATGTGTCGATTTTAACGATTTTGGTAATGACTCACCGAATCCTACGTTAAGGTGACATTACAAATACTCACTTTTAACCAAGTTTCTCTCGAACATAAGAAATCCGTTCAACAGAAGCAACCCATCTTTTTCCCAGATGAACAATGTTACCCGACAAATCCCTGACGTAATGTACGCAATTAGGATAACGGAGGCTTGCAGTGCTTTCACGAGGGGCATCTTATCATACTCGAGGAATAAATAGATGCAAATTCCAATGAAATAAAAAACATGAGATAATAAAGTAGCTCGATATATTCGTCTGGATTTGGGACCGATAATTTGCACTGATTCAGACGCGTGATCGTACTCGTAGGGAATTGAGAAGCTTAAATTGTTCACTTTTATGGCGTAAACGAAATGCCAAAAGTATGACTGGCCTTTGGATAACATTTCCAAACAAGAATTTGTAAAAAAAAAAATTGGTGAATTAAAAAATTTTAATTTTAAAACTCTAATTGGAATTCCCTAAAATGTAAGTTTGATCGGCGAATTGCAAAAGTTGACTGTGGTTCTGGTGTTAGTTCTGATCGCACATATACCGTATATTTCTTTGTTTACTTACTTGCTCAATCAGTGGCCGCAAAAGCCGTGGGGACATTTGGGAACATTAACATTGGAGGATAGGGAAGGCAGGGGTTTATATATAACATGGACAGATGATGGCGACATTGTTCCTCTGTCCCCACGCTTCCGCGCCCAATATTCTATGTGCTTCTGTCGCAAGAAATATTTACAAATGCAATCCAGTTATATCCGAAGTAATTACCTAAGCTATTCATAGTTTACAAATAGCATAAACTTAAATTTGAAACTGACCTTGGCATTAACAACGCGAATTTCGTCGTCTTCTGTAAACATTTGCATATGCTGCAATACGATCAATTTTGACACCTGCGATTAGCGTTGATAGACACATGAAATTGCACTTACATACATATACATATTAGAAGCTTGTCCACAAATTGAACACCCACCAGACGCATCACTGCATAAGACAACATAATTTGGAGTGGACTGTATCGCAATCAGACCTCTGGAACTCGGCAATGGTCATAAATTCAAGTTTAAAGTTATTAGTAAATAGACGAAGCTGTACATATTAATTCACCTGCAATTATCTAATCGTCCAGCCAATTTGTTCCTCGGTCATGCCGGTCAAACATGGTCAGCTTTTAAATAGTAGTAAATTCTGATAAACGTTTCATGACCCGTTGGCCTTGTGCGATATAAATATCTATATAAATATACCAATGCAGAATAAACGGCAAAAAAAGTGAAAGCTAACATTGTATCATGCACGTTTAAAAAGAGTAGTCATTTTACATGTGCTGAATTGTTAACCTGGTGACATTTACTTGACATACGCAAAAATATAGTTTGATAGGTTGTAACGACTTGAGGATTTTTGTGTATCCTCAAATGCAGCAATTTTCTGACCTACTCATCGGACTCTGGATAAAATCAAACGAAGAGCAGTACACAACGCTCAAGAGAAATAACAAAGTTGATTTGGTAATTAGTGATGATAAAAAAGAAAGAAAATGTGATAAAAATAGATAAATTTTGAGTGTTACAAAGTTGAAAGAAACATGACCTAAGAACGAGACGCCGGTCACAATTACTGAACCAGACGCAATGAAGTTAAATATGTATTTGACGATGACATTCGGATCAAAAATCGGTGGTAATTATGTCGCGGATTCGAAGCTTGGTGAAAATACCAGACTATGGTAAATGGGTTTTGCGTGATTGAAAGTTATTGGTAAATTGTTCAATAATACTAAACTGGCAAACTATGTAAAGCTTGTATTATAAAATCTCTCGGAATATTCATCGATTTGCTGATATAAGTTGAACGAGGTTCGATTCTTCCCTTAAACGTTTGTATGCAAATGAATTATGTTGTAACAAATAAGACTACTACTACTACTGCATACATATTTATTATGTACATATTTACAATTTAGAGACTCATGACCCGTATAAAAACTACCTACATACATACATATGTAAATGAGAGTCACTTAAGACTTCATGGACACAATAATTCACGAATTTGCTACGTATGTATTTCTACATCAGCCTCTACAAAGTAATCATCTTTGCATGATTTCCTGGAATTCCAACTTGAACATTGCCTTGAGTGACAGACTGACATATGGACAAAATAAATTCTTACCAGTCAATAGAGATTAAAAGCTAATGTTGTTCAATTTATGGGTATAAAAGCACATGTACATATGTATGTATATATGTATGTAAGTACATATATGTATACACATACAGATACAATATGTAAACACTGTGATTTTCTTACGCAATGAAAACCCATGAGGTTTTTCTGCATAAAACGAAAAGAAAAACATCCCTCGCTTCATCAGTTGCAAATCGTGTAGTTTAAAGTTTCACAGCCCATCTTGTAAAATTTTTTGAATAAATTTCATCATGCACCAAACAAAAATTTTATTTTGTTTAGTGCTGACTATATGTGGTCTGGTCCATTGGTAAGTGCATACTTATGTAAGGGCATGGTTTTTATAGAAATTAAATATTATGTAATTAAGTACAATTGTTATTTCTGAAGTGAGTACTTGACTCATTCTGAGGCTAAACGCCGACTGGGAAACGCAGGTATAAATTAGAAATTTATTTAAATACAGTTCGTATAATTTTCGAATTGATAAGGCCACTAAAAAATATTTTCTCTGTAGGCATATCCATTAAGGAGCACCGACCGAGCTGCACCGACAGGACGAATAAAGACTGTACATCGCTCGATAACGTCCGATCTGAAACAATTGGCTGGTTGATAAACTTCAAACGGGTCGCAATTTACGACGGAAGACAATGCACGTTCATTGTTACTGGTGGCACTGAGGTACATAAATACAGGGTGGTTTAAAATACAGGGAGGTTTGTTTCGCTCCAATGGAAAATTTTGCAAAGGGAAAAGTCCATAAGTCTCTTGTATTTAAGAGAATTTGAAATTCAGATTTTTACTGATTATTCAACTCTACCTGTATCAAAACTGATGGAACATAGACAATGACAAAATTCTTAAAATTTTGTATGCGCTTTTATATACTGCGGTTTATTTTAGCACGTGCCTAGTTTTCCAAAAGTACAAATGAAGTATAATGCCAACAGATGAAATTTATATGCACATATATTTATGCAGGCTGGTCATGGCGGTGGGGGAAAAAACACCCACGCGGGCGGGTACAAGATCGACCTTCGACTTAACACCTGTCTCGATAACTTTATCCAGTCAGGATCCAAGAATCGTCGTAACGCCTACTTTCGATACGTCAAGGATGTCACACTGAGGTATAATAGGACATCGTTCTATAAAGCTCCAAAATATCAATCTGGCTCCGGCGCTTTCCTGTTGAGAGAACATAACCATTGGGACGCATTGTATCCGGAAAATCCGGTGACGAATTGGGGTCGCGGGTAATCGTGAGAAATTTTGGATGGTTGAGGTAAATTTCATTTACATGTTCAACTTTTAAAAAAGTTTCAGTCTTTATTAATCTTAAAAACTCTAAAGATTTGTTGCTTCATTATCATTGTTGCTTCATATGTATTTCTATGTTTTCAAGCTTTGAGAATATATAATAAAATATGTAACAAAGCCTCGCAAAATGAATTATTCACATGATTGTAAAATTGAATTTAGAAAATTTAGATAATATTTTGTTAAATATTTTCGAAAAAAACTAAAGGTGCATGGTGCCTAAAATCGGTAAAAATTTTCTATCACATTATTTAAAGTTTAGTTTCAGCATTTTACAGAGAAATGCATGCAAGTGCGAAATAAACTTAGGTTTTTTCAAATTGTCTAAATATCTACAAATTGTGTTTAGAATTGAAATTAATTGATTAAGTTGCACGAGATGATAAAGGTTGTAAGAGTAGCATAAATATACATATTGTAAATATGTATGTATGTATACCTATATGTAGATATTTTTAAGGTAACATGTATTCATTTTATCTAAGGGGTGTAAATATGCAAATGTTTCGCATAAAATTTGACATTTCTATAGCTTCAATAAATACTTATATTTAATATGCACGGACATAACGTGTCATGAATATCTTTGACAGAATCAAAATAATTATTGTCTATACTCAGAAGTTGTGAGTGTAATTAATACGGTGCCAAAACCTTGGTAAATCAATTTGAATATTTGAAAGCTTCCAAAGTTATGTATATTTAATAGAACTTCACCGTATTAAACAAACATCCCTATTCACAAATTGTTTGTTCAGTAAAGACAGCAAAAAGGTCGTTCTAGATTTATGCATATGTATCCAGTACACGTGGGGATTTACATTCAAAATATTCCATAAGACCATGACATCTGAACAAGAATTGGGTAGTGGTGTGTGCGTGTTAAAATCCGATTTGGAGGTTTTGGACCTCGAATCTTCCAGAAAGATTGACCTTAAGGGTTCATCGTTTTGGCGGAATTATTTAGTGCTTATGTAAAACCTGAAATGCGTTATTTCTGAGTCATTTTCTATTTATAAACTGTAGGAATGACAATTCCACAAGTACTGTGGAGTGACGGGCGTTTCTACTAGTTAAAAACGCTATCTACTGACAAACTCATTTGAACATGGACTCTATGCAAACAGTTGAATAAATATTCCAACCACACATTTGGTCAATTAATGCATAATTTTAATTTCCACATGTCACCAGCTGAGCTATGGATAAGTAGTTATCAGAATCTCTAAACAAATCCTAACTTCTCTAATAATGATATACATACAAACCGGAAGAAATTCTGTCACTAATAATTAATCGCATGATAAGGCATTTCAACTGAAAATAAGTAATTTGCTCGACTGAAATAAAATTGCACAGAATTTACTGATTTAAGCAATTCATAGTCAACTTCCTGTGGAACAATGTATCAAACAGAATTTCTCCCCTTACTAAAACTTCATCTCAAAAGTTGCAAATTTCTTCAATGCGTTCCATTTGAATTTCCCCAAAACTCTTCTCGATTAGTCAAATGTCAATCCCTTAGCAAAATCCGCATGTTTAAACTGCAATGCATACTTTCCGTCCTGTACTGCACGTTATTCGGTCTCAACCTCTGCTTTGGGCCATTAACCAAGATTGAGAAGTTCCAAGGCTTCGGCTTTTTCATGTGCTACCTTTTAGCGTCAATAACAAGGTGGAATTATGAACTAGACAACGGACCGAGTCAACTAATCAACGCATTTTTGGACTGTGAAGAGACCATTATGACAAGTAAGTAGGTGGGAATTTATTTTTACAAGTGCTATACACACGTTTAAACTTTAATTCTAATTTGAACTTGAAATTTGCAATTTAATCTTATGAAATGCTGCATTTACATATGTGTACTTCACTCCTTTGTAACTTGCGCCATAGTTAAACTATAATGTTGGCGCAAGTTACTAAGGAGTGAAGTATAAATGCAGCTGATTTCTTTATTTTTTGTTTATGGCGTGGAAAAATTGTTGTAAGTTTTTAAGTTGGTAATTTCACTTCTAAAGATCTATAGCAAATATCAGAAACTAAAAATTTTGTGAGTACATAGTTGCATGAATGTTCGCCTCGGTATGTATGTGAAAGACTTATGTAATACTTGCCTTTACTAAATTTTTGCAAAAACCCACTACCAGTTAAAGGTAAAAATTTACTAAAATATAAAGATTTGAATATTTAAGCTTAATCTGCACCCTGAAATCAATACAGGTTTCCCCCAGATGTCATGTTCCCTTGCATGTCAAGTGGTCAAGCTGTTCATTCAATTGTGCGAAGTCGGTGTGGTCACTTTCCCAATGCTGCTCTTTCTCTTGCTTCGGGTCATGCCCTGCACGCCGCCCTTCCTTCTCTCCTTTCTACCAGGTTGTCATAATGGGTCTGATATCTGTACCTTTGGCCACCTGGGCCGCTTGGGGGTACACATATTCGAGGCGTGGATGTGCGATCACATTGTGTACTCCGCAACAACGTGGATTTTGTATGTCTTCTGTGCAGGGATAATTTTTATTCTCGACTTTCTCCGCGTATTGGAAAGGTTCGTCTAAACTAATTTTGCTGTAAATAAATGTAAATATGACTAAATATGTAGTACATATTTCTACTTATTTACATGCATAGACTCTATACACACGTAATTTTACACATTTATGATAACGTGGCAAACAATTTTTTATATATATTTTCATTTACACATGTAATTGTTCCTTGAAAAATGAGGATTACTAATTCCAATTACATTGAATGTATAATCAATCTGGTGAAGTAATCTCGCAAAATTTGTATTTCTCTATGTATACTTAATCGTCAAAGTTGATTAATTTCTAAATTCCTTCGTAGCAATCTCACAAGGCATTCAACGTCTGAAAAATACTCTGAATCCATCCAACTCTACCGGAATATTCAAATTCTGGAGAAATCATGGAACGCGTGTCTTTCAGAACGAATCCTTCCAGCGATCATGTTTTGCAATCCGGCCGTCGAGATAATCTCCACTTTTGTGTGCATCACCCTGTCAAAAGAAATTCCAATGCCGGGGTTTCTAATATTTCCTATCATGGCGGCGGCTTCTTTAACCAATAACATGGTCATCATCACCCTCGCTTCGCGAGTTCACAGCGCTTCACGAGACCTGTTGACCTCTTTGAAACAATTAAAACTGGAAAAGAGGTCAAAATTGATGAGAAAAGAGCTACAAGCCTGCAACACGCTGAGGATCAAGTTTGGCTCAAATTTCATCGATAATGGGACACCTCTGGTTATGCAAGACGTCTGCATTAATCAAATCATGTCTTTAGTACTGCTGAAGCGGAGCAGGGTTAATTAAATTTGACACTTTTAACATAATAATGACGGAAACGTAAAAGACATTTCTACGTCATCTGTATGCATATTTAATTATCCAGAATCCAACATTTTCAGATTTCGATCCGGTCTAGTCTAAATATGTATTACAGGTTACTGATTATATTACATACATTTGACTGATTCTTAATCTGATATGCGAATAAAATGTATGGAAATATGTATGTAAATCTTAGTTATTTTTTGTTTCAGTCTAAACTAAAAATTATGTTTATTTTACCCACATATTTATTGTACTGTTTTTTTAGTATGCAATTAATGTTGGATTATAGTAAATCATATAGAATAATTCATACTAAATTACCAATTACAAGTTATGTAAATATTTACGTAGATACCTATGTATATATGTATTTATGTACATACGAATATGAATTTCATTAAAACTTATGAAGGAATTAACGATCTAAATACATATAAATTGTGGTCATACAACGAACATGTCCAATACATTTTCGTATCCAGATGCAACCATATTACGTATCTAATCTTGAATCCAACCTACATATTCTTCTAATGTTTCTTAACTACAGTCAGGAACAAAGATTTTACTTTAAAAACCTGAAATTCTTATTGGCACTATGCCGGTATAACTTTAAATATAAATATGTATATAAATGCATACCTGTATACATATTTATTACATATGTCAGTAGGTTTCTAACTTTGTACAACAGCTATGCATGTATGTATAAAGTGTTATAAATTAACATAATAATAAATAACTCTTAATAATACTTAATTATAAATATTTATGCTTCCACTTTTACACCCAATCAATCATTGTATCCATTCAGTTAACGAAGAAGGAATTACCGAGGAATGTTTGATAGCAAAACTACACATTATACAAAAGCTGTCATAAGTGCGTGGCATGGCACATGTGCTAGAGGTGAAATGGATTACCAAAACGAAAAATCCATCCAATCCAAAATCCATTTGGATTTATCCAATCCATTTTTAATTTCTTCGTAAAAAATCCATCCAATCCAAAATCCATTTGGATTTATCCAATCCATCCAATCCATTTTTAATTTCTTCGTAAAAAATCCATCCAATCCAAAATCCATTTGGATTTATCCAATCCATCCAATCCATTTTTAATTTCTTCGCAAAAAAAATCCATCCAATCCATAATCCATTTGGATTTATCCAATCCATCCAATCCATTCGAGATTTTGTAAAAAAAATATCCAATCCAATCCATAACTTTTAAACCATTAGAAATCCAATCCAATTCAAACCAAACACGAAAAATCTGTATTAACCAGCACTAATTTTAAATTAAACCAATATAATCCAGCTTAAAACATTTGCATAATATTTACAAAATCAGTAAAACTATGTTTGAAAAATTACTACCATGATATACACACCTATTGTTAAATCTCGGTATATCTATCTTATAAGCTGGAAATGTTTGTTGGCAACGGAAGTGAAAGTAATTTTCCGTGACGGAAGTGAAAGTGGAGAAAGTGATTTGCATATCAACTGCGTTGGAAAGTTGATAAGTCTGTTGCCCAGGATTTACTGGTTATGTTATCAGGAAGGGAAGTTAACCTGAATTGATAAGTGTGGTTATCCGGTCGCATGTGGGAACGAGGTGTGTCCCATTGGTATTGGGTTATCGCTCTGCTGGGGGGAGTGAGAGGGTGCACCCCCTGGGATATGGTTATCGCTCTGCTGGGGGGAGTGGGAGGGCGTGCCCCCTGGGATATGGTTATCGCTCTGCTGGGGGGAAGTGGAGGGTGTGCCCCCTGGGATAGGCTTACCGCTCTACTGGGGGGAGTGGGAGGGCGTGCCCCCCTGGGATATGATTATCGCTCTGCAGGGGAAGTAGGATGGCGTGGCCCCCTTGGATATGGTCACCGCTCTGCTGGGGGAGTGGGGGGGGAAGTGCCCCCCTGGGATATGATTATCGCTCTGCTGGGGGAGTAGGATGGCGTGCCCCCCTTGGATATGGTTACCGCTCTGCTGGGGGGAATGGGGGGAGGGCGTGCCCCCCTGGGATATGGTTACCGATGTTCCGTTTAGTTCCATTCATTCAGGCCCGTTTCCAAACCAGTGATATGCCTGAATGATGGGAGGGAGAACGGATTCCGTTCCCTTCATGGGTATCCCATATTTACATTGGATTGTCTAAATTACAAAATAGATTTACTAAGCTTACACATAAGGGAATGGGATTCCCTTCCTCTTCCATTCCCTTTGGATATACTTCAGGCGAAGTAGGGAATCTTCACGTCAAGGGAAGGGAAAGGGAATGGATTTCCCTTCCCTTTGGATATACTTCAGATGAAGTAGTGAAATCTTCGCATCAAGGGAAGGGAAAGGGAATGGGAATGGATTTCCCTTCCCTTTGGATATACTTCAGATGAAGTGCGAAATCTTCGCATCAAGGGAAGGGAAATGGATTCTGTTCCCTTCATGTGTGGAATAAAGTTATCGCTATGCTGGAAGTAATAGAGGGGTGCCCGACATTGGCTGGGGTTTGTCTATCGAAAGTTGTTACACCCCGCGTGATCTGTTGGTGGGTCACTCACCAATAAATGACCTCAGCTATTTAATATTTTTTCAAGACTCCTTTGCAGGTCTCACTGCAGTTTCACATGAAGAGCATGTCCGCTCCCAACACCAGAAAAAATATACAGTAGCCGCGGAAGGGTGGGTGGGGACAGAGGGGCAATGTCCTCATGGTTATTCGATTTTCCTATCGGCTTCCCATATTATACACATTCCATTCCCTTCGTGTGCAGATAAGTTAGATTAAAGAAATGGAATCGATTCCCTTCATGCAGACCTCCGATGAATTAGATTCCGATGAATCAAATCTTCTACAGATTTTGAACGCTGCGCATGAACATGTATGACATCATATGCACTTTCACATGCCACACACCAGTGACCGTGTGGACCAAGTCAAAGGTCACATATGAACACACGTCAAACATATCTATGTCAGATTTTGAACCGGGTATAACAATATGATACTCATTTTGCTTTAATTCATAGGATCCATTCGTTGTGACCGTATATGCACGACCAAATAGTATGGCGTGAAAATTGTTTAGATTTCTTGAATATTTTAGTTTTCCTATTGAGGTTCAACGAGGTCAACCGAATGGATTTGATTTCAATTTCAGCCCGTCTCCAATGTTAATAAAGTGGGCCCGTGATTTTGTCGCGTAGAAACTCTGTGCGGTTGACTTCGATGCACTGTAACATTAATCTCCATCAACTAATATCATCACGTTCACGTTCATTACAAAGTCCTTTGACTTACGTCGGCGACAGAGAATTTCAGCTTATAATATAGATTAAAATATTTAATTGGTTAGAGTTTTGCAAAATTCCACTCAATTTTCATGAAAATCAAATAAGCTCTCGCCCGGCGGGAGACGGGCTTATACGCTAGTTTTTAATATAACAGAACTAGTTTATACAACCGCCAATCAACAGGCAAAAACTAAATGCAAACATTAGTGAATTTGGCCTCCTTTCACATGCCAATATGTTACCGACTAAACCATCAATACACTCGTCTGTTTTAAGTTGTATAAGTGGATAAGTACAGTATAGGCAGAAAGTCATTATACCCTCATACTTTTTGTACATAAAGCCTCATATTGTTCGAGAAGCTTGAGAGGATGATCTGCAATTTTGCACAATTACTTACTATGATGTAAGGGTTCCGGAACCATACTTTGGATAACGGCGTGGCACAAGCAACGACACGGTGAAATTATATCCAAAATTCCGACAGGAAAAAAGTCTTTATACCCCAATTAAAGTTTAATAAAAAATGTGTTCATAATTTGTTTGTGTTAAATAACAGTCAAGTAAGCACCTGGGATGTCCTCCCACATCCTTTAGGAAGGCAAAAACACATTTTGGCATCGAGCCAAAAAATAAGCTAGTGACAGAAGTGTCCTAATTCTCCTATTCGAGCTATATGGCGAGGACCAGTCCTTTGAGGTTGGATAGCATGTGCTGAGAAATTTTGGGCTTCACCATTGACCATAAACTTGCATTAACATGCTGTCCTACGATTATGGATGGCAATTCAACAATCAATCTCCTTTGTTGAAAACCAAATCTTCAATAATTTTGATGTATGCCTTAGATCGCCTTACTATTTGAAAATATAATTATTCCCCAACGGTTATTTCCTCACGTTACCATCAAATTCCAACCTAGAACGTCGCAGTAGTAGTTGGAGTACATTATTACTTCGATTGTACTAAAGTTTCGGACGCTCTTCCACAACGTCACGCCCAAATAATTCGATTTCCACCCTATTCTAAATGGTTAGCGTGCTGTAGTTGACTTTGTCAGCGTCTCTTTTCTGAATCCATATTCCACTGGTCCTAATTTGAACCAAACAGGTTGATGTTGACGTCGGCGAACAATATCAGGAGTTTCTAAAATTTCGCCGTCCAATTATCATGATTTTTAGCCCATTTAGAGCTGTCTGCAATATAGGCCTCGCGGAGAAATAGAATTTTCCATGTTGCTCGATATGCAAATCCATCTTAAGCGATCCTACCCTTTGTAATTCGCACAGAAACTCGAAGATTATATTCTTCCCTCGTTTTCAAGTTGATTTTTGGTGAAGATAACCGTCAAATGTTTGGCTTTTGGAGAACTTGCCGTGATCCGTCCATGGGGGCGTGATCCATGTACATGATAAAGCTGTTAAATTCCATTCGATCCCAAACTTTTTGCAGTTCTGGAATATTCTGGCAACTCTACCTTTCTGAATGGGTAGTTAGCCGGGAATTCTTTGGTGTCGAAGCCTTTCATCATCAAAATTTACGACAATTTGTCTCAGGCCGGGGTTAAGGTGTTTTTGAGTGATTATGAGCTAATTTTAGTAACGGACAACTAGATCAGCATTAGACAAATGCTATTTTTCAATTAATAATGAATCATTTGGTGCGTGAAGGGCGATTTAAGATTTTATTTTCAAAAATTACAGTAAAAGTACCAAAAAGTCGAAAGGTATAAAGACTTTTTTCCTGTCGGAATTTTGGATATAATTTCACCGTGTCGTTGCTTGTGCCACGCCGTTATCCAAAGTATGGTTCCGGAACCCTTACATCATAGTAAGTAATTGTGCAAAATTACAGATCATCCTCTCAAGCTGCTCGAACAATATGATACTTTATGCACAAAAAGTATTAGGGTATAATGACTTTCTGCCTATACTGTACATATATTTTAAAATATTAAGAATGACATAACGTCCTGGATATGATTTCTATACCGAAAGTCACACAGCTGCACAGTGACAATCCATAATTTTTCCACAACTGAAAATCCATCCAATCCATATGCATGGATTGGATTGGATCCCAAATGGATTGGATAATCTGGATATCCATTTCACCTCTAACATGTGCCCGTGGTAAATATCTGTATTCTCAAGTGGAAAGAATCTGATGGCGTGATTGACTACGTGTGACCGCATGCAAATTTACTCGCGACTTATCGTAAATTTATATATGAATAATGTTGATGAACTGCGTACTTAATTAAGAATCAATAGTATGTACTAATCTTTAATACACGACACAAATTACAATTATGCTCCAATAAATATGAACAATACCATGTTTATATACAGAAGCGTATGTATTTTAAAATGCTATTTCATCACGTATGTAAGATAACCACAACATGCTGATTGGAATCCAGTCCCATTTCAAGGATCTTCTAATTTGTGTTTATTATTTATTGTTCTTCCTGCAGATAATTTTTTACAAGGGGTAAATTTCATCAATATTGACAATAGTAGGGCCGTTTCCTGACTCGTAAATAGCTTATGAAGTTGGTTCCCGTAGTGGTGATGATCGAGACTTATCTTGTACGGACCTTGTGCAATGTCTCGTCGTGTATATAGTTGATTGATTACACAGATTTACAATTGACGCATCTCTCGAATTCCAGGACTCTTTTTATAAAAATGATGCAATTGTTCGTGGTGTTATGTTTGTTTTACCTTAATTGCATGAGTGTCTTCCTTCATCTGATTTTTGCAGCTGGCACTGCTACCTACATACTTTTCACGTTGTAGTGACGTGAAATATAGGTATGACGATGTCTACTGATAATTATAAACCACATTTTTCGGGAGAGCTGGATAACGTGCATTTCTCCCACCCAGCCAAAATTGGTGAGAAATGGTAAAAATGGTAAAAATAAAAGTTTTGTTCCAGTTTGCACCTGAATACTTAGGAAATTTGGCTTAATATTTCCCAAATAATTTTCACACGTCATCAAATTTTCGATTGTGGAACTAAAGAAACGCTCGGCATCATTTTTAAAATACAGATTTATCCCTCCAAAATTATGCAAAGTAACTGAAGCCCTGGAAAAAATGTGGTTAAACGAAACCCTGCTCTTACCACAATATTTCAAACGAGATCAATCTGTCAAATTGTAAATGTGTTTCATTATCTCACCGTATTGTTCCCATTTCCGATAAGCCCTGACAAGCATAATCCTCACCGGCATAAATACCACTCAAGTCGACCTTTTCGTCTCATTATCCAGCCTTCTTTCCGACCTAGCCCAAATTTTGACCTAACTTAAAATTCCAATCTTCACCATGCTTAAGGCAGTCGCTCTCATCGCCCTCCTCGTCTCCGCCGCCACGGCCTCCGCCATCCATGGCGCGTCCCTCGTCCAGAAGGGAATCGCCCCATTCGATGCCACCACTTTGGGCGTAGTTAATCCAGCACACAGATGTGGAGGTGAGAAATTTGACTGTTTTTTTTGGTATTAAAGTTGCTACCGCTTGGTATTACCGTCCGTAAAAATTTGCTACCGAAATGGTAAAGCTTGAATATCGAGCAATCACTGCGCGGTATGACGCATCAATACCGCTTGGTATGATTTTAGTACTGAATTTTTCAGAGTGAAATATCTTAAATTTCCTAATTTGTTTAAATTTCCAGGTGTCGGAACTCCCCTTCAGCTCCGTATCTCCAACTGCGAGGGAAGATGTCAACTCGTCCCTGGACAAATCTACAATTGCGAGAAGGACTTCATGCCCAGTAAGAAAAATTTTTGATTTTCCTATCCCAGCAATGCTATCAAGCTCCTCCCCTTCCCTATCACTATATGTTGCAGTCCCCTTAATGAATAATTTTGCCCCACAGGCTCCGCTGCCCCATCACTCACCTTGAAGATTGAGATTTGCATGTCTGCCGGATTCTGCATGGTCATCTTGGAGACCGAGCTCCCCAATTCTTCCGTCCAGCCAGGATTTATCTACACGGCCAAGTACTCCATTGTCCCCAACGATATCCTCTCCGGACAGACCGTAGAATTCCGCGCATATATAAGCCATACCAACAATCTTCTCTTGGAAATCTGCGTCTCCGCAGAAATCGACATCTTGTAAAGAAAGAGAGTTGAGCCGAAATGAGACCATGTGATACATAATTAGCTAATAAAATGTCCTAGAGACAAAAATTCCATCAATTCATGGTTTTGTTTTCTGCATAGAATATTAATTGTATTTAGCATACAAATTTCCACGTCTTTGCATTTTTTCTGGCATGTCGGCAGTATTTTTTAAATCTTTTTTAGTAAGAGATTTAACTTAATACGGAAGATGCAGGCCTTATCTTAACTTTTAATTGATTGCATGGCGATCATATGCAAATAAAATGCCATGCTTAGTTTAATCGTCGATCCACGTCATTACTATGGCATGGCAATTGACATACTCAACAATGGCATTTTTAAGTTGACATGTACATATGTATGATATTTAATAAGTCTTCCATCGATTGATTGATTGTGTACGATTTGCAATCAATTAAAAAAGCTGTGATTATGTGCAGATTGGATTTTCCTGGTGCGTAGATGTCGATATGTCACTTTTTACTTGCCAATGTCGGAAAATATACACGTGCATACTTTTATGTATATTTGTGTTACGTATGGATATAAAACATCTCCAAACTGTTACTCGTAAATTGTATTTGAACTAATGGAAAATTATGAAGTAACTAAATATTATGCAATATTTAGTGGTTTTGCATGGAGAGGATACAATAAACATGTATGATATCGTCCATTAATATTATACTCAATTACTTATGACTTAGGTGGTGATTGCATCTTGCAAAATTAAATTTAAAAAGCATTAACCTTAAAATTATTGTGTTTATTTTGTCAAAGTTTGAAAAATTGTACAAAAACGGAGTAATTTTTTTAAACAAATAATGGAATATTTAATAAATTTTATAACAATTTTACTAGCAAAGTGAATTATTATTATCACTTTGTGTCTGTTATTTGTATCTACCGAATTCCGAAACTGAAAATTCGATAAATTTTGAATAAGTTATATGTACAATTAGCCTAAAACCGGGTAATTTTTAAATAATGTTAATTTGCTAGCAATTTTACAAATTTTATCATAATTTTAACAATTAAATTAGTTATTAGTATTAGTATGATTAGTGCCCGTTATACCTTCAAGATTATTTAAACACATATGTAGTTCTCTTGTGAAATTGAAATTTGATAAGTTTTGAATAAATTACAAACATTGTTCATAAAAATGAAGCAGGAAACGGGACAAATTGTTATCAAAATTCATTTTCGTTGGTATTTTGATATATTTTTAACGTCTCTTTATCAACATAAGGAAATATTTGCAGAGGGAGGAAGTCCACGAAATTGGCTGGACGGGTGGACTTGGTGGTGGCGATGTTGGCCTGGTCACGTTTACTCGGCCGGGTGGCGTTGCGGAGAATTGATACCCGGGTGGCATTGGAGGGGGTTGATACCCGGGTGGCGTTGTGGGAGGTTGATACTCGGGTGGCGTTGTGGGAGGTTGATACTCGGGTGGCGTTGTGGGGGGTTGGTACCCTGGTGGCATTGGAGGGATTTGGTACCCGGGTGGCGTGGGAACGAAGTTGTTGTGGTTTTGTTGTTGGTTGCTGAGATAAGAAGGTGGCTTATCAACATTGCCACTCTGTGGATATGACGAGGGCAAATATTCTGGAGATTTTAGGAGGGTCGCGGCATCGTAAACATGCTGAGGGATATCGGTCGCTGGTGGTCCAAATTTTTGGCTCAAAACCGTCCTACAAAAATAAAATGAGGATAAGATTTCACATAGTTTTGAGAGAATTAATAATTAATTATTTAACATCGTCCTAAAAAGCTACGGAAAATTTCACAGACTTCGTAATTTTGTTATTTCCACCACCAAGAAATTTACATGTTTTATCACCTAATTAATTCAGCATTAATTTCTTGCTGATACAAACTTTAATGATAAATTCAAATTCACGAACTTAAATGGAAAAATCAAAACATCAAAAGCAAAACTAGATAAATAAACGTGAAAATCTAAAATCTAAAAAAGTCCACCAAAAACTTGTGAAATTCATAAAAATTTGAAAAATGCTAAATCAGGATGCTAATCTGCAGTTTTAAAAACTAAAATGTAACAAAATCCTGCCCCTTGAATTTTTCACAGTTATGAGAATCAATTTTTTTTAGAAAACTTCAGAAATCAAAAGGGTAACTAAATTTGGAAATCTTAAGAAGTTCTTACCTTCTCGGATAATAATCGTACTTCTCGTACTCCTCAAATCCTGGCTTAGGAATCGTCTTGTCCGAAAAGAGTGCCGTCATGTCCTGCCTTTCACGCTCGTTTCTCCACTTGGTGCCAAACGTGTCCCGTAAAATTGTCGAGTCCCTGGGGGAGTTGGGTTGGTGGGTGGGCGAGGGAATGTAGACCTGGCTGAACGAGGGGGTCACACGCTCCCCCACAGCGGCTGGGTCCAGGTTCGCCAAGAAACGAAGCACATATTCGGCCAGGAATCGAACCGCTTTGAAGTACATGAACAGTAAGAAGACAAACCAAAAGGAGAAAACTATCCACAATTTTAGTAACAGTTCCGCCAAGAGGTTCAACTCTTGGAGGAGGGTGATTATGCGGTGGAGGGTCATGACCTCGGTGGGGTGAGTTTATAAAAACAAAATCCGGAAATTTGGGGAGAAATTGTGTCCCAAAGTAAAAAAGATGAGGGCTTGGTTTTAGTAAATTTGAGCAATTTTAGGAGAAATTGTGTCCCACGTTTTAAAGTTGAAGTAACAATTCGACTCGGTTTTAATGAATTTATATTTAAACGTGGACAATTTTATGAGAAATTGTGTCCCAAAATAAGAACTTGACTCGATTTGAGAGAAGAATGAACTGAACCGACGGAAACCAAATCCTTTAGAATTGGTCAAGGGTTAGTGGAATTTGATTTCATTCATTCATCATCATCTAGTCAATAATATCTATTATTGTGAAAAATAATGCCTTTCAGCCGGATGCACAATAAAGTTGAACAGAATGAAAGGTAAGTTTGAGATAAAGTGAGGAGGACAATCTGCATATTTTGCATACCTGGACTGACTCAGGATGTGAGATAATAACTTTGAGAAAGATAAAGGCAAGAAAAAACTCTATACAGGAGCAACAGAAATAATCATGTACAAGTGGAAGCGAAATGCAGTTATGACATATGACCTAGCCCCGTGACCTTTTGATCTGTAATAAGGCCGGGTATCGTGTTGAAGGACCATATGTAAATCTATCGCAACAAGTACACATCTACGTTTTTGATAAGCACATTTTTTCAGAAACAGATATATTTCGGTATACTCAAATTCCTTCCTTATGTTATCCAAGGGTTACCAAAAGCAATGACTGGATTACTTTTCAACCAAAAATTTATCACAATCTAAAACCTCGGAGATTATTTTTTCAATATTGTATTATGATCATATCAAGTTTTAATTTGAGTACATAAAATGAATGAGCAAAATCCTGGACAAGTGTACATACATATGAAGTGAACGAACAGTGTCCACTCAGAATTGAGAATTTTTTTGTCAAACTAAGAGGCAGATTTAGACAATACTTTGGCCATGTGAAGTTATCCGTGTGTCGTGGTGCTTTTCCATCATGAAAGACTTCATACAACTATCCCCTATATTTACAATATTTATTATGATAATATCAAGCTGGGGGGATAATTGTGTGGAGTCTTCCTTGCTGGAAAAGCACCACGACACACGGATAACTTCACATGGCCAAAGTATTGTCTAAATCTGCCTCTTAGTTTGACAAAAAAATTCTCAATTCTGAGTGGACATTGTTCGTTCTCTAACTTCCCCTTTCATTCTGCTCAACCATATTGTGTATCCGGATGAAAGGCATTATTTTTCACAATAGACAATAGTGACTACAAAGATGATGAATGATATCAAATTCCACTAAAACTTGTCCAATTCTCAAGGATTGATTTTCAGTCGGTTTAAAATAGTGGATATTTACATTATCCAGTAGATATTCTATTGGTAATGTGATCATCTTAACTCAACTCGCCAAAACGGCGTCGAATATTTGCCATCGCCGTGACCCTGCCCGAATGGATATCTGGTCAAGAATGATAGCGAATCTCATTTCCATGCAGGCTTGCTGACACAAACAAAGTTTTCCTTTCGTTTTTAGCTTAAACTTTGTAAGTTGTAATGTTTAGTACATACACATATACATTTAGAATGCCTTCAAAGGTTCCTTTATTGCAAAGTACTTGCTATGCCAATGAAAGCCATAAGTTTGTTTAAATTTTGAAATTATTTTTTTAGTTCTGTTTATTACGAAAGCCATAAAAAAAGATTACATGAGGCAATACAGTATAAATAACTGCATATGTAAATATATGTACATATTTACGTAATTAAAATCTAATATTGACATTGTTATTATTTCCTGACACATTAAACGTAAGTCCTCCCCCGCTCGGCTGCATTTGAAGTGCACCTGAAAATAATTTTTATAACCGGATTAAAATTCAGAATTTGTTTTAAATAATTCATAATTAAAGGTAAGCATTTTAGAAATTATATGACTTCCCACCTTGATTAGAAACTGGGACGTTCGGGATGGAAGCCTGGCCAGCGGAAGTTGTTACCGGTGACACCGTGGTGGAGTCTGCTCCAGTCGCCCAGGGACGGGAAAAAGTTGCCGAGCCTATTTTTTTAGTTAGAAAAATATTTAGAGTTAAATATCTGTTCACAATTTGGAGTATTAAGTTTCACATTATTTTTTCATGCTAAAAAAAATTCCGAGCCCGGATTTGGATGGAACACAATGCAAGATATACATAGATTAGAATTATGAGCAATTATTTAGTCCAGATTGACCTTAGGATCCTAACCGATTGCCAGTATTTCTAACTAAATCATTGTTTTTTATGTATGTAGGTACGTACACAAATTTAGAATTTTGAGAGGAAGACGTATTACCATTTTTCAGTTTCATGGCCTCATTAACTGCACCCAACCTCGCCGTCAGGCGTTTTTCTTCTGCTTTCAACTCGTCTGAAAAAATAGTGCAAGTTCTTACATATTATTTTCAAATTCTGAATTCGTTTTTTTATAAAACCAGATTTTCCACACCCACAAATATTTGGTCAAAATTAGGAAAATCTTTTAACCTACCAGACGACATCGAGTAAACGTCAGAATTTTCCATTATAATTTTACGTTGAAACAAATTCGATTTTTTTAGAGTTTTTGAGAGAATGATATTGCTTAAGTTCAAGTAACGGGCGACTACTGGCCACAACTTAAGGGCTGCATGAAAGTTAAATTAGGAAATGTGCTGGGTAAAAGAAGGGAAAAGGGTGGAAATTCTACGAAAATCATTTACTTAAATACATTTCTGGATAAAAAAGGGCAACCTAACAATGCGAAGAGGATCCACTGCCCAGTGACAATTTGACATTAAACTGACCCGTATTATTGCATTTTTTTACTGGGTAAATTTGATGTACATGGAATGTGCTGGAATTTCCGAAGTGACTTACCGGACGTTTTCAAAAGGCTGTATATTTGGTTTTTACTTACATATTTACGAATTTCATAAATCTTACGATTTTGTTAGTTCAATCGCTCGTGGATAGGATTTATGATATTAAACGAATACTGGATAATACAGAGATACATTCATACATTAATAAATACACTTAAAAGATTAATAAAACTCATTACTGAATATAAATAAAATAAGAAATACAAACATACTATCCTCGCACTCAGCCCTTGCACCTCATTTGCATATTTTAACGCATTCGCGAGAGCCATAGAGTTTATTCAACATGGAAAGCTCGTATCGCCGAAAATGGGCTATTGAGATTTATGCAAATGAGGTGCAAAGCCTAAGTACGGGGATAGTACATATCTAGTTGACGCTTATGTTGTCACAATTTTTATTAGAAAAAAATAAACATGACTGCATTTGTTTAAAGGTCGACTAACTTGCCAATAATTTCGAACATTTTAAAATTTAAGTATTTAAAACATGGAATCATTGCCCCTTAATCCTTCCGTTAGCAATTGTACATACGTTGCAGTTTTGCAATATCGTTTCCCGTCAGTACAGTATTGGTTGGAATTTGAGCCCCACTCTGAAAGTAAATCAATTGTAAATAAAATTCCCTAAAAATAAATCATAAATAAGGACACATTTAACAATAACTATCTATATGTCAACATTTCAAGAGAGTAATTACTCAATGTGTAATTATAAACTTAATCAACTTCCACTTAACCAACCTTTGTAACAATCGTGGACTGTCCATTACTGCTGAAAGATGTGCTTGCATATTGCATAATAGACGCGGTATCATACGGTACTCCAAACGTTGTAGAACCAGCCGTAATGTCAAATGCGAATCGATATTCTGCACAAAGCAGGAATTTATTTACAGATAAGTATGTTATCAATCATGCACTTATGTATTGCCATATGTAAGTATATTCTTGTCATTAAACCTGGTTAACTCACCTGGAATAATATTTTCATACAGCACATTAACATAGTCATCCCGATCTGTGCGACATTGCTCATGGTCATAGCCAAGGGCATGGATGGACTCGTGGATTACGATATATTTATGGATGCATCCGTTATACTGGAGATTTAATTCCTGTACAAAAAACAAAAAACAAATTTTTGAAATTTTTTTACAGTATGTAAAAAAATAATGCATACGAACCTGTCGACCACCTAACCGACCCAAATATGACCAACAACCCGAGTCTGCCCCACCCCTCATAATTTCGACGTAATCTCCGGTAGGATTCGAATCCTGAGGCCACATTAAGATTTGGATGCATAAATGCGTAGATAATTCGTAGAGGGCATCATTAATCACGGCGTACTCGGATTGAGCTGGGGAAGAATTTGAAGACGTTAAGTAATTTTGTAAGGATTTTAATTTTTTGATTAATTATTACGAGTGATTACTGAAAGCACGGTCGGGATGAACTATGAAGCCATTGCGCCATCGGTACCGCTCATCTGGCAGGCCGGATTTTGCCTTGATTTGTTCCTCAGTAAATTTAAGGTCGAATACGGGATTGACGAAGTCAGGATAATCCATCGGCTTTGTATCTAAATATGTACAAAATTTTAAATTTAGAGAATTTGATATTTGACACCTTATGTAAATTAACGATGTTGCTTACAATTCTCTGGTTTGGTTGGTGGGAGTGGTCGCACTACTGGAACTGCTTGAATTGCAACAATTCCGCAGAAAAGTGCGAAGATGACGCTAAATCGTTGCATTATTTTTACTTCAAATTGAAATTTGTTTAGTACTAGATCAACTCTTGGGGTCGAAATGCACTCAGAATTATTCTGTGTACCAATTTATTAAGATTTTAACATTGTTATCACATACATATGCAGAACTTAATGTGTACGGCTTATCTCAAGTGTCATAAATATGCATTGATCGATTAATTAAAATACTCATCGCTGATCATACACCGATGATTGGAAATTTACTAACGATATCAAGATTTGCATTGTGCAAATTATTCCAGCAGATAAATATATACATACATACCTTTGCAAATAACCTATAACCTTTCTAAGGATGATGCAGGATAGATGTCCATTATTTTTTGCATGAACTTTATGTAGCATTCAGGGTGAAGCATGTGTGCATTTGTACATATATGCATGTGCAATGTATCAGTTTCAAAGTTTCAATTATCTACAATGCAACCAACTTTTCTTATTTTAATTTATAGGCACTGGAGCAGTCCCAACCAGTGTGTGTACGCGCCCATGCCTTTACATATATTAGGTAAGTGGACACATGTCCGATAACATGCCAACTTTAGCACAACACATATACATTACTTAGCGTTGCAATTCATTTAGAAAATTTTCTAAGGCTAAGAAATGAGGGGATTCGCAAAATATGATTTCGAAAATTTTATAAAGCAATCAAAGCAATCCTGTTATTATTATATAACAATAATTTAGCTTTAGCTTGCTGGGCTTATCTGCAATTTCTATCGTTTATGATGGAGAGGATGAGTTTGTGCAGTGCGAAATAAAATCATATCCGTGCTGCGTAAATTTGCAAAAAGAATGGCATAGTTTCCTAACCCAAGTTTTGCGAAATCTCGTAAATTTGCCAACATTTCACAAACTGTTCTGTTATACTCAATTTATGACATGTGTGTATGTGAGCTTCTACAGTATTATGTTTTATTAGTTATTTATTATGAGGATATAGACAATTTTTATTATAATATTCGCATTAGGTTTTACACTTATACATACTTTGCCGAGTTTAAGTTACGACTATACAATTTATCTCAATAAAATAATTCATATTAGGATTCCGATATTAAAAAATGTCGCACTTTTGTCTTAACTTATTATTGGGTCGGCCCTACTTTTCGACTTGATACTTGAATACCACTCCAGATTTTCCGAAAGAATAGTTCTCCACGATAGCTCGATCAAGCTGTTCAAATCATAATAATATCAACGAAACAATAGCCAGAAATGAATTAACGACTTACCCGACGCCATGCGCCAACCTAACCAAATTTTCCATGTAAGGCTCCAACTTTCCGACGTATTCCGTCACGTAGGATAAGTACTCCTCACGCATCACGATGAAAACAGTACCCCCTTCGAGACAATAATTATATTATACTTATTATTAGTGATTTCTTTAACATGAAAATACGACATAACTAAATAATCAACAATAAATACCCGGTTTCACTATGCGAACTATTTCATCCAGACCCCTCACCGGGATGTGTCCTTCTCCCATCCCTCCAGCGATGACGAGAGCGTCATATGCGTCTATTAAAGAAATAGACGTCGTATTTTAAATTAGACCATTACTTACATAATTCTAATTACCCGTTGCAATTGCGTTAATCCGTTCAAGTCCTAAAGCTACTTGGTACAAAGTTCCGTATATGTTTCTGCGCTTAAGAACTTGTAGCATTCCGGGGGAAGGTTCCAAAGCATCAATTTTCCTAAATTGTAACGAAATATGTACATATTGTCATATTCACGTCAGTGTTTCGGGTGTAAGTAAGTAACCACATGAAAGAATTTGAAAAAATATATATTTCTTGTAGCTATTTTAAATCCAAGGCACAAGAAACTATTTCCCACCACTATACATAGGTCATAAGGCTTGTGTTTTAATACAAAAATCCCTATTGCCTTACTCTCAATTTAATTTCTACGAACTAACCTGAATCCCACTTTATGCAATTCTCTCCCAACTTGTCCTGTACCCGCAGCGACATCGAGAATGTTTAGTTTGTCTCGAACCTCCACAGGGTAATGGGTCGCCATGAATCGAGCAGCAATCTCGGGACCATTATAGCGTCCTGGACAAAGGTCCTAGGGTCGCCATATTTATTTACCAACGAAGAAACACATAAATTATGTGACATAATCAAAGTTTTAAAAATAACCTTATCGTAGTTGGTGGCCCATTCCGTGTAGGCACGGACCATCTCGTCGTGCGTGATTCCGGGCGTGTGGGTTTTGTAATTATTTAAATACTCAGCGGCATCGTTTTCAGGAACGTTTTCAAATCCTACGACAGGAGCTCCTTGATCCTCAGAATCCATAATTTGGCAAAAATTGCTAATTTTCATGTGAAATTAACCGGTCACGATTTCTACTGTGAACTAACCAAGTAAGAAAATTCTTCTTTTATTTACGATTTTTAGTGCGTAAGAGACGAATGATTCACAACTTTATGAGGTACCGAGTTAAAGATATGGCATGGAATGCATTGTTCATTTGAGAACAAATCAATAAAAAGGATTTTCCCGATTATCTAGACGAGACGTTATCGTCATATTAATTGTTTCAGTGGAGGAGTATGTATATACGTGACCCAGGGATTGGCATCTCGTAGGGATATGTAGCACTTGTAAATACGTAATGTTATCTGTTGCGTTATATAAGAGACACGTCCCGTTTGTTTGTAAGCAAAACAACCGTCTGATTGATCAGTCAGCGTGTTCTTTGTAATTATTGTTGTATAAGTTGTGAGTCAGGCATAGTTGAGCTATGAGCCAGTCAGCTAAATAAATTTAAGCTTTTATGTAAATCTCCAAAGTAGTAAAAGTAATATACTTATTCATATATATAATCTGAAAACTTGATTGTCAGCGCATTCACAGTTTTTATATGTAAATATATATGTATGTATGAATGTATGAATGGAATTTACTTATTCATAAAAGACTAACAACTTTTGTATTCAGGTATGAATGGATTTGGATATGCATCCGGATCTCTTATGAAAGATGGCTTACCTACAGAAATGTTATCTGATTACTTATCTGTTTAATTTCTCCAATTTATGCATTGTCACGTTGGAAAAATGTGCATATGGGAAATATATGTAATACAATACATAACAATTCATCTTATTGAAGTACTTACATATATTTATTTATCCATTTAAATTATAGATTTAACAATTTCAAAAAATTATTTTTATGATCCTGAGCTGGACTATAAAGTTGACGAAAAAGCTACTGAGTAGTACATATAAGTAGAGGCCAGTAGAGTTAGGATTGAGATTAAGTGTTAACTTTTAAAATCTTGGGATTGGAGTTAGGGACTAATTTGAAAATTTTGGAATTAAACTTTTGATGAAAGAATGAGGGATAAAAGAAAGAGCGAAATTGGGATGAATCTTAATTAATCCATAACTTCAATCAGTCCGAGAGTGAGCAGTCTCTGAAAATGAGTAACTATCGGCTTCTGTCTCCTCTTGCTCCTCATCTTCCTTTTCGGTCACTGTCAAAAGTTTAAACTCTTTAACGGTCATCTGACTAGCTCCAGCATTCATTTTACGGTTGATGGGACAAAAGAGCATCTTTTGGTCAAAAAAGTTGTTCAAAATTGGCCGAGTAGGGAACTGATTGAGCTCAAGGGCCAGAATGTTGCGTGCGAGGACTTCGGCGACTGAAACGATGGGAGCGGACGTTTCGATGGCCAGATTTTCCGGAACGTGGGATACTGGAACGAGCACGTCAACGAGATATGGATCAACTTCCAGTGTCTTGCACACACTTGCAGATTTATTCCTGTCCATTCAAAATCAAACGTTTCATGCGTTATAAATATGTAAATAATCTCGCATAGTTAAAACTGATCTAAATTATATAATTTGATTATTACGATTTAGTCACGTTCATTTTGATATTCGTTCCAGTCATCATACTCTGCAAGGCAACTGATGCTCTTCTCATCCAGATGTTTCCCGTGGGGACAACGCCATTCAGACAACATTTGTAGGCCTGGGTAGCAATTAGCACAAATTTAACCAATAGAAAACATCCCAGCAATTACAATTTGTATGCATTATCAATCACCTACCAGAGCAGGATAATAGCTCATGTACACCGGAAGGGAACACATTTCATCCGCTCGGAGCGTCAAAACTTGACCACCATCAATCAGTTGAACTTTATGATATGGAATTTCACGGTCGGCAACATTAGTAACGTTCGGTTCTAAGATGACACCTCTGAACCACGTTCGCACGCCCTTTTTCGTACGCCCCACAGCTACCAGTTCCGTCAAGGCATAATGGGCTGATTGGCGTTGACGCCATGCCATGTTGGGTTCCAAAAGTTCGTTCAGTTTGGCTTTAATCTTATCGAAAGCCTTTACACCAGTGCCTAAGTAAGAAATTCATGAAATTGATAACATCTTCATTTCCACAAATTTTAAAAGATCGTTAAATTTATATTATTTACCAAACTCTTCTGTCACCGTGTCTGGAACATACTTCATCGAACCATCATGCTGCATTGGGTTCACGGGTGGTGTAGCTTTTGAGGTTGCTGGTGGAAATGCAGCTCGACAAATACATTCTGCCGTCGTTCTAGGAATTACGTAAAACTCCGAGGGCGAAACTATGTGCACAACTTTGACGCCGATCCACATTCCCTGCTGCAAAGGGGGCTTGTTGTCCAACGTGAAAGAACTGGTAACCCTTTCCTGTCCCAGGTCATCAGTGACTGCGGAAAGATAAGAGACGATGATTATCTTAACAATTAATTATTTATACCACCAATTGCTTACCGTCCACAACTTTATGCAGCAGTCGACACATCGGCCCCTTCCAGCAGTACTTGCCCTCCCCCTTGTAAGACGGACATGGCGTCTCGGCCCACGACTTCTCCTTGTGTTTGACTCCCATGAAAAATGCCCCCGCACTCTTGTCGATATCGGCAGAGATCACATTTTGCGCCGTGTCGCGGTCAACCCTCATTGGGTTCCAGCTTTCATCGGATTCCTGTAGTTGCTCCTCCTTATCTATCGCACTTGGTAGTAAAGGAATGGACACATTTTCTTTTTCAAAAATACCAGACGATGTTGTGGTTATTTTTGTCGTGTGATATAGTTTTCGAATGTGGTCAGGCACACATTCCTCAGAAGATGTGTAGTAGGAAGAAACGTTGTCGTCACCACCATCGAGGTTACGACAACTCTCATTATTGACCAAATTACTATCATTGTCACCCAAGTCGTCACGAACATATTCGACAAGACCGTCATCGTCGACAAGAGCGTCGCCATCTTTTTGTGGTGGAACCAGAGAATCCATCGTCCCAGGATAAATTTTTGTAGGAGGACGAGTCTCCAGTTGATTAACTTTTTCTTCTTCATTCACGGAATCCATTCTTAACTAAAAATATAGATAACAAATAATACAATAATTATTTAATTAACGATTAGAATAAAAACAAACCCTTCAAATCTGATTTGATGTTGATGTTTACTTATTTAATAAGTTATATCCTCCAGACCCTCAATAATAGCGATTCACCTGCATATTGAAATAAATAATGCAAATTTACATTGGTAAAATTGCAGTATAGCGGCCTAGCTCGGATATGGCTGAAATTTTTTGTGTGAATACCCTAAGGTCCCCTGAGCATAAAAATATATTTTTTTCGCGGCGGTCTCAAAAACTGAAATTTCTAGAAATTTTTGAAATTTTGTACAAAAATTATTTTTTTGTCTTAGATTTTCATGAAAATGACTTTCTAGACTAACTAAAGTATCCTGAACACGAATCTGAAGAAATTTTTGAAAAATATTCAATAGCAAAAAAGTAATAATTATGCCCGTATTGGGGTATTGTTCGTATTTTAGCGAGCGAAGCGAGCAGGTTAGGTTAGATAAACTAGGTAGGCGGAAAGCGTGGAATTTTTACCTACTAGTGCTACCTAGGAGAGCTAGGTAGTAGTGCTACCTAGGAGAGCTAGGTAGTAGTGCTACCTAGGAGAGCTAGCTAGTAGTGCTACCTAGGAGAGCTAGGTAGTAGTGCTACCTAGGAGAGCTAGCTAGTAGTGCTACCTAGGAGAGCTAGCTAGTAGTGCTACCTAGGAGAGCTAGGTAGTAGTTCTACCTAGGAGAGCTAGCTAGTAGTGTTACCTAGGAGAGCTAGGTAGTAGTGCTACCTAGGAGAGCTAGCTAGTAGTGCTACCTAGGAGAGCTAGGTAGTAGTGCTACCTAGGAGAGCTAGCTAGTAGTGCTACCTAGGATAGCCGGAAACTAGAAATCTCATCTTACCCCGAAAATTTGATTTTACCACAAAAAATTCCTGACAGAGGGAAAGTGAGACAAAGTCTTGGAATTCTCTGAAACATCTAATAACAATTTGTATACAAAATTTCAAAAATTTATAACTTTTTTGCTATTGAATGTTTTTTAAAAATTCCTTCAGATTCATATTCAGGATACTTTAGTTAGTCAAGAAAATCATTTTCATAAAAATCTAAGACCAACAAATTATTTTTATACAAAATTTCGAAAATTTCTAGAAATTTCAGTTTTTGAGACCGCCGCGAAAAAAAGGTATTTTTATGCTCAGCGGACCTTAGGGTGTTCACACAAAAGATTTCAGCCATATCCGAGCTAGGCCGCTATACTGCAATTTTTCCTTTACATTTATCTGGGAACAACCCGCAAAAATGAAAGAATTAGAGATAATTTAATAAGGAGAGGAATTATTATCAACCAACCAGACTTTTGTTTACTCCTGCTCCGTCACCCGTAAATATAAATGTATGAGTGTACCCTCCATTCGCACACGGTAGAACTTTCTCAGAAATTGAGATTTTTGAGAAACTAAGGCACGCACTGACAGTCTCAAAGTACCCCGTCAGCATAATTTGAGAGAATTTGAGATTGACGTAGCTTCTGAGAAATCTCAATTTCTGTAAAAGTTCTACTGTGCGAATGGAATAGTAATTACAACTTTTACATTCACTGTCAACTGCCTATGCAATCTACGCACATTATACTACAAATGAACTTTGACAAAACGAATAAAATATTTTAAGGTCCCATAGGGGTAGGAATTAGTAGGAAAGCATAAACATGTTGTCCATTTTGATTTTCGAAAGGGGAGGTGGTTTTTTCGTCGAATTTTAAAAAAGTCGCAAATTCCCTCAAATGTTTGGTCAAAAATTATACATGTAGGGACAGAAAGATCTAGGTTAGCTTTGTACTGTCATTATTAAAAAGTTTTGACCGCTTTGATTTAGGATGGAACAAGGTTGTAGGTTAACAATTATACATTTCCGTAATTATTTTGGTTGTGCTTTAGAATAAAATTAGCCAGTCACGGTTGGTAAATAAGTACTTATTTCACATTTATTATCCGCATTATTATTTTATATGAATGAAACTATGTACATATTCTTGCATACTTACGTCCGTAGTATAATAATTTAATTGAGAATTGCTTAATATTCTGTAGTCACGTCATTTTAAGTAAGGGCACGAACAAAAATTTTAAAAATTGAAAACAATTATTCATTAAACAGTTTGTAACTGAAATCAAGAAATAATTAATTTCTTTGATAAGATAAAATAGCGAGCACAAATAAATTTAGCGTCAAAATAAAGTAAGGGTCAAAATTAGTTAAATATAACGAAAATATGGCACTCAAGTAATTTAGAATGAGCCCGTGCTGCAGCAGAAGCGTTTGCTGAAGGTGCAGCCATCTTTTTTGATGTAGCCTTGGAACTGGGACTGGGCGTGGTAGGTCTCGGTGCAGGCTGCGGCGGTGTCCTTCCAGGCGGGGTAGCAGTTCGTGGTTCCGAGGTCCTTGGAGTTGCTGCACTCGGCGTTGTCGTCGTACACCCAGGCGCCGTCCTCCCACTTCCGCCCATCCACAGACACACCCACGGCAAGGACGACGAAGACCAAGATAACGGCAAACTTCATGGAGTTCATGGTTGGAGTTGGGTTCTGAAAATGTGTAAAATATAAGACAAAATTAGTTTCAGGGTAAATACTTAGATAATTGAATTCGTTCATTGGAGAAAAGAATTAAAATTTTAAATAAATGGTTGAAAAATTTCATATTAAGTAAGCTGTAGTAAAATGTGTGATTTATAAAATTGAATTTGTTACCTTGTAAAAAATTGAGGAGTAAGTTTCTGGAAAATCAAATCGTTGACTGGACTTGGATTGGGCAGCGTGGAGTGGACAATGGCCTTTGAATAACTGTGAGTTGATGTGCTCAACGAGATCCTTTTATAGTTGGTCAGGTAATTTTAGAATTCAGATAACATTCATCTCCTTATTGTTTGGGATCGGTTCATAAATAAAATAAGAAAACCCAAAATACGGTACCTTCTCAATTCTCAGAAATCTACGTGTATTTATGTATGCGCATATAATTATGTATCATGGTCTACTCATTTTTAAAGCACTTTAGCCATTGGGTTGGCCTGGGTTAAGGTAATCAATTGCCGTTTCTGCATACAACAGATGTCATAATATTTAGACTCACTACAAATGTAAAAGGTATGTGCCCCAATTTTCCGGGAATCGGTCGTTATTAATGACTCGTTAACCAAGGTTGAAGAACAATACAGATTAAAACTAAATACATAGGGTCCAGCCTTCCAATTCAGTTAAAAAATTGGAGATTTTTTTGTTTAGAAAATACGTCCACAAATTCCAAGAATTTCGGAACTTTCTATTTTTCCTTGCGTAAAAAAGCTACCTTTTTCAAGCTACACGAGCCAACATTTTAGTTTTACATGTTCACTTACTCCTAAGCAGCACATACATAAATAACAAATAATTAACCAATATTTCACGGTAAGAAACGGAACTTAACCTAGTTTGTCGAATTAAGAGGACCAAATTCCATTTTTTTTAAATAGCACGAAATTTGTTTCTTGTCGTTTTAATAAATTTTGAGGATATCCAACATTTCTTCGTATCCTTAATATTCTTCGTATTTGTAAAATAAGTTACGGCGGTTACGAGATTCTGTAAGCGTCGTAAGAGTTTGTCATTGAAAATCGAGTTAATATACATAGGTTACGATTTTTACGAAGCTTGACCCCTCGGTCAAGCTTCGTAACCCATTTTGCGATACTAAGGATATGAAAAAATGATGAATATCTCATTACTATCTGTAACAATTACTGGGAACGTGTTTCATAGTCGCTTATGCTTTTAAAATGTATACATTGTTGGCACAAACTTGTTGAAATTTTTTATGAACATAAGAAACATTTTTCTTACAGATAACAAATAGAATTTGGTTAAGTTCAATTTATTGATTGCGAATATACATATATAAGTCGCCAAGTTCAGCAAACACCGAATCCACATGGATCATGGACACCAGGGAAAAAATGGGAATGTGCAAAGTGCTCAAAACAGTTTAAATCCAACAATTATTTTACTCAACACATGGTCACGCACGATCCCGATGCCAAGGTCAAATGTGAGGTGAGAGAATAAATTTGCACAAGTTAGACGAATTTTACAATACAATCCACACGTCCTTATTTCATAGGTTTGCGACAAAACTTTCAAAAACAAACGATCCTTATCTACACACAAATTGGATACTCACAACATTCGGAAGCGCCCAAGGTGTGACACTTGTCACCAGGTTTTTTCCAGCGTTGGTAATTTGCAGCGACACAATGACACCGTCCACGGAGGGGAAGAACCCCCTTGTTTCTCGTGTCCGGTTCCTGGCTGTGAGAAAGCTTGAAACACGTGGAAACTGAACATGCCCAGAATCCGGTCCGATATTCGTGTACGCTTTGCATGAGGAAGTTCAAAACGAGGATTGAACTTGAAGCTCACATTCCCACCCACAGGACGGAGCAGAGATACCATTGTACCACTTGTTTGAGGGGTTTCGCCCGTAAGGAACATATGAAACTTCACGAGGTAAAGCGTGTTTTTGGGAAACAAGATTCAATAAAATTACCCAGGAGCATATTCATTTTACAGGCGACACATTTGGAACAATCTGCCCGGGACGTGTTGCAGTGTGATGTCTGTCCGCGGACCTTCTTAAGCAAACTTGGTCGACAACTCCATATCCGAGCTGCGCATGAAAATCAAAGGAATTATCCGTGCACATTTTGTGACAAGAGATTCTCCCAGACATCCAACTTGAAGCACCACGTGGAGGCGAAGCATTTCGCGAATAAGGAACAGTCCTGCGAAAAGTAGAAGAGCCGTTCGAAATGCAATTTAGTAATACCCCTTCACAGAATGCGTCACAATGCAGCGAGGCATAGATTTTAATAATTGGATTACACGGAGCTTAGTGGAAAAGTCGAAGAAAAAGCTTGGTTTTATTTGGTCAATATTTCGAATGCTATCTGCCATTCATTATCAAGACATTTACAAGAAGATGAGAAATTTTTAGATTATAGCATAGATTTTACTTCTGTGGGAAGAAATTCTTCACTTATCGCGAATTGGTCGCACATTGTCGAGTTCATATGTATTTACTTTAGAAAGTTAAAATAGATATTTAGTTAATATGTAGTAGATATGTACATAATGGAGATATAAGTAATTTTCGAATTTTTATTAAATTTGCGACATTTCGCAACACTTCTTTTGTAGAAACCCATGCAACTTCAGTTTCAAATTTATTTACAGGTATTTCACTATTCGAAATGATTTTTATTCCCAAGCTAGCTTCAAGGTCCTTTGCATAATCTTGGATGAACTTTGCCGTCAGGAAAGACGCTGAGTCATGATGAAAAATCACTTATTTATTTTCATCCCCACGGGGGTGCGGGTGACAGGGATGAAAATGTGAGAGAATTGCCACCATTTTTCCTAACTTGGATTACGATGTGTTCGAAATGGGGCGGAGAAGCGTGTGGATGGCGAAGTTCGAGGCTACTAAATAATTTCATTTCATAAACTTGCTGTTCTACTGAACAAAGATTTTGTATGATTTATTTTTAAACTGGGAGATGTGGTACACAGAGAATACGCGAACGCAGGAATTTTCAGTCAAAATGACTGCGCAGTAAACCAAACAACCAACGTTAATCAATAAATATTCCCCAGTTGATATTTTCCCCACTGCAATATTGGCTTTCACGTGGGAACATGGGTCCTAAAAGAATGCCAGGCGACGTGTGGGTGGAACGGGAGGGCAACTTCGTCAAACTTTTGCGATGCCGCACGGCCGAAGAATCAATCGGCGACGTCACGACGAGACAAACCGTAATTGCTGCAATGGCTCGCGTTCATCGGGAGGTTATCGACGCGGAAAAATATGTCAAACACCCGAGCGACTGCAAGCAGATAGAATTTTTGCTCTTGCCGTATCCAGATAACCACTCCTCATACGATGAGAACATGGAGGTGGAGTTGAAAATGGAAAATTGTGTCAGTATCGAAACGCTTGTGAAAAATGTGGGACAGGTGAGTTTTATGATGTTTCGAAAACTGGAAAATTTTAAGAATTAATGGCAATTTTACTTTTAATCAAGGTCTTGAAGGGGAAGTTTTTCCTTTGTCGTACCATAACTCCGTCTAGCAGGATAATCGGAGTGGACGCTGGTGTGGAGGATCCTGAAGGAAAGAGGGCCATGCGACTTGGCCTATTCAATTATTCTCTGAATGCTAAAATGGGGAAGTCGGATTTCGAGGCAGTCCTCCCACTGGGGACGATGTTGATCGTGAAGAATCCTGTGTTTAAACAGTCTTTTGACCATTCGCCCATCCACGGACTGATTGTTGATAACCCGGGCGATGTGGAGATACTCAGTCCAAAGAGGATGACAGCGCTCTTTCCAGGTAAATTTGTGGATACGGTTTACTAATTAAATGCATTGGCTGCGGATGCCGTGGGGACATCTGGGATCATTAACATTGTTGAATGGGGGTTTATATAACGTGGGCGAATGAGGAGGAATACCCTTGGGGCCATGGTCCTTCTGTCCCCACGCTTCTACGGCCAATGATTATACAATTTCAAATCCAATCATAATTTTTGTTATCAGGTGTCCAATGGAAGTCAGATCTGCCTAACGAGTCTCGAGTCTTGTTGAAGAAATCTCTCCCTTTTTGGGAGTTCTCTCCTGCCAAAAGCGACCTCGAGATTGCCACCAAGCTCAAGAACGTGGGAAACAAGGCCTTCATCGAGAACCGATCAACCGATGCGATCCGATTTTACGACGTGGCAGCTGAATACTTACCTGACGACGAAGAAGAGATAACTCCAGCCGTGTCGACACTTCTGGTTAACATCTTGTCCAACAGGGCAGCCGCCCTGATTAAACTGGAGTGCTTTAATTCAGCCCTAATCTGCACGGGTAAAGCTCTTGGGATTAATAACGGGCACGTCAAGGCGATCTATCGTCACGCCAAGGCTCTCATTGGACTTGGCCGATACTCTGAAGGTGGCGAATTTTTGGACGAAAAGCTCACCCAATTCTCATCCCTTGGAGATGATATTCTTCGGTTGAGGTACGATTCAAAATCTAAGATAATAAATTTAAATACGATTTGTTTTAACTATTGAGAAGTGAAGTTTGATTCTAATCGATGGATTATGCAGATCCACCGTTCCAGAACTGTTGAAGCCACCCGGAAAGGAAATTATTCGTGCTTTGTTAAGCCTACGACCAATGGATTGCGGTCACCCTCAGAAAGATTTACCGGTCGGGATGGTGGATCGCGTTCCAGAATTTCGAGGACACGTTCAACTCAAGAAGAGTAAAATCTGCAACGGCGAAGGACTATTTGCTACTCAAGATCTCGAACCTGGAACAATTATCCTCGTTTGCAAACCCTTCGCCGGGCTGTATGTCAACCCACAAGAAGAGAAAGCATTTAGAGAGAGCACAACTACCAAGCAATTCCTTGTCGGCGTTATGGCGAATAAGATTTGGCTTGATCCTCTACTTGGCCATGACCTTTACGCCCTCTGGGCTGGACCTGAGCTTAAAACTTTGACGGACAATGAAGACACTAAAATGACAAAGGTCGACATTGCTCGAATCAAAAAGATTTGCAACTTTAATTTCACTGAGAACGTCGTTGACAAAGAAGATTACGACGACGACGAGGCCGAGGCCGAAGACTTCATTTCCTGCGGGGTTTGGATCCCCGTGTCCAAAATTAATCACAGCTGTATTGACGCCAACGTTATGTTCGTCCATCACGATTCCACCCTTGTCATGATGGTCACTACTTTCAAAAAGGTGAAAAAGGGAGAGGAAATTCTGATGAGTTATATAGACCCATTCCTCCCATTGGAAAAGAGAAATTTTATCAGTCAAGGTGAGTAATGGGTTGCATTTCTACTAAAAAATGTTGAATCCAGTTCTTGTATGTTTTCGGCTGCAGTGCCAAAAATAGGCGCCACCTAGCTCCCCACCTTTTATTCTACGCTTAATTATAGGGATTGTTAGCTAGACGGCTTATCTCTTGCATTTATTGCACTCCTTCGAATTTCTTAAAAACGATTTCTTGCAGGTGTTTTTTTTTGCGTAAACAATGGTGATTTCAAATTTGTACGTCTATTATTTTCAGGCGCCTTTATCTGCAAATGTCGACTCTGCGAACTTGACCGATCTGAAAGTCGCGCTCTGATTGCGAAGAGAGACCGGCTCATCAAAAGTCTAGCCTACGACCCCGACACGAACTTGTACCCATCTCATCCTTGCCTTCTTGCACGCGACCTGGAAACAATCGCCGAAGTGGAAAGTCTGCGTGCGGCGTCGCCCGACCTGAATTTCGCCATGACATGTCCTGGAATTTATACCATTGCTGCCGTCGTGCTGCTTGACCAACGTCGTTACGTGGAGTGTTTGTCCATCTTGGAGAAAATTTACGCCGTCGTCGAGAACGTCCCGACTAGCTGTATGCATCGTGCACAGGCTGAAATCATTTTGATTTGTTGCATGCGAATGGGCAAGAAGAAGGCCGTGCTAGAAAAATGGACGGAGGAACTCAGGAAATATTGTCGTCTTTATGCCGGAACTTTGGAACATGTTCGGGTTGGAAGGTATCCCACAATTCCGGAGGACTTGAAAAAATTTGGGATTGAATTTTTTAATGACACTGACTAATTAACTGAGAATGCTAGTAACTCATATTTTTTGGCTTAGTATTTTGCATTTCATTTTTATGACGAGGTAATTCTTGTTGAATTTGTGACGTTATTTTTCCTTTGAAATATATTACTTTGACTTGATGAATTTGATAAATAAATAGTTACAATTAGTATGAGCGACAAACAATTTTTTTAAATGTTTTATTTCAAATTTCCTTTGAATAAGACTTATTTAGATAGATATCCGACTCTGTGATAATGACGGATCATGGAGGAATCACACAGAAAGAAATTAAATTGTCTCATTTAGTACAAGAACATAAAAAGCGTAAAAACTTACGAAAATATAAAAAAATCAATAGAACAAAAAAAAAGTAATACAAAATCCAAAACGGTCCGATTTCATTAATTAGATAGGAATACAAACATTTCATTTCAACGATCAAACCACAAATACCTATCATAACCTTCCGGATATTTGAGAAACATTTCAGCCGCCTTAACATCCGAAGACTTGGGATGCAAAATAGCCAAATAAATGTCGTACGCTTCCTTAACGAATTGACGGCTCCGTTCGAGCGTTTTCCTCTGTTGGACACAGAGTCGCCAAGCCAATCCTAAGTAGATCGCCTTCCTCATTCCCGACACCCCAATCTTGTCCATTGATTTCAACAAGTTTTGCAAATCTTCCATCATGATGTTGACAACCAACCGGCGTGGATTACGCTCCAGACTGTCTTCTTTCTCCCTTAGCGCAGCCATAGCTTTTCTACTTGCATTGATCAACTTGTCCATTTCGTCGTCACGACAGAAACAATCCGACGGACAGATGATGTTGAATCTGCTTTCCAAAATTCGACGACAATCTGCAAAGGTCTCGAGGCAACCGGAATACAAAAATGGCCCATACATCGTGTCAGGATCAACGATAGACTGCAACAAATCCCCATACGTTAGGAAATTGATTGTAATTTCTTCATCGGGAAGAATATCTCGCTTTGAGTAGATAACCATCACCTAAAGCATAAATTCAAATAGATTAATTTATTTACACCCTATAAATTAAATCAGTTTTACATCGTTTAAATCTTTAAGGAGGATCTGGCTTGCATTCGAATTGCAATTGTGAGCCAAATGTTTCGAAGGACCGACGGCCTCCATGATGGCGAACGTATCCTTGATAATGTCCCCGGAGAGAGCGAAGTTGTGTCCATGATACGTATCCACCATGATGCGAGTTGTCGAGGGGAAGAATCGTTTTGCGAAGACGCCCAGACCAAGGCTGGCCCCTGATGAGGGGTCAAACTTCTCGCGAACGACCCAGTCCAAGTCCTCCTCGCCATAGGACAATCCACACCATCTGGAGTGACCTTGACTCCTGTGAGCTAAAGTGTGAACATGGACTTAAATAAACTGATACATTTTAATGAAGGCTAGTTGAACTAGCCTAGTTCCAAATTAGTTGATGCGACCAACTGAACTTACTGGCTCTACGATCCAGTATACATGTATACTGGATCGTAGAGCCAGTAAGTTCAGTTGGTCGCATCAACTAGTTCCAAATGTAGAAAATTGGTAGATAATTCTTAAATGTTAATCAGTATAATCATAACTATTACCCTTTCCTTCATCTTTCTTTGTCTTCCAATCAATTGCTTGACATTCACGACTGCAATATGCCCGTCGACCACATTTTCCACACTTTTTGACCCGATCAGAAGGGATGAGGATGGCGCAAGTGGCGCAGTGACGATCCACAGAATCACCTCCTCCTTTACTCTTATTACAATTACCTGCAAAAGAGAAGTATGTAATTGGCATTGCCAATTTGACAAACAGTAGAATTTTTAGAAAGTACGAAATGCTCATTCCTATTTTTAAAGAATGGTTATTAAAAATAATCGAGTATACCGTTTCCAGCAGTTTGTTGTTCTTCAGGTACAAGCTGTGACTCCATTTCAAATATATTTTTTCAATAATTTGTAACTTTTAAATTTTAATACAGAAAAGCAGTCAAATTTTTAAAAAATGTTAAATTACAATATTACAAATTAATACGTTGTACGCGTGGAATGTTTATTTGCCCGCACCGGAAACTCTGCACTTCGCTCTGTTCTCCTAACGTTCGCATCGCATGGGGGCTTTGAGTATGAATTTTTGTGTCTCAACTTTCCCTTTGGAAACTTTTAAATAGTTTCTTTCAAAAAAACTAGTCCAATCATGAAATTATGGAATTCGTTCATCGCCCTGTGTTTGTTTTTTAAATGAAGATTTTATTGCATCTAAAAATCGACATTTATTAGCTTTGTAAAGTTATGTAGCGGGTTAGAATTTTGATTTGTTTCGTCCATGCGAAAATATTTAATTTTTATTTATTATTTTTTATCTAATTTATTTCTAGTTCATACATAAATTTGCGGCTCGTTTTAAGCGTTTGTAAGTAATAAGTACAAAGTATCAAATTGTTATAAATGAAAATGAGCTTGAATATAATGATCCAAGATCCAATTTGTTTTAATTATGCAACACAATTAAGTTTTAAAAGCTATTTAGATATCCGGATTTGGCATAAAATTCTGAGAATTTGCATATGCGACTTGTGTTTTGACCTAAGTTTCATTTTTAAAGGTTATCTTTAACATCTAAGCATTTAAATCAAATACGAAATGCAACTTTGTCACAATCGACTCAAAAGTCACAGTTGACAGTAGCAAAATGTTCATACATAATTTTATCATTTGCATCCTCTAAAAATCTGAATATCAAGTTGGCGTTTGTCGTAGAATCTACATACATATTTTAAAGACGTTGTTTCATTTTCCCCCAGTGCTTTTACAAATCACAGAATTCACAATTGGCGAAGAAAATACAGGTTGTATGTAATTATCACCTAAATTACAAAGTGTGATTATCACAGTTGAAACCCTCTCTGGAAAAGTAACGCCGGTTTCATAAAACCAAAAATTTTCAATTCACATTTTTTAAACTGTTTCAATTTGATGAATCCATGCATGTACGTATGTGTATGTATTTTCTACCAATATTGCATTCATTAGATACATATCTTATATATATAAGATCAAAATTTCAGGTGGGTGGATTTCTCACAGAACTGATAAAATTTCAGAGATGACTTCATGTCTGACAAAATTTGTAACTTGCTTAAACAAAATGGATAAAATTAACCATATAGATACATAAGCATACATACATACTACATACAACAGCCAAACATGTATGTTAAGCCATTTCCATGCGTGCATGTAGATATGTATACATACCTATACATACATCCAGAAAATAAAAATATCGCCAAGCTCCAGGAATTAGGATATTCTTATCTTCTGACCACCCAGCCCTTACATACATCCATACAGAATACGCATAATGCCTTAGCTACGTAAACCCCATTCCTTTCCATACCCCTTCATTTCTAAACTCCCAATAGAACCACAACTCTGAGAAATATGTATTTACATACTTACATAAATACAAGCACATGTATGCACATTTATGTCATTGTCTAAATTTACTCCAGAATCCACTCCAGCTAACAAACGTGTAAAAAACTGTCACAAGTTCACTCAACATCGATGAGTCAACCAGTAAAGTTCTAACAATAAGTACTCCTTAAATACATAATTATCCCTGAAATCTTGAAACCACGTCACAAATTAGCCATGTCTCTCCTCAAACGTACAAATCCTTACTGGATTCCTCCCAGGCTTGTCGTCAAAGGCGCAGCTCTAAGTCAAATGGTAAATGATTCATTAAAATATGTAACCAAAATTTACAGATGAATAAATACGTCAGGTAATTTTTTGCTTCAGATCACTTCCTTTGTCGCCATGCTCTGGGCAGCATTTATTTACATCACTGGAGAACGCGACAATGGTCATATTATCATCGATGAGGATTTCGTTGATGACGAAGTTGAAGGAAAAATTAAGGGGATCGACATTTATCAGAGTATGTAGAAATTTAGATTTATTTCTTTCTAATTTCGTATTTATATAGCACTAATTAAATTCAGGTGGATATTTGTAAATGAATACTCGTAATCTCAATACACAAACTTGCATGCATTTAAATGCATACATACATACGTATGAAAATATTTACATGCACACTTGTAAATTATCAAGGAACCTGTATGCATATCTTTTACTTTAAAAAATAATTTTATGCAGTTTACACAGTTTATTTTGTCACGTAAAAACATCCAAATGAATTTTGAAAATTTATGTAAACTGTAACCATAATTTATAACAAATGTAAAATTTCGAAATTGTTTCTTCCTTTACGCAGCAACAGTACCTGAGGTGTTAGTATTTTGCCTCATTGTACTCCACGGCCTGGTCACCGTCTTCAACGCCAGATTGTACAAAGCCGTTAATACAGTGAGTTAAAAAAGTCAAATTACCGATTAATTAATTAAGTTCTTAAATAAATTAATTGGGGTCTATAATTTTTAGAAAAATCTGCAAAATTTGTACCGCTCCTGGATAACTTTGTGCTGTGTGGGCTTAATGAATTTCGTTGGCCGTGTCGCTGCCCACTGCGGAAACGAGCAGGCCATCCAATTTGAAGAGGCAATGTTCAGCAATTCTACATTTCTCGCTCATCTGTACACAACCTGGGCGGTGTTCCGAGTCATCGAAGAGGTCAAAGGGCTGGATGGGAGGAGACGATCAGACAAATGTTTCGTAAATAAGAAGAGAGTTCACAAAGGGGCGAGAAAACGTTATAAATTTGGTGCAATAATTTTCGTTGGGGTGATTTTTAGCAATAATTTTTTGGAGAGTTATTTATTTCATTAACTTTTTTTTTACACATTTTTCAACATGGTTTTAAATTTTAACGAGTTGAAACTTGCAAAATGTACATCATCGTGAATTTGACATAATTTTATAATGCGTAATTACTTACTAGAATTTTTTAATTTTATGAATAAAAATCGATCAATTCATTCGATCGAACTTACATATGTATGTAGTCTGATTTCACTGACGTTATACAGAGATAATTAAAAATTTAAGAATTAAGATTGCTCACGACGAATTATTAACACAAGTTGCATTTAAATATGTAGTCCATTAATCACCACTGTTCTGCGTTAGTTACATAAGATGCAAAGCGTGTCATAAACATTTTTTTGCAATTTTTCTCCATGCCATATGAAAAATTTTACTTGGTTATTATAGAAAAAATTAATTTAAATTGGGTTGCGATGATAATTGTAATCTTGTAAGTGTGATAAGTTAATATTGGGTGCATGCGTACTTGTAATGAATGAATGTATGTATGTATTTGCATATGTATGCATATAGCTGCGGGTTTGTCAAAATTTCGCTGAAAACTTTAAATCATATTTAACCTGAGTAATTTATTCGTTAAAATTATACATACGCTTTTATAAATTTTAGTCAACTGCACCGATGCATACATAAATATTTTACTAATAAAAAAAATATAATAATATTAATGAAAAACGCTAGATACTTAACGACCTTAATGATCTAAAAAATATTGGAGAATTTACATGAAAAATACATTCATAATAGGACATAAAAATGTTCATGTTCATGCACATCTCCTTCTCCTCCAGTTGTTGTCCGTGTCAGCGTTCAGCGATGTTCTGCATATTTGATGACGAGATGAGACTAAACAAAAAAATTAATTTATAAATATTACGAACCAAACTTAATTATAAGTACAACTAATTTGTAATCACGATAATTGTTTTTAACTTACCAACACTATTAACATCATTCTCCACAGGAGGACGGCGGCTTATTTTGGGGGATTTGTTTTCGCCAGAATCGTTGCGAAACAACAAATCGTACGGATAACTTGACCAGGATTGGAAGACTGGATTACGCGGACGGATCTCGAACATGCCACGTGGGAAGCAGTAAACTTGGCCGACCTAAAAAAATTTACAAAAGATGACAAAATGTTATGTACATATATATTTTTTAATTTAAAAATTAAAATTAAAATCGCTCCACTGATATATTTCGCCCAATTAAAATTACCTTATAAAGTTTATTTGCAACGTGGTAAAATTTCCCGATCGCCAATGCCACCATAATTGTGTCCCCGTCATCCTGCGTCAGCATAATGCGAAGGTATGGCGTCTGTTGGGCAGATTGCACAACTCGCTCCTCGATAGCGTAAACCTCTGCGAGGAAGGTGGTCCTATTAATATTGAAAATTACAAATGCAACGGTTAATATTTATTTATGTAAGAAATTTCTCACTTATCCAAAATTATTGACAAGTTTACGATATTTCGGACGAAAATAAATTGAAATTACTTACTCTAGGCGTCCAACAAAGTTTGCTTGATGAAATGTGAAAATGGATTCCATTTCAATTTCTGCAGATGAACTTATTGGCTTTAATTCACTAACTTTAATAATTAATGTGGTACGTAGATTTGAGTTTTAAGTATTTTTGTAACAACGATATAAATATGTTAGGTTTGAAATTTGCTGAATAAGCAAGAACTAAAATATTACTTTAATTAATTCACTTAACCAAATTAGCTTAAAATTTATTTTAAACTGTTGAATATTTGACGTAAAGTTATAAAATGTGGAGATGTTTAACGTGCAGAGGGCAGAATTGTAATGAGACTTATTTTGCGTAAATGCACTATTTAAAGGGATCGACTGAAGCAGAAATTGTGGAAATGGGAAGGGTTCAAGAATGAATGGGGAAGGGTTAAAAGTGGAGGCTTTAGGGATGCTGGAAATAAAGTTCCTGGAAGTTCCTTTCTATTTTTGTTAGTGGTGTGAAAACTCGTGGAATGGAATCATGTAACGAATAAAAGTAACCTGGAATATAAATAATCGTAGTATTTTTCTACCCTGATAATAAGAAAAGGGTCTCTTGCAATTCTAGGAAACTCCAGTAGGAAATATTGCACAAATTTCCATATTTATTCCAGAAAGTTAACCGTCAATGTTGTTGTTTTGAAATGCATTTATGTAAATACATATCTGTGTCCCTATATAACACCAACTTATCATTAGAAAATTAAAATTACCTCATGTAATTAAATGATTTGCAAATTTGGAATGATCACAGTACTTATATATTTACATGCATATACATATTGATGAGATTTCGTTAAAGATAAAGTAATAAAAATTGCAACATCAATTCTTCATGAAAATGACAAATATGCTGAAAGAATACCATCAACTCGAAATACTTACGGCAATTGAGCTGTAAATATTTATGCTAAATATAAGAATTTACATTCTATATTAAGTTTAAAATCGCTTAAATTGGGTCGCTGGATATACACAATAATTGCATAAAAACTATACATTGTGGATCTTATCAAAGCAGAATATTTATTTGTATCAAATTAACGTATAATATACGTGTTTAACAGTTAATTTAGCAAGTTACTACATATTTATAATGCATAAGAGTTCAATTCAGCAAACTGTAAGTCACCGTATTATGTACATATATTTATGTATGTACATAATCATTGATCTGTAAAGCACGATACTGCCCGAGGAGTCCGTAGATGTGTAATGTACATTGTACAAATGAATTTATTCTGTACATTGGTCAAAGTAGTGAGACACGCGTACATGATAACGTATCCAGATTTACATATAGGTAATAAAGTATGATACATATACAATATATACACAAATATGTATACGAACTAACATGCAAAAAATCCGTCATGCCAATTCTGTTCGTCCTTGGATAAAGTGAAGTTATTATTATTATACTTGAGTTTATCAGCAGATACAAACATAATTGTAATCAAGAGTGTGGACAACACTAACAACTAACCACACAATTACTCGCAGGTAAGTCACAAGTAAATTTAACAAAATGTGAGACTTAATTACGGATAACTTTTTAGTAAACTGATTGACATGTAAATTAATAACTCGGAAATTTTATGCCTTTCAGTCGCAAACTACACAAAATGGCCAATAAAGACGTCTCCCCCGAAGCAGGACAAGTGTCCGAGGCGAATCTTTCTTCTCCTGAGGAGGACCCCATAACCAGTCACCTTATCCAAAAGATACTCCACGGCTACGATCCAAATGCCCAGCTCGTCTCCTACTCTGCCAAGCTGGGCACAAAGCCGGGCGACAATTACATGTCGATCATCTACGCTGCTGATATTGTATTCACAAATTGTGACGGATGCGAGGAAAAGCTTGAAGTCATGATTAAAATCATGCCGAACAATGAGCTCCGAATCAAAGAGCTCAATAAAATAGCTGTCTTTACCAAAGAAGTAAACATGTATGCAGAAGTCCTCCCAGCGATGGTGCGGTTTCAGAAAGAGAAAAAAATTCAGGATGGCGAAATACTTAGGGATTGGCCGACATGCTTGGCCTCATTTTGTGACGGAGGAGCAAATGATTTCGTGGCGATGGAAAACTTACGGGGAAAAGGGTAAATATAAATCTGTGGAAATTTGAGATGGATTTTTTAATGCAAATTTGCATATGTTTTGGGGGTATTCATTACGAGTTCGCATGTTCGGATCGCAATATAATTCTGAAAATGAATTTGTACAAAAGTTCGCAAATGAATTTTCACCCCATTTTTTGCCAACCTGGAACTTTATTTTTTGCTAACTGTTCGAACCTTCATTCTGTTTTTATTAATTATTTGCCAATTTTAAACAGCTACAAAATGGCGGATCGAACCACCGGTCTGTCCCACCCCCAAGTTCTTCTCGTCCTCTCCACCCTGGCGAAATTTCACGCCATTTCCTTCGCCCAATTCGGTGGGGATGGTACCAAAATCCTGTCGACTTATCCATTCCTCGAAGAAAAAATGTTCCCCGACCCGAACAAGGTGGAAAACTCGCTGAAAGATTACTTCCAATCGGTGCTCCGTTGTGAAGTAAAGCTTCTTAGGGACGCTGGGCACCTCAACGAAGCCGAAATCTTGGCACTATTTTGTCACGATGATACAATCGATGCTTATTTATTAAGCGAAATAAGCAGGATTGCCTCCGATACGACGAACGGCGTCATAAGTCATGGAGACTGTTGGACGAATAATATCCTGTTTTTATACGACGACGAAGATAAAGTCGTCGACCTCAAGTTGCTCGACTTTCAGATAGCCAGATGTGCACCGAGATCGGTTGAAGTGTCGTACTTTTTGTACGCTTGCGTCCCCCACTTGGATGTCGGTATGGAGGAAGAGTACCTCAAGTGGTATGATGACCACTTTATCCAATTTCTTAAAAAATTGGGAGTAAATAGGCGTGCAGGGGACGGATTGGACTTCCAAGATTTTATGGAAGAGTATGAAAACTGCATGTTTTACGGAGTTATGCTCGGTTTGATAATGACGCCGATGATGTGTATTGAAAGTCAAAATCAGCCAAGCTTGGAGGGTAAGGAGTAATAAATAATAAGAAAATTCACATTTTATATTAGAATAGTTGAATATATGGTATATTGACCAGTGTGTCACCAATGGTAGACCATTGTTGTTGTACTTGTACGATGTATGCAATGAATTGGGAAAGACACAGTAATAAAGATATACATACATACATACATATATACATACATACGGTGATGTTTGTAATCATTATGTAAATGAGCAGATTACAAAAAATTGGTAAATTCGCAAATGTTCAGAAAGATTACTCAAAGAAAACTGTTGTAAACTAAACGTGGGGTTATACATACTTCACTCTTTGATAACTTGAGCCAGTGTTATAATTTAACTATGGCGCAAGTTACCAAGAAGCGAAGTACATGCAAACGCACGTTGCCAGAGATCAAGGGCATCTTTTGCATGGTATTATATTATATTCAATTCTGGAAAACATGCTCAGTTTGCTGAATTATAAACATCTGCGTGAACTTCCTCATTAAATTGGTTGTGCAATAAAGCTAGATGAACGTAATGTTTTTAGACGGGGCGACGAATGACTTTGGGGACGACGCTGCAGCCAAAGTATTTGAGACATTGAACCCAAAAGGAGCCAGTGGCCAGTCAATATCTTCCAAAAAAATTTGCAATCTAGCCGTCAATCATTTACCTCGCTGTCCACAAGTGATTCGAAAAATGAATGAAACTAAAAAAGTTTGATGTTTTCTTAAAATCAGGAAATAAATAAGTTTGATTCCTGGCGTGTATTACAAGCACAGATAATTATCTATAACAAAAATACCATACGCTTTTTCTATGGATAGTTGATTGAATAAACTTTATTATCATGCAATTTAAAAAAAACGATTATTTTCCATGAATATTTTTGCAGGGACGAGGTCGCACTTTGTCCTTGGGTGCGGGACACTTGAAGTCTCATTTTTTTCTCCCACCCGTTCGTATTTACTTCTCGCACTGCGCATCAGAATTTCTGACGCAGAAATATATTTGATATTCAGAAATAAATTCAGAAATACTCCCCAAATTCCAAAATATAACTGGGTTTTCATTCCTTAACTATCGAAATTCAATCTGACCAAGGTAAAAACGATAAGCGCTCACATTTTTTAATGTCTTAGCTGAATTGAAATGTTTTATCTCCTCCTCTGGTACATCGCTAGTTAAATCGAGAGCAAACTAAAATAAAAACAATTAAATTTACAATTCGCCCTTGTTTTCAGATCCGAGACTTATCCAAGAAAAATGAAACGCTCCACAAAAACTGCACCATCGTCGTCTCATTCTCACTTGCCCAAAGTGAAGGAAGTCCCATTTTCAAAATGGTATAAGCACATGGCCAGTACTGGAGTGGGGCCTGACTTGGTCGAACAGTTTGCCAAGTTGCGGCCCATCTTATCCGATCCGGCGCATCATGATGCCACCTTTGGGATCCTGGTCAGCCTCGGCTTACCAAAGGCACACTGGGTCAAGCCGCCATGGAATTATAACATAGAAAAGGAGCGCTTTAAGGCGGCCTTCACTGTGGACAAGGCTAATCCTGATTCGCATATGGACGATCAACCAAAATACACTAGCTTCGTCATGAAGTTACTCCACCTGGATAAGAAATATGCCAAAGTGCAAGAGCTTTCGGACAATACGCTTGTGGACTCTTTAAAATTCGTGTTGAGCTTTTGCTCCACGGTTAAGCAGGCTGACCTTCAGGTGAGTTCATGGTCGATTCATAAATACATCTTACTTAATAATAGAAATTCAAGAGTTGTCGTTTTTCGTATAGACGATGAGATTACTACTCGTATGCCGAGATCAAGTGCGCCGGTTGGAGTCGTTGCTGAGACGAGGGGACAAGGTCATCGATAAGGAGGTAATAAAAGAGTCGCCTTCTTGCCATTACACTTAATAAATTTGTATCAACTTTACTACAGTTAATTAACTATTTTTTTAGGATGACAACAGACTCTCTGCTTTATGGACATTGAAAGACGCTACCTTTCACCTGGTGGACAAAATGGTGGAGCTGGACAAAGTTTCATCGAAGCACTTAGCGAATATTATGCTCAAATGTAGTTTGCTCCCAAGATACAAGGATCATACCCGCGAGGAAATCAGGTTTGATACCGAGATTCTTGAAAAGATGAAGAAAATGGGTCAGAGGATTGAAATTCTGGGAAATATTGTAGCAGTAAGTTTTATTTAGATCGAATATATCGTTTATGCGGTGGAATAATTTGTTTTGATAATTTCTAAAGGCGGAGAAAGATCCGGAAAAGAAGACGAAATTTGAGGACGATTTGAAAAAAGAAAAAGCCGAATTCGAAACGTTCACAGGGAAAGATGAAACATGTAAAGAGTTTTCTTTTATGGCGTTAGGGACGCTGCAGTTGATGAATCGTACCTACCGAAACGAAGGTCTTTCCCACGATATGGTAACCAATTTAGTTTGCATTTGATGGAATAATAATTCTATTTTTATGGATAATTGATTTACTTCTCTGCAGCTTCAGAAGATTGTCGCGACTTTAAAAACATACAACAGGCAAGTGAGCGAATACAATATCGAATGGTTAACCATGTCATCACGCCGTCGTCGGTCCCGTTGACAAGTCGACAAAGAAAAATATGTTACTTGCTCAGCATTCATATTTTAAATGGAAGGATTTTTCAAATATTCAGTTAGACAAGTACGGTACAATTAACTATTTCCAAGACTTAGCTTAGACTCGTATGCAGTGTAATTTAATACAATTTCTTCACATGGTACTGTATTAATTTAACCTTCGGTTACACTCCGGTAACTTTTGTAGTCATCGTTAACGAAAACATTGACCTTCAAAATAGTTTTAGTATTGCACAGGAATTTATTGATAGACATATTTATTAACCGTTGTATTTTCGCAATTTTTATTACACAGTTTACAGTACCAAATATAGTATTTAATAAATCTATGACTATTTAAGACAAAAATTGATGTGCGACATGTGTATGTACTACATCACTAAAAATATTTATTGATAGATATTTAGTTATGTTAAAATATTTCCGAGTTGCAGTTTTACCTTTTCACTTGTATTACTGAAACGGTTCGGCTTGTTCCATTTTTTAGAGCTCAAGGACTGGGAAAATGAGGAGTTAAATGATTAAACTTAAAATTAAGAAAGGGATGACCATGATTATTCCTATTTGGGTGGCAAATCGAAATTCCAAGTATTTTCCGAACCCGGAGAAGTTAGATTTAGTCCTCCTGTCCGCGTTCGTTTTAAAGCAATTCAAATTTCATTTGACTCCGAGCCGGTGTATGTCCCAGTTAGACATTTCTTTTCACCTCATGCACCCTTTACATACTTTGATGTGACGTTGCGTTAAAAACACGCATTAACATTACAAAAAATAGGACAAATGTAAATGCCAAACTTATGTATTCTTTGTTTCGGGAGACGCGATTATTTACTTCAAATGAATTTCTAGTCAATCACCAGTCATAGAATTGTCAATCTTTAATTTATCTATGTAAAATTGGTATTTCTCAAAGATCATCAATTTATTTAAGGAATATTTACTATTGCTTTCAGACTCTCCATCCACCCAAAAGAGCTTTGGATCAAGCAAGTCCGACGTCGAAAAACGGCGTCCAGGCACGACGTCCAAAAATTATGTTAGCCGAGAAGCCGAATTATCCTATTATTTAACACCAGTTGATTTTATTTTGGTGTAGAAGTCACTCAACTACCCAAATTCTTGCCATGAATTGAATAATTTGAACGCCAAAATAAAATAAACTGGTGTTAAATAATAGGATAATTCGGCTGACTCGGCTAACATAATTCTTGGACGTCGTGCCTGGACGCCTTTTTCGACGTCGGACTTGCTTGATCCAAAGCTCTTTTGGGTGGATGGAGAGTCTGAAAGCAATCGTAACTTAATATTTACAGAGTCTCAAATATTGTAGCTAGCTAAAAACTATGCACATGTCCCTGGAGCCCACGGAATAGGAGACAAATCTTCCAGCTTGAAGCCCCTCTTAAAATCAGTGGTAAAATGCTGGCCGAATTCGATATACTGAAAGGTATCGATATCCAAAAATTTAAACTGCACGCTCCCATATCCTAAGCCACCCGAAAAGTAAATCATCCAAACGTCCGTTTCCCATTTTGATAGGGAAAATGTTGCCGGGGCTACTTTAATCAGCCATCCCTCCACCATTCGTCCAAATTTCCAGTAAAGTTGTGGATTTCCGTTGGAGTTTGTTCTCAAAGTTATGTTAATCTCGCCTAGGAATTTGATCATATAAGTATTCAGAAATTTCAAGGTATTTGCGTATGTAAGTAAATAAGCAGTGTTTCGGATGCAAGTGACCACTAGGAAAAAATAACAAGAAAGTGTTCTCTTGATGGCGCATGCTTCTTGTGTTTTTTGCACCTTGCATTTCATGCGTTTTTTGATTTGCAGTGCAAGAAATGCATATAGCAAACACTAAAAAGTAAATAATTTACCGTTCCAACCGTTCCCGTAAACGCCCACGGCTTCTTCAAGAGTAATATTGACTGCTTTCTCATTTTGGGGAAGGTTGGTGACCTTTGTTTCCACAATTTTTTTAGGTTTCAAATAGGACACACCGCTTTCAAAACTATTTTGATTCGATGTGCTATTCTCCAATTTTTGGGGTGTTTCGATTCCTATCAGCATGAAATTATCATTGCAAATACAAAGAAATATGCTGAATAACAATAATTTGAACTTATTATTTTCCTTATTGCTTTACCTTGAAGAATATTAAAGAGAAAGGTGGGAACATCCGCAACTGCCATGATATCCCCACCACTAATCGTTGCATAGATGCCAATCCCCAAGTCAGGGTACATAAATAGATGTGTCTGAAAAGGTGGAAGGTTGCCCCCGTGCCCGATTCTTCTCCAACCTGGGAATTTACATTATGAAATTATTTAGTTTCCAAATAATCCAATGTTTAAGTTGTCTAACTAAATACGAATTTTACCATCTTGAATCCCCAAATACATACACAATCCGTACGCCACACTTATGTCGAGAACGTCGGGATCTTCTTCCGTTTTTGTGATACCGCTATAACTGGAACTGGATGGGACTGTAATCCACGCCATGACTTCCTACAATTGTACAGATATTTGTAAAAAAAATAATAAAATGCTTGCAAAAAACAGTGGCCGGGCAGGCGTGGGGACAGATATCTAATTATTTGATATCTTCGTCATCTGCCCATGTTATACAAAGTCCTCCTCCCCTATCCTACAATGTTGATATCTCCAAATGTCCCCACGGCTTACTCGGCCACTATCCAAAAAATAATTACACACCTCTGGAACAATTTGTCTATCGCCAAGTCTGCCCTTGTTCAAGTGCAGCTGCATATATTTCGTGATATCAATCGCAGTAGTTAACAATCCGCCGCCAGCATGCATAAATGCGATGGATCTTAAAAAAATGATTGATAAATATTTTTATTTCCGATGCAATTTTGTCTTTATTAAAACTTAAATACTTGAGTAGTTCCGGATTGTAGCGGGTAAGTTGACCTTCCATTAAGAAGTAGGGGACCGCCCGGTTCATCATGTTGTTATGATCATCAGTCATTTTGACCCATGTGGTACTAGTCATTCCCATGTCGGAGAGAAATTGCGATAACTGAAGATAAATAGAGGGATTAGAGAGTTACATATGTAACTTTTTGCAGATTATTTGTTAAATCTTACCAAACTTTCGTATGTGGTATTTGCCATATGACCCAAAATATCGGCCGCCATGCCTATCATGCCATTGTTATAGTCGAAGGTAGATCTAAAACCGCACTCTTCAGGGGCATAACGGTACCTACTATAAACAAAAGTACAACTTAACCAAAATTGAAAAAAATAATGGGGGTATTCGCAATTGCCTTCGTATCGTAAAGTAGTTTACGAAGAAAAAACAAGGGGTAAAGCTTCATAAAAATCGTAAGCTTAGTAACGTGATTTTTGATGGCAAAATCGTACGACGCTCACTCATAAAATCTGGTAACCTTCGTAGCTCATTTTATGATGCGAAGAATACAAAGGAATAATGAATTCCATCAATATTTTTATTAATTTAAACTTACTAATAGACATCATCTTTATCTTCATACGACTGCGCCACCATGCCCGAAATTTCCTGCATCAGGCACAACTTGTGCGCCAGGATATCGCGAAACGTCGTCTTCTCAGATCTATATCGGTCAATCAGAGTAAAGTTGTAGGATGGCGATAACTCCCGGATCGGTGTGTCCAGCACGGCTTCTCCAAGATCTGGAAACAGTTCGTGTAATGTTTTCGCAATTACGACAGCCGTTACGGATTTCGACGCGGATCCGATGGCAAACAGGGTGTGGGCATTTGCTTCAAGTCCGTTTTCTTTGTCCCGCATCCCGTACCCATTCGCGTACAGGATTTCGCCGTCATTCTTAACGATTGAGAGTGACACGGCAGCCAACCGTTGACTTTCAAGGCTTTGCCGAATCTTGGCGTCGATCTCGGCTTGCATTTCGGGTGGGATGACGTTCTGGCTGCGGCAGACTGATGCGAAGGACATTATTGTCAAGGAAAATATGAGACTAAAAATTTGCATGGTTGCAATTTTATTTTATAAATATCTAATGTGCGAAATATGTATTGATTGTTTCTCAAAGCTTATCCGACTCGTAAGACTGGCTCGATAATACTGGAAATTAGGTGGGCAAGATGTCCATTTTTATATGCAGAGATTTTCTACGATTGCATAGGTACAACCATCCATTAATTAATTGGACTGGATAAGCTCTTTAAGATAACGCGATGTAGGATGTGACGTAACAGCGTGCCGGTATCGTGTATGTAGCATGACTGTTTCACAATACGATCGTTGGGCAATTCCAGCCGAAAGTTGTTTGAATGAGTGTAATTTTGTAATTTGCCAAGGAGTGAATGGGCCGTTTTTTGCGCTACTTCATTCAGTAATGACGTCCCTAATCTAATTTGAGGTACATTTATTTATTTATTACATTAATTGTATTCAGTTTACAAGGTACGTCATAAAACGTGATGGTATAATTAGTTATCTAAATATGTATACGAATTAAGTGCTATATTGTAAATTGATGTCAATTGTTTAGACAAGTGTTGGCTGAGTCATTCATTAAGTTTTTGGCTGAATAATGTGCGTGGCGATAAACTGGTCATTATGTTTTGCAATTAATTATCTGGATGTGGATTTGTGTTGTGATTATGCATTCTGCTTCATTGTTCCTGAACAATAAAAAATAAGTTTCTGATAGGACGTATTGAAATCTTTAGGAAAGGTTAAAAATTCAGCCCTTGGTCAAGGTAACGTGTCGAGGGAAGCGAGGTGTAAACATGTTTCGCCCCTTCGTGTTTGGCTTGTGGTAACCTGCGATATAAAAGGTATTAACGTTGGAATATACTTACACTTGTAGCAGTTGTAGCAAATAGATTACAAATGAAATGAGTTTTGTTTCCAATTTTAATAAATAGGCATTTATTGCTTGCATATTTTATGCTCAAAATTACCTTTACATCCTTAATCTTAACCACTACCACAATAGGATTATTAATATTAAATGCAAATCGCAAAGGCAAAAATAATATATGTTCCATAATTCCAAATAATATACATATATCCAGACCAGGAAACATTTACATCCTCAAATTCAGCTAGTTTCTCCTCTAGAACACCCCTGCTGTTTGACAACGGCATTTATAATTCCACCCCCACCCAAATCCAGCCCCACCCCCACCTAAATCCACCGCCCAAATCCACGGTATTGTTCCAGATACAGGAAAAATGACGAAATCAAATTATTTCTATACAATAATATTCGTCTCGTATTGCACTGCAAATTTAGCCTTTATAAAACCTGCGGCCGCACTGGGCAACATAAATTTGCCATCTGTTCTATCGCCCCATACTCCTTGTCGATATCACCTCGTCTTCAACAATATTTCCACCTCAGATCTGCCAACCACCCGTAATATCCCTGTTACATTGACCAAACGAAGTTTTCCGTACGATTTTCTTCCGTCCCCCACGCAAACCAATGTCCCCTCACAACTTTATATTCTCCAAAACAGAGGCTGGCTTTGCGAAATCACCCAATCGTGTGGATCGTTACGGTTATCACGCTTTTCGTATCAACTTGCCTCCTTTCTTTAGGATTTTACCTTTTGAACAAACAATTCTATCCGCTCAAACTATTCTTGTACTTTTTCGGTCTCCTGATCGATGAGGTGCACAGCCTCCCGAAAAAATTGCACACTTTTCTACCCTTTCGACTCCTAAGCGCTCCCTGGCTCCTCGTCGGCATGTTACTAAGCACGTTCTACCTGAGTATTTTCATAACCAATTTAAACTCACCCCTACCTGGGGAACGGGGAGACACGTATGACAAAGTTTCTTGCCGGGAGAAACCACAAAGGAAGGTAAATGCCTCTATGGTCTGGGGCAAACGAATAGCAATGGTTGATACGGACAACGACAGCAACGCAAGCTTTAGAATTCGCCCGATTGTGAAGGATCTGGGAGGATTCTGCTATACGATTTTGTCTCAATTCGTACCAACATGGGGAAGAAAGAATTCCCTGAGAAATTATAAATTCACCGAGTACTTTTATCACAATCTTTTTATTTTTGTTGATTATTCTCGATATCCACCACAAATATTGCGATTAGTTTATTCCATGCTTAATCCAAGGATTCGCTGGTATCCGGAGAACTTGAGACTTTTATACGATAAGGCAACCAAAAACGGGATAAATCGGATGATTGAGGAGGAACTATTGCAGTGTGACAGATCCGCTTATGCCGGATCAATGAGTGAGGTGGACACCTACTTTGAATATCTGAAGAGAAATTATCCCGATAAAAAATGGTATCGCGGAGAGAAAACAATTTTTGAAAGGCCGGTCGGATTTAGGCTTATAGTTTGGCGGGAATCACGCATGCTGGCAGCATGCGTGATTCCCGCCAAAGCATTATGCTGCAATATCTTAAGACGTTTTTGACTTCAGGGATTTACAACTTCGTGGCTCGACAGGTTAGCCTGAACGCGACAATAATTCGCGAAAGGGAGGCCAACTTGAGAAATATTATGAAATTTCGCTATAAAACGACCTCATTTCAAGTGGTCAGGCTAGGCGACAGCATTCAAACGGTTTTCATTGTACTTATCACGTGTCTTGCGGCATGTTTCTGCCTGTCAGTCATGGAGTATATGAAATATAATAGGGTAAATGTCGTGAATGGGGTTAGATTAATTTGGGCACGATTTATTAAAACTTTAGTGCAATTCAAGCGTCACGACAATATCCGCCGAAGAATTAAAGGACGACCGAATCTTAAGTTGATGGGCGGATAATTACGGCAACTCAGAATTGATCACATTCCATGTTAGGGTTCGCACGTGTGATGGATAATAAGCCATAAAATTTTCATAAATAACATTGTGCAAAATTTACAATGGATAAATTTTGTGTCATCCCCAATTTCACCCAACTTTGAGTAAGTTTTACAAAGCTTTACTTAAAGTGTACGTAATAAGTAATTGTAATAGTCGTTTAATGTTTTATTTATGGAAACGTAAAAGGACTAGATTTTAGCATTAGATTCTTTTAAAACTCAGAAATTTGAATAAAAGACATCGGCATGAAAGTCTGATGCATAACAATAGCTTTTGCAAAAACTTCTAATCAGATTTCAGCAAAGTTCAAATCTATTGAATCGATACAATTGATTCTTATTATTCAGGTCGTGTAGATAGTTAAGTTCATATTTTAATAGTTTTTGATTACTACTTACTGAAATATCCATAATTATTTCCACTCACGGGTTATAAAACATCTGTAAATGCGATGCTGGTGATATGCAAATGCTTAGGATTAGTCTGCAGCTGAATAAAAAGAAATTGGTGTGCAAAACTTTCTTATTCAGATTCAGACAGTGGAAAAGTTGTTGTTTAAAGGGTTGTACGGTAGAAAGACACGATTCAAGAAGTATAGAGTAATCCTTTAAATTTTGAATTGAATTGCAGTTTCCATTAAAACTCTGAACCAAATAATTAACAGCCGAAATAAGCAAAAATGCTAATTTTAATGGTTTTTATAATAAACTGTTTGATGAAAGCAACTGTTTCGAGACAAAGTGAAGTTAATATTTTCGAAATTTTAAAAACTGTTCAACATTGTGATGTGAGCATTCTACACGATGGGTTACAAAGTGAAAATTTCCAGGATGATCAAAATATTTTTCCGAAGACATTAATTTTTACTCCAAACTTTTACCACCACCGATTTATACTTCATCCAAATAGAACGCTATTTCCGTTTACAATGAACATTGGAAATGGTAAAGTTTCTTCGTGCAGGTTGTCAATTGTGAAGACTTCTCAAAATTTTGAGATTCCCCTGAACCTAACACTATCTCGAAATATTTTACACTTTGCGACAGAAAAGCATTTGCATTTCGGTCATGGAAGATCCGCTGGGTGGGTAAGGTCGACAAAGAACGTTTGGGTATTTCTGGTAACAAAATATTCCAGAAAAGAGTTGGCAGGGCTAAAAAATTTCTACAAATTTGCAAATTCTGTGTATGTTGAAAATTTCGCAATTTGGTTCAAACTTGATAATAATGACAAGATTCAAACCTGTTTAATCCAACAGGAAGCAGTGTTCAACATTTCAGAAGCGAGTTGTACCACAGAAAACGATGTGAATACTATTCAAAATTTGAGACAACCGCCAAAACGTTTCTACACTAGGCTTGACACTTTACGAAACGTTGGACATGTCATTTGCTACGAGACTGACTGCATTGACGTCAACCTAGTGAAAATAGTGTTCAGAAAAGCTAATGCGACTCTAATTTATGTATCGAGATACTCCTTACTATCACCAATCCTATCGAAAGGCGAGTTAACAGGATTTTTTTCGCTAAAGAATCAATTCGTTCAAACAGAATTTGGTGGTTTTGAATTTTTTACGTGTTACTCCAAAAAATCTATCACGTTTCATTTCTACATTACGCCATTCCAACCGTGGGTTTGGTTTGGGGTGGCGGCATCTACCGCAGTGGTGATAGGTGTTATCAAACTGAGTGAGACAATTGAGGGGATAAGTGAGACATTTTCTCCATGGTTATTCCTGCTTGGAACACTATTAGAGGAATGCAGTCCGATCCCTGCCAAGTTAAAGAAATCGACCAGTTTTCGATTGGTTGTCGGTGTTTGGGGAATTATGGCGATATTCTTGACCAACGTTTACAACGGGTTGATGATCTCAGAATTAAATGCTCCTTTGGCTGGAAGTGTGATCGATACTTTTAACGAAATTGACGGAATCGATAACATCATTACTGAGGAAAAGCTGATATCCCTGGATACATACGCTGAGCTGCTTATGGATATATTTTTTAAAAGGAATGTCTCTAGTGCGACTCGAAAGATAAGCCCGGTGCCAACTTATTTTAGACTCTTGTCGTCCCCAGAAAGAGGAAAAGATATGAGCAAACCAGACTTTATCTTTTTGGGCTACTTGACACATTGGTACTTATTTTTTAGGGGATTTGGTAGGTACAAGGGAATCCCGAAGTTGATAACGAGGCATGATTTGGTCAGGTTAGCATTGCTAAGTCCGAACCATGCACATTGGCCGGAACGTATGAAAATAGGTGTTCATAGATATTCGGAAGACGAAGCCAGGCGTTTGGTAGAAAAAGAGGTAATCCAATGTGGAAAAAGTGTGCTTTTTCAGGAGTCTTCGATTATTCAAGAAGAATTGGCGTACTATCGAAAATTTTACTACTGGATCAAGTTCCAGCGCGGGAAGGAAACTTTAGGTGGGAGAGGAGAGGGTTGGATTTTTGAGAGGGAGGGTATTTCAAAAATCCCGCAGTATTTCCGATTCTTGGTGGAAACTGGGATATATGGCGAATTAAGGAAGGCTGGAATGAAACGAAAATTTGAATACCGAATACCATTGATGGATCAAAATCTGGAAACCAAGTCTACGGTCAGCGTAGGTATTAATGGGGGGATTGTGACGCTATTTATTTTGTGGGGGAGCTTGTTAGGAATATCATTGTTAGAACTTTTGGGTGAATTATGCATGAGCGAGCGGTTACCGGAGAAATCCTTGATACCTATTTAATGATGTAATGTAATAAAACATGTAAATATGTAAATATACTTATGTAAAGCCAGTGTACAAACTACTGTAATATTTTGGAATTAAGAATTATGCACGTTATTGAGCAATAATCATCTAAATAATTGCTTATGTAATAGATTTTTATAAGGAATATCTATGACTTTTACCATTATATGATTCTGACGATTTTCACATATTACAACTTAACGTTCAAATTCATGGGAATTATTAACTAGATTACCTGTTTTAAGTCACGTCGCTTAGAAAATACTTACATCACTAAATTATAATTTCATGTAAATTTTAAACAATTATTATTTTTCGATGGATGTCTAATTATGTAATCAATAAACAACTACATATGTAGATACATACATGAGCTTAGAAAAATGACTTACGTTGTATTTACTCAACCACAATATCTGTCACATATATGTAAATATATCGTCGGACTAATTCTAAAACCACGTAAGTGCACTCGCGTCGTAATTCTAAAACCACCTAAGTGCAGTTAATGTTTAAACTATAAAACCACGTAAGTGTACAGCAAAAAACAAGGAAAATAACCTAACTGCAATTAAAAATAATATGCAGTTAATGTTCATATTTAGGTTTATATTATGATCTTGCATTAATAATTAACTGCGTGTGATTTTGTAATTGTAGTTAGGTTATTTTCCTTGTTTTTTGTTGTGCACTTACGTGGTTTTAGAATTACGAAGCGAGTGCACTTACGTGGTTTTAGAATTAGTCCGACGATATGTAAATGTAAAAGTAAGTAGGGGGTGCCCCGAGTACCGAGTAGTTACCCGGCATACCCGACCTATTCTGGGATACCCGGTACCCGGCCGGGGATACTTAACTACCCGGTCTACCCGGCCGAGTAATTTAAATATTCAATTTTCTTACTTGAAATGCAAAACCCTACAAAAAATTTTACAATTAAAAATTACAATCTTTATTATCGGAATAAAACTTTCTTTTTACTCGAAAGAATTGAATTCTTTAAATGGCGATTTCTCCCCCGATTGGAACATGAGTTTTTGATTTATTTATCATTCATGACAAAACGTCGCTTTAATCATTACCCAAAAATAAAGCCTCTGTCATCTGTAGGTGACCATTTGTCTCGAAATTATTTAGAGTGCGGTTGTGTGGTACAAGCGTGCTTGGTGTCATACGGATGTATGTATGTATATATGTATGTACGTATGCGTTTTCCACCCGTTTTTATGTTCGTATGTATGAATATCTATCCAGCAAAATAATGTTATCTTATTCCGCTTTCTTCGGGGTTTCCCATTGTGTATTCCCATTTAAAAAGCTGCATCAAATGACGTACATATGCAATACATATTTAATTGAATAAGCAATATCTTAAGAGTAAGATAGATAGCCGAACCCCCTCTTCCAAAACCAACTGTTCCCTGCGTGCCTTCATTCTCTGAAAGGAAGATGCTTCCAGTGATGAATAATGATTCATCTCGCCACCATTTTTAAGGCTGGACAAAAGTTACGAAATTGTCGTGGAGGACGTAAACTTTCGTCGTAATTTCGTTTTACGGAGGAAATTTTGTTCGGAAATTATCTATTAGATTTTGAACAAAAAATACTTATTTTGCAGTTTTGGAAAACGGTGGTAAGTTCTTTTTTTAGTTTACTTTATATTATGCACATTTTAATTAGAAATTAGTCGTAAAAAATTAAAAAACAATTATTAAAAAACAATTATCAAAAAACCAAATTAAAATTATAAAACGATTCGCTTTACGAACATCTTCCAGCAACTCGGAAAGTTTAAACTAAATACATATAAGTTTCTGCATACAAGAGAGGCATGGCTAGTGGTTAAATGAATTTCTAATTAGCATAAGAATCGTCGAAAATAGTCAAAATCAGCACTTTTAAAAATAATTTCTCAACTCAAATTTATTTTAAAATTCTGGACGACAAATTCGTAGAGCAGGTCGTGCCAATTTTTTTCAAATACACACCCAAGATGTTGACACTTTTGGAAGGAGATCTCAAGTTTAAGAAGCCTTCAGAAAAATTGGAGCTCATCGAAAGTATCGAAACTGGACTAGAAAACGCATTGCCATTCGATTACTTACTTACAGTCCTACGTTAAGCATAGATACATAGTGATACATACACATATTTAGGGCCAACTCATTGCAAAATTCATTGGCTGGTAGAAACATTTTTGGACATGCACTTTCCACCCGTTTTTATGTGAATATCTCTCCAGCCAAACCACATCTTCTCATTCCATCCTCTCTTTGGGGCTTCTCATGTGATAAGCCTCATTAGATGACTCATACATACATACATAAGTAGTTACGTAATAAGGTTATAAGACTATGTTTATTTAGCCGAACCCTTTAGCAACCATCCCGTCCTTGCGTGTCTTCATTTCTGGAAGGAAAATTTGTTCCGGTGATGATTCATCTCGCCACCATTTTTAAGGCTGGGCAAAAATTAAGCAATCGTATGTGAAGGACGGAAACTTTTCAGGTTCTTTAACGGAGAAAATCATTCCTTGAAATTTATTGGATTTTAAAGGATAAATACTAATTTTTTCGGTTTTGGTAAACGGAAGTAAGTCAGTTAATTTTTGTACTTTATAATACCTTGCATATTTTAATTAGAAAATATTTAGTTGTAAAAACTTGAACCAAATTAAATGATTTATAACATGAATGCCGAACTTCGTTAATATTTTTTAAATGTATAAACTATTAAAAGCTTTTAAATTTTCCTTAAAATATTTGACATCATGGCGATTATTTAGGATTTTCTAAAATTAAGGGGAATCTAATTTCGCAATTTTATTGTTATATCTACATATGTACTTGTGTTTCTACCTATTTATTTTGCAAAAATATGGGAAAATTTGCGAGTAAAAATATATTACTTAGGGGACGTTCATAAATTATATAATACAAAAATCGCTTTACCCCCCTCCTCTCATTACCATGTCTAACATAGGCACATCATCAAATCATCAACACATCAAATCATTAGACCACGACGCCTCGCTTCCCCCTCCCGCATTAAGTAATTTATGGACGTCTCTTTACGCAATATTATTAGAGAAATTTTGCGAAAAAAATATCAGTGTGTACTTACAATAATCTGCATTAATTGGCAAAATAATAATACGAATTTAACAATAAGATAGAACTTATGAATTATGAGGAAGCAAAAAGTTTTGTGAGTCATGTCCTCAAGTTAGCGTCAGAATGAACTGTATCGAGAAAGCTGGAATGTAACGATATTTTGGGAACAAAAACAGGGATACTTTGTGTATGAAAACGTTAATTAACTCCGTGCTTGTTTTGTGTAGGTTTTCAAACGAAGCCAATGCTCAAGATGGCCGTGTGCTTGATGAAATCTATTTGCGGAGTGACAAGTAAACATTTTAATATATAGTATTGGATTTTCAGAATTATATAAAATCACTTCTATTCATCAATCTGAATTTTACATATATTTATTTAGAAATGTTATGGATATTTCTTCTCGTCTTGTCTCAAGTATCTGGACATCCTAAACCCTTCGTCATCACGAAGTCGTCATTTAGTAGCTCCCCCAAAATTGGCACCGGTATAAATGTCCGACAATCTCAGATTCCTACGTTTCACGGCCCACTTGTCAACAATCAAGGTTTCCTACTTACTTACCCCATCTGGCATAACAACCCCTCCTTGAATAACAACCGCTCCTTGAATACCTACTCCTCCTTGAGTACCTACCAATTTCTGAATTTCAACCACTCCCGACAGATGAATCCCTTCCCGCTAAGTAGCTACTTCAAGTCTATGAATCGCCCCCCAACAACTACATCCTCCACAACTAATAGAAACCTCCCAATTACTAAATACGACTGGGCACCTAAATTCTACCCCACTACTAAACCATGTCAGCCTACTTATCCCTTATCGCTTGATAACCTATGCCCGCAGATCGTATACGCCCTCGCTGCAAATGGCATTACGCTTCCTACAACTTCTTCCAAACCTGACGACGACGTCTTGCAAAGGTCTTCGAATGATTCAAATACTTTGAATGGAAGGAATGATTTTGCTACTAAAAATCTGACCTCGCTTTCCAACGGTGCCATCTCGGTGACCTGTTGGAAACGATTCTGTGTGTTTTGGGGGGCATTGCATTGGGCAATTGGAACTTGGTTCACCGACTAAACAGCGAGTTTCGATGGATAAGTATACACTAATTAATTAAAATATTTACGTGCCGGGAACAATTAATTGTTTACAAATTGCTTGAATTATTGCTTAGCTAAAATTTTCAAAAAATTGGGCTTGCTAAATATGTACAACATAAACATTTACTTGCTTGCACACAAGACTTGGGAAGCAAATGACATCATTCGAGAAAAAATTTGTAGTGTTTATGAAGATGCAGATCTTAGAAAACTTAGAAAATGAGTAGATAATTCATTATTAATATAATAGCAATAAGTAGCAAAGTATGCCGGTATAATTTCATGAGTTTAATGAGCTTACACTGGGAATTTGTTATATTTAATATTTATGTTTATCTACCTGTGCTCATATCCGACGTAATTATTAAACTAATGCTTGAGTTTTTTTTTCCTTGGAAATAAATGTAATTGATGGTAGAATTGCATGTATTTTTATATGTGCGTGTGTGTATGTATTAAAAATTCAACAAATTACAAAACCGGGGCCAGAATTCGAGTCAGACCAAATTCTAGTCTCAAATAAATTTATAAATTATTTCCAGTCATACGTGACCAAATTTTAACGAGTTTGAGACAAAACTCAAAAAATAATTCGAACGTTTTGGCATTTATTTCGAAAACTGACTAAGGCCACCCCCCCCCCCCCCAATATTATTTCATGTACACAAAATTAGGCAAATTTTAAGCCATCAAACATGCAAATAGTTAGAGCGCGAAAAAAACGCTATTATATTGTATACATCTATCTTAATAACAGTGTAATAAATTGGAAAAACATACAAAAGTTATAATTTGTAATGTGTATGTACATACAGAATCTGTTTTTACAGATTCTTTCAAATGAAATTCATGCTTATCTGCATTCTGTATTTTCATCATGATCATTTCATGAATCCTGAATCAATCGAAACCTACAAAATCAATGTGGATTCCACAATTCTTCATGTATGTCACACATACCCTGTCACTGGATTATTTTACAATCATGAATTACTACAGTATTTACACTCAAATTAAGCCGTTGAATTAATGTACATACTTACATAAGTGTTACAGTGGTTGAAATCCAAAACCCAAGTGCGACAGCAAACTGACCGTGAACTATGGAAATCTACCCCCATTTGAGAATGCCAGTACGAATACGCACAACAAACGTATGCCTCATTTGAATCCAATTTGGTCAATTAATGGTCATTAATTCTGATTTATTTTAAGTGCAGACAAGACGACTTGCTGTATTTAGATATTTAGTGTCCTCTTCTATTTACTTTGACGAGTTCATATCACTCTTAATATTTGTCCAGCTGGGTGAAGATGTGATAATTTTTTCTGAATAAAAATATTTGAATTTCACCAATTTCTAAAAACCTAAATTACGCTTTGCATTTTTGTTGAAAATAAATTTGGATCGAAAATGGAAGCGGTTGAAATAGCAAATACTGCAATTAATGGGACTCCCCCAGATCTCTTTGGTTATCTCGATTATTTGGTGTTTACCGCAATATTACTAATATCTGGAGCGATTGGTTTGTTTTATTGGTGCTTGGGTGAGCAATCGACAAAGGATTTTCTAATGGGTGGGAGAAAAATGGGAAGATTCCCAGTTGCAGTATCACTTTTGGCAGGTACCAACTTGTTTATTTGAATAATGGGCATACTCACGACACCGACAACCGTTATTTTCGATCTTAACAAATTTAAATAATAATTGCGAAATAATCGTGTGAGAAAATAGCATTTCTGTTTGCTAGCTATATTTGATAACAAGCATCTTTGTGAAACCTCGCAAATTTCTAAAAATTTCACAAGTCATTGATACACTTAATTGAGAAAGGAAATTTGCTGAAGTTAGAAATGAGTATGTACCCCCAACGAATATTTATTTTAACATAACTTTGAAATGTAATCCATTTTATTATTGACACTCTTTGCAGCATTTTGTTCGCCGGTAGCACTACTAGGAATTCCAGCAGAAATATATTCAAATGGTAAAACTAAGCGATGCGTTTTTTATATGTATTTATTACATATATGCATATTTGAATACTTGTAATTTTAGGCACGCTTTACGCCCTCACTGTCCCATCCTATATTTTAGTTGCAATTGTGACAGCATATTTTTACCAACCGGTATTTTATAATTTGCAATTAACTTCAGTAAATGAGGTGAGACTAGAAAACACTCCAATTCACGGAGCCCCTCGTAACATTGTAATGAATATCTTTGAGTTTTTTTATCATGCCTTCCGAACTTGTACATCTTGAACTGTGTACATAAGCTGGCAAAAATTGTACACATATGTATGCACGTTTTAGTCGGAAACTTTGGAAGATGTAAAAACTTGTAAGGGATGGATTTTATTTTGTAGTGCTTTTTATATTACGAAGGGCTACGTGAATTTTCCAATATAATGTGGCAAGTATTTATGAATAAAATTGGTAATTCATGTGTAATGCCTACATTTGTAGTACTTGGAGTTAAGGTTTTCCAAACCGGTCAGGATTTTCGCATCTGCAATATTTTCTGTACAAATGGTATGTTAACTGAATAGATATGTAAGTACAGTCCTAGCTTACATACATTCTTAAACAAATTTGATGAAAATAATTACAGGTAACTTACATGGCGACTGTGGTATATGTTCCTGCCTGGGCGTTAAGTGAAGGTAAGCAAAATCATGCAGATTTTCAGTCGAGTTTACGTACTTAATAAAACACTTTTGGATGGTTTCAGTTACTGGGATATATTTTTATTTTTGCGTTGCGGCTATTTTTTCCATTGTCGTTGTCTACACTGTTATGGTAACTTTTTTGTGCATTGTATGCATTTATTAATTGGATGAAACCCTTATTCTGTGCGTACTTTTAGGGGGGAATAAAGTCCGTAGTTTGGACAAACGTTGTGCAAATGGGGGTCGTGTAAGCATCTCATTATTTGGGCAGTTTGGTTGATAAATTATTTAAGGAATATTTCTAATCCAGTTTTGCAGTTATGATTGCCATTGTTGTCAAAGGTTTCATAGATTTCGATGGAGGATTTGGTAAAATTTGGAACATAGCGGAGGAAAATGGACGAGTTGAATATTTTAAGTGAGTATGTAAATGATCTCTTAATTACTTTGTTTTAATCTACCTATAAAAACACGGTGTAAAATGAAATTTCTTAAAAATTGGGTATTTTATTAACCTATTTAATTATAGCTCCATTAAGTTTCTTGTTTCGTCCTAGTTTTGGTCTTGATCCGAGAACACGACACAGCATTTGGGGGCTTTGGATTGGAGCATTCTTCATGTGGTTGTCGATCTTTGGGGTCAATCAAGTTCAGGTGTAATATATAATTTCATGATTTCTAAAAACATGGATAGCTTTATTTCAGTGCAATGTTGTATATAATTTATATTTCCCTAAAAACCACATTAATTAATTTGGCAATTCACGCCGTCTTTGGTCACATTTTTAACATCATAAATTGGTAAATTTATTAATGTTAAAAAAATGTGAGAACAACTTCCATAGAAGTTCAACTCCAACTCCTTTGCGCTCGCGCAGATCAAGCATATCTTTTTATTTTGTAAACGTTACCGAATTTAAAGTGTTATCAGGGACTGCGTGCATTACCTTCGTTTAAAAAAACTTACAGGTTCAACGGTATTTAACACTTCCTAACATTGGGATGGCGAAATGGTACTTAATTATCAGTTAATTGAAACCTTTCATCTTAATTTAACTCGTCTGGATGTGTAAATGTTCGAAAATTCTATGTCATAGTGCAATCTTAGCCAACTCACTCGGGTTTGTCGTCATATTAGCGGTAACCTGTTTAGCAGGATTACTTATCAATTCAAAATACTCGGAATGCGACCCTATTGAGTCAAAAGTACTTATACATACCTATATTAAAAGTTCCATATTACATTAAAAACTTTGGATATCAAAATTTAATATGTTAGAAACGGTTACTTTTTACAGAGGGTTAAAACTACAGACCAACTCCTACCAATATTTATAATCGATACTTTTGGAGAAAAACCTGGATTTCTGGGACTTTTTGTAGCTGCCATATTTTCAGGAGCGTTAAGGTAAAAAAAATTAATCGTGGCCCCATTCATAAGAATTACAAATTGCGAACATCTTGGCAAAAAATACTTTCTCAGACTGAGATTTTCACAAGATTCAAATAATTCACTGGTAGCAAATTATTTTGATATGCTAAATTTGCTACCTATGCAAATCTTACCACGTTTTCGCCTTATATGTACATAAATATTGCAATCCTTATTTTCAGCATAGTTTCCAGCGGATTACACAGCCTTGCCACTACCACTCTGGAAGATTACGTGAAATATTTTCACCCCATTATCCACGATCAAACGGCAACAAAAGCAGTCAAAATCTCTGTCCTCGTATACGGCCTACTTTCCCTCGGCCTGGTGATCGTGGCTGATCAATCCGGCGGAATTTCTCACCTTTCGTTAAATATTCTCGGAATCATTGGTGGTCCTCTGCTTGGCGTTTTCACGTTAGGAATGTTCTTTCCATGGTGTAATTCAATAGGGGCGTCCTTTGGCATGTTAGCATCGCTCGGGATCATGTCCTGGTTGGGAATCGGGACAAGTTTGGCGACAAGTAGGGGGCAATTGGTTAAAAGCAGTCTAGACGTTAGGTGAGTGTATAATTTTGATAAATTAAATTAAATTTCCGTGCTAAAATTTGGATTTTACATAAAATGTGATTTAATGAGGCAACTAACGCAGTTATCGGTAACTTCCTAAAATCTGTAATTTTGTCAAATAATCCCACAAATACACAGACGCCCTTGATCTGAGTAAGTTTCTAAAAACTAAATGGGTTAATTTTTCTCAGAAATATTTATAAAATTTACGAATTTGCGGATTTTACAATGTTACCAGTAACTGTGTGAATTGCCTCACCATTAATTTTGCTAAATGTTTGTTTTATGCCTAATTTAGTGTTGAGGAATGCACATACGGATATTTTACAGTACCACATGAAACTATCCGAATTTCGGAAAGGTATTCGATTTCTTTTCTTTCAAACAATGTAACCAATTGTACTGTTTTTTTGTGATATACGGCAGTGGTGGAATACTAGAATTTTATAAGATTTCCTATCTTTGGTATTCGCTCATGGGGACCGTAATTGCAATTGTGGTTGGACTGCTGATTAGTTTTCTGAGTGGAAAACAAGACCCAAGCAAACTAGAGCGAAACCTCATTAGCCCACCGGTCGATAAATTTGTTAAGAATTATATCTCGTCAAATATACGAGCTAGAATTGGATGGGATTTGGGAAGCCATGTAGTAAGTGAACTATTTTAATTTCGCAAAAAATGTAGCAAATATTAATTATATGTGAACCCCCAAAAGATTATAATGATTTAAAGCATCTGCTCGATTTTCGGAAAATTTTGACCTCGCGTTGATCTTTACAAATAATGACTTTTATGGATGCCACGACCCCCAAATCGATCGCATCACATATGCTTTTAAAACCAGTTAACAAAAACGTATTTATGTGTGCAGGAGGACCATGCAAATTATGAAAGAAATACCACATATGGAAAACTTGTCGTTTATAAGGGGACAAAGGAACTTCAACAAGTGCAAGCGTCGTAAATATTGCATAATTTTAATATCGACTAATATTATTTAAATAGTATACATTAATATTACGTAAATATAATACATACTAATTGGATTACTATGCATAAAGCAAAATTGTACAAATATAAGTTTATGCCTTTTATTTATTCTCACTTTTACTCTTTATCCTCACTTTGCATACTTATTATAATTTAGGATGTGCAAAAAAGTGAACTTAAAACCTAATCATTTGTTTAATTTTCTTGTATATACCTATGCATGTTTGTATTCGTATATATGCATACACATTCAAGGGAAATCCTTGTACAAAATATCAAAATTCTTGCAATAAAGTACAATTTACTTCGTCAATAAAGTTGCAATGACTAAATCAAAATTAAACTCGTTGGACTAATTGCACCCAAAATCTCTTGAGATTAGCCAACCTTACTAAACAATTAGTATATTATATTATTGAATTAGTTAAGTACATACATACATACATATGGATACATTACGGTTACCAAACAAAATCATGGAGAGTTGGTATGGCACAAGGAACCGCAATTTGCGTCATTCATACCTATCAAACAATTGCCGCATCCAGTATTCTCCAGGTTTGTGACAAAGGAAATTATGTATATATGTACATGCATAAATATGTTATTGGGTGTAAATAAATGGTATTTCTTTGCCAAAAAAACGAATGGTTCAATTCAAGTAACTGTTTCACCAGTCTATTTACATTTGCATGTTTTTAAAATGTGTGCAAAAAATAAATAAATTCTGGTATCAAAGCTAACCTTCACTTAATCTTGTGAAGTCATTGTTCAAACCAGGTCCCACCGATATCATGAGATTCGTTATATTTTTAATATTCCTTGGACTCTGCGGTTTTGGTGCGTCTTTATCAAACCGTCAATCCAAAATGTATTTCACGGGTAAGCTAACACTTCATTCCATCTAAAATCTAAGAATATATAGATTAAATAATATTTTAATTTCTCCAAATTTTACCTACACAGTTCCATTGCCGGTTCCACCTACCACAACTGCATGCCCAGTTTGTGCCAGATGCCCGGTTTGCCCTGCACCTACGACATGTCCTACAACCACGACAACGACAACTACGACGACACCAGTCCCAGATTTTAGTGGGTACGGGCCACCTTAAATTGGCGTGTATAAATTTCTCTGCTTCACGTCAAAATTAATTATTTTCAGCCTCTAATCAAATAAATTTTGAAATTTTAACTGCAAATTTGAGTCTATGTTTGTCATGCAGCTATTTATTTAGTACTAGTAAATAATTAAATTGCTGTATCAAAAAATACATTAACTCACACATACGTATTTAAAATCGAATAAATATATTTCTTCAACATTAAAACTACATAAATATCCACATATTTATGTATTTACAAATGTACTTGGTTCTGAAATTATTTGCCTACCAACTAAAAATCGTCAATATGTATGATATGCTGGGCGAACTCGAGTTTTACATGTGACATGTGAACAAATTTACGATGCTCGACAAATTGACGTCGTGAGGGGATTCGCAAATCTCGCAAGCCTACGAGAGGAATACAAATAAGTACTTGCCCATTTTGAGAAAACAAAAACAGAATTACAAAAAATAGGACTAAGAAAACGTTCTCGTTTTTTCATGGAAAGTATGGATACCGTTATTCATTTTGTATAATGTATACTCATATCCAAAATTACGGAAAAATGATGTACATGTTTTTTCAATTAATTATCGAATTTGTAAAGACCTGATGAAGGAATAAGCATTCCGAAAGCTAGTGTCATATTTACAATAAATAATATGTCCTCAGAATCCATGAATTATTCTTCAAAAAAGTTCTATTTTAATTCAATTCAATATCAATCGAGAATGAAATATAAACAAATATGGAAAACAACTGGTAACATGTCACAAATTACAATAAAGGATGTCTTGTTTCAATACAAAGCTGATACAACCTTAGTAAGTACATACATCTTGACAAACTTAAACTAAACTCATCATTTCTTTTTGGAGGTGAAAGATGGGTCCCAACCAAGCCATGGCTTCCTGCACCCGCTCCACATTTGGAAACATTTCCAAAATCTGGGGGCCATGCAGTTGGATCGGAATTTCAAGATGAACCAGAGTCTCACAAACTTGAGCACCCGCTTCAATTGGGAAAAACGTTTCCGAGCAAACTTTCACTTGGTCGAAGCGATTTGGTGGAGGTAGCAACGTCAAAGATCGAAGTGATGGAAAATTGTGGGCATAGTTGAGATACTCATTTTCTCCCGCAGGGAAAGTGAGGATTAAGCCGTACATTTTCTGGGCTCGGAAACGTTCGTCGTTAAAGAAGGCTCCCTTACGCTGCTCCCAGATCACCTTGAGAACTTTGAGCTTCGGAAAGACTGGCATCGCAAGTCTCCTGGGCTCAACAATCCTATCTGGTATCGTGAATTCCAGCCTCTCCAACGTCTGGCAATGCTTCTCCAGTAATTTCTGATACAAGCTGATCGACCAGGCGTCGATGAACATGGTTTCAGTCAACACAAGCTTCTTTAGCGGTTTGTTTAAATTTCGGATCAGTAAGTCAAGCCAATTCCCAGTAATGAGGTTCAATTCAATTTCTTCCAAGTGAGGAAAATTGTCAAAATTTTCCAAAAGCGTGGTAGAAGTTGAAATAGAAAGACATTTGAGACGAAGGGCTCGCAATGATTTCATCCCAGAAATCAAGGATTGCCACCAAGTTGCGGGTAAGCATGAGCATCGACGGAGCCAAGATGGTAACGGAGACCGAGAATACTTCAAGTTTGGTTAGATCAGAGATGAGCGAAGGTGGGGAAGAATTTTCAGTAGTGGGAACGAATTGCCAGAAGCCAAATAATTCCAAGTGCTGGAGTGACCCTGCCAATTTCTCAATGAATTTGTGACAAACTTTATAATCGAATGGTGACTTCATGGTCCCACCCAGTTTTAGTTTCTTGATTTGGTGACTTTGCCCGAGAAATTGCTTCAACTCGGCTCGAAGTTGGGGGCTATTTATTCCAAATTCCGGAAATGTGAAGGACCAATTTTCCAGCGGGGGGAAGTTCTCCATTTCTCGGGTGTATCGAGAAAATTGGTCCAAACTGACGTGTTTTGACGAGGTTGTTTTGTAACAGAAGCGGAAATTTGCTGCGGCGCGTTTCTTAATATGTCGGATTGCTTCTTGATTCCAGTCGTAAGCTACAAGTCTAGCCACTTTCAATTCATGCAGATTCAGATGGGAGAGAATTTCTGACAAAATCTAAATAATAGGAGTAATAACTTTTTAAAATAAAGAATTTTGATGCATGTGCTTGAGGGATTAATTGGCAAAGGCTTACGAGTGGATTCTGTCCAGGCGTGAAAATACCGTTAAATTCCTGCTCTGACTCCCAATTTATTTACCGTAAACTTTAGACTTCCTGCCGGACATCCAGAATTCTGACCTTCTTCCACATTTTTCAGTGATAATTCGTCCCCATCCTTCAACTTGGTGGGTTCCTTTGATTCAACGTTGTTCAAAAAAAGTGGAATTTCCTAAAATAAAAAAGTCTGATGATATTTCCTTATGCTTTTTTGTAACATTTTGTAAACCATTTTTCTTACTCCCAATGGTGTCATCCAGAAATTGCCGTCCTTGCTAATTATTTCGCAAACGGGTGATCCTTGTGGTGTAGTTGGGTCGGACCAAAAGATGAATCTGCCGTACCTCCCTTGTGTTGGGAAAGTACTTCCGAGTGTATACTAGAAAAAAAACAATCGATAATTTAAATTGATAAGAAAATCCACTTAAATTCCTCATTTATTGGCGTGCAAAAAAATAATCAGTACTACTTTACGTCTGCTAATTTAATACCTTTTGACCCTCAATATTCCGTAGAACGGCGTATCTGTCCCAAACAAATTCGCCAGCAGGTCCCATGATTTTTGGTAATTTAGCACCAGCGGCGTAGCCAGGATTGGGTCCTGGGGGGGGGCCCAGCCAAAAAATATCTAAATTACCCTTTTTGGCTTAAAATTTCTACGCTCACTCACTTACACCGCTTTAACACAGGGTACATAGCTAAACATAGCTTAGCTTTTAGCGCGAAAAACCACTCAATATAGCACGCCAAATTCAATGCCTGACCTAATAACGCCTTAATCATTTCTTATGTAAATTGTGTGTATCCAATTCATCCCTGTGGTTTTTTTGGATGACAAAAAATTGGATCGCACATTAACGAGGGTCTGGAAATTCGGGTTAAAGATTTGTGGTACCAAGTGGCTTTAGAGCAAAGCGTGACACCTCAAATGGTATTTTTTTTAGTGACCAGTTAAAAAATCAACCTTGTGTTCCTTAGATATAGCATATGCCTGTGGTGCACTTAAAGGAAAATTTTACGAAAAAATCCGGGCAACATGAAAGCAGGCCCCGATTTTGGGGGGGGGGGGCAACCGGGGCAATTGCCCAGGGCGCCGAAAAGACAGGGGTGCCGCAAGGCGCCCGAGCGTACACTAGATAAGATTGGGTATCACCGTCCCCACTCTAGCGCGCCAGAAGAGTTTGTGAAAAGACTCGTTTTGATGTATATTCTTGTTTTATTTGCTGTAAAATCTCGCGGTAAAAAGGTTTCCATCTGGCCCACACAGTTTGCACTCACTTCCATTCAAAACCATATGTCTATAGTTTTAGGTTGTCATAAGTTTTGAATGGAAGTGGGTGCAAACTGTGTGGGCCAGATGGAAACCTTTTTACCGCGATATTTTATAGCAACTAAAACAAGAATAGCTTTGCATTTTTCACGGCCTTACGTTCGTCAATGAATCACACAGTAACAAGTTACCATACCATAGAAAGTTACATTGTCCTCGCTCTGGCACATTTTTAGCCCGAGTCAGGGCTTATGGAATAGTTTTGTCCGCCTGTCTCCAGGTTTATTTCTGTTCTACTCATCCGATCGACGTAAAATTTGGTATGCACTTAAAAATGTCAATAGAGGCTTATTATGGGAAATGTGCCATTCCGCGTTGCATCGATTTCACCAAATAAAATATAAAAATTAGGACGAAAACTTTCGGGCGCAACTTTTAATATAGTTTAGCTATTTTAAATTATATGTAACCAACCCCCCTTCAAAAAATGGAGGAAAGAAACTGGGAAAAATGAGAAACCCAATGTACATATATGTACCTTGGGTAACAAGAATTAGACCATAACTTGCATCATCATCATCTTGCATCATGCATCAAAAGTTGCAAAATTCGAAAATCGTTTTTTTACCTACACATAAATAATTAAAAAACTCACGGCTCCCGCACATTTATTTCTGACAACCTGATGCCAGAATTTTACCATTGAGAAGTGCTATAATTTCAGCATTTGTTGTCCGAAGGAAAATTGTGGGTACCAGGAGATTTTTGGGGTCCAAGTGGCTTATACGGCAAGAGCCGTGACAAAATACAGCCAATGAGAAATAGAGAAGCGAGTGAGACGTGATTCTACTACGCCCCTGACGCGCGATGGTGGTGGATACCTTCCGAGTCTCACTCGGCCTCTCGCTAAATATGGAAACGGGTTTCGTGGCACATTTCCCTCGATATTCCTAAATAGTCGTAGAGAGCTGAAATCTGGCATTTAAGTTAATAAAAGATATCATCCTCAGAGAATATGAACCAAATTTCGAAAACATTTTAAATAACTTTAGAGACCCCCTATGGTTACCCGAGTTTACTACGTCTACGACATTTACGACAAGTGGAAAAATATGAAGTGGAGTTGAGATAAAATTAATCATTTATAATTCAACACATTGACTCGGGCCATATGAGGCTCCACTGGGGGTTTTTAAGTTAATCTCACCCGTCGTAAGTCACGTCTTTACCAATTGGATAGTTCTTATGGACAGAATGGATTTTGCAATCGTAGTCGATGCACTTTATAAAACGTAATTTCTATTATTATTTTTACATACAATTCCACTTCACCAAAGTTAAAGAAAGTTGTATGAAACTGAATAATATGCATATACTTTATCTAATATTAGTATAAAAGCATAAAAAACTAATTTAGCAAGTTACAGAGGGTGTCCGCAGTTTATATGAACAGTATGAATTATCTTATAACTTCTGAACACGATGACTGTGAATTACTTTAACGATCTCAATGTGTTCTCCATTCTTCCTAGCAACAAGTCTGAGTCTTGGTTTCCAACTTCCAAACACATTTTGAGACGTTTCAGGGGAGACAAGATCCCATTCTTGATTTAGAACTTTCCAAAGCACAACCAAAGTTCATGACTTCCTCTTGAAAATGCTTTGTTTCAGGCATCCAAACCCGAAAAAATCCATCTGACCCGTGTCAGATTACTGAATATGGACCTCGGAATAAGATGTCGAGGTCATTCCGGTTCTTTCTTATAAATCTTGGGCGTAATGCTGAGTTAACCAACAGTATGTGAAGATCCCGCATCGTTATGGATGCAAACTTTGTAAAGCTCCTCAAATTGCTTCGTTCGAATTTTGACCTTCAAAAACGTCTGTAAAGCACTCTCCATAAAGTGCTTCGAGTTAATTTTTGCATTAAACCCAACAGGTATCAATTCTAGCACTCCATGGTCCGTCATTGCACCAACCACCAGAAATCAGTCAGACAGCTTTTCCTTCTTTTCAGACCCATAGTTTGAAACCTGCTTCTGGTCGTTTCTGAAGCGAATTATTTTTATCCTGTTATAGTTTTGAAGGTAGCAGAGTGCCCCGGTCAATGTGACGACAAATCCGGAGTTTGTACTTCCAACATGACCTTCAAACAGCCTTCAACTGCTAGTTTTTTGTTTACAACATTGGATAATTTTAGTGTTCCGAATTTCGCCTTCCTAAGGACTCCTTTTTCAAAGTTGTGATTTATAACACGATTAACGTGTTCAAGAGGCATCTGGGATTGTGTTGTGACCTTTGCTTGGTCGGAGGATTCTCATTGAGAGGGAGGCAGTCATTTTGCTTGAGGGTGAGAGAATTCGTCGTTTTGAGGGGTATGCATTTTTAAATGTACATTGGTCGGATTTAACTAATTACCATCGTTTTCTTGCAAAATTGATGAAGGGATATATGGGGGACACGATAAGATGGGTTTCAGATTTTTGGATAATCGTTTGGGCACTTTCCGCGGCCAAATTAGCTTCGGAAACCGCTTTTACGCCTCCCCCCACTTCGGGGTCACTTTTTGGGGCCAGCTTTGCAGATAGAAATTTGAAACTTTGCACAGCTGTAGTCATGACCTTCGAGTCCGTGCTTGCCAAATTTGGCGCCAATTGGATCATCCGCTCGCACGTTACCCGTGTAAATCTAGTGTTCATATAATCTACGGACATCCTGTAGTTGTAGAAATTTATGATTTTTTAGAGGGGCTGGGGCGCCTCATATGCTTGCCCAGGGCCTTTACAAATTTTGGAATTTCCAACAATTCGACTGCCTCGAGCCGAGGTCCTTATTTGAGAGGTCACGACCGTAACTAGATATCTGAACGATGAATGTATCTATGTACGTAGAAATATGTGTAGTTATTAAATATTGAGTATTAAAACACAATCGCGCATATCTAAATATTCGATGCGAAAAATATGATTTTTTTCAAATTTCACAGTGCTATAAAAATAGTCCTAAATCAGAACCCCTGCTGATTGCCTTAGTTTGATTTATTTTCCATGAATTATTTATAATTTCTACCACTTCTGGTACTGAGGATAAGCTTGCAGAATAATTTTACGAAATAAAAATAGACGCTGGATAAATCTGAGAAAACACAATAAAACTGTTTCCGAGAAAAGTTGCATAAAATTCATACGATTCAAATTATGCATTCATACCTAAGTTTGTCAGCTTCGAACTTAAATTGGAAAAAGACAGATTTTCTCTCAAATTTAAGATCGGGGGAATTTTTATTGAGCGAAAATCAAGGGAGGGTGGTCTGGAGGCGAGTGCTAGTGAATACTTTGTGTACCCTTGACTTCCTTTCTGACTAACTTCTTCGCATATCCTCCGATGTAGAATGAAATATTTAAGTAGATATACATACATTGGACAAGTACGTGCTGCATCTTACATATGCGCCAGATTTTCGAAGCCGTAAATTTTGAGTGGCCTTCAATCAGTTTTTTTCATCTGCGAAAGGCCGGTGCATAAAATTTTACCAGGCCCTTTATCAAACTTCTACTTCCTTATGAAACGGGAAATGTACATATATGCGTATGTTATGGCGTCGCAGCTATTCAGCATAACCCTCGTTTGCCCAAGTCGAGCAAACAAATTTAGCCAAACTTGGAACTGAGAAGAAATGCATTCTGCTACTTAATTATAAAAAATGGGTCAAATAATATGCAATCAGTAGAAATCCTAATTAACATACATATTATTTCGAGGCAATTGTGAGTTCATTTCCTTTCAGACAATCGTTTCAAAACCACCTCCAACTAGTTTGAAGGTTCCTTAAAAATTCGATATGGTTGTTACCTCACTAATGTGGAAATCCCTGGATCGTTTCTCCCGATATTTTGGTATCTTCTGGAAAAATCCGGTGGAATGGGACATAAAAACGCAAACCTTAGTTTTCACCCCAATCTCAAGGAAACTTATTCCTTGGATGGTTTCTGTTTATGGTTTCTTAACCGTTTTAAATGGGAGCTTGCTATTAATCCTTATTTCGCAGTTGTACGGATTCGCACACCTGAAATTAACTAAGGTGGTCATTCTATTGTGTTGGAGTGGCCATGCTGTGTTTGGCCTCGTGTTGGAAATTCTTGTCGCTTTTACGGGCAAGAATGCGAGTTATGCGTTTAACTGTTTGTCCGCATTGGCAAAGAAAATTGGTTAGTTCTATATTTACTAAAAGATAGTAGTTTCCGGTATCTAAATATTTATCACACGCACGATAAGCGCAGTGCTTAATTTCTTGCACCTTTCAACATTTATTGCAATGCACTACTACAAGAAATTACTTGCAATAAACGCAAGGTGCAAGAAATTGACGCCATCTAGCATCTCACGCTAAGTACATGCTTCACTTGACTAAATATATGTAATGTAGGCTTTGTCTGCCAGAAGTTCTCATTTATTCTGTATCTTTAACTAATACAAGAAATTATGCCTGCATAAAAAACATTTTTTGTACGTCTTTTTCACGCCAAACACTGACACATGTTAAGCACAAAATCTTTTTTCAGGTGGGCGAACCAGCCGGCAGAAATCTACCATGTTACTAGACTTGAAGGGGATCATGCTAAACTTGATCGTAATCTTCCTCTACCTTGAGACCTTCAACATTTACCTGTTCGCCATAATTAGCTCAAACCTAGACCCGTATAGTCAACTGTATCCCCTCTTTGTCTCAAAAGGATGGAGTTTCCAGTTACTTGCAAACTTTGTCCTTTTATTTCTCCGACTTACATTGATCATCCCTTTGTTTCAAATTTTCCGCATGAATTGCATCATTATTAGCTCACCCTGCGTAGCATGAGAGCTATTGAATTCCTCTTGTCCGTCCGTCTGCCTGTCTGTCTGTTAGCGATATTTTTGCATCAATTGATGCTATTTAAAAATCCCCTTGACCATTAAGTTAGGCGTACCATTGGTATTGAACAAACCGAATCAAATTTTTTAATAAATTAATAGCACCATTGATATCTAACAATCGGGAACACAAAATGATGCCAAATTATTGGAGGGAAGGACGCAAAACGCACCAATAATGTAGAATATCCGGGAGAAATGATCATACAATTTTGACATAAATTTTTCAAAATTATCGTTGATCGTTGGTAGGTAATTCTGCACCAGTGATGCACAATTTTTGGACTCTTCTCGATGCATAATAATTATTGATCTATTTTGTTTAATTTTTCTGCACCAGCATTGGTGCAACATTGCATAAAAATTATTGATCCACTTTGTTGGATTTTTCTGCACCATTGGGGCAAGTTATAACCAAATCATTATTACAGGGTGAGCTACTTCTAACGTTACTACGGTTTATTTGCCTTCCCGTGATGGCCTCTTACTTGGCACTGGAATGTATATCGACGCTTGGCAAGATGGGAGTTTATTACATGTCGTCTAGAAATAAGGTCACGGTAGACAAATATCTTCGCGGTTATGCCGGCTTGCAGGTAATTTTTAAAATAGCGGACGAATATCTTGCTCCAAGTACTGCAGTATCAATGTTTATTCCGATGTGGGTTAGCGTCCTTCTTAATTTTATTTCCCTAAATTTGTATGGAATTATCCCGCCCTCGATATTCCCCTATTTTCCGGTTGCGGCTCTCTTTGTTGGAGGATGTATCCGATTGCTGTTGCCGTTGTTGGTGGATCTTTATGAAGAATGTCTGGTGCTTCAGGCCAGGTGGAGGTACTTGTTGAGTGGCAGTGATGATAAGAAATATTTGAAAAGAAAGCTACGTTCGCTTCGTTCAGTTGCCGTGTACGGGGGGATTTTAGGGTATAACTTGTACAAGTGTAAGAGGTCAACGAAAATGGCGATGGCAGGGGTAATAATTAGTTACACGATATCAGCGTCGTTATTAATTACGTAGTGTTAAATTTTCGTAGATGTTTCGCCTGGAAGGCTATAGCCTTCCAGGCGAAACATGCTCCCTAAAAAGTTTGATCCCCAATTAGTGGGAGTTCTAAAGTGATGTACATATGTGAATATATATGTGTGAATATATTTTTATTTATGTACATAAGTATCTAAATGCCACGAAAATTTAACACTACGTAATTCTACTTGTCCAGGTTAGTTTAAAAAGGTAGGTACAATTATGTCTTAACTATCTACTTATGTATTGTATAAGCAAATACATGTTAGGTGTGCAAGTCTATTTATAATTGCACCCGGAATGTCAATTATGTATGCTTTAACCGGGGCACAGTTGGGTAAACTATAATCTAGAACGGCAAGGTTGATTAGTAAAGTTTTGTGAGTATATATTATTAGTGAATATTGGTGGACCTATGTTGCTTTGGATTTAGCGAGTCTGATTTTACCTCGTCTGGGTCAAGTCAAGAGTTGGAACAAATTAGGCCAATATTAAAAATCCAAAAATTATTGCGAATACTTTATTCAATCATAATGCCTCCGATATTTGCATAATTTGTATCTTTATATTTAAATGTAGATATGGATGTTATACATGTGTACAAATATATTTGTGTATATACGTAAAAAGTGCATACTTAAATATCTTAATATGTCATATGTTTGTATATGGACATAAATATCTACGTACGTTCATCACTTTTTCATGTAAGATGAGACTCCTTAAAATTTAATGGGTAACACAAATTGTGCAAACATAATGCAAAGTCAGATCACAGATTACTGTGAATCTTACTAAAAATCTATTTTTCATAATGCGACATATCATGTACCAATAAATGTATTTGCTTTCACATTCATTCATAGTGCACTGTCATCATTTTCATGTTCCATCGCTTCTTTCACCTTCGAACTCCTCGGCCTACGTTCAATTCCTCTGAATTTTTTAGTTCCGTAATGAAATACATCGATTTTCAATAGTTGCTTCAAAGCAAGGGACCACGGCCCACGATATTGCTGTTTAGTACAGGATGGCGTGGTCACATTATCCACGAGGTACCACAACGCGTCTACAATAAAATATATTGATAAATATGTGCGTAAAAACCTCCTGTATTTTATAAATTATTGAGACAATTCACGTAGTCCGGGGAACATTGTAAACTCCGCAAATTCCGTTAGCTTACAAACTTTACAAAATTTTGCAATTATTTCTGTGGAAAATTATCTAGCTTCCAAATTTTTGTCAACTTACTCTGATCGAGGGCGTCTTTTTTATTTTGTAAAAGTTTGTAATTTACAAACTGTTACAAATTGTAAAATTATTTTACAAAACTTGCGGATTTTACAAGTTTAGCAATAACTGCGTGAATTGAGTCTTTAAATTTTTCCACAAACCAAAAAGTTGTGTCTGCCTGTCATCATTAAGTTTATTCCGGTCAGTCTTAATCTTCGAATTTTTCCGTCTCCCACCAGGCGTGCAAATCTTGAGTTCCTCCTCTTTGAATAGGTTCGTCAACAAGACCTCCGTTCCCGCCGCGATGGGGCCCTTAGTCTTGTACGAATCTACTGCATCATTCCACGTCTTCTGGGTGAAAGCGTGCCGGCGCGTCTCAGTTTTTCCGGGTTCTTTCAAACGATCCAAAACGGTCTGAAAGATCCAAAACGTTTTATATCCATCAGCGGATTTTTTATTACCACAAGATTATTACCAATACAACAATGATGGACTCGGAGCAGTCAGCTTTCAATAATTCTGGCTCAATCCCGGACAGTTTTGGGAGAAGTATTCCCTTGTCGAAGGGAATCAGCTCGTAGGTGAGCATACTGACCTCCACGGGTCTTATCGGTACTGTATTTCCTGGCAGAAATCGGTACATGATACTGCTCGTTGTCGGTATTTGATCCGACTTTGGTGGAATTCCGGGACAATTGCAGGTTTTAACTTCAGGATTTCCCTTTTGCGAGACTTTACTTCCCTTAGAATTTTTGCCATCTTTTTCTTGCTGACGCCCCAGCACGGTGCATTTCACATGCAGCCAGAGTTCTTCCTTTATAGCGTCATACTCTTCCTTTGTGGGGAACACGTTATGTTGGACGATACGAGAATCAAACTTTTCCTTCCATCCAAGCTTATCGTCCCGTCTGACAAATAGAAATTTTGCGGCGCCTGAAAAAACAAGAAAAAAATTCTAATCCATCCACAAAGTATTTGGCGAATTTTCTACACGCTTACAAAGTACTGCCGCCAACTTGACTGGATTTAGGCTATCGACAGATGTAAACTCATCCTCACGTCCTTCAAAATCTAGTCGGATCATGGTACTGATCAGTTTTCTCGCGACGGCGGACATAGAAACTTTTCCCTCTTTAAAAGCACGTTTCCAACGGTCCTCGCTAAATTGGACAGAATCCTGTAAAATTAATTGAGTTAATTTAATAACTAATTTTAATTGACAATTAAACTACAACAGAGGTCAACGCCACCGATCATACATAAGCTGACATGGCCAATAAATCTGATTAAGTATGTATGCCTTTAACATTAAGATGCCGCTAAAAAAATCAGCAGAATTATCGCCGCCGCAAAACTGGTCAACGTTGACCTCTGACCCTTAATAAAAATTTATTTCACCACAAAGCGGTCCGTGTTTCTGGGGATGGTCTTCTTCGTGAGGGGTCCGACAACATGCGCCGTCTTCATTTGACCACCAGCAATATTTACACAGGTTTTCACGCTGTCAACAACTCTTTTGAAAATCCCCTCGAACTTGGCTTTTTCATTGTTTGCTGCTTCAGCATCACTTCCTGCAGGTGTGTCGTTCTGGTCTGACGTGACGACCGCAGGGGTGATGTGGTCCATCGATTTGGTCAGCTCGGACAGAAACATTCTTCTGGGATCATTATCTCGGATTATTTTTGATATTGTTTCGCCATCGCGTTCATTTGGTGGAGGAAACTTGGACATAATTTCTGCAAAGGTTTCTCCAAATGACCATAAATTAATTCGGTTGTCTGGTTCAAATTTTGACATCATCCAAATGGCAGCTCCTAAAAATAATTTGTATTTTATTGTAAACTGTATTTCTTATTCATACATTACATAGAAACATACACTTTGTTCACAATTTCATAAATTGACTAGATCAATATAATTTTAAATGTTTCTGGAAATTTGCGAAATTTGCAAAACTTATGTTAGCATTTTCCAAAATTTATTCAGCAAAAAATGGAAGTGTCTTTATTTCGCAAGATTTTCGCAAAGTATTAGCAAAATGAGGTGAATACGCCCATGCATTACGACTTACTTTTGATAATTTCTATCGCATTTGAATAAGCTGTTTCCTCCATGATGACTGTTTTTGGAAGGTCGGGATGGTGGAGGATGGCTTGGATGAGGTACTTCACAGTGGTGGAGAGGTCACCTTGGACGAAAGCGCGTGCCCAGTCCTCAGGTTTGATGTGAATTTCAAACCAATTGTCCACTCTCCCAATTTTGAAAGGAATCTGGGAAATTGGAACAAAATATTTATCAACACATTTAAAATATCTAGTTTGTTTTAATAATTTCAAAACTTCAAATTAAAATTGATTTCTGAGTTAATTAATACATTCAAAGGAATTTTCTACAAGATGATGATTTACGGCTTCTATGGGTATACGTACGTAATTACACACTCATGCGAATTTTTAGGTTCTCACCTCATCCCCAAAAAATTAGATTTATTTAAAACGTTTTTTATACCAAAGTTGTTCAAAAATAGACAGAAATATATATTTTATTAAATCTGAAAATGATTGTTACCTCTTTAATCACCAGATCATAATTCAAGAAAGGTTCGAAATATATTATGTGCTCGGTTCCCGATTTTGTCGGAATGGACGTCTCTTTCTCAATTTTCAGAAAATGATCCCTCGACGCAATCATTTCTATCCAAATATTGTTCTTATGTAATTGTTCTTCAAAGTCGACTTCATGACTTCGTTTCTTCCCACGGGTTTCATTTCCGTTGGAAAAATCCATATCCAAAATTGAGTCAGAATTGGTGGACATTGGTGGACTTGAATTTGAAGATGATTGGTAACTCATGTCGTCAACACCTTCGTCAAGATTTTCGAATACGTAACCATCTGTAACGCTGAATAAAAACTTTTCCAGGTCGTCGAAACAAATTTCTGCCATGGCTCATGGAAAAATTTAATTAACTCTGCTCACAATTAGAGATATGCCAAAATAATTAATTTTTGCACTTAGAGTTATGTATGTATGCAAAAACAATTGTTTTTGCAAAAATCAATTAGAAGAACATTTCACCAACAGATGAGAGAGGAAGATGTATGTACTCGACTGGACGAACGTTTACTGATTAATGCAAAAATTGCGGATTCGCGATAATGTAATATGCAAACTCCAGCCGTGTGAGATGGGGTTTTGTGTGGATGGATGTGCGAATAATATTTTACATAACTAATTTTAGCCAGTGCTGAAAGTGAGGATAGTGTCGGGTCCCGTGTTAAGTTGACTTTTTTTGCATGGTGAATGTACTTCTGTATTATTGGCGTGATGTCATTGTGTATCATGATTTTGTCTCATGAGACAAAATGACTCATGGAATGCTGATAATTTCATGAACTTAATATCATATCAAATGATTTTCATGAGTAAACTTCATGAGCGATTATTTCATAGTTTGCACTAAATTCTGATATACATATACATACGTGCATATGTATTTACATATAAAAACGTATCCTGTGCATATCATGTAAATTTATGATTTGTAATATTGCGAATAAAGTTTTGTAATGCAGTTCCTTGCTTAAATGGAATTGGGAAAGTGCAAATTATTAATCAAAATATTATTCTGTGCGTACAGAATTTTCAAATTTAATTACATTATACATAAGTAGTTGATACTATCAACTTGATAGTGGTTCACAAATGTGTGTAATTGGTAGGCAAAGTAATATTTCAGAAAATAGCTTGGTGGCCAAGTGCTACAAAATCGTTACCAAATTTATCTAAATCGGTAAGTAAAAGGTTAATTTCTGGAATACATTTACATATATGGAAATTTGACAATAATTCTCCTACTGCATTGATTTTCTCAGAATTGCAAGAAATTTTTAAAATGTTTTACTTATAATCAGGGTGGAAAAATACTACGCTTATTTATGCATATTCCAGGTTATTTACTTTATTCGTTACACGATTCCATTACACAGGTTTTCACACCACTAACAAAAATAGAAAGGCAGTTCCAAGAATTTTATTTCCAACACCCCTAAATCCTCGACTTATAACCCTTTCTCATTCTTGAACCCTTCACATTTCCATAATTTCGGCTTCACTCGATCACTTTAAACCATGCATTTACGCGAAATAAGTCTCATTACCATTCTGCGTTCTGAACGTTAAACATCTCCACATTTTACAACATTACGACAATTACTTCAGTACAAAATAAATTACTGCTAAGTCAATTCGATTAACAAATCTAATTAATTAATTTTTTGGTTCGTACTTACTGAATATATTTCAAACTTCACATAATATCTGCCACAAAAACATTTTAAACTCACATATAAAATAATTCTTCAAGTTATTAAATTAAAACTAACAAGTTCATCTACAGAAATGGAACCTATTTTCACATTTCATCAAGCAAACTTTGTTGGACGACTAGAGTGAGTAATTTTAATTTATTTTCGTCCAAAATATTGGAAACTAGTCCATAATTTTTAACAGACTAAGAATTTTGTTTGTAAAATACTAACCGTCTCAATTGACATTTTTAATATAGGACCACCTTCCTCGCCGAAGTTTGTGGTATCGAGGAGAAACTTGCGCAGACGCCATACCTTCGCGTTATGCTGACGCAAGATGACGGGGACACAATTATGGTGGCAATGGCGATCGGGAAAGCTTACCACGTAGCAAAAAATCTTTATGAGGTAAGATATTTACGAAATACATTAGCTTATGTAATAAATTTAATTTCAATTTGTCAATTAAAAAAATATATGGATACAAAATTTCATGTCGTCTTTTGTTAATTTTTTAGGTCGGCAAAGTTTACTGCTTTCCACGTGGCATGTTCAAGATCCGTCAGCGTAACGTAGCCATCCAGTCTTGGTCAAGTTATCCCTTCGACTTGAGGTTTCTCAACAATTCTAATAAAAATGAATCCCTCAAAGTAAGCTGTCCTCCTACGGAGAATCAAGTTCAAAGTGTTGGTAAGTTAAAAAATATTTCTTATGATAGCATAATTACAAATTAATTTGCTTATCATTAAGTTTGATTTATAATATTTACTTATAAATTCATTTTTCCGTTTAGTCTCATCTCATCACTCTTCTATGAACGCTGACACTGACAACGATTGGAAGGGAAGGAGTCGCGCATAAGAATTTTTATATCAATTATTTTTAATTTTGAAAATTTAACCAAATTGTCTTAGACCATTTATGTTATGATTAAGTATCTAGCGTTTTTTTCATTAAAATGTAGTATTTGTGATTTATCAAGTCTGTACCTAGCCGTTGGCTAAAAATTTGTGTTTGTATATTTAATTTCAGTGACTAAATTACACAGATTATGGTGTAAACTTTTCCGCAAAATTTTGACACGTCCACAGTCAGATACATATGTACATATATTCATTTAAAATAATGCATATGCACCCAATACATATTGGCTAATCATCGTTAAAGATCACAAGCAACAAAAATCATAACACAATTTAAAATTCACTGGACAAAGTTAACAAAAGAAATTCTATAACACTTTTTTAAATGCATTATATAAATATATACACAATAACTAACGCAACATATTTCGTAATTGAACCGTAGAAGCTAAAATCCCCCTAAAATGCAAAATTAATCACATGCCTTATGTATGGTCTGCAATGGATGGTTGGTTATTTTTATCCTGGAATGTGTCAAGTTTTAACTCATTGATATGGTTCAAACGCACCTTTTTACACCAACTTAACTACAACTTTATACATATAACTTTGTTCACTTAAGTACTCACTACTCTTAATCAACACGGGTATAAGCAAGTAACAATTAAGTAACCCTGCAAAACATTCGGTAAGAAATGAATAACTAAATAGTGCACAATTTACTTGTTTCTACAATAAATACTATTAAGTATCGGTAAAAATAGTTGAAAATGTATTTCATGTTCGCCAATGATTTTAAAATGTGTTGACACAAACTTGTTTAAATTACATGTGTGATTGTAAGAGAATTTTTCCTTCCAGATGCCAAACTACATTTGGTTAAGCACATCAATTTTTTGTGAATACATATATAAAAATCCGTAAGTTCAACAAATCAGAAAGGAAATGGGATTGTTCAAAGTGCTCGAAAACGCGTAAGAATAATAAGTTGACGAGACACATCGTCATGCATGATCTCGATGATAAGGTCAAATGTGAGGTGGGCGCGTAAATTTAAAGAAGTGAAACAAATTTTACAATCCACATTTTTCCACTTTTGTTTTGCGGGGTAATTTCCAAAAACAGAACAGCCTAATTTTGCCACATGTGGAGAATGTACAACAACCGGGAGCGACCAAGTTGTGATACTTGTCACCGAATGTTTTTCAATTCGGCCAAATTGCGGCAACATATTGACACCGTCCACAGCACGAAGAAACGTCGCCGTTTACCATGTACAGTTCCTGGCTGTGAGAAAACCTTCCTACACAAGGGCAATGTTGTGAGACATGTGAGAACTGACCATGCCCAGAATCCGGTCCGATATCCGTGCACACTTTGCGGAAAGGAGTTCAAATTAAGGTGTCACCTGGAGAATCACATTCTCACCCACACGACGGAGAAGCATTATAAGTGTGCCACTTGTGGGAAGAGTTTCGCCCAGATGGGACACCTGAAAGACCACGAGGTAAATACATAAGCATGTCGTCATAAAAACTAGGTGAAAAATTTGCAATATTCATTTTACAGAAGACGCATTTGGACAAATCTGCCCGAGACATGTCAAACTGTCACGTCTGTCACGAGAACTTCTTAAGTAAACTTGGTCTACAACGCCACATTCGAGTTGTGCATGAAAATTGGAGGAATTATCCGTGTACATTTTGTGACAAGAGGTTCTCATGCTCATCACATTTGAAGGACCACGTGGAGGCGCGACATGTCACGAATAAAGAGCTGATCCGTTCCTGCGACAAATGCGAGTACAAGAGCTACTCGAAACACAATTTGGCCAATCACAGAAAGCGTCACAATGCAGCGAATCATAGGTGTTACTTCTGTAGAAAGAAGTTCTGCACTTTTTGGGAGTTGGTCATACATTGTCGAGTTCACACTTTAGAAAATTTAAAATACTTATGTGTGTAATGGGGATATCAATAAGGGGCCGTCTATAGATTGTGTAGCGCAAAAATCGCGATTTTCTAAACACCTATCCCCCCTTTAACATGTGCAACATAGGCATGATATCATTGTAGCTTAGATCCCCCCCTCCCTCCGGCCCTAATTTATGAACCTTGCTAAATTTGAGATGGTTGGTTATTAACCATTCCTTGAGGGCCATACATAGATCATGCGGTTAATTTGTAGTTTTTTGGAGATTCGCCCACGGGAGGGCAAAATCACGAAGTGAATATGTTGCATATCTATTTTACGGACAACACAAATGGAAAATTCTAAACACTCCACCCTTTATCCTATGATTTTTTTAACACATGTTGCTGGATTTAAAATGTAATTAAATATTTAATTAAATTAGATAGGTATGTACAACAGAATACATAATAATTTGTATTCATAATTGCAAAAATATAATTTTTAAGCAAATTCTAGACTTATATATTTTGATTTATAATAAGTATGTGCTTATCAAGTCAATAGTGCATTTAAATGTGTATGTACATAAGCACCTGCAGAAACACATAAATCTCTAGATGTTACATATTTAATTTTTTCCGTTTTTTCAGGGAGACTAATGCGTTTTAACGCCTATTTTTACAAGTTTCGCATTTATTACAAATCGCAATTCTGCCCACTACTATTCTACTTAAAATCCGAAAATCAGAACTAAATATGCATTATTTCAAATTTTTAAACATATTAATTTGAACTAAAATATGTATTCCACAACATCTTTAAATAGATATTTATTTCCCACATGCTATTATTGGCATTCCATTACATTCGGTTACCCTATTTCACCTCGACACAAAATTAAAGAGGAATTTCCAGGAATTTTATTTCCATGTTTTCCAGCACCACTAAACCATTGACTTCAACCCTTTACTATTTTTAAACCCTTCTTAATTCCAGTCGAACACTTTAAAGCAGGGTTTCACACGAAATAATTCTCATTACTATTCTTTCTTCTGCATGTTAAACATCTTCAAATTTTATTGCATTATGTCAATCGTTTAACAGTTTATAGTAAATTTAAGTCAATTCGTTCAGTAATTTGTTTAAGCATCAGAATTTTTTGTAGTTCTTACTTATTTCAAACTTAATACAACTATCCGCTTACAAATATTTTAAACAAAAATATACATAACATAGAGCGGGTCCTATGGGAACCCGATCACTAGGAATTATGCCCAGAAAATGGTCAAAAATGATTTTTAAGATCTCAAATTTTTGTAGAATATTATAAGTATATCTGGCGTCCAATTTCCGGAACGATTAAGACCTAAGTCCATCGTCAATCTCGTATTGAAGGTTCTTCTACACGCCCGCCATTACTGCATTTTCGGAAGACTTTGCAACTTCAATGCTAATTATCTCCTACTTGAATCAAAATTTTCTTAAAGTATTGACTGTTTCACAAAGCTGGGAGTATGTCTTCTTACATATGGCCCACATTATTTTATTGCGCGAAGATAAGGGTTGAATGTGATGTTATCATTTTTCAACATCAAACTGAATTTTTTTTCGATTTCTTCGATGATAGTTTTTGCATAGTGAAATGGTCCACGGTCGGTCCAAAAAATTACATTTTGTATTTTATGATACCTCATTATGAAAGGAATCAGACGGTCTATTATACATTTCTAGAAACAAACATGTGTTCCCACACAGTCCATGTGAACTTAAGGGTCACAAACATGCCCAATTTGGCCTAATGCCAGAAAAATCGAGAATTTCTTGACAAATTTTTAACAACATTTTAATTTCTCGTCTGTTTTCACTTCAGATATGTATTTGCCATGAAAAAATTACCTTCCTGGAATTTCTGTCACGTTATTAACGACATAGGAATCGTGGCCAATGTCCAACTTTTTGGCGAAATTTTGCTGTAGAGCTTGGGAAGTCTTGCGTTTACCATTTTTTCTTGACCTTCTGTATATTTTGGTGCAGATTTTTTTGCATACGTTTTGAGCCACAATTTATGGGCCTTAATATCATACACGTAGTTTGTATTAAGCATTGACTTCTTGGCAGCATCGGGCACGGCCGTGGAGCGACATTTTCCAAAAATAAATTTAATCGTTTTTAACTTTCAAGAGGTCATTGTGATGGTTTTTACTAACGGTGCGTATTTGAGGTCGACATTTTCGGATTCCCCATACTTTTTTCTGTAAGTCTTAATTTTTGCACGACCACGCCCTTCTCCGTTGAAATGCAGTTAAGTCTTCTCGAGTCATTGTCACTCAAAATTTTGGTACTTTCAAAAACTCGATTCGGGAGTTCGTCGCTTTAAAGTGGTGTAGGAAATTTATGTTTCATTGAAAACTTATGAAATTTTGGGGGTGCGTGGTTAGATATATTTAGCATATTCTGCACGAATTTCGGATTTCTAAACCTGTTTTTGACAACTCTGCCATTAAACTCCCTAGTGATCGGGTTCCTATAGGACCCACTCTAATACATAACCCGATATTAATTTCAAGACAATAAGTGCAGAGATGGAATCCATTTTCACATTTCATCAAGCAAACTTTGTTGGACGACTAGAGTGAGTAATTTTAATTTATTTTCGTCCAAAATTTGGAAACTTTTCCATAATTTTTGATAGACTAAGAATTTTGTTTGTAAAATACTAACCGTCTCAATTGACATTTTTAATATAGGACCACCTTCCTCGCCGGAGTTTATGGTATCGAGGAGAAAGTTGCGCGAGAGACGCCATATCTTCGCATTATGCTGACGCAGGATGACGGAGATACAATTATGGTGGCAATGGCGATCGGGAAATCTTATCACGTCGCAAAAAATCGTTATGAGGTAAAGTAATTTTATAAACTGTATCGAGTTGATGATTTTAATTTTAATTTTTCAGTTTAAAAATATATTTGTGTATAAAATGTCATGTCGTCTCTTATTAATTTTTTAGGTCGGTAACGTTTACTGCTTTCCACGTGGCATGTTCGAGATCCGTCAGCGTAACGTAGCCATCCAATCCCGGTCAAGTTATCCCTTCGACTTGAGGTTTCTCAACAATTCTGATAAAAATGAATCCCTCAAAGTAAGTTGTGGAGAATCAAGTTCAACGTGTTGGTAAGCTAAAAACCAATTAACACGATAATTACTAATTAATTTGTTTGTCATTAAGTTCGATTAATAATTTGTATTTATAAATTTATTTTTCCGTTTAGTCTCATCTCCCCAAACGCGTCATCAACCTCGCCGAACTTCTCTTAATGCTGACACGGACAGCAACTGGAGGGGAAGAAGTTTCGCATGAGAATTTTTATATCTTATTTTTATATAAATTATTTTTCATTTTGTAAATTCTCTAACATTTTTTAGACCATTTAAATGTATTATGATTAAGTTTTTGACTAAAATATAGTACTTGTGATACATATATCGGTACGTGGCCGTCGACATATTTATTTTGCATGTATGTATATGTATGATTTAAGGAATAAATTACACAGATTATAATGTCAACTTTTCAGCGAAAGTTTGACACATCCACAGCCATTTATATGTATATTCATTAAGTACTTGATGCACTCTGTACATACGCGCACCCAATACATACTATCAATCCACGCCAAGGTGAACCCGGAGATATGGGAGACTAAACTCAGTTCAACGTTAATAAGCATGGGCCGGGATTTAGTCTTCCATATCTCCGGGTTCAACTTGCCGTGGATAGACTATATTAGCTAATCATCGTTAAAGATCGTTAAAGCTAAGTAACAATTATACCAAAAATCACAACCCAATTTAAATTAATTTTGCCTATACTAGAATACCTATGTTAGAATAAGTCTTTAATTTGTTTAAAAATAGCATGCATTTAAGTATGAACAAGTAATGTATTCTGTAGTAAGTGCATATACATACATAAGTTAATGAAGTATGTAATTACACATTTTGAAATTTCATTTCTGTTAAAAAATTCACTGGAGAAACAAAAGAACATTCCTATATATATGTTTAAATGCATATGCAAAATAAATAAATTACGCAACATATCTCGTGATTGAATCTTTGAGGAGAAACTCCTCCAAAATTTTCGAAATTAATCGGGAATTTTATTTTCATCTCATCCAGCACCATTAAATCGTCAACTTCAACCCATAGGCCCAAGGGATGACATGGGTTAAACGGTGCTCAGGTTTTGTGTATTTAGAAAAGTTGGAGAAAGTTCGCGATCAATCCAAAGTCCAGAGTCTGGTTGGGAATGTCCCCGGGGATACCCCTTAGGATTTTAAGTTCGATCTGAGGCGTTTGAAGAAAGTAGCGATAAAACGGTTGCCAAAAATCTTGGGATTTATTGCTCGGTGTGCGGAAGACTCCTACCCATGGACTCCTACCCCTGATCTACTACCCATTATCCCCTACCCGTGACGATTCCCTACCCATGAACCCCTATCCATTATCTCCTACCCGTGATTAACCCCTACCTGATTATCTCCTACCCCCACCCGCAATCATTTTGGTCGTTGTTCTTTTATGTTTATACACATTAAGGGTTTATAATCGACTTATTTTTATTTTCCCGCAAATTATAAGTCATTTCGACAAATCAATTATAAGTGGGTGCTGTTTGAATGCATTCAAACAGCACCATTTAAACAAGTGGAGCATGCTCCACTTTTTTTTAATGATGTGTTGTATGCAGTTTAAGTGACTTGCATTAAACGTCCAAATTATTGCAAAAATAAATATGGTAGCTTTGAAAAGATCTAAAACTTCAACAATAGATAATATCCCTGAATTCTTGCCTAATTTATAATTACATGACATTTGTGAAGTAAATTGATTGCAAAGCTTATCTTCATTCTCATTTGAATTTCCCATTTAATTATTTCAATGGACTATTTGAATTAACCCAATTTTAACCATGCACTACGTTAAGAACCTTGAATATAGGATAAAACCCGATTAAAAATAATTTATTGGTCAAAAAGTGGCTTGCAATAACCTTGAGTGAGTTCAATTTCAACAAATGTCGTATTTCAGAAATAAGTAAGTCGAGGAGACTTATTTTCCGATCACTTATAAGTGAAATACATAGCAACTGCGCCGGCGTAAGCTGTGTCACTTAAAAGTGGAAATTTCTTATAAGTGGTCGGTACACTTTTGTAAGCACCTATTATCATACACAAATTTGATATTTTTATCCAACAAAGAAGGTCTTATTAAATTGTGACTTATGCGCCTAACTTTTTATATAATATTCTGATTCTCTTAGTAATAACTACGAATTTTCATTCATCTATGTAATTTTATAATGATAATGATTTTATAATGATTTTAAGATAATGTGTATAAACATAGATACAAGACCAAGATAATTTCGGGTGGGGGTAGGAGATAATCAGGGTAGGAGATAATCACGGGTAGGAGATAATGAATAGGGGTTCATGGGTAGGGAATCATCACGGGTAGGGGATAATGGGTAGTAGATCAGGGGTAGGAGTCCATGGGTGGGAAAGATCCGCAAATCATAATCATGTTTGAAACATAAATTTTATTTGCGTATGTAAATCTGTCGCATTTGAATATATATGTATTTTCTGTATATTTCCGAAATATTGCAATGTTTTCTTAAATTGTACATACATAACTGGCGAAGTTATCAATATTTCAGGTCCAGAATCCACGAGGGCATAGCAAGTCAACTTCATTCTGATTAATTAAATCTTAAGTATATGAACAGCTTACAATTTGTTCAGCTTATGTATGTAAAGACTCTGATAATACAATACATCTTTAAACAATGTGGGTATGAAGTGCTGTGAAATGTTATGTTTTTACAAAAATTGATTTAATATTTAATGTCCTAGATATTTAAAATTATATTTTTTCTGCCGCTCATCCTCAGTATTTTTGCAATAAATATGCATTTCTTATAATTGGTGAATGGATTATGAAATCCAATTTAGGCGGCCTCAGACTGACACAATATAATTCAATCTCAAATTATTTTTTGACATGCATGTCATTCTTATATTTTGGTTTTCGAGTGGTCATTTCAACGAACTTAAAAACTTTATTTCACGATTAATTGACACCGTTTTTATAGCCCCGTGTCCCCACATAAATAGAATAATAAAGTGTCAAATATCTGTAATAGTGGGTACATTTCATGTTGGCATGATTCTACTGATTGTCCATACAATTATTGTGTCAAGGCTGATGAGACGAAACATATTATATTTACTTTAGCGTCCACCCGAACGGTCAACGGTGACGAATGTATGTACATGAATTTTAACAAGAAAGGTTAGCCTTGGGATTTCAACACAAGGGAGAAAGTTAGCTCTCGATAGACAAAATTGAATTTCTCCGTAAAAGTTTTTGTGATGATGGATTTACGAATTCCAATTGCTTAGGGGAAAATAACTTTTCCATTTATGCATGTACAAAAGTCTGAAGGATATAATGGAAATTCCATTATGGAATATGTCCGTTCATGTCACAGTGGGTTGCATAAGGCTATTAAAACTTGCAACATAAATTGCATCATATTGAATCATTTCATTACATAGGTAAGTGTATTAAAATTAATTTAGTACACTTTCAATTCGCAATGAAACTTTAAATTCAAAACTCTCGTGTCGCCCGATCCATTGAATTTTGTCCGGCGGGACGTTCAAACCGAGCAGCCGCCGATCCGCTCAGAAACAGTAAACAAAGAGAATACAAATTTTAAACATTCTAAATTTTTCGTGTCTTCCAATTATTAAAATTTTTGAACATTAGTAACCCCATTGTTATCATTGGAAGAAGCCAATACATAAATGGAAGGGGAAGACGCAATTATTCTCGAACCACGAAGTCGATTCTGCCATTCATGTCGGCAGCTTATTTGGGGGACAAGTTGTTGTGGGCGTGTCACCCCTGAAGGTGATGCCGATATGTGGCAACAGTATTCCGTCTTGCCTTATCTCGAAGATCAAAAGGTGAGTGAATTGTTCAACTAATTCTTAAATATCTGTTTTATGGGTGACATTTCGTGTCACGTAAAATGTTACGTAAAATTAAAATTTGTTATCATACTGTTTTTACCAGTATACTTTCGGAAGTAAGTACACCTCGAGGGAGGAACAAGGCGAGTTCATTTTTGTACGAACTACCAAAAATCCTGGGAATCTGGCCGAAATTACCTGCTCAGGTGGAAATTACTGGATAACACCGGCCAGCGTAAGTCTTACGGCTAGTTTTATTGCAAAGTATTGGTTTATAATAATCCGTTTATCACTTTATCAAAATTCTTTTCCTTTAAAAATATATAGAAAAGAGTTGTTTTGGTCAATGATGACCGGTTGAAGAAAAACTGTCGCACGAGACTCAACTATGGCGATAAGATAGCTTTACTGGGCAAAGTTCGACCGAGACGTGGGCTTAATGGAGAGCTTAAACACGAATCGCTTAATGGATTCTTCCTGTTTAAAGTAAGAATATCATCAGTTTATTATCGATTTGGTTGATTCTTGGTTAACTTACATATTGTTTATTGTTCTAATTATTAGGAAGGGCGTCGTGCCATCGAACGACAAGATAGAGAAGATCCAAACATTCCAGATAACGAGGAAAAGGTCGCCTTCACACCAGGACAAAATTATCTCGTGAGTCGTGATTTGCTTCTCTTTCTTAATTCATATCCATGCAAACACTAACGAACTTTTTCATAATTGTTGACAGGTCTTATCCCACATTTTTTCTTACCTTCCCTTCGACACTCTGAAAGAGGCACGATTAGTATGCAGCCTATGGGACGAGGAAGCTTCTCGAATTCTAAAGAACAAATCCACCATTATCATGAGCTTTTATTTTCAAGACAATTATGAGGACCCAATGGGATCGATGAGGTTGCTTCGATACGTTAAAGAAATGGAAAACCTGCAACCTACCAGCCTGACCTTGCATCTCCCGACTGTCACACCAGCAAATTATCCAACGTCAAAAGGAGAACAATTAGTAATGAAACTTGTCGACGATCTAAACTGGTTCCTACGACTGGATCGATGTCGTCACATCACCCGGTTGAATTTGGGTGGAAGAATCTTTTTAGGATCCGATTATAAAATACATCTCGATATTCTCGTTAAACTCCAATCAACCCTTTGTGACCTAGAGTTATCTTGGCATCTCCACTTAAGAGATGAATCCAGTGACGACTACGCATTTCCAACGGAGGACCTCCATCTTGACAAGCTCGCAGTATTTACCGTCTCCATTGCCACGTGCCGCGAAGGAGCCGCTAACCAGGCGATTATCTTATCCTCCTGGGCGGCAGCAGTTCAGCGCGTAAAAACTATACAACTCAATTACGATGTTCGGCACCAATACAAATTCGTCAACTGTTTGCTACAGTACGAACAGCCCTTTCCACAATTGGAGGCTTTTACTATAACGACATGGACACGTCCAAGCGTTCTGAACTTACTCTTGAAGTTAACGAATCCCTTGAAGACGTTGAAACTGAACAGATTGCGATGTTTTGAACGACGAGAGGATTTCATCAACTTTGAAAACTTACTCCAGAAGCATGCCGGTACATTGGAAGAGTTGGGGTTCATTTATGACGTCCCCTACCAAGACGAAGTAGACATCGAAGTAGAAAGTTGGACCACTCTCCACCTCCCGGTTCTTCCTCGGCTGAAAACTCTTTCCGTCGGGTGGAATGCATTTGGCCATCTGAAAATTGGTTTCCCTTCTGGGCAAGATAACAACGATGTCCTCGACTACGAGAGACACCTTCCCAGACTTGATGCCCTCTCGCTATCCATGTTCCCCTCAAGCCACCCGTTCACTGATTCATGGGAAGGTCAACAAGACAAATTAGACATTTTTTTCCCCACACGTGACAGAAATGGTGCGCCAATTGAGACGAGATGCGTCACGTTGAGGAAACTTGAACCACGTATCTACGTCCCGTGTGCGGGACGTCCTTGGTCCAAAATCGAGTTCCCTTCCGACCTCCCACTCACTGACATGTTCCCAAATGTGTGGAATAATTGGATGACAAGGCGAAGGAACGAGGAGTCATAAGCAGAAGAATCGTTATCAGCGACCAGTGGCGACATGGAAGAAAACTCTGACATTACAAACACACTGACATTACCAAATTACTAAATTAAAAATGATGAACTTCAATTTACTTACAGACTACAGACTCAAGGTATGCTTGCACCATTTGTTTTTTAGTTTAAACGTAAACTATCGTGTTTTTATTTGTATCTCAAATTTTCTTTGCTACCAGGGCAGGGTCATGATTTTTATGTTGCTCATTCAATATGTAGTGTATTTTGACCTTGATTAGATGGATTAATAAAGATGAGTGTTCAATAATTTACATACTCCCCACAGACCACCCCCAATTTACATACTCTTCATAGGTTATTTGCACTTACATATTTGTAATACGTAATTGTACTTAATACGGTAAATGCAATCATATAAAATAATCGTGCAAAATATTATCTGCCTGAATTCCAACTCTATATTTTTGCATATGAAACGAGAATGTGGATTTTAGGCATGTTTTTGTGGTCGATTTGTTTGGATTCGTCGATCCATCCAACTTGATCCGGGTTGCATGTAGGTCTCCTAACAAAAAAGAAGTACGGATACAGCCAGGGTTTCAAGTGGTACATTTATGGATTCAAATTTAAGAGATGGTCATATAAATCTGGAAGAAATTGTGATTTTTAAGGCATTTCACCTATTGTACACATTATACTTATTGCATATTATACAATAATGTATAATTTCTCCTGATCAAAGCATACAAACATATATGGAAAATGTACGTAGTTAGAAATCAATTAACGATGTAGGAGGTCAGTCGATTACCTGAGTTTGTTATATTTCCACTAGACATGCACCGAGTACCGAAAAAGTCGACTCGGCCGAGCACCGAGTACTCGGCTATATTTTTGCCGAGTACTCGTTTCTGCTCGTTTGCCGAGCACCGAGCAAAGCTCGGCAATCGAGTACCGAGCAAGGCTCGGCCACCGAGTAAATTGTCAAAAAGATCATCAAAAAAATCATTGTTTACATAATATTTAATTACCAGTGCCTTTATTTTGAGAACTGGTGGACAGAATGACGTGAAACTACTGATTCTTCCGCCTGTTCCAACATTTCGATTAAAGTTCATTACCGAATAGAATTAACAAATTTCATGGGTGTATTTTCAAGTAAGTTTGATTTTGATTGCAAAAATCACATGATAATTTGAACTGCACAGTGTATGTAAGTACCGGGTAAAGTGGTACTGGATACATATAAAAATTTAAGAAATACTCGGCCGAGCACGCAAAAATACTCGGCCGAGTCCGAGTAGTGAGAGCACGGCCAAAATCTGCCGAGTACTCGGCAGCGCCGAGTACTCGGTGCATGTCTAATTTCCACCAATCATAAAACAAGATTTCGACGTATGTATATATGTACATATATACATATTACAATCAGCGGAGTTTTAGAAGATTAGCAGGTAGAAAATTTAACAAACTATTATTTGGAGCACAACATGTAATTATTCTAAATTTGTAAAGTCATAATTGTTTCCCATTTTGTAATTCAATGTTTTGCATAAAAACAAACCCATGATTTTTATCATTCTGGTTTTGACCGTACTCTTTTAAAAATTGAACTTGGAACATGTACACGTAGAAGTTTTTAAACATGAAAAATTGCACATTAAACAATTTACAACTTTATTACCCCGTTAATTATTTATTGTACCTACTTTATTACTAATTTTGGATTATTGTTTACAAACAAATAGTAAAGATACTGTCATTAAAAATAGCATGATATTAAAAAGTTGGCCATTAACACTCTTGTGCATATATGCAACAACTTGCTTAAATTGGTTTTCAACTTTCATTGCATATGTAAAAATAATTTTCATAAAATTGCCAATTTCATTCATAAAACTGCAAAACAATTCCATGATTTTCATACTCCTTACACAAAACCATATCAAACAAGTTACACCAATGCTACACATTTTATGTAACTCCACCTCTTCGCCATGACGTATTTACAGCAATGTTCTCATCGGAATATCGCCTCAGCTCTGTAATTCCGTCGGCATTTCGCCACTCTCGCTTGAACCCTTTACACACCAAAGTCCTCATAAAGTGGGAGTTGTATAAGACCTCTTGTAATCGAAATCTATCTCTCGTTCTATCCCAGCAATGCTTTTCTGTCTGTTAACAAAAAATAGGGCAATTCTATTGAAGCTGTTGAATCTCAGTTTTATTCGTCAGTTGTGTGTTCAAAATGAGCAAGGATTGATAGAAGAATATTGCATTTCTTCTCATTGCTGCAAATGTTGCAGTCTGCACTGCTAAATATTTGCAAGGAACACAACCACTTAATTGGACTTTGCAAAAAAAGTAATATTCACTACTAACCTCCATCTACATAATTATTTTACTTCTTCTTGTGTCCTTTTTTCATACTCAAGTCTGATATTAAAAAATATTTATACGGTGTATACTTTAAAAATTTAAGAAAACAAAGCAAATTTTAAATTCATGTGAAACTGTGAATTTATTTTAATCTCAATCATAGATTAAGAGTTGGAAAATTAAGCTGGCGAGATAAATACATCAAATAATTTCAATTTGTTTGCATCGTTCCCTATATTTTGGTGACTTTGGCAAAGTGAAATTTCGACAACAATGTGAGACACGAGTGAAATCGGTGTTTTTATTTTTGTTTTTCGGCTCAATTTTGTTCCTGAATAGTAAAAGTATTTGTAAATTAAGCTTAATACGATGGGGTGGCTCAAGTAAATAGGAAATTTACCCAAAAAGGTGAGTCTTGTGATAATAGTGTATTTTTACGAAAAGGTTTTGCTCATATTAATAAATCAAAAGGTTCTGCTGGGTAGAGAATATTGAATATTGGAATTTTCCTCATCAAAATTAATTATTTAACCTTCACCGATACCATTAGAGTGACGATTTTGTCATTATTTCAATGTAAAGTAAAGTGAAAGGAAAATAATAATTATGAATGAATGATTATTAATCCAACAACGGTCAAATTATGGATACTCATAGTCAAAGCAGACTTAATTTTACCTTGGTCAAAGTGATGAATAAAATATGTATAGCCTCATTTGAGATTTAGTCATTTCATAAGCCGCAGATCCGTTATCTAAATATTTAGTTGTACCTTGGTTATCGATTATCGGTATTCATCAACTACATATATATATTGTGTACAGTATTAAATGTTGACATCAGCAGGAAGTAGATATTCCTACTTATCATTCGTCATACTCACACCAGAGATGTGTCAAGTGTGACTCATTTAAAGTCGTCCACCAAAATGTTGAACTCTTAATAAGAATAACAATAAATACTGGCAAACATTACGTCATAAGTAACAAATATCATCTTGTGATACATGCATAGATATTTATGTATGTACGTACAATAGCACTGTGACGATTCCTTAAACTGTGAGGTATGTAAATATGTACATACATAACTAAATTCAGAAATCATGTCGGGTAAAAATTAGTTTCCGGAAATATTCAATAGGGTACTGAACTTATACAAAGAGAGCAAATTCTTCGTAACATTGTAAAATCCGCAAATTCCGTAAACTTACAAACTTTTCCAAAATTGTGCAAATATTTCTCATGAAAATTGCCTTACAAATTTTTTCAAACTTACTCAGATCAAAGGCGTCTCTTTATTTTGTAAAAGTTCATCAAATTACTTTACAAAGCTTACAGATTTTACACGTTATGTGACTTTGAATTCTCTTAAAGATTATGAAACATCCATGACATGACATGACTCATGCATCTTATTTCATACAGTTTTCTACATATCTCACATGGCATCACTTAATTTACTTTTCTTGGTAAATTTATTTTTTGTAGATGAAATTAAGGCAATCTCTTGCCTTCCCATTTATGTACTTCCACACACTTTTCCTCGTATATTTATATCCTTCTGGCGAGTGTGAGTTTGACATCCCAGTTAACTTCCAGTCAAGTCAGCGGCAATTGAGTGAGTTAATCTTATCTAAACCAATTAAAGCCAGAACTGTGACGAACATGAACCAACTGCTCTGGAATGTGATGTCAGTCACGTTCGAGTCTATCTCCTCCCCATCCATATTTACCATGGTCCGTCGTCGGTACTGCTATTATTACCAGGATTATTATTATACATGGAAGGATTATACATAGCTCGTTGGCTTTAACTTTGTCGAAAGGATACATTAAGTAAATCCGCTTATTGGTGAATGTCACTCATTTATGATTTACTTACTCGAGTCGGCTATTGACTTGTCTTCTCGGCTAAAAAAGGTTGTTTTTCCTCGAATTCCAGGCCAGTAATGACTCATTCGTCGTATATAGGAATGTAAATATGTACAAGGAAATAGGCGAGAATAATAAATGAAATGTTTATATTCAGCCAGCTGTGTGGTATATGTCATTGTTTTTCGGTTAATATGTTGTGGTAACCAAAATAGACAGCTTTCACTGAAGGTATATTTGTAAATACCTAAATCTAATGAGGTTTCAATGTAGATAAATAAATGCATATGTAAATATATTTAGACAAAGGTTTTATTTTTGTAAAGACGAATTACCTCATTTCTTGCCATAAAAATTGACTTATTACATTCCAAAATTAAATGCATTAGTGTAAGTAGTAGGAAATAGTATGTATGTGCATTTACTACGCGTGAGTACTCTTAATAATGTGTATTTCCTGCGTTTTTGTTACCATATTTCAGCAAATGATGTAAAATTCGTAATGCGAAAAGTATTGTTTTGTGTTCATTGACCCAATTGAGGGCTATGCATTCTACATAGTTTGGCTTCCGACGAAGCAGTCATTTGTGGAATTCCTTACTAACTATTTGATTTGTACACACTCTCTTTAGTGCATTATCATGGTAAGATAAGGTGTAAAATTCAAGCACGACCTGCAGCTATGATAATAATAAGGCATAACTGATGAACGACCACAATTTCATTTCACATTTTGTCTCTAGTTCAGGTCAGTAGCAAAATAAGATAGTGTGGTACATACATAGTTGCCGTATATCTGTAAAAACCTTCAATTATCCATTACCTAAATTATTACTGGGAAGAATAGTGTTGTCTATTGTACGTACGTATTTATAAGCGTGGAAAAGCCCTTGACCATTTTATTCATTCATTTCACCAACCAAACCACCACCACCGTCACGAGATTTAATATATACAGATATTCCTGATTATTAATGCAGTGTATGTATGTAATACAGGTGCAAATTGCAAGTGTAGTGCAGTGTATGCCAGCAACATGCAAGTTCTAAATGATCATTTTACTTTTATGTATTTATTAACCATCCGTTGAAATTTGCCACATTGCTCGCATTATGCCGCTATTAAAATTACTTTATTGAATGTAGTGAATAAGTAGATTATTCAAATATTATGAGCTCTTGTTTAGTACATATTTTTCCGTCAATAACAAACAATTTGAGTTAGCATTTGTATGTAAATAAGTAGCTTATTTTCATTTCCCAGTTCGAAATGGAACGCAATTAATAACCTTTAGATATAAATACATATGTATTCAATTTTGGGATTTCTAGTTGAAGTTCAAAAAGTTTTGCAAGTAAGTACATATGTAATTTATTACATATTGGATAAAAACAATTGGGCGTTGAAGTCTGAAAGATTATAAGAAAAAATGGTGAGCTGGGATGCATAAATCACTTCAATTATCTATCAATGATGTCTATTGTCTATGAATATATTCATAGACTTTTTTGTCTATATAGACAAAAAATGTCTAGATATTTTACTGTACTACACACATCATACATAATCAAACTCGAATAAAATCTAAGATTGCGCACAGACTACTAAATAGTTATAATTTCTTTAGAGAAATTATTGCTGAGTTGAATTGTCTTATTGATCGTTAATTGTACTTAAAAAAAGGAATGTCAATAAACATTGGACAGTTGGTCTTCTTTAAGATTTTCAACACCTTATATAAGACGATGTTATGAAAGAGACTCAGTGGCCGCGGAAGCCATGAGGACACTAAAATTGGGGGCTTGCATAACTTGCGATGATGACAAGTGGAATAACCGTGGGGACATTTTGTCCCCACGCTTCCGCAGCCTCTGAATACTTCAAATTATTTAGTTTGCATTCAACTTGTCCTCATCGTTGTATTGTTAGTTAGTCAGTTTATTATGGTTCCACTGACACCATTGTAAATCCAGCTCACCTACATACATTTTACATCACAGAGATATGTACATGCAAGGAATAAACTAAAAGTTTAACTTTGAAGGGCATTCAACATTGCGTTTCTTGTTATGGAATTGGCTGGACATGCAGAGAACAGAAAGTTCTCAAAAGACGATCCCACACTAATAATTACGCTGACGTGCGGCCAGAATGTAAATTGGATAAAGTGAACTTTGACTCTTCTTTATTACACAGTTGGTGACACGAATTCCAGTCCAATTAAAGCAAAGAGTGTCTTCTGCACTGGCAAAATCCCGCAGTAAATATGCTAACTACATATGTATTTTATTGACCAAGTTTCAGTACATATGTAGAATCGAGTCCACTTTTTCCCCTTATCTGTGTGTTTACGACGATTTGGTCTAATGAGAAGCAATAATGACTTTTTTAAGAAAACCTTTGTTATTGTAGTATGTAATCTATATATAAAAAATAGAGAATGCATACATATTATTTATTTAGTAATGCAAGCTGACCAATGTGCATACGTAACCTTAAGCAATGTCACCATTTAACCTGAATGACTTCATTTTCGTCATTATTTCGAGGTTACATGTATGTATGTAGGTATGTATGTACTTGCATAGTTGATCTGTCAACATAAAAAAGTGTCAGTAGCTGTTCACGTGTGAGCAAGAAGAAGAGTTGTCTTAAAAGTTAAAAGTTGACTTTAAAGTTTAAACAGAAAAGATTGACGTGACAGTGATACGTTGTGACGTAAATGTTGTAAAAGTGTGCCGGAGAAAGTGCTACTTTCACTATAATAAAAGTAAAAGTATGTAAGTCCAGGCACATTGGGAGTATTCACGTCACGTCACTCAGGAACTTCACAAAACATCTTCGCAACTTTGCCGTTTTTGAGAACTTTTCGGTGTCGTGAACGACTTATGGAAATACATAAACCGAAAAAATGAGAGGAGAAATGAAATTTCACTTGACGAAAAGTTTGAAAAAAATAGTTTGCGACGATAGTAGATGTCTTTTTGTGTCACGTATATATTTCATAAAAAATAATAAAGGATTCTTATTGCAATTCTTCACAAATATCGCAAAGTTGCGAAGATATGTTGCGAATAAGTTGACGCGAATACCCCTGATATATTTTCATATCTTTCATTTAGGATTATACGCAGTATTTTATTTCCACAATAATGACATGACGTTTTTATGGTCTTGTGTTGATAGGTGGCTAGAAGATAAGGGAGGCGGATAAGAAGATATGGATCCTTCATCTCATCACCGGAAGGTTCCTCCCGAGCTCCTCTCATTTCCCGGAGTGCATTCCGTCTGCCGTGCTGCCGATAACTTTGGAAATGGGATTTCGACAGGAAAGTCCTCTCATCACCAGCGGAATCGGAGTCTGGACTCGTGGTTAGTGCTTTACGAATTGCACATTTAGCGTCATAAATATATTTCCACTGCCCTTCTCGAAGGTTTCCTCACTTCGAATTTCTACGAGAGTGGCACCAACTCTTTTAACAGCATCATAAATATGAGCAATACTATAAATTGAAAACAGCTTTACTGAGATTCATGGTAGGACATGTGTGTGAGGCAAAATGAGACGTAGAAGTTACTTGCAACGAACTAATCTTAAGACTTTTTCATTCCTCATCTGTAGGAATACAAATAGGTCAATTTTCTGTGATCGATTGACACTAATTTGATCTACATTGGAGAGAATACTATGAGAGACCTCCATTGTACATAAGTTGAGGATAAAGTCAGAGTCAGGGATAGCAATAGAATTACGGGATTGTCAGAAGGAAATCGCTAGCTCGCTGTCGTTGTCTCATTCCCATGTAATTTTGTTATTATTGCCAATATTAAAGATCATTTGCAAGATCTTCATTACAAAGAAAGAAATGAAGGATTGAGATTTTATCATAAGAGTCACTCGCTTCTGTGTACATATTTTGTGCCATCTTGAATAATGAGTTTTTCCATTTTATTTAAAACCAGCAGTAAAACAGAAACGCAAATACTGTAAACTTTTACCAATCTAAGGAAAATTAGCTTACGAATTCCTGTAAACTTACTCCGATCATTTTTTTGATAGTTTGCAAAGTTATTTTACAAAATTTTATAAGCTACCAAAAAGTGCGTGAATTGTCCCTACACTTTAATAAAAACCATGTTCCAACACCCTAATAAAATATCTTTTTACTTTGTCCCTCATCGTACTAGAGGTTTAGGGATTTAGTTTGAGTCAACTTGCACTTTAAACTAAAACCACAGAATCCCATGTCAAGGACAGTTTGAATAGGGTGAAGGGTGCGAGATGGGAGAAAAATTGTCATTCCGCATTGTTCGAGACAGTGAAGAATGTGTATGAGGAGAGGGGATAAACGAATAAAATAAAGCTTCTACATCCTGCTTCTTAGAGATTTGGTTTTCTCTGGAATTTCCTTACATACTTTTCAACTCTGCAAGAACAAGAAGAGAAAATCCGTCGAGAAGAGGCTTTCTGAATTTTTGCCTTTCAACATTTCCTACACAGACAAACTTTCGAACCTCAAAAGCCATCGTTCTCTCACAAATGTGTTCTTGTAATGTTATTCCAAGAGATTTTTTCATCGTAGCAGTGACGAAAGCAGGGGCATGGTTGAGCGAGATACATAAATGTACATATGCACATACGGATACCAAGCAATCAAAAAGTTTGAGCATCATACCCTCCATTTATTAATTTCCAGCTAAAGTTCTCCAGCCTGGATACATAAAAGAAAGCCTTCAACCGCAATATGAATTGATGTATATGCACAATATACATGCACATGTTGGTTGTGCTTTGTTGGTTTAAATGAACCATTTCATTCTACATAACAGAGCTCTCCATATGTAGAAATAGCTCCGGAATTTGATGTGGTGAACAAGATCTCATTTACTTTAATTGATCATTTCATTGGAAGGAAACCCTACCACGTCCAGGCTGAAAGACCACAGAATTTGAGTTTCTTGGAAAGCCTGGCTAAGCATATTGATGATATCAGCTTCTATGTATGAATGCATGGGTTAGCCTCGCATAACGAAAATTTAATTTGTGGAACCCATTTATTTAGTTTATATAATTGAACTTGACATTTCACTTGGTTGGCATTTACCATCCACTCCACTCGGGCTTAATTGTGCCTTGTAATAAATAGTGTTGACAGAATGCGAATGGTGCCAAAAGGAGTTTTTTATTTTTATCGTTCCGGGTAGTTTCACTCCAACATGCGGAACGACAGCTATTTGCGCAATTGCATATGTACATTTCTTGCTGTTTCGTGCACTTTGGTGCGAGAATAAAAACATGTTGATGGAATCTTCCAAAATTCAAGGCGAAAGTGGAGGCATGCAATTTTGGATACTGTAATCACATCGAATTTACTTTGGAGTTTCGTCAGGTTTGGTGTCAATAACCATGCATAATAAAGTGCGAGTTATATAATTATTTAGGTGTACACTGTTAGAAATCTGACAGGTAGTGATTTCTCTGTGTTAAAGTCATTAATATTATACCGGTACGTACAAATTTGTTACCGATGTGGTAAAACTTTAATACCGAGCTATTACTACCCGGCATTACTTATCAATACCACTTCGGTAGAGTTATAAATACATGAATACCGCTTGGTATTATTTCAATACTGGATTTCTAAGAGTGTAGTATTCAAATGTACTTAACCTAATTAGCAATCCCCGCACGTACGTATGCATGATTGAAAATTAGAAATTGTGTTATTGTTTTAAATTATTTGCCATTATCGATCCTCATCGTGGCTCTACATGTTAGAAATTGGATCATTTCTAGTACATACGTATATCGAGTATGCATTTACAACCATCTGGCTGATGAATTCATGACAGACATACCAAATAACGAGTTATGAATGACGTATGTACAACGCATTAGCATGCAAAAACAATAACATGTGTGTGGTTACACAAGGAAGAGGTTTTGTGTTTGTGCAGATTGCAGATGCATGATGCATTGCTGAAGTGATGAAGCGTGGTCAAGGTTTATTATGAAACTATCACTCTTTTTTCATGAAGTGAACCAGTTGCACTTTGTTGGCTGTCGTCCATATAATCATTATGTAGGGTAAATTATTAGCCAGTGCAGTAGTACTAAAATAAGTATTACAATGCGTTGTGATTGTTATCGAGTGAATCGGCAAATACATAGATGTGTGATTGTTGAGTGCATATGGGGATTTGATGAAAATGATGTGCAATTCATTCATGGTCACCGATATATTTGTACCAATCTGTATGTAAAGATGACGATAAAGCAATGCAGCACAGGGCTACGCGTTGTATGGTCATGTCATTATGTGAGGGCGTAAAATATCCTGATTCCAATTTTGTCGATATTGGTTTCTCCTTACAAACAGACAGACAAACCGTTTATATAAAGTAGCTTTCACTACTTATATAATAAACAAAGTGTGTATATTTTAAAATATACACGTTCAAAATATGTAAGGATATTTTTCAATGATGTGAAACATGGTTGTTTGCAGCGAAATTTCACCGGCCTCGGCTATTTGGACTTTCTCTAAAAAAAATAAAAGATTTACGTCCACATTGTGAAAGAATTGGGCTTCAAATTGCCTCCATTACTTTTAAATCTTCTGACAGGAGATTTATGTAACTGATATAACATGTGGTCCATTAAGGATTTTAGTTATAAAGAGTAGTTTTGTTTTGGGAGTTATTTAGCACTTTTAGTTCAACCTCGTACGGGCAGATCAGTTTCGCGTGAGCGAATCCCTAAATATTACATATGTGCATGTTTCATAATATTTATACATACATGAACTCACATATTAATGCATTATAGATTTTTGGGTGTGACGTACCACTCACACCTGGTACTGCTTAAATACACGTATATCATATCTTGACACAAAAATTGAATCTGTTCATTCCAGTTCTAAAAACCATATGAATCAGGTCACCTAAAATAAAACTACAATGTAACTCTGATAGTCTCATACAATTCAGCGAGTAAATGTAGGACAGTCTTGCCCGTCCGCCTTATCTGCACCCAGTCTGGAGCAATCAATCTACTCGAACAGAACTAATTTTATCGGAGATAGAGTTAATGGGAAATCGAACGGGGTGTTTCCCAGCAGTCAAAATGAGACGATTGGATTATACAGAAGATTTATACGTTGTTCTACATTCTAGATTCTACTCTGGGTCTGTTCTCGATTAAGTGGAATACTAACGATTGTAATTATGTTAGAATTCAAGAACTAGTGATGCTCTGTAGAAAGCAGAATAAATTATTTTAGTCTGGAGTCTATATATCCGCGAATAAGACGCTCAAAATCATGCTAAGTAACTCGTGATTGGAATAAAGTTAGCTTTAATCCTTTGCTAAGGAGAAGCATGACGATCCTGTTTACGACATGTCATTTCCCCCAAAATAATCTCAGCCACTTGGTCCGTCTCACAACCATCCTCGCCTACGAAGGACAATTTGCCCTCTTATTTTGAGACATTTTACGACATTTCATGCCTTTTGTTCCCTCGTTTGGTTTTGTCAGGCGGTGCAGTTCTCCAACGTCAGTCAGTTGACAGTACACTGTACTGAGTACAGTACAAACGAGCTATTCTCCCCTAAAAATGAAATCTTTTAGCAGAGATAGGGGAGAATGTGTGATTGCGGATATTCACTTAATAGCCCGTAATGATTTGAAATATGATCACGTTTATGGACCCGGCCTGCCCTTTCATGGCATGTTTTGCGTCATCATCAGTGTAATTCAGCATCAAAAATTGTAGAGATTCGTAGTTTAGTTTGGGATGAAACTGGTAAAGGAAGGGATCCTTGTTGTAATATCTTTTTTGCTTTCTCTTTTCTCTTAGCTACACACAATCGCTCTTTCATGTTCATGGTCGGTCAGGTTACATTAATTTTGTAGACAAAGTATGCATGTATACTGCTGCGACTGGCATTTTATTCGCTTATGAACCCTATGCATGCATATGTACGGAATGGTTTAGCTTTTAGTGATTGACGTAATACAGAAGACTGATTAGTAGTGGAGATTCCATGTTATGACCTACATTATGTAAAATAAATAGACTTGTGATAGTAGAACTTATGGCGTATAGTCCTTGTGGTCAGGCAGGGCAGCAATAATTCAATTTATAGACTAGCTCCTAAATGCTGGGCGGGTCTTGGAGAGATCTATTCTGTTTATTTCTGACTTTTTATAGCTGAACTAGATATGAAGATTTACTATGTATGCACTGCGGAGTTGCAGTATATGTAAATTGAGACTTATGTATTTTTGTAGTCACATTTACCTAACTAACTTTGATATTAACCATACTGCTTACATGCATGTAAACAGTATGTATATTTCAGATTCAAAGCATTTATACTCCTCCGGTAAATGTCACACTTTGAAAGAGAATACAAATCAAGTGCTAAGTAATTAGCAAAACTGCAGGCGCAATTTTATACCCTTGTTCTATTCTTTCATAATCGAAACACTACTCGGAAATGTAACAACGCATAACGGCAACTATCTAGCACTAATTGTGCAAAGTGCGTCCTTTTATCATACATATCTATACCTAGTAAGTATCTAAAAGGCGTCTGAAATGGAGAAGCTAATCTATCTACGCAAGTAGTGCAGCTTTTGGGGTTTATGTAACTGAAAATGGCAGCAGGATGGCAGGAAAATGGGATTAGATTTTTTATAGAAAACATTATATGCACAAGGTCATGAAGTCATGATCAAAGTCAAAGTGAAGCTATGGTACAGCAAAAAGCCGACGAATAACAACACAACATCGTATGTACATACATACGTACATGAGGAATATATGTATAATAGAACACAATCACGATTTGGCTTGGGTAGCTTTATTATTATTGGTTTGACTTTACTAAACTTGCGCTTCATTTCGCGTTGACTTGTTGATTTGCATTCTCAATCCTTGAAATATGTCTGTCTGGCTTATGTATGAGATTCTACATACAATTGATGGCTTTGCGGGTACACTACTGCTGTACTGATTGGTAAATCAGTACAGCAAATATTGCACTACATAAATGATTCTGAAATTGATTCGATATTAGCACAAAAGGAAATCCATAATGCAAAACTTCGACGTATGAAGTTGCTGAATTACCTTGATGTACATAAGTAGTTGCACATATGCACATATATGACCGACGCCAAATATAGCTAACTCCAAGTATATCACTCTATTTTTCTACGAATATGTACAATGTAGGAGGTTGGACAAGGATGCATAAATATATCTGTAAAAATTTTACGGCATTCCCACCCACCTATTATGGTTGTATTAAACTCAAATTCCAAAGTTCACCAGGATGCAATTCTGAGGTCATCTTAAAAGAAAAGAGGTGGACGTATGTAGTATGTAATACATACTATGTATGTACCTAAATTACAAGTATGGTTCAAAGATTATTTGGAAATAAGTATGGTGTTAATCCGTCCGATAAATACAATGCGAATTTAGATTTGAATCATGTTCTGATAATGAAATCCGTCGTGATAACAGTTTAGACGATGTCGTCTCCTATGCCGTGCACAAAATTTGTGCCAAATAATATGAATCCTTACAAACAAGAGCCCCTGAACTTTAGAGCTCACTAAAAAAGTTGATTAGCACTCAATAATTGTCATTTGTTCTCATTTTTTTCCTAGATAAGGGAACGTTCATAAAGTACGTAACGTAAAATTCGTGATTTTTAACCCCTTCTTCCCCTCTCGTAACGGATTACACACCCCCTTTTAACATGTGGCGTAAATTGATCCTCAACAGCCAGACCCCTCCCTCTCCTCCGCTATGTTACGTACATATTTATGGATGTTCAATAAAATTATTGACTGTGTGATATGATAAACAGTTTAAAATCTTATCTGCTGACAATTAAAGTGCATGACGGATGAAAGTACAGCAGTGAACGCGAAATCTCATCTCATTCACAAAATCTCATTCACAATTAATTTCACAAAGCGGCACCGTTCGCGTTCTGTCCTGTTCTTTTCGTGAACATATGTTCGAGCATCAACAAAATATTTCAGGTCCAATATTTACTCATCTGTAGAAAACAACAAATTAGTAATTAATTTAAACAACAAGTTAGTAATTTTTAAATTAATAATACTGAAATAATTAAGTCGTCTGACTTTTTTGGGTTGGAAAATCTACAAATTTATATATTTTGACTCGTTTCTGTTCAAACTATTCATTCAAATTTATTTCTTAATTATTTGTGATGATTTAAAAACACGGGTTTAGTAATTGCCTGCTCTCCCAGCAATTTATTTTTAACTGGCTTCAAAATAAACAAGTCGTTGCCAGGCAGGAAATTCACCCAAAACAAATAATAAACAACTCATTGTTTGTTGACAACTTGATTGACACAATTTTCCCTCAAAAATAAATAAACTGATTATGAAGGCCGTATTTACCAATGTGCGAAATAGTGAATAACTGATAAATTTACATAATTGTAATTAAAACGACTAAAATTTAACTGTTTTGTTTTATTTTTTATTTCACAGGGCGATTCTACGAAGTTCATCACGCGACTGCGACTCCTCTTCCGCCATTCTAACCTCTCCCCTCAAGTTGTCTACGCTTCCATCTCCTATTGAACCGCACCCACAGGAGGGGGCAGGAGGAGGTGGGGTCCTCGACCCGCTGGGGATGTCAATCGATTACCACCACAATCACCAAGCTCCCCTGTATCATCGCCAACACTCGAGAAATAGGAGCCTGGACTCGGCCCAAGTCCAGTCTTATCTCCAGTTTAATGTCAGCCCCGACATTATGGACGACCTGGACCTCAATCCCCTCCAATTGCAGTTGGTTTCCGCCGCCTCAAAGTCGCACACGCCCATCTCCAACGATAGAATACTTTCTCTCAAGCAACAAACCCACTTCCACTATTGTAGACTACACCGCGATTCGGACAGCAGTGAAAGCCCAGACTCACAACTTTCACAACTTTCCAGTGCAATGGGGGTGGTTGTTTGTCCGTCTAAATTGAACAAGTGTACGTGTGCGTGTGCCGTAAATTCGGACGATTCTGGTATTTGTTCAGGTGCGAGTGGAACGACGGGATCGGTAAGTAGAGAAGTATTTACATATTCGCATGATTTAAGGATGAAATAATTAATGATTAAATAATTAATAAATTAATAAAATAATTAATCGTAATAATTTACAGGAAACGGACGATGTGACCAGCCGAGTTGCGTGTGACCACTGTAAAGACCACGACGACGACACGGATGGTCACGACTTTAACTGTGGAAGTCCAAGATTAAGTTTTGACTCTGCGATAATCATGACAGAAGAAGATACTGAAATGTTTGATCAGTTTGACGAAACTGCGGATACAATGTTGCTCAATAATGAGGCTAGTTTTAGTTTTACCAATTGTGAAACAAAGTCAAGTGAGGATTTAGAGAGGACGTTAACGAATCAATTAATTCCCAACGGTGAAATTTTAAATCTTTCCTTACCCACTACCACCACCCCGACTCCTAATTACGACGACGATGACGACAACGAGGAGCAAAGAGCTGTGGAGACTGAACCCACAGAAAAGTGTGTCGAACTTCCAGTCGTAATTGAGAATGTGGTGGCCCCTTCCCCATCGTCTTCCTCCGGAGGAACTTCCTTGTTTAGTAGAATGAGGGTGAACGCAAGAAATAATAAAGTACCAACGTCTAAACCTAGCCCAGTAACTTCAGGAGGCAGTAATATTGCGTCCGGAATGCGAAACAAGTTGAGGTTAAATTTTGGGAAGGAAAAGAAGGCAAAAAATGTGACCACGCCGGCAGAGTCGGAAGCTGCAAAAACTGATAATGTCAATACTGAAAAGGGAGTAGATCCTATATTAATGATTGAGGAGAAAGCGTCTGGATCTAACGCCAAGGACTTAAACGACCAGGAAGCTCAAATGGACGTGAAATTTAAGAAAGGGTCCTTACCTCAAACCATTGCTAACAATTCGTGGCTACTGAGGTTCTTTGAAAGTCAAGTGTTTAATATGTCGTACGCCATTGGCTACTTGTTTTCCTCCAAGGTAAGCACACACATATCTTTCTTTTATTTTACTTGTACATAACATTCTTGTTTATTTGAAGACTATTTATATAAATGTCTATTTTGTTCGATTCTAGGAACCCGGAGTGCAACAATATATTGGTACGTTTCTTATTGACGAATAAATGTGGTGAAAGTTTCTAATAAAATAATGTTGTTTACAGTAAACAAGCTCTTCACTTTCCCTAAGAAGGAAGTTGACCTTTATCTTCCAGAGCTGGTGACCATGTATTTGCAAATGCCAGACATTGCTGAAGTTTTACATCCCTATTTTGTTCATCGGTAATATCTGTATTTATGTTGCCAATTCCGAGATAATGGATGTACAAACTTATAAAACCTTGCTATTTCCTATTTATTTTCTAGGTGTCGAAAATCTGTAGCCTTCAGCCTACAATGTGCCTGGCTTTTGGATGCATATTCTTCAGATGGACAAACTAGAAAAAAGTCACTTGGAACAAAGCTAAAGGCCATGATTCTGAACGACTCGATGAGGTTGGTCCAACTCTCCAGGGCATCAAAACTTTTTAATGTACGTATCCGGTACTAATCTTACTTTAATTCTCCTTTAGACCAAAAGGAAAGGATGGAAAACTCTTTAGAAAATTATCCAGCATCCAGTCGCCTAGTTCTCCATCTTCCACTGAGCCCCCAAACTTTCCTCCGAGTGGTTATGCTACTCATACTCTTGGGGTCCCGTCCAAAACAAAAACACATCAAAGGTCATTTTCCGACGCTCCAATGATGAAACCCGGATTCAGCGAAGATAATTTAGACATGAATAGGAATCGGCACAAAAGAGTGGGTTCGCTCGGATTGCCCAGAAACTGTTTGGGAGACCTTACCTCTGGTCACTGTTTCGACAATGGGTGCACGTGCTTTCAGTCTGTGTTCAATGACGTCAAACCCTCAGAAGGTTGTCGTTGTGGTGTGAGTAATCCATATACAAAATACCCACCAATAAATATGCCAAAATATGGAGGAGATTACTAATAATGAGCAGTTGATATGAAATTCTATATTATTATTTCAGGCTCCAAGACTCTCCCCTCAATTAGAATTTATGAATTCTCTCATTCAAATTGGAAAAAATCTATCATCCATACCAAACAAGGACGACAAACCTCCAAAGTTAATAGCGGAACTGAATTTATTGAACCTCAATCTTCCTGCCAGAGTTTGGATTCCTGTTCACGGCCATATCCCACACGTCGTGCTAAGAATTCCACCTCAAGACGCCACCGTGTTAAATTCGAAAGACAAAGTAGATATACTTAAATTTTAATTGCACTTCTTTAACGATTAATGTACTCAATATTCAATAATATCTGTTTTCTAGACACCTTACATGATTTACGCCGAAGTTCTTGAAGTTCCGGACGTCGAGTCTGCCAGAGTCCCTCCAAAACCCACGATAAATAATTTATTGAGGCATTCTCGATCTGAGGAAAACATTATTGAGGCTGAATCCAAGTCTAGCGAAGTGCCCAAGGACTTGTTGACAGAATCTCATGCGTCATCATCTAATTTAAATATCCCTACAATTTCAAGTAGTGGAGACCTTCATTCAAACTCGGATTGTTGGTCGCAAGAAGATGACGAAATATCTCTTCAAGTGGGTTGGAATATTAATTTAATTATTATTTTTTATGTAAAATTACTTGCATTATATATTTCAATTTGATATATTTCAATAATTGCAGTACTTGCAAATGAAGACAAAGACGCGAAATGAAGATACTATCTCTCAAATGAGTATTGACTCGTGTGATTCCCGTGAACCAATGATGGTCTCAGCTATTGATATTCGAAGGTATATAAATAATTGCTATGTCCACATTTGAATAAATCACAACAAATGTACTGGAATTTAGTATAAACAACTTCTAATTATTTTTTATGATTACAATAAAGTAATAACATGTTTTCGAATTAATTCATAGGAGGCTTTCAGAATCTCTCAACGCTCCAAAATCAACATTTCAACGTGATCCTGAAGATCCAAGCGCCTCAGTTTTGAAAGAACAGTTCTCAATAAAAGTAAGACAACTGGAAATTTACTTCCAAAAATTATGCGAGTTTAGTTTTCGACCTTTTTAAAACATACACAATTTTTGTACACCAGGTAAAACGGATCCAAGATAGCAGTCCGTTTGGTCAGGTATGTAAATATGTTATTATTTATTATCATGAGCGATTGAATTAATTTTAATTTTGTTTGTTGCAGTTGAACGGTTGGAGATTGTTGCCTTGCATTGTTAAATGTGGTGATGACCTAAGACAAGAGTTGCTAGCGTACCAATTGCTCACCTTATTAAAGGACATGTGGGAAGAAGAACGGGTTGCGTTATGGGTTCGCCCTTGCAGGTTTGCCACTCATCATAAAATAAATTTATTAGTGTTGCAAGTAAATAAGGTGGTTTTTTAATAACTATGTAAATATTATGCGTTGTTTTTGCAGAATATTTGTGCTGTCAAGTGACAGTGGAATGATTGAACCCGCAGTAAATACTGTGTCGTTGCACCAAATTAAGAAGCACTCGAAATTGTCTTTATTGGAATACTTTCAACAAGAGGTTAGTTAGTTAATTTAATTGATTGAATCACAAAAAATACACTTGTTAAATACAATTGATATTAAATGACTTATTTACTTTCTTTACAGCATGGTCCTGAAAATTCTGAGGCATTTTTAACCGCACAAAGAAATTTTGTCGAGAGTTGTGCTGCCTACTGTTTGATTTGCTATTTGATGCAAGTTAAGGACAGGTTAGTATTTCGTTTATTAAAAACTTTACCAAATATTTGAAACAGTAAGGCAATTCACACAGCCATTGGTAACTTTGTAAAATTCGTAAATTTTGTCAAATAACTTTATTAACTTTTACAAAATAAAACGACACCCTTGAGCTGAGTATGTTTACAAACATTTATAAACTAATTTTCCTGAGAAATATATGTAAAAGTTTGTAAAATTTTGTAAGTTTACGGATTTTACAAAGTTACCAATGACTGAATTGCACCAGTACAATTCAGGTCAGTTATAATAATTCATATAATAATTCACGGTTTTATGTACATATTTCAGACATAACGGCAACATTTTACTGGACAACGAAGGTCACATTATCCACATTGACTTTGGATTCATTCTCTCGACATCTCCAAAGAATCTGGGCTTTGAAAACTCACCATTTAAATTAACCGACGAATTTGTCCAAGTGATGGGGGGTGAGTTTGATAATTACATAATTACATAATAATATGTCATAATTAATAATTACATAATTATGTTCGACAGGTCCTGGATCGGATATGTTTGAATATTTTAAAATACTCATGCTCCAGGTAAAGAAATGCATAAATATGACAAATTTTGTCTTGCAAGGTCATGCTAAAAAATATTTAAATTGTTCAGGGACTTGTCGCTGCTCGAAAATACTCAGATAGGATATTACACGTGGTCGAAATAATGGGATCCGGTAAGTCATTCTCTCTCATGCCTTATGCATTTTAAAAGAAAAATATAAGAACAAATTGTGCAACTTTTTCCTTTCTATTTACAGGCTCCCAGTTACCTTGCTTCAAATCAGGAGTCTCGACTATAACCTCGTTAAAAAGCAGATTTCACATGAGTATGACAGAAGATCAGCTTCAAGCATTAGTGAACGACTTAGTAAATCAAGCTTTAAGGTTAGTATTTATTTTCCAATCAAAATTACGTATTAAATTAAGAATCAGTTGATTACATAAATGTGTCTTTTCTAGATCATTCACCACAATGATGTACGACCGCTTTCAATACTTTACCAATGGAATTTTATGATCTGATCTACAATTTCGTCTTTCGCTGGAGTATGTATTCGGACTGGTCATCAATTCATTTCTGGTTCATCACATTTTCCATGCAAACTCGCATTCGCATCAGCAGAGTAGCTTTAGTCTCCTTCTCCTACCTTCGAGGTGTGGAGTAGTAATAATGCATAATAAATATGTATGTGACTGTCCTCCGGTATGAATTGCCTCACACTTTAGTCATTATAATTAAACTATTTAAGGGACGTAAAAAAATTTATTTGCGTGCATGACATTCAATACATTTAGATACTCCAAGTAAAAATATATTTGATATTAATTTATTAATTAGTGATAACTTCCTCTATTTGATTTTGTTTAACAAAACCAAAAAAACTGAATTGTATGCTTAAATTACTAAATATTTGCCATAATTTTCACCCACGAGCTATTAACATAAACATTTAATTAATCATTTACATACATATATTTTTTTGTCCTTAACATTTATCTTGCTTATTCTTTTGTCTGTATCATAAAATAATTGCCTTACTTGATTTGGACTTCGGGTATTATGTATTTATATGCACTTTGATGATATAAACGTTACAGTACAAGAAAGAAAAGTGGAGAAAGTTTTGTTATGAATATTCACTTTAGGCTGAACTGTATTAAAATGTTTGTTATTGTTAGAGATGCATAATGTACACTTTTAGTAGATATGTACATATGTATACGGGAATTATGTAGACTAGATAAGAAAAAGATATATAATGTACGAACGAAAAGTATTAGCATTGCCTTTTCTAGTTTGAACTTCGAGTCGCTCAGCATTGTCAAGCATTGTCATTGTCAATCATTTCTTGGACTTAAAGTGCCTAAAGTAAAAAAATTATGTAGAAATTGAGTGCATGCCGGTTATAATGTGTAAGACGTGGACCGTTTTCGTATATGTAAACAAAAATCATGAACAAGAAGACATTGTCGGAGTATTGTTAGTATTGTTGTTATTATGCGTACATATACATCATGGACTCTTTTTGATGCCCTCCACACATTTCCATCGCTTTCTGGATTGCTACTAAATATACATAAATAGCTAAATTGTTCAACAATTGGTTAAGTTTTGCATTGTTATTACGTACTGCTAAAAGCACAATGAGATGCGCTATAACGGATATTTGATATGGACTGAAATAACTTGAAAATAATAAAAAAAAATCAATTCGCTCGGATATGTATGCATTTCTGTCTCATTATTTTTTTTACGTTTGTAATAAAACTTTTGTTTTATACGTACAGTGCAATAGTAATAATTGATTCATGACAGGGTAGGATGGTGTGTAGGTACATATATATGTATGTATCAGCAATTCGTTTACTCAATAATATGTATGTGCATATATATTGGAAATCAGGGTGATTTTATGTATATGTATGTAGGTAATCAAGCATCGTTAAATGAACTCAACGGGAGATTAATAATGCATTTCGTGTAAGATATATTTAGGAGACAAAGTGTTATTTTTACTGGTTGAGATTCAGATGATCAACATAAGCCTTTATAAGTATTTTTGTAATGCCTGATGATAATGAAACGATTCTTGTGAGCATTATTACCACTATCACGAGCTAACACATTAGTATTCCGGTTTCCTTAGATAAAAGTATATTATACAGATAGATATATATAAGAAATAAGTCTTTGCATATGTGCATACATATGTAGGTACATATATGTAAGTATCTCTGTATTTAGATAGACAGATATGAAAAACTATATACCAATGCAACAATTAGAAGTGGAATGATGCCCAACCCAACCTACTCTACGATACTGACAATGATCCATGGTCAAATACTATACCGGAAACGGGAACCCTTCTTCACGAATTTCTGTACATATGGACAAACTTTGGGAGAAAGTGAAAGCAAACTTTCTCTCGTGTCCACTCCACATGCACACTCAAATCAAAACATCTCCATCGATTCACATACCCATTTTCCTTCGGTTTGTGTCGGTCCGCACACAAGATTTTCAAGGTCCACATTTTGTCAACGAGCCCTTACATATTAAACACGCACGTACTCCAACCTAGTGTCCATTTCGCCTCAGATACATAAACACGGCCTGAAATCGTGACCGATTTTTACTCCAGATAATACACATTTCTTTCTGAATGAGAACATAAAATGTTTGCGCCCATTCCATCCGTCTGGTTGCTGATAACGTGGTAAAATCAATTAAATAAGAAATCATAAGCGTTTCTTAGTCTGTTTTTCATTGTCGATTAAAGAAAATTAAGTAACACAAATATGTTTCCATTCAAATTAAAAATAATTCAGATTACCAAAGCTTTCGCTTTCGGAGGGAAGCATGTGATCGATTTGAGGGGGTGGGGGTCAAGGTATCCCTATGCTAATTACATCATATAGGTCATATCAGGGGGTGTAGGGGTCAAACTTCTCGGAAAATCGATCACATGCTTTATGTATGGCCCCATATACATGGTTAAACAAATATTTACATATATTTCTTCACAGCGCATTTTTGATCACATCTACTGCCACATTTTCCGTGGAGGACACAAAAATCATTGACAATCTTCTAGCCAACTATTCTGGAAAGGTTTTGCCTTATGATCGCAATGGTGCGTATGAATTATTGTATACATATTTGTAAAAGTTAGGTAATTTTCTCGGAAAGTTTGTAACAGATCAAAAATTTCTTACATAGGAACCCATCCAACCATCGTGACCGTTAACATATTGGTCACATCAATAACGGACATTGATCAAGTTAAAATGGTAAGGATACGAATTGGTCAAATTGAGACAAGACAGTGAGGCAGAGTGAGATTCACGCAGGCCTTGCTAACATTGTAAAATCCATAAGTTCTGCAAACTTGCAAACTTTTACAAAATTTTTGTAAGAAAATCAACTCACAAAGTTCAACAAAACTTACTCAGATCATGGACCTCTTTTTATTTTGTAAAAGTTAATAAAATTATTTTACGAAACTTACGAATTTTACAAAGTTACCCATGACTGCGTGAATTGCCTCAATGCTTGTTACAATTCGAATCGTAAATCTTGTGACAAACTTACTAGCAAATTTAAAAGTTTTAAATTACATAATAATGTAAAATCTTGAAAGATTTCAAATAACTTTCTCGACTACTTTTTAAACTTAATTTTTAGACTTTCACTGCACAACTAACATTTAGAATGGAATGGTATGACGCCCGTCTCAAGTATAACGAGAGCACGAAAGGTGACAAATGCATACACATTTTGATCAGATTAAGAATATGTGGCAACATCTCTTCCTACATATTTCAGATGTACCACGGTACCTCTCAATTCCTCCCCAGTTTGGTAAAAAATTATGGAAACCGGACTTGCACTTTGCCAATGAACAACAACACTGGAAACACGATGTTTTTGTGGCAAACGAATTTTATCGAGTTTATGCAAACGGAGAAATCTTATACAGCACAAGGTACATATGAATACATGATCTCAATATCTAATTTTCCCGAAAATTTTGAAAGTTTCTTGTATTACTTACAGAGCATCAATAAAATTCACTTGTCCCATGGATTTGCGACTATTTCCATTCGACAAGCAAACATGCCCTATTGAATTTTCAAGCTGTACGTAGCGTAATACACAATTCAAAACGCGTAAACTTTGTAAGAAACTTAATTCCCTTTATATTTAGTTGGACACACAAATGAATACCTGATTCTAAAATGGCATGAGCATGCCCCGCTACAAATTCCGAGTGATTTGACCATCGACTATAATTTCAATCTGGACGACTTTTCGACCAATTATTGCCACGAAGCGACCCACACAGGTATGCAAAAGTTCACGAACAATAATAGAAATTTTCTAGCAAAAACGCTTTTCGAAATCTAAAATTTCTGAACACCTTCTTTATATCTAAGTACATACATATGCTCAATTTCTGACATATTTATGTATGTAAAGTAGAGGTTGACCTGAGTACACCATACGTATGCACGCATTTATTTATTTACTACCTAATTAACACAGGATAGCTTTACGCAATTCATTATAATTAAGCAGAGTCTCACCCCTGCCGATATGCACTTATCCGCCAATTAACTAAATATTTTTTTTCTTCTCCAGGTGTTTACAGCTGTCTCCGTGCGGAATTCATATTCGGTCGTAAATCCTTCCGCTACCTGCGTGACTCTTACGCACCAATGGTTATCTCCATCCTGCTAATCTGGACGTCCACGTGGATAAGCTCATCCGACCTGGGAGGCATCCTAGCCCGAGCCCTGCTGCTCGGAGGAGCCACTTTCTACTGTAAATGGTCCACCTCGAAATATGCGTCCCTTGTCCCTTACATGACCACGTGGGACATGTGGGACACCTCCTGCACTGGATTCATTGTCGTCGCAATAGTAGAATTTGTGCTGGTGGTTGTACTCCATTCTGAATCTCCAGGAAAGAAGAACACGTGCCGGGGAAGGATTGATATCGCAATCAGATTACTTTATCCGATCGGATTCGTACTATTTGCCGTTACCTATTTCGCCATTTATGCAAAGTGGGAGAAACAGGAGGATGTCGAGGAGGACGATAATTATTTGGACGGTGACTAACAAGGATTTTCAAAGCTTAAATTATAACTGGTTTTGTTACGCTAAAAAAATTTTGACTTTAATTAAAGTAGGCAAACACATGTAGTTAATTGTAGTTACATACATAGATAATTATCTAATATACAGTCATGTATGTTGTAAACCATGTTGGTTTTATTTTTAATAAATATGTCAATCAGCTGAAAGAAGATCGTTATTTAAATTCACGATATAAATATTCCCAAAGTTATTGTTTCGTTATCTCATATTTATTTTTCGAAATTCAGCATTTTTTGCACAAATATGCACATAAATTCATACATATGTGCACAAATCGATGTTTCTCATTAAATACCATAATACTAAATCATGCAACTTACAAAAAAAATTATGCCACTCAAAGTATGAAATATCGATTATAGTTAAACACATACATAACTGTATATACAGACACGCAACTTTCCTGCGTCCGTGTATGTAAAACTTCAAGGTGACGCCAACAACACCAGGGCTTTAGTGTATGTACCGTAATTTTGTGGATGGACATACTTATTTACATATTACCCTCCACTGTCTCCGCTTCTGTCCTCATTTCAAACTGATATTGATCAAGTTGTACATACGTAGACAAATCTATGTAAAATTTATGTAAAACAACAACTTTCACTTGAAAAAATGAAGTTCACTTGTTACCTGGACATAAAATGCTGTTCTGTTCAACATATGAAATTCCTGGTCGTGGTAAGTACAAATAATTTGACACACTTACTTCATCTTAATTAACTGTAATTATTTTGTATGCATATTTAGATACTTGAGATACTTATAATTACCACGATTCAATTCTGCTGGGCTGGTCCACCCACAATTTTCTTTTTTACTTTCTCCATTCTCTCGCTCATTATCACGGTGATTCTGCTCCTCGTGGACGCGTTTCAGTGGAGACGATACGTTTCTGATGTGGACACTTTTGTGAGTAATACATACAAAATTTTATGACATATTTACATATATAAATACATCAAAATGATACATTTATTGTTACATCTGCTCCTGGGCGTTTCAGTGGAGACGATACTTCTCTGATGTTGTGAGCACTTAAACAATTATATTATGACACACATACAGTGGAATTATTTGTGCGTGTCACCTCATTTGCATATTTTTACACATTCGTGAAAGACATACATACGTAGAGTTTATTCACAATGAAACGCATCGTCGAAAATCGGCATAGTGAGATTTATGCAAATGAGATTACACGCACAACTAATTTATAATTATTTTCATATTTATGGCTTAATATACATTTACATATTGGAATAAAGGAACCTGGATTCTTTCTCTGTGGAGGGTTAGTTAATATCGTGTGTGGCATCTTGATGGGTACTCTGAAGGGCAGTCGGTGGGAGGAGGCACAAGATCCTAATGATCCACCTATGATTAAGAACTCGCTAACTGCATTTGTTGCGGTGACATACGCATTTTATTATTACCGCTGGCATGAAATTTAGCTTATCGAGACAAAAATTTCAGGGGATTGGAACACTGAATGGAATATTATGCCTGATCATTGCTGCTAGAACGCATCAGTGCTCAGGGACAGGATCACGTAATGACTGTGAAGACCTGACAAGCAACAACCGAATTGGAGATACGGGCGAAATTTCGTCGCCACGAGTGGATCCACCCCCACCGTACACTGATGCAGTTCAAATTCCACCCTATTCGCAATTCATGTGATGAAGGTTTCATTTTGAGATCTGCTACATTCAAGATATGAGTAATTTTGTAATTTAACGTTTTAATGTGATAACACGCTTAATATGGAAAATGTTTATAATTTGGTACTAATTTCACATCTAGAAAACCATAACACGATTTGGACTAAACTGTTCAAACCTAACAATTTTTGTAGAGGTTTTTAAAGTTTTCATTTCTGACCAACTACTACATAATTTTCCAAAAACATCGATTCACAAACTTTACGTCAACAATACAAATTGGTTTTTGCTATTATACATATGTAAATACGCGATACGAAAAAATACACATAAAACAAATATGCATTGAAGTGCTCATGTAGATATCTGTACTTATTGTTAGATACATACGTGTGAAAGTTTTGTAGTTAAGTACGCACGAAAGTTGTCTTGTCACGGAAGTTATGATTTAGCAAGGAGACTGATAGAATTCATAGAAAACAAACAACTTTATGTACCTATGCTTACGTGAAAAGTATATGTACATGCGTATATATCTACATACATACGACACAAAGCATATGTACATTGTACATATCTTATACATAAATCAATTCGTTGATCCAGGGAAATCGTTGACACTGTAACGCGAGAGATTTTGATTCGAAGTAAAGAATTATTGGACTTAATATCCAGTCTGAATTCATGCCATGAAGAAAATGTATTGTCCAAAACGTTAAATTTCTTAGGATGCCGCAATATGAAACAGTTTTATATTATTGTTAGATAAAATTTTTACTGACGATTTCATTTATCACAATGATTTGCATGTACATACATACATACTTTACTGCAAACAAATGAATTTAATAAATTTTATTCCGAATAAATTAGCTAATCATAGACAGATGTCTGAAACATTTATATATTCATGTTCAAAAATTTAAACAATGCGCGCCATAATTCGGCCACACATCTGGACAACAGTTGTCGCCACGTCAGAGACAGCAGACGTGATTGCAATCGTATTTCCGACGGGAATTGCGCCAGGGGTGACGGACCATCGGAGAGTGTATTGCATATCAGGCTGGACGGCCGAGTCGGGAATGTCCGCGTCGATAATGGTGACATCGGCGCCTTGGAATCGAGCGCTCACGTGAAGATGGAGCGCAGCTGAGGCAGCGGCAGGAATGACGTCCCCTTCACAATGGTATTCCACGCCCGGCGTCATTTCAGCAACTTCCCCCTCACAATCGCTAATCCTGATTTGAACGACTTGTCCGTCCCCACCTGCAAAAATTAGGGGAAATTTGCATAAAAATCTTGGTTAATTTACGTAATAGGTCAATCTTACCACAAGGTTCGTGGACAACGACGCCAGCCGAGGCGGCAACAATGCAGAGGGCTAGAATAGCGAAAACCTTCATTTTCGGTTTTGATTTTTATGGAGTTTTAATAAACTTGGAGGTTTATGTCAGAAAGAAGCAGACTGAATTTTGTACGCATCTGTCCTCACTTTTTATACCCGTTCGAAATGCATCTACTCTAATTGTCCCCCTATTTACTAATGTGGGTAACCCGATTAAATCCTACCTTATCGAAAATATTTGATAATCCGGCCGGGCACTGTTATTATCAATATCTTTATGCAATTCAAGTATCCAAGTAGGAGTGGAATTTGAGCAAGCTACATAATCCAGCAATCCAACGGATGAAGTAATTTTTACAAACCATGGGGGATTATTTTCCATTTGAAAATGTTCTGATTGTGGGCTGGACCTCATGCACCAGGCAGGACTAAATTTAGAATAACATTGATTATGTGCATATGTATGCATTTAGTTATGCAAGTAAGTGAATAGATGATGCATTGGTATTTATGAGCGGGGTCATTATTGCTGCCCCTGTAATGCATTTTGATACAGATTTGTATGTACATTAGATATGCAATACGGTTCCGGACCCATTGATGATTGATTGGCCATGTAACTGAAGATGAGTATTTTTACCTTGGACTTTAACACGCTCGTTGTAAATTGTAATTTGAGGGTGTTACTGGTAATGTACATTTTATGAGGATTAAGGAACAAGGATCAGCTTAGCAATTAAGTAAATTTTTGATGAGTCGAAATAATCAAGTGCTAATTTGAGAACAATAATTTCTTATTATTCCCGTACCTTAGAAGAGACGTATTTATATGTAATTATATACATCTAGTTTAAAAATAGCGTCATGTTCTTCCAAAAAGTGGGGAATTTAATCTCAAAAATGATTGATTATAACAGAAAAGAAGTTTGTATACATACATAAGCGTATGATAGACTTTTAAGCAAAGGACGTACACAATAGACGTATGTGCTTATATATTATGTATGTAAATACTTTCAAATGGTTTTATTGCTAAGGGATCGTATGTGCATTTAATTCGTGTGTAATACATACATATATACGTATATTAAATTACATAAGACAGAAATACGAATGTATATTTATAGAATTTCATCATGAATTATACAATCAATCTATTGCTCATGCTTACGTATTTGTATTAATAACACCTCCAAAGTCCAGATTGTTGAATACTTTTCTACGAATCTATTTAGTTACAATGCAGAATAATCTAGTTACGACTAAATGCATACATATGTAAGTGAATTCAGTCATTTTATTTTACTTATCACGATTTGAATAGAGCCAGGTTATCATGATTTTTGGATCATTTAGTAATTAAGTAGGTGCTCAATTTTTACAATATTTTTTTTCCATAAAATCGAAACATATGTTTCATTATTCAATAAACGACGTTCTGACTTTTGATAGACTTGAAATATAAGTTTTTTAGTTTCTTGCTTACTACAGAGAGTTACATTTTTAATGAAGTACTTATAGCATAGGTGTGGTTTGTGGATAAAATTGTTTAACCAAGATGTTCTACACTTGCAAAAATAAGCTTTGTAATGCTACGCACTAATGATGAGAAGTACTGCAAAAATTCCTACGAGGATAGAATCTGAAGATTTCAAAAATACATGTTTTATTTATTTAAATATAGGCTAACTATTAACTGCCCATTAACTTCAAAAGCGGTTATGATGCTCCTAAAATATTTTTTTACATATACCTACCTAGTATGTATCTCCTGACCCTATTCAGAAACTCACATTACATCGACAATGACCAATTTAGAAGCGACAATTGTCGTCATAAATAAATTAAAGATAGTAAAAAATCTCCATATGTAAATTGAAGTATTGATACATCTGTACATATGTAAATACATATACAAAATGTGTATATTACACATAACTGGACGAGACGAGTCGGTGAACCTTTAGGAAAAACTCTGCACAAGTTTCGTATAGTAAAGTATGTATCTGTATGCTGATCTTATCGTTACACATTCTTCATAATTTATATGTTGAAATAAATAGGTGAATGTTTAACTGATCATAATTTAACACTACCCCGACCAGGGTCCTTTGACTGTTTCCTTGGAGGATTTCTAGACAGGGTCATGTCAGTTAAAAAATTCTCCAAAATTTTTTTACAGATTTTAAAGTTTGGGAATATGCATTATTTTTGCTGGGGGAGCTTGGTTGTCAAGAAAAATAAAATATTTTATAAAACGTCATACATGAATGCGAAAAATTTTTAGGTACCGTGTTTGATACCGATTCTAGTTCAATTATTTTATAACTATTTTAATTTGCAATTAAATTAAATCGTTGTCATTTTACGACGGTTTATAAAATATTTTATTTTTCTTGACAACCAAACTCTCCCAGCAAAAATAGCGCATATTCCCAAACTTTAAAATCTGTAAAAAAAATTGGAGAATTTTTGAACTGGCATGACCCTGTCTAGAAATCCTCCAAGGAAACAGTCAAAGGACCCTGACCCCGACGATAATAAGTGTTTTTTTTACGGAAATGTATTCATAATTCTTAATTCATAATCCTCTTGTATTCATAATAAAGTATTTCGTTGTCCATTTATAATTACTCGATTTTGCCAGAAGTGGTAATACACGGTCCCTTTAAATCCCTTAAGATCCATTTAAACTTTAAAATAAAAAAAAACTTCACAAATATTATCGATTGTTAGCCAGCCACAAATGATTTGGAGGCTTTTGTTGGCTGTCAAAACAAGATGTTTTCGCTGTTATGATGAGAGGAAGTGTCAGGGAAAAAAGTATTAATTATGGTCGTAAAAAATATTAAGATATGATTAGTTAAATATGACCCAGATAAAAATAATTAATGTCCACTTTGACAGATTGTCTACAATTGTATGTATGTTTATAGTTTTCTAGCGAGACCTCAGTTCTCTCATGTTTCAATAATCTTTAAATATGGAACTTAGCGTAAATTAACTCGAAATTTTGGGAACATATCGAGTTTAAACAATCGAGAACAATTGATGTGAATTCATAATTCTAAGCATTTCAACATCATTGCTTCACCTCATACAAAAAATGGAACGTTGTCCTGGTCGTGTTTATTATTTTAACATACTAAAAGATATATACAACAATGTCTAAACAAATCTGAAATCAGAATGGGCATCGCAATGTGAACGTGTCAATCCATAAACTTCCCACGAAGAATGCCTACTTTCTGCTCAATATTTGTTCACACATTTGTGAACTTTTTATTGTGCGTATCATTTACGTATTACAGGATATTTCCACATTAGCCGAATTATGTATTGCTGCACAGGAATTCTTATTCGAACCAGGAAGTACATTACTCCAGTTTTCATAAATACGTATTTGCTTGCACACATTTATGTATCTCTATACATCAAGAAATTATGTTCGTTCTGACCCCGATCGATGCATGCAGGTGCTTACATATTTAATACAGAGTTCAAAAATTACCTCATATCATACAAAATTATATCTTCACAAAGATCAGTTTTTCCTTTGCAATGCAATTACAGTATTTCAAATTTTCAAATAGCTTTCAAATTTTAAATGAATAATTTTAAAGCTTTGATAACCTTGGGTTTAATATATTTATCTTTATTCAATTTCTACTGGATTGTCTCCAATCAAACAGAACTTCGAAACAATGTACAAATCGTACAGGAAGGAAAACTCATCACGGACTTGCAGGAATTTCACTGGGAAGAATTACTCAATAATCAAAATGGTAAAAAATTTATCTGAAATTTTCTAAAATTTTCAAAAAATGTGATCTTTCATTTTTTTCCGCAGGTAGTAATTTAGAACTCGCACTTTCTCAACTTATCCACATCTTGCTGCCCCATTTAATTCAAGAACCACTGCAACCCATCAACACGTCATGTTTCCCGCCATCACCAACAAATCAAACCTGCCCGCCAAGATTCCTAGTAGGTTCGAGCGTCCCGAAAATCGGCGTCCTTATTCAACTAGGCTTTGACGTAGACTCTTTAGAAATCCATCTCAACGAGTTGTACGACATTGTCGACAAGTTTTTCATACTGGAATCCACACGAACACATTTCCACACAATTCGAAAACCATTGATCTGGGAGAGGATACGATTGCAACCCCGCTTCGAGAAATTTAGCGACAAAATCATCCCATTTACGTTGGATGACGCGGAATCTGCTCATTTGTCGAGTAAGGAGGAATTTGCTCTGGAAACATTGCAAGAGACGTTACGATGGGAGAAGTTCTTGCGATGGAATAATTCGACACGTTTCTTTAATGAGGACGATTTCCTGGGTATGTAGATATGTTCGAAATGAAAGTGTATATTAAACTTGGCTAAAAAAACAGAGAAAATCATTGCAAAATCCGTAAGGTTTGTAAACTTTTGCAAAATAAAAAGACGCATTTTATCTGAGTAAGCTTACAAAAATTTGTAAGCTAATTTTCCTTCGAAATATTTACACAATTTTTTAAAAGTTTACAAAATTCACGGGTTTTATAATGCTACCAAAGTATGCGTGAATTACCTCATTACATTATCTTTGCAGGATTCGGCGATGTCGACGAAGTTCCATCTCGTACCGCAATTCAACTCTTGAAACACTGTAATCCAACCCTTGATCCTGTCGATATCGGAATTTGGTTCCCCTTCGGGAACATTGAGAATTCATATCTCAGCGACTTTCCCGTTCGCGGATATCCCTACACTCTCGGGGATCCGACCTATTGGAGGTTAAAAACCGCTCTTGATTTCTACAAAAGTGGAAAAATTCCTACCCGAATGAGAGGCCTGTCTCCGAGCATCCTTCTCGGAGGGATGCATCTGACGCATTATGGTTATCTCCCGTATCAAATTGTGAGACGTTTTACGGTCAGCGAGAACCGTTGGGACTACGTGGGAAACATCACGGCAAAAATTTTAGAGTTTTTACGTCCCTCGGGAGGAGGCGATCCTGACCTTATCGGACTTGAGAAGGCCTTCGCAGCACCACCGGCAGAATTAGGGAGCAGATTAAGAAATCTGACCGAATTACTTATCTCCAATGAACCCGGGATGAGACAGATAGCTGTATTGCCGTGGTTTTATAATTGTAATAGGGATCGATATCCGAGCTGGGAGGGGCGACATGATACAAGATTAGATATTTAGGATTACATAAATTTACATACTGATTAATTTTAATTTGATACTTGATGCGAGAGAATGAAAGTAAAAAGTCGTATGGTATACATAATATGTATACCATACGACTTTGCATATTTTGCAAACTTGTACATATTTGCACACATTTTGGGTATACAAATTTGCACTATTTGCTGTAAAATCGAAGCGAAATTATTTTTTCCTCAGTTCTGGAATATAAATGAAGTACTTCATTTCTTATGTGTAAATGAAAAAATCTGACATTCTTTAATGTCGATGAACTTAACAGAGCTCCTTAAACTTTTGGCTATGCTCCAGATTAAGGGTTTGACAGACAGGTTGACACTTGTTCATGTCATAACGAAACGAGTTAAAAAATAATCGTTTTTAACTGTCTTCGAATAGATAATAATAACAAAATATAATGACAAATTGTTTAAAGTTAACAAATTACATTCGACTAAAGCATGTTAAAAGATATTTATTTATTTATACTTTTCTATGTATGGTACATATGTATTTTATGGAACTCTTTTTATTATGCGGATGTTAAAATCACATTATTTTTTTCAATTTCTCATAATTTTTCAAACATATTTTTTCATACATACACATATGTATGCATTTATCAAATAAGTACGTAGATAAACAGAGAACTGGGAAATATAAGTACGTATTTATTTATATCGGATCAACAGATTTCGTTCAAATTTATGTACATATGCTGCCTGCCAAATTATTCACCTCCCGTGGAAAAACAAATAAATAAAATCTTCTATTTTGTTTACCGAGTAAGCAGTGTGACAAAGACGAAACAAACATGGCACGATACGCAGATATGTAAATGAGACATGGCACAAGCCAATCCGCCTTAACTATGTATCAGAGATCTGCACCGTCTAAAAATAAGTCTGTTGTGTCCCATTTTCACAAATGAAACTTAATTCTCCTTAATCAACTTGGAGCCAAGAGAACGAGATCGCAGATAGGATAACTCAATTGTACGACGCAGTCAATATAAGATTTGCACAGAGATTTGCGCATAAAGTTGGTCTGGAAATACGAACCTGTGTCATTGTAATAAAAAACTAAAAAAATTGACCAAAATTTCTGAACACAATTTTCAATTTCAACTTTCAATCTGAAAGTTGAAATTTTTACGATAAAATCATCACTGTAACACAATAATTTTGCAATGTTTTTAGCCAACTTTGCATCCATTTTACTATTAGCAAGGTATATTTAATTCATATCTAATTTTTTCGTATTTACGTATGTTCATTTAATCCTTAATACACATCAAGTGACAAATTTTCTAATTAATTCTAATTATGTAATTAATTTCAGTGCTTTGTTAACGTCCACCACAGCGGTGTCATTTTCTTCCCAGGAAAACAAAGACATAGTTGAAAAACTCCTGGAAGATTATAATGGAAATATTCGTCCCGATGGCGAAAATGGTTCGGATTTGTTGTTCAAAATAAAATTTCATCAATGTATTCACATTATTATATATTTTTTATAAATAATAGGAACCTCGTCCCCAACAATTGTCGTTATTAATATGTATGTCAGATCAATTTCGGAATTCGATGATGTCAAAATGGTACGAAAAATACAAAATTTCAGAATTTCAAATTTTTTATAAATATATCTGTAAAATTCATTACTTGAAGTTCATCGAATTACATGAAATTATTTTTCTGTTTAGTCTTACAAGACCCAATTAACGTTTCGCACGCAATGGCTCGACCCTCGACTCAAATTTGATTCAACAGGTGCACAAATTATTTATTTATTTGTATACCACAATTCAGTGACTCTTTAAATATTTTAGATGAGAGACGTTACGTAACTTTGATCCCGACCACGACGGGCAACAAATTGTGGAGACCTGATCTGTTTTTTTCTAATGAACTGCAGTTTACATCTCATGATGGATTGCTGCCAAATGAATATTACAGGGTTTTCCCGAACGGGGAAGTTTTGCACAGCACGAGGTTTACTTAAATACTTGTTACATAAAAATATTGAGGGTATTCATCATTTCTTCGTATCCTTCGTACACTTCATATCGTGAAATAAGTTATGAGAATTGCAAACGCCGTACGATTTTGTTATGAAAAATCACGTAACAAAGCTCACGATTTTTACGAAGCTTGACCCCCCTGTTGTTCCTTCGTGAACCATTTTGCGATACTAAGAATACGAAGACAATCATGAATACCCTCATTATAAATAAAAACTATGTATTTAGTTACCAGTCGGGTTGAAATATGTGCAATACGCAATAATAATTAATTCCAGAATATCAGTGAAGTGGTCATGTCCCATGACTTTGAGGTTGTACCCTTTCGACCAACAAACGTGCAGCATGAGAATGGCAAGTTGTAAGTTATCATGCTATTCTTAACAAACCATGCGTTCCAATCTAGTCGAATTTTAGTTGAAACGCATAAATAAACACATGAATTTTCACGATTTATCAATTTGTGTCTCAATGTCAGATGGCTACACCACGGATGACATAATATTCAAGTGGAAAGCTAGGGATCCAATCCAGGTTACCAGTGAATTACACCTGCGTGGTTTCTCCCTGGAAAAATTTACCACGGACTACTGCGACTCGACGACAAATACGGGTAATTTCGCAAAATTGAAAATTTTAAAATTTTTAGTTTTATTAAAACGAAATATTTAGTCACGTGCATAATTTACTACTTTCTCATTAAACACTCGTTAGTAAATGGTATGGTTGAGGCATTAAAATTAGAGACATTTTTACATAAGAAATGCATTTACAAATTCTTTAGTTTTAAATCCTTGACCATAATTTCGTTCAGTTTATCGTTTCATATATTATCATTATCGTATTGTCCATATATCTGTATCGTAAATTTGTTTACGAAGACAAAACAAGAGGTCAAGTTTCGTAAAAATCGTAAGCTTAGTAACGTGATTTGTGATGACAAAATCTTACGAAGATTCGAATACGAGATACGAATCCTACGAAACCTCGGAACCGTCGTAACTTATTTGACGATACGAAGGATACGGATGGATCATGAATTCCCTAAATATTATCTCATGTCCAATGATCTTTTCCAACTTTTTTCTCAGGAACATACAGCTGCCTCCGAGTCGACTTTCTCTTCCAGCGAGATTTCTCCTCTTGGTGTCATCACCTTTTCCTTCCAATGATCATGTCACTCTTGTTAATTTGGGTGTCCACCTGGATAACGCCGTCCTACACGGGGGCCACCCTCGTCCGAGCGCTGCTCCTCGGCGGAAGCAGTCTCTACTGTAAAGTGACCCTCTGGTCGTTCCGTCCAATGCCGCAAATTTCATACACGACCGCGTTGGACGTGTGGGACATGTGTTGCACGACCTTCATTCTGCTCGCCATCGTGGAATTTGTGGTTGTCCTCGTGCTCCGGAGTGGGGGGAAGGGTGACGACGATTTTTCTGGGTCACCCGGCAGTCGGAGGATTGACATTGTGATGAGAATTATTTACCCGATCGCGATTGTGGCGTGTGTCTGCATTTACTTTGCCACTGTTCCCCCCAAGACGGAGGATGACGCGGAGGTGGAGATGGAGGAGGAGGTGCCCGAGATGGTCGAACAGAACACGGTGAATACGATGAAATTCCAGTTTTAAGTTTTCTCGGGAGTTGTGTAATATTTATTTCGATATTAAATCTCATATTAAAGATTTGTAAGTATTTGTAGTTCAGAAATTTAGTTTAGAATAAATAAATGCAAAGTTTGCTTAATTTAACCAAAAATGCGATGCACTTAAAATATTTACGTACATGTGCATTGTATGAAAATGTTTGCATAAACCAGTAGCAATTTAAAATATGCTGCGCTGTCATCAATTATAAATTTTATTTTACATACTGAAAACATTCACTAATTGGGTTTCGGCAATTTTAATCTGATTAAGTGTAAGTACACGACTTGATTATTTTTTCAAAAATTAATATCTTTTTCTTAAATTTATTTAAAATTTAAATACTGTATTTAATTAAAACGTAGCAGCCGCATTACACCGTTTTCGCCTGCAGGGTCGTGGCATCCCCACAAATACAGAACGTCCTCGTATTCCCCACTTCCCCATTATTGACCGACAACTCGTTCACCGTGTCGTCCCCATAACCGTGGGAACATTGACAATCCGCGTCGCAAAGTTCGCCAAAAAGTGGCTGAACCACAAAATTTAGGGCACCAAGGACCGGAATTTCGCCAAAGTTTCCGATCACATTTGGTATTCCTGGACACGGTATGTTCAACAAGTTCTCTCGGGCTAAAATTTAAAATAGTCAGATTTGCATAATTACGCAAAAATTTGCACATTTTTTACCTTCATCTCTCCCATAATCGCAAATGCAAAACGCCTCCTTCCTTCCGACCGGGACGCCGCATCGGCCCCCTCTCACGTTAGCCCCATGGGTACACCTGCAGTCAAAGTCGCATATTCCGTTAGCCGTAAATCCGAGAAATTCTTCCAACGATTCGAACGGAGTGCGACAAAGTATCGCGAATTGTGGCGAATTTACGGGTGGAACTTCCAACACGGCCTCCGCGACAGCAAAAACTATGCGGATGAGAAAGCGAAACTTGTCAAAAATCTTAATTGGATTTAGAAAGCTTTTTAAAATTTTTACCAATCTTATTTACCAAAAAATAGTAAAGCTAGCGGAATTTGTCGAGACATTATTATTTCATAAGATGAGGACTGACAAGAACTTTGATTTTCTGTTTTAACACAATTTTATATGGACTCAATATTACAGACGCGTGATAAACGTGTCAACATTTTGTGCTCCGTAAGTAAAAATTAATCCTCTAACATATTTAGTCTGTACATAAGGTTGGTTCAATGTGTGCCAAAATTTGGCCTGATCAGCATTCTGTGTCACTAATCAAATTTTACGGTTAACAGTGTTATTATTTCTGCTATGATTAATTATGAAAATAATCTAATATGCATGTTTTAAAATAAATATGATGTATGAATCTTATGAATTCTTTTAGGAATTTTACTTAACTCAATTAATGAATTTACTTGCTTTATTTAATACGCGTCAAGTATGTAAACATTTAAGCATATTTTTAACCTACAAAACAATTCAACATAACAATCGAGTATGTATGCTTATGCTTCATAAATAATTTCATGAGTAATGATAACGTAACATTTTACTTTATTTTACCAACTCCAACAAAAAAATCATATCCCTTTACTCCCTAGTTGTTACAATTTTTAAAATGTCAGCATTTAATAGTTTACAAAGTTATCGTTTAAGATTAAAAATTAAACATTTCTTATTCACATTAATTCCCACAGATTTGGAATAATTTAAAAAATAGGAAATTGATACAAATCAAGTAAATATTTAATAGCAGCTAATTAAATACCACAACTGTCAACTGTGACCTTATTCACTGATTTTACGTACTCCTTAGTTATTACAATTTTGAAAAAGTCATCACTTAATATTTTCATAAGTAAACGTTCAACATTAAAAATTTAGAATTACACATTCTTCATACGTATTAAATTAGTTCACGCAGATGTGTAGTACTTTATGTAAAAAATAGGAAATTTATAAAAATCAAGGAAATAAATGCGAGCCTATTTATCAGCATAGAATGAAATGCCACACCTTCTTTACTGATTATAATACTCCCTCCACCTCGGCCTTTCATAAACCGTGGCATGATCCCAGGACGGATATTTCAGTCGCATCACGGTTGGCGAAATTTCGTGAACATAATTTGGTGGAGTATGCGCCAGGCTCGAAGTTGATGACCACATCGTCTCCCGTGACTCCAAATACTGTCCAGACGATGAGAGTGACCACGACGTGACAAATCTTGACCTCGCCGGTACTTCTGGCCGTTTCATGAAAAGTTTCACCAACCAGCACCGACTTTGTTCCTCCACCACCTTCTTTTTTTCTCGCAACTTGTTATTCAGCATCCTCCTCTGGGGGAGAAGATATTGCGACGTGCCATCCGCATAAGACACGCGACACTCCAGACATGCCACCAAATCCTCCGCGCCGACGTGCCAGGCGCACACGGCGTGACGATTTGGACACCGCAGAATCCTTTCAGTGCACAATTCGTGGCAAAAGCTGCACTCGTATAGCTCGGATATTCGGTAAGTGGGGGGAGAGTTGTCGATTTTCTTGGGAGATGGTACCTTTGCGGGGTTGTTCTTGGATGACAAGTTCCCCATTTTTGTTGGAACTAAAAGAAACATAGTAAGAATTGGAATTAGAAATATTGAACTTAAAAATATAAATTCGATTTATCGAGGCAATTCACGCAGGGCTTGGTACATAACTTTGGAAAATTTGTAAAATCGGTAAACTTACAAACCTCTACAAATATTTTTATAAAAATTACCCTCCAAATTTGTGAAAACTTACTCTGATCAAGGGTATCTTTTTATTTCTGCAAAAGTTTGTAGAACTATTTTACAAAATTCACCGGTTTTTACAAATTTACCAATGACTGCGTGAATTATATGATTGATTTGTAATTTGTTTGCAAAACTAGTTTCTCAAAGAATTACGGATTTTCTACTTACTTGAGTAAATGATAAGATGTGTAAGTACGACGACGAAATGAGACACGTCTGGACCTTCCTAATGTTCCGGATGAACTGAAAATATTATATCTCGTGCTCAATAACGACAATGTAGTGCAATAGGGATAAAAATACCCGTGATGCGAAAAGGGTACCCTATTGCTCACTCGATTTCGTGGAATGCTTCCAGGATTGGCATGCTTTATTTGTGTACATTAGACAAAAGGCACCTTTTTACATGTATGTATGTATTTATGCATGCAGAGTTCTTCTTAAAGGATGCATTGGATTTTTGGGAAGTTTTGACTCCACAGTTTTCCAGGCCCTTCAACATCCTGGGTCGTTTTTGTAAATGAGGCCAGAATAAAATAAATTTCCAGGAACATTCTATCCTTGAAATATCATATCAAACTTAAACGTCATATATTCCTTAAAGCGGTTAGTTACATATGTAGATGCGTAGCTTTGCTAATAATGTAAATAAAATGATTGAGTGAGGATTTTCTCAAAGATGATAAAATTAGTACGCAAATTTTAAGAACGTTTAGAAGAGAAAGTATTGACTAAAGATTAAAATTCCAAATAGGTTTAGCGTAAGATATACTTAATTATGTAAAACACATACGATTTAGTTTTAAGGATGAGTCATCATTGCTGAGTTCGTACATTACATATTTACATAGATAAATGCATACATATGTACATACGTCAATTTATTTAAATACAGATATGTACTCAAGGGTTGTAAAGGGTAAAAAAAGTCCCGGATATGAATTTACTACTGGTTATTTGTGTAAAAATGTATGATTTCTATTAAAATTAGCATAGGTATGTACATATGTATGTACAATGTATATATTTAAGCACGACCAACTGAAGTACTTAACAATACAATTTTTATCGCCTTCATGATTCAAATATATATGTATTTACATATCCAACGGGTACGTATTTATACAACGTTATTTTCTGAAAACGTTTCTCGAAATTTTAACCTATAAGATGCATGCATCTAAATATCTGCATATCAATTACCGTATGCCTATAGTAAATGCATGAATTTCAGCAAATTAGCAAAACTTGATAATACCAAGCGGTATTCATATATGTATTACTCTACCAAAGTAGTAGTGATGAATAATACTGTGTAGCAACATCTTGGTTTTAAAGTTTTACCATATCAATCAATAGCAATTTTTTTCGGACCGGTATAATTTGAATACCAAGCGGTAGCATGTTTAATAAGTATCTGCGTTGCACCAGATTTTAACACTTCAGAGAATATACAGGGTGTTAATAAAGTCCGATCCCATTTTTCCTGTAAAAAAGTGAAGGCTAGTATAAAAAAAAACTACCCGTGATACTTACAAAAAATGTTCGACATATTTACCTTAGTATTTGGTCTTGTTACCATTTACTTTAACCATGCCCTCAACTCTTTGTTTAAGGCTCTGTGCTAATTTTTCCAATGTGCCTCTGGAAATCGAATTCCATACATCTTGAACTTTTTTTTACTAGCTCTTCCCTCGTCCGGGGTTGTGGCTCTTTGTATACATTTTCCTTAAGTATGGACCACTGGTTCTTCAGGGGATTCAAATCTGGGCCGTTAGCGGCCCACACCCCCTTGCTCCAGACCGTTGAAACTTGCGTCTTGATGAGACTCAAACTCGCTTTTGCTGTATGGGCTATAGCACCATCCTGCATGAAAACTATTTTTCTTTCATTCGGAAATATTTCCTTGTTCCCCATGCTATCGAAATAGATAGGTAATATTTTTTCCATATAATGCTTTGCATTGACTGATTGGCCTTTTGGTATGATATGTAGAGGGGTCACGCAACGTGCACAAAATCCACCCGCTACCATAACTTTAAGCCGAATTTTGGGATCGCTCTTGATGGTACATCCGATTTGTTTTCTGTCCTGTAACGAACATTTTGTTGGTTCAATTTTGGATATAGTTCAATAATAGATTCGTCAGTCCAAAGGATGTGACTGCGCAATTCTTCACCAAGTCTTTTTTCACTCAAATGGGCACTTTTCTGAAGGAGTTCTTCAAATTTCAGACGGTCATCGATATATTTTTGTGACATGAGAGGTTTTTTTGGTTAGTTTGTAAGCTGTGTGACCCCACTTCGTAGTTTTCACAAATTTTTGCACGGTCACACAGTTAATTTGCTTCTTCTTCTCTTTATAGCGTTTTGAGTCATTTAACTCCCTTGCTCAATTACGTAATGAACTACCGGTTTTCTTGCAAAGTCTGTTTTTAATCATTCTTTTTGTGGTAGGTGACACCTTTCTGGGTCGCCCTGGTCGCTTTTTGTCGTGGACAAAATTTTTATTCTTCCATTTCCAAACAGTTCTGCGGCTGCAGCCCAATTTTTGCACAATTTCTGTAGGTTTAAGCCCCTGCTGATGCAATGTTTGTATCTCAACTCTAAGATGCTCATGACTTACACGTTTAGTTGTTCCTCCCATGGTAAAAATTTGAAATAAATAACTTCACTGGTTCAAAAGTTCCAGCTGAATTTGTAACAACCACGCTCCAAAAAATGCATGGGATCGGACTTTTTTAACACCCTTTATGTAGCATATTTATTTGCACCAATAATACAAAATCAATTCTTAACCTCAAATAAACTTTTGTTAGCGAAAAACTAAATTGAATCAAGTATTTAAAAATGGCCCATCCTTGCGATAACTGAACAGATGAACACGATCGAAGTCGGGATGACTGAGGTGACACTACTCTGCGTTGTCTGTTCCGTTGTTGGGGTCGTCGTTGTGACTTCGGGCGTAGTTGGAAGGGGGGTCGTCACAGTGACCTCGGGTGTAGTTGGAGGAGGGGTCGTCGTTGTCTGCTTTGGGTTGCACAATGGCAAGTCGTTCTGTCGTTTAGTCACCACCTCTTCCGGAAATGAGTAAGAGATCGAGTCCAACATTGCAATACCGCCATTTCCTCGTTCCAGGACAATGTCTAATTTCTAGAGGACACAAAATATAAAAATGGTGCAATTTTTTGGAATAATTTGTTCTATTAAATTGTTAAAAAGTTAAAAAAACAAAGTTGTTTTCAAAATAACTTCAATTAAAGGTGCTAAAATAATTTATACATTCGTGACTAAATACAGTAGCACGTTAAACTTTAGCTTATAATGGGGGTACTCATTATTAATGAGTCATTAAGAATTCGCATCGTTAGCAAAACAAAAAAGTTCGCAAAATTCGCAAAACAATTTGACAGAAAAATTCATTTGTGAACTTGGGGGCCAATATTTAGTTCGCTAGTTTGTTTTCAAACTTATGTCGCGACACGAAGATGCGAACTCTTAATGCATACCCGAATATCTAAACAAATAATTGCGAAATATAAATTTGCAAATTTGTTTAGAATTATTTGTCGTCTTAATTGTTATGAAGAAGAACTTACATATTGCTTGTACGAAGATAGGTCGAACGGGAACTCAATCCATCCCCCAAGTCTGGCAGATTTTGTGTCAATCACGGTAAAATTATTGGTGCCAGCTTCCGACACAAGTTTGACCATGATATTTCCCTCGCCTTCAACGTATCCTTTAATCGTGACGGAGTTGGGAACGATACTGGGGCTCGTGGCGTACTGAATTTTGCAAGACTGCTTCTGACACGGGGACCAATATCCGATCGCTTCTGGGGTCGGGTTGATCTCTTCCGGGATGACTTGGCAACCGATTTTGGCGAAGTCGTCGTAATCGGGGACATGCTCACAGTCGTCGAAAGGCCAGTGTTGCGGTAGCTCGTCTTCTTTAACGTCGATTGAGATTGGTGGGATGGGTTGGTTTCCTAGGTCGAATATGATCGAGTCGATCAGAACGTAGCCACCAGTAGTAGAGCCGGTCAAGTTGAAGTTTATCACCTATGGGAAGATTTTATGTTTTATTTCATGCATAAAATAAATTTGGAAAGTTCGGAATCTTAAAATTTGTAAGAATAACAAAATGTGTGCACAAAATTTAAACACAAACATGCTGATTTACTGGGTAAATTTTCAAAAAATTGTTTTTTGTTTTTGCACAAAAATATTTTGCGAAATTTTGAGAATCTAGCCAACTCTAGCAAATTAAATAAGTTGACATGCATATGTACATATTCAAGCTTGCGAGATTTATAAAACGTTGTCGCGAATACGCCAATAAAAATTTCAATGCAAAAATATGTATTTTTTTGTAAATATCTACATAAATATGCTCAGCTATCCCAAAACTTATTATGCGACATAAAAACACCAAAGTCTGCCAAAAACGGTATCCTACTCACCCCAGGACTACTCCCACCCTCCCCTTCAAGCTCAACTTCTCGATAACACCAAATCTCATCCCCCGTCTCAATTTTCCCAAAATCAATCCCATACTCTGGATCGGTCGGTGCTCCTTTTCCCCCAACGGAAATCGCACTTTCATACCCCTCCATGTACGCCGCCACCAATAACTTCTTCGGTTTGGGGAGTAAGCCCCCAAAATAGGTCAAAGTGCACGGCTCCTTGCACCCCGTCCAGAACCCAACTCTGTCCGGAGACGCCTCCTCCTTCGGCTCACGGGGGCACCCGAACACAAAAAAATCTGCATAATCCTCATTATACGGACAAGAAATGTCTAGAATGTTCCCCGTGTCGGTTGCCTTGTCGAAAACGACTTGCACACCGGAAACAACACCAATGGCGAAAAGAAGGAAGCTGATTTTCAGCATTTTGCGACAATATTTTGATTCGCAAATTTTTTGCGACTAATTTTTTTCACCTTAATCAATAGTAAGCTTAGACAAATTGTTCTGTAAAAATTTGCTTCGATTTTTTTCAATTTTTTTACAAACTTAATCAACCCGATCGGTGAACTCCGACTGGATAAGGTTACCGTTAAGCGATGACATTTCAAGTCAAACTCTCTTCCTGATAACACCTTATCCACCTTCGTCACATCGAATATGTCATCATCAATAAGCTACGTGACAAGAGAAGCAATTAACCCGTTAGGGACCAACTACACAAATATGTGTACTTTTTTGCTTTCCGTTAAGGACCAAGTACACACATTTGTGTACTATTTCCCCGTTACGTTGGGGACCAACTACACACATTTGTGTACTGCGGAAAAATTTTCAAGACCAAATACACACATGCATACAAGTCAAAATTTTATTTTACAAAATTTTAACACGAACCATTTATTTATGCACATTACCAAAAACTATATATCTGCAAAAACTACAACTGTAGTTCGCTGCAATGCATTGTAAGACTAATTTTAAATTGTTCACGCTCAGAAATAAGCGTATTTTGGAGTTTTCCAGAATAGACATGTTTTCGCCCGTGGCGGAATTTAAAATAAACTTAATTTTTAAAGAAGCAAAAAACGATAATTTTTTGAAAATTAAAAGTTTTTTTTAAATTGATTTTTTATCCCGAGTCAGGGCTTATGTACCCGTCATGTCCGTCTGTCTGTCCGTCTGTCTGTCTGTCTGGTTTGCGATAACTGCCGTAAAACTAATCCTATCGACTTGAAATTTTGCACACGTATAGTATGGGTCAAATGAGGAGTTGAGTTCGAAGATGGGTGAAATAGGTCAAGTGGTTGACCGGTGGGGGTCATCGGAGTGGGTGGGGTATTATGCACCAAAATTTCAAAATTGTGTTAGAAAGCTGAAATTTGGCATAGAGGTTGCCAATGGTTTATACAAAGTAAAATTTCAAAAATTTTCGTCTGGAGGGACCCGAGGGGGTGACCCATACCGATTTTTAAAATTGATCAAATCGAGCTGAAGTTTGGTAGAAAAGTTGGTAATAGAAGAATATTAATTAAAATAGGAACAATTTTCACATAGAGGGTAACCCATACTGTTTTTTTGTAATCTTCGGATCAAGCTGAAACTTGTTACACAGGATGGTAATTGTTACTAATAGAAGAACATGAATTTAAATTGGAAAAATCAAATTAAATTTTTTAATTTATTGATATGCATTTGCGATAAAATTTCATGCAAAAAGTCGGATTGAGTGATAAGCACAACTTGGCCTGACTCGGGCTATATCAAGTCTGCGCTGTAGGTTTTATATTTTCAGGGTAGTAATTCTGAGCAAAAATTGTGTTTAATTTTTGAAATCGCATTAAAATTCGAGAGGTTACAGCGTTTTAAAATTTCTGACTTTGGCTGATTTTTTAAATTCCACCACGGGCGAAAACATGTCCATTTTAGAAAACGAAAAAATACGGGTCCGCTTATTTCTGAGCATGAACTAACTAACTCCGGTCAAGATCAGTGAAAACCACTTGGACCTTGCTAAACTATAAAAATGTATGAATCAATAACTTAATATTATTGTAATGAACTGCAGATAATTTTTACTAATATGCATAAATAAATGCTTAATGTTAAATAAAATCATCAAAAGTTGCCGAAATAAATTCGGTCCTTTATGGTTTGCACACCCACTGTGAAATCGGTGACGTAACTACGCTTACTTTAAAATCATTTTGGTGACGTAGCTGCACTATTGGTAAAATTAAATTGGTTATGTAGCAACAACTAACTGATAAAATTCTGGTCCCCAAAGGAAAGCAAATTTCAATTATTTCGGTCACAAAGGGGTTAAGTTTTGAGATTGTGGCGTTTCTGCGGAAATGTACATATTTACTTCGCACAATGGGTACTTACTAAATAGATATATGTACAACTACCTGGAAAAAACGTATTGGACTCGACTCAATTAATTAAGCCGACCGCATTGTTCGTTGAAATCGATACCGTCATTGCATCATCAGTCAGAGGAGTTTATACGCGTCAATCAGACGGTTCGATTAATCATGCGGCTTATCGGACGAACATAAGTTTGGGATCGGTGTCACTCATCTCATGCGTGCGCTTTCACTATGCATATACGCAAATTAAGTAGTTGTTGCTTATTGCTTTATCAAAACTTGCATCCTCCCCCTATGAAATACACAATTGGAAATTTGCCTCATTAAGGTGGTCTAGAGCCGAAATTATGTACACAAAAAGATCCATCATTCGAGACTGAGTAATCCATGAAATATTTTATTGACGTGATAAAAGTTTCGTTACGTAGTTGATTAATTATAATTCTATGTTTAGATTAATCAATTATGCACATATCAAGAATGTACTTCTATTTTCCATCAAACCTTCATTGGCTGTAAATACATACATAAGTAACTTTGTATGTACATACCTACGTACATATGTATGTATGTACAAATTGATGGGCAAACAGCCAACAAACAAACAAACAGCAAAGTTTACAAATCCCACAAGTTGGGGGAATATGCATGTATGTATAAATTGGCAAGTTTTTCGAAACTTTTATAAACTTTTTGCTTATGCGATTTTTTCACAAATTTACGAGACAAATAGAAATATTTGTTTGGATATTATTCTGCACAATATTTTCTACTTATGTACATGCATAAGTTACGATGGGTGTGGCCTAAGCAGATGACGTTTAATACAGTTGATAAATAATTATTTGACTCAATTGTACGTATTTGTTCATCAAATTGTTTATATGGCATACAAACGCAATGAAGTTAAATTTAAACATGCATTTTTCGTTAAACTATAAACTAATTGTGTACATGTGTATATTTCATACACCTAACTGATCAGCCACGTCTGCGATTTCCTTCCATGCAAATGCCACATCCTTGCTTGCCGTAGCCGTCGAACATACGGCAAACCGAATGATGTACTTTCCATGCAAGTGAGACGACACGAGATGAATTTTCCCACGCCCATTTATTGCATTCAAGAACTTCCCGTTTTCCTCATTTGTTTTATCCTTAGCAATAATTTGGCATAAAAACAGATCTCATTTGATATGTGCATAAATGAAAAATTTGCATACAAATTAAATAGTATACATACCTTCATTCTGAAACAGACTAACCCCATCACAACTGGGGCAACAAGTTCAAATCGAGCGTCCTTTTCTACAAGTTTTTCAAATTCATGTGCCAGTTTCGTCTGTCCTCGGATATGTTCTTGTAACCCTTTCAAACCGTAGATTCTCATCACGAACCACAACTTTAAGGAGCGAAACCGTCTTCCGAACGGGATTTCGCGATGCTATGGGAAATTCAAATATAACAACATTCCTCAAATTAAATATTTCAAAATATGTACGTATCTCTTACCCTAAAATCTTGTATAAGACCGTTCGATGCATGTCTCAAACAGGGCGGGTCCACGTTAAACGAATCTACAATCTCTTTCGAATTTGCGATCCACAAAGCTACCAAAAAATTAATGTATTAGTGAATATTTTCGAAATAAATTTCCTCATTTGTTTTTTGGAGCTACCTGAACAATCAAAATTGACAAGGAGCCATTTATGCGGATTGAAATTAAACGAATCCGCAAATTCCACGCCGTTCATTAAGTGGCGAAACTCCTCACAAATAAAGGCTGAGCCTGCATAAGCCGCGTCGACATGGAGCCAGACGCCTTCTTCTGCACAAACCTCCCCAATTTCTGATAACTTATCGAACGCACAAGTGTTTGTTGACCCCAAGGTGGCGACAACCTGGAGATTTTCGCGATAAAAGTTTTCAAAAATCCCGCCTTTAACAAAATTTAAATACTCACATAAAATGGAATCAACCCCTTCGCCTTATCCCGCCTTATCGCAAATTTCAACGCGTCCCCCCTCATTTCGAGGATATCGTCCGTCTTGATCAAGTTCATCTTTACCCCTGCCAACAGCCCCGCCCTTTCGACGGAGGAGTGCGCCTGGTCCGACGCATAGGCGACAAGCCGCCCTAAAATCGTGGTTTCATCATACCCCGGTTTTCTATTGTTCTTACAATATTTAACCATTCTTGTCCGAGCGGTGAGCAGCGTGAGTAGATTAGCTTCACTTGCCGTACCCTAAAAATTTCATACATATTTTAAATAAGTTAATTTTCCCTCCATTTCGTCTACCTGTATCATCCCGCCCCCAACACCACGGCTCTCCACGGTTAAAAATTTATCCGGCAAGTGCACCATTTTTCCTAGCCAGTCCATCATAACGATTTCCAACTCGGTGCAGGACGGGCTTGCAATCCACGTGAAACCGACGCATCCAATCGCAGAGGATAGCATGTCCGCAACGAGGGCGGGGTACGAATTCGCGGTGGGGTAGTAGGCATGAAAATGTGGTGAATTCCAGTGCGTCACTCCCGGCATGATGACGCGTTCTATGTCCGCCATAATATTTTGCCAAGGTTCGCCCTCATCTGGGGGGCTGGAGGGGATGAGGGGACGCAAATAACCGGGCGATACGGTGGGTAGGACGCGTCTAGTTACATTTTAAAAAAAGATTGTGACATATTTTGCTAACAGAAACTTTCAAGAAATTTTAGTATTTACCGTTCCCGAATGTTGTCAGTATATTCTGTTATGTATTTCAACATTGCTTCCCCGAATTTCAAAAACGTTTCGGAATCCATTCCAAAATGTGGGTTGATTTTCAGTCTAAAAATTGTAAAAAGTTGTATGTATACAATGTCCTTTATCGAATGGTTATTCGGCGATATCACATTGTGTAAGTTGGTCATTATGCCGCCATAATTGATCAATTTGCCGTGTATTTTAATCATTTTAATTTAAAAAGTAATATACAAATTATAATCGTGTTGAACATCCAAGTTACTTAACGAGCGACAAAGGTTCCGCTATCTTTGACACATGCGGTACTGGTTAATGAAGACGTAGCTTGGTTGATACATGTGATGTGAGGCTGCTAAAAATTGCTTGTCTGGTTAAATAATGCCCATATATATGTAAATAAATAAATATGTAATACTGAGGGATTTATTTCTATAAGTCAATCTATTACTTACAAAAACAATATCAAAAAATAATATCTAGTAGGAAATCCCCGATCTTATAGTCAATTCGATTGCGAAAGTTAATAAGTAATATACACTACAAAATCTATCGTCACATATTTAGATAATATATAAACATATTCTTAATTGTACGGTCAAAAATATTATTTACTAAAAAAACGGAATTAATTGAGTATCTGTGTGTTGTATTACCGGCCACCGTATGGAACATTGGGTGGCGCTGACTGCTGATGAGCCGTAGAGCTCGGAGCCACGGCCTTATACTCGAACTTATTCCAATCAAAGTTGTAGTCATATTGATGTCCCAAGCTCCGGAACAAAACGAGGAAAAGTTTTCGAAGGTACATGTAATCTGGGGTTTCCTCAAACCGCAGGCCGCGACAGTAGTTGAAATAATAAGCAAATTCCGGTGGATACCCCTGAATCGAATAATGATACTTGTTGATAATCAAGTAAACAGAAACATTTCTCTCAATCTAAATATCAAAAAGAGATAAGATCTTATCTCATCTCACCTTGCACAGCACTTCGAAAGGCGTCGTCATTTTTTTTTCCGCTATTTTTTCATACTTCTGCTTCTTCCCGGCCGCCTTCAACCCTTGCCAGGGAAGACCACCTCTGACGAAATACATCAATAAATATCCAAGCGACTCCATGTCGTCGCGTCGACTGCAAATTTTATAAAAACAACATTAAATTTACACAAACTTAATAAGTAATTACTTAACTACCTTTGTTCAATTCCGACATGGGCATTAATCGAGGCGTAACGAGCTGTTCCAGTCAAGTTTTTATTCTCTCGGTACGAAATGTGCTGACCCATACGAGGATCGCGGTACTTCTTGGCGAGCCCAAAATCGATCAAGTATAACTATTAAATAAAGGTGCATATTGTCAGAAACGTATCATATCATGACCAATGTTTTTTTTCAATTTCGTTCCTACCCTGCTCGAATGACGGCCACCCCCCATGAGAAAATTGTCGGGTTTGATATCACGATGAATAAAGTTTTTAGAGTGAATATACTCCACCCGAGCAATCATTTGATCAGCCAACATCAATACAGTCTTCATACTGAAGCGGCGAGAACAGGTGTTAAATAATTCCTCCAAACTGGATCCAAGAAGGTCCATAACCAAAAAATTATAGTCTCCTTCTTGTCCGAACGAGCTAAATGCACAAGCAAAGCAATTATTTATTTTTCAACTGTTTCCTCCCATCAAAATGAATATTTAATCAGTATTAAGTTGATAGAAATGTTTACTGAATTCGTGGAATTCCGATTCCCCCTTGTAACGCTGTGTAGACCTTATTTTCAAAAACTAGCTGAGGGTATCGAGCCTTCTTCTTCTCTATCTTCACAGCTACCTCCTGAAAATGCACAATTAGTTATTCCAATTTTGACGACAAGCAAAAATTCCTTAATTGCCGCATCATTTAAATACATTTATACAAATTGTTGGCACTAGAAAAGTTAAACAATAGGGCTTTCTTTCTGTCGGGTGTGACCTTTTACCATTTTTATGGGAGACACCATAATAAATTGATTATAACAATCAACTCACCTCCAAGCCCTCCCTATTTATGTTGTAGGCCAAATATATGTCTCCAAAAGAGCCTGACCCAATCTTCCTCACGAGATGATATCTCCCGGCCACGACAACGACAACCTCATCTGCCCTTGAAGAAGAGGCGGGGGCCTCGACAGGAGGGGCAGCAGCAGCAGCCATCCTTGCTCCTCTTCCAGAGATTCGATAGGCCATAAAGATGACGACGAGGAGATATTCGTAAGGTGACGACGGTGACGACGGCAGCGACAAAAAAACAATAATTGCAAGGAAGAAAAAAAGGCGAGGGAGAAAACGACTTCCTGCTGCTGCCGGCATGCTTGGTTTTACCACTCAAATTCGAGAAAATTGAGACCACGCTTCCATGTAGTTAATTTACATAAATTGAATTAAGATTAAAATTATTGCTATTATAATTATCATTATTATACTATGATATAGTTTCAGATTTCTATAAAGTAGGGATGTAAATAGGTATAATTTTAAGATAACCGATAAATTTGCAAAAACTAAGCAAAATTATAAATATTCAGCCGACAAGTGAAAATCACTTTTGATCGTCGTCATCTCATCTTAATCATTATTCATAACGTTTATTTTTCGGCTAGGTACAAACATTTTAACCAATTTATTACTAAACTAAAAGACGTAATAAATAATCCTGGCTGAAAATTTAAACCGTATCGCATTTATTTGAATATGGAATATTGAAGTAAATATGTTAAGTTATGTTAAGTAAGTATTTAACTAAATAATGTTTATTTTCAACAAGAATAACACCTAAAAGTTGTTAATAAATATTATTCTACACATGCCACGATATTACCCAACATCCTCCTAGTTTAAATTATGTATACATATTTTGCATTCCGTCACACAAATGATTTCTTATTTGCCTGGAAATATTTATATATAACCGATTCAATATGTACATTAGACTGGAAATGCGTATTAAATGTAAAGGTCGAGGGACAAATACTGCCACTGCTTATTCAGCCTTAACCAGACAAGGATGCACAAAATGCTTCGTGGCTTCGATTTTTTGTGCAAGCGTGGAAACGCGTTTGTCTGGAAAGCGGGGGGTCATGCCCCCTTTTTTACGGTGCTTATGAGAATTTACCAAGATTTTCTTCACCACGTGGGCCGGAAAAAAAACACATATCGAACCCACAAAATGCTGTCCGAAATTCTCCTCCCACATTTGACCCGACATTTTTCCATCGCTGAACGGCATCACTGCCTCCTGTACCGATGGGATTCTCAAAAAGGTCGCGTTGCCCCGTGCACTTACTTTGACCTGATTTGGTTCAGAGCGATGCTGATCTTAAGCTGGGCATATGTCGCCTTACAAATTAGAGATATATACAATTTATCAGACCCACTTGCGGAAAAAATCTTCCCAGCAACGTTAACATGGCTGTATGCTGGAAGCCTCCTCTTGGGAATGGAGTGGGGCGTGGATCCTGCCAATCTGCAATTGACGAATGTTGTCTATTCGATAAAGGAGGGTCGTCGTCTAGAGGGTGAGAGTGTTTATGGTGAAATTCTAGGATTTCAATGTTGTACCACTATCCCGAAAAAATCTATCGGCTAGTGCATATTCCGCATATGGAAATTTGCGTAGAGAAATCAAAATAAAATCAAATTAAGTGCGAATACCTAAATATGACTGAACAGTTACATAGAAACTATGAATCATTTACATATGTATGCAACTAAACTAAACCAGGCTAATTAATACCTTTCAGCATCTACCCGATCAGACAAACTTTTGGAGACGCTTATCAACCTGCTATTCACCCTGATACACTTCACCGGCTACTTCGTATTCCCATTAGTAATTATCCTACGCTTGGTTCTGGTCCCATGCCAGCCACCACTTTTGGGATCACTCCTCCTTCCAAAGGACGAATGTTCGAGATGCATCTTCCAATCTGGCTCGTGCCTTCGTCTCATCTTCAGAGCGCTACTCATTATATTTGAAGTAATGCAAATGTACCACCGCGCCGTGGTCAGTACGCACGTCATGCTGATGGTACTCGTCGGAGGTATTCTCAAACTGTGGGAGGCGTCATGTCGAACTTTTGAAGCTCGGTCGACACAAATTTTGGCAGGATATCGTGATCTCCAAGTCCTTGAAGCCATTGTAAACGCAGCAATTCGGGTTAAAATATTTCCGAGGGTTTTAGCCCTATGTCCGCTCCACGAAATCTTGGCGACGTTCGCTGTCATCAAGTATTACAAGGTGCTTGGCGGGACCCCACTAATTTTCCTGGTCTTCATGGCCCTAGATTGTAAACTTGTTGACGCGATTTACTGCATCGGGGCGGGACTTGCGCATAGGAAGAGTTGCAAATATTTGTACGATGTGAAGAGCAGGGTAAAGGGCAAGGTTGGGGTGAGGATGTTGAAATCGTGTCCGACTTTGAAGGTCAGATTTGGAAATAATTTCATCGATGAAGTTACACCTTTAGTAATTCAGCACTTTTGTTCAGTTCAAACGGCCAACTTGCTTCTTTTGTCGTAGGGTACATAATTTAGATTTTTTGTAGGTTAAATCCTAATTTACATAGTTGAAAACTTTTATTGTATATATATTTACTTTGCACACATACGTGCTAAGGATGCTCAATGTGAATGTTATGTATGTATATATGTACATATGCATGTATTAACTCCCTCGCAAATTTGGTCACGGACTACGTCAACTTTTTACATACATATTTTAATAAACGCAGTAGTCACAAACTTTTTTTCGGAGAAAGGATTCGCCGGTGAATGATCGGGTCTTATAATAGGTACATACGCTACGAGAAATTCGTTCATGAATCGCTCAAGGACGACGAAAATTTAGATAGGGCGTTACCCTGTAAAACTTTTATGCACTCATCGTCAGATTAAGTTCTCAACTTCTGAATGGCGTAGAATTCTTACACCAAAACTAAAATACATACATCAATCTATGCCAGAAAAAAATGAAACGAGTCGGCATAATACATATATCAATTACAAACAAACTTGTCAAAACCAACTCCGCATGAAACAATTTCATACCATTATTTGCAACTATCCAGACGCCAAAACTAACTTTATTTGACAAACCGTCATCCGCCACACTCTCTCACTTAAATATGTATTAGAGGAAATTGACAAAATAATTGATATAGCAAATAAACTCATGAAACTGAGCAACAAAGTCAAATTCCAACCAGTCTTGTACTACAAACTTATCGAAATAATTTATGTACCAAATAATCATGAAATCGAACCTTGAATTGAGCAGCAAAGTCAGACTTCAACCCACAGTCTTATACCTACACCAAGTTGTAACTTGGCAAAATGGTGTTGTCCGAAATTTCAACCAGTGGGATTTCAACCAGTCTCATACTATTAACTTGTCGAAATGTTGTCCGAAATCATACTCCCCCATTTGACACGTCACTTTTCCATTGCACGCTTAAATCACTGTCTATTCTACGAGTGGAATCCTAAAAAGAATCGTGTCACCGAATCTGGTAAATTTGACAAGAAATGGTCGCGGGTCATGCTCTTAGTAAGCTGGGGATACGTCCTCCTGCAAATTATTGGCTTATCCATCTCCTCAGCCACTCCAGCAGAAAAGATATTCCCAGCAACCTTGACATATTTGAATATCGCATGCAGTTTCTTGGGGTTTGTGTGGAGTGCGGATTCTGCCAATGTGCAATTAATGAATATCATTTATTGGTCAGAGAAGAGGTCACGGGAAGGTCAGAAAACAATGTAATACTTATTACTGAATAATTAACGTAGGATTCTATAATTTTTTAGAGTGTCGCGGCCATGGTAAAATTTTGGCAGTAATTATCAACTTGACTTACTCACTAGCCAATTTTTCCGCTTATGTCGCATTTCCACCGGCCATAGTGGTCATGTTGGTCATCCTCCCGTGTCAGGCACCACTTTTGGGATCCCTCCTCCTTCCAAGGGACCAATGTTCGAGACCTCTATTCCAATCACTCGGAATAATGTTAATTTTCAGAGTGATAGTAATTGTAGTGGAATTTATTCAAATATACCGCCACGTAGTGATTGCTGCACATTACATTATGTATATTTTGGTATCGGGAATTCTCTATTTTTGGGAGGAAGCTATAAAGCTTCTTAGGTTTCCATACTCCATGGAGGGATACAGAGCCCTGCAAGTTTTAGAAACGATTTTAAACGCTTCAATTAGGTTCAGAATATTTCCTACGGTTTTGTTCTTAGCCCCGACAATGGAAATTTTGACGATCTGTGCATGTATCAAGTATTACGATGCGACGGATAAAATACAGCTCGTCCTTATTGCAGTGCTTGCAGTGAACGCGACAGTTTTGAACGTGTTGTACTGCACGGGGGCGGGAATTGTGTGTAGGAAAAGTGGGGAGTATTTGAGGGATATGAAGGCAAGGGTGAAAGGTAAGCTGGACAAGAAGCTGCTAAAATCGTATGCACCTCTGAAGGTCAGATTTGGCAGCAATTTCATGGACGAGTTGACACCTTTGATAATTCAGCAATTTTGCACTGCTCAGACGGCAAACTTACTGCTTTTATCGTATAAATAAAAATTATTATAAATTCGGATAAATTATAAATACTTATAAAATGCCAAAGTTGCTTTAAAGCTAGATTAGTTTCAATTGAGAAGAGAGGGTTGATTTGTAATGATGTAGATAGATATGTACGTACACGAATACATAAGCATTTTAAGAAGTTTACTTGTTCATTCATAGTTCGTTCGTATAAAGAAATCACTTGCAACTTTGGTTTAATTAAACATTCGTCACTTAATTAATTATACAGTTAATTAAATGTGGTAATCTTAACACGATTGTATACTTATATTGGGATTACTTGTATCAACACCATTGGATGTGATAAGCGTATATTTAAAATCCGAGTATAACGTTGAAAAATTCAGACTTTTCATTTTTTGACAAAAAGAAGTTCAACATCCGTTTTTAATAACTTAATTAATCAATAACTTAATTCATGCATAATGTAGAAAACCCAGACCTATAAGGCATCACTTAATGTAAATGTTGGGTCTCTATAGACGTAGGTATTAATTTCTCGGTATAAAAGTTGCTACCACTTTCTATTAAAATTATGCCGATCCATAAAAATTTTCTACCGGTACGGTAAAACTTTAATGTCCAGCTATTACTGTACTGTATTACTTACCAATACCCCTTTGGTAAAGTTATGTGTATGTATGTATATGAAAACCCCTTGGTATCATTTTAATAAAAATTACACGAGTCACCATCTGCACACCATATCAATCCATTACAACCAATATTTACTTATCTAAGCTAAGTAACGCTACATAAACAATTTCAAAATATTATATGTAACTGTCCAAACACTAAACTAACTTTATTTGACAAGTCGTCATCCTCCACGTTCCTATAATAAAATATGCATGTACATATAACACCAACTTGATGGAATAATTTATATGGGAAATAAACTCATGAAATTGAACAACAAAGCAGGACTTTAACCAGTCTTATACTATTAACTTGTCGAAATGTTGTCCGAAATCATACTCCCCCATTTGACACGTCACTTTTCCATTGCACGCTTAAATCACTGTCTATTCTACGAGTGGAATCCTAAAAAGAATCGTGTCACCGAATCTGGTAAATTTGACAAGAAATGGTCGCGGGTCATGCTCCTGATAAGCTGGGGATACGTCTTCCTGCAAATTATTGGCTTATCCATCTCCTCAGCCATTCCAGCAGAAAAGATATTCCCAGCAACCTTGACATATTTGTATATAGCATGCAGTGCCTTGGGGCTTGAGTGGGGTACGGATTCTGCCAATGTGCAATTAATGAATATCGTCTATGCGTCAGAGGAGAGGTCATGGGAAGGTGAGAGAATACCAATAATCATAACGGGATAATTAACCCTTTTAATTTATAGACTGTCGCGGGAATGGTAAAATTTTGGCGACAATCGTCAACTTGACTTACTCACTAGCAAATTTCTCCGCGTATGTTGCATTTCCACCGGGAATTGTGGTCATGTTGGCCATCCTTCCGTGTCAAGCACCACTTTTGGGATACCTCCTCTTTTGGGGGGACGAATGCTCGAGACCTCTGTTCCAATCCGATCCCGGAGTAATGTTCATTTTCCGAATGGTACTACTTCTAGTGGAATTTGTTCAAATCTGTCGCCACGTGGTGGTCGCTGCACATTACGCAATATACGTTGTGCTATCGGGAATTCTCTATTTTTGGGAGGAAACTACAAAAATTCTTAGGTTCCCGTACTCAACGGAGGGATACAGAGACCTGCAAGTTTTGGAATCGGTTTTAAACGCTTCCATTCGGTTCAGAATATTTCCCACGGTTTTGTTCTTAGCTCCGACAATGGAAATATTGGCGACATTTGCGTGCATCAAGTATCACGATGCGATGGGTGGAATGCAAATACAGCTCCTTCTTATTGTACTGCTTGCATTAAATGCGACAGTTTTGAACGTGTTGTACTGCACGGGGGCGGGAATTGTGTGTAGGAAAAGTGGGGAATATTTGAGAGATATGAAGGGAAGGGTAAAACGTAAGGTGGAAAAGAAGTTGCTGAAATCGTATGCACCTTTGAAAGTCAGATTTGGCAGCAATTTCATGGATGAGTTGACACCTTTGGTAATTCAGCAATTTTGTTCTGCTCAGACGGCAAACTTGCTGCTTTTATCGTATAAATAAAATTCTATTATGAAGTCATTGTAAATACTGATTAATTCTAAAAATTTGTAAAATTTCAATGTTTCTTAAGGGTAGGTTAGTTCCAAGTGTGAAGAAAGAAATGATTCGTTATATTTGATATACATATGTGTACACAAATTCATAAGCATTTTACAACGTTTGCTCTTAATGCATAATTCGTAACGATATCATTTACAATTTTGGGCTTAATTAAACATTCATGATCCCGCAAGTAAATACAATGTAGTAATCTTTACATTTGTGTATATTTACATAGGAATTACTTTTATCAAAGCCTTATAATGTGATAAGCGCATATTAAAATCTGAATTTAATTTTGAAAAATGTATACTTCTCGGTCTGACAAAACGAAACTAAACAAACATCCTGCTCGTGTTACTAATAATTTTGTTGGTAAATGTATACAGAAATCCAGACTTAAAGGCTCTTCGGTGTACACACAAAAGTTTTGGCGTTCCCTTGACTGACGCAGTTATTTATTTCACGGTATCAAATTTGCTACCGCTTGCTATTAAAATTACCCCGGTCTGCAAAAATTTGTAACCGATGTGGTAAAACTTTAGTACCGAACTGTTTGTTACTGCACGGTATTCCTTACGTAGTTACCAGTACCACTTTGGTAGAGTCAAATTATATGACTCTACCAAATATAGCCATACGTATGACTCATGCATACGGCTATATATGTGTTATCAAGGATATGATGTAAACCTGTACTGATTAAACACTGAAGACCCATCATAGATTTGGCAGCATTCCGAAATAACAGCAGCCTGTACATATTCATGCAATGAAAATCCTGCATCCTGCCCCACGTAAAGTAATACCATTGACTTTTTTGTGACTAATTTACATTGTACATACGCCACCCGACCACTACAGATTTTTACAACGTGCGTAGGTTGGTTACATAAATCTGTGCTAAGCTGGTCCTCTGATTCATTTGGAGAAGAGATCATCTCGCAAGTTAGATTCTGTGGGTATTACAGATTTAAATTTGTGTACAAAGTTTTTAATACAGCGCAGGAGAAATTGACTTAATTCGATTATCACACCTTTTAAAATTCTATCGGATAACACACACACCGGTAAGTTTGTTTTGAGTTTATTGCTTAAAAAACATATGTATGATTATTGGGTGTGCTCACAACAATTTCTAAATTTATCAGATGAATATGTTTTGCAAAATTTTTGCAAAACTTTTTCTTACTAATGAAGGAAGATTTGTTTTGGACAAATTTACCCAGTCCATAATTCCATAAATTGGCATGTTAGAAATCTGGTATAGTAGCACCCATATATTCATTTCTAAATATATCACAGTTGCCTGATTACAGGTGTACATTAAGCTAGTTTTTAAACGCTACGTGCAGTCTGCCCCCATTTTACTCAACGCACACAACTTATGTACATATTTATATACTTATAAATTTACAGGAATATTAGACCAAAGTATTTACCATGGGAATTGAATCGTACTCGTTCAACATTTTGGATTCCATACTCCTACCTCCCCCCGGACAAAATGGAGAAGAAGGCGAGCGAAATATGGGACAAAAGTTGGCCACTAAAGTCCTATCGCGTCTGGGCTTCTACCCCAGCCTGTTGCACAACGTCATCCTGGCGAGAACGTCAGAGAGGAATTGGTATGATCGGATTGACGAGAACGTGATACTCGGTGCCCTTCCGTTCCGTGGAATGGTGGATGAACTCAAGAGTCAAGGCGTCACTGGGGTCGTCTCGCTCAATATGGATTTCGAGTTGTGGATGTTCTCGCATGGGAAAGAGGTGATTGATTCATTTATATTTTTTAAGTCAACCTGAATAAATTTTCATATTTCTTTAACAATTTGAGGAAAATGTACACTTACGATGGAGGAATCTTTTATTTTCCACGGAGTTATTTCAAAAAATAAAGCCAAAAATTAGGAATGACATGAAACTTATCTTTCCGTTGAATAAAGTTTCATTACTTTTACAAATTAATTATTACGAATATTTCTGAGAAAAATGGCTTACAAATTTTTGTAAACTTACTCAGATCAAGGGCGTCTTTTTATTTTGCAAAAGTTTGTAAAATTATTTTACAAAACTTACGAATTTACAAAGATATCAAAGCCTGCGTTATCAATGTATTTTTCGTTCGAAAAGAATTTCGTTTAATTTTTTATCTAATTTTTACGTTATTATGTAATTAATTTTGAAAAAGTAAAGCTTTTTTGTAATCAATAAGTATAAAATTTGGTCAGAGCTTTCGTCCAACCAATTTTGTATGCTATCTTATTTACATTCATCACTATTTTTTCCAATATTTCAGGGCTGGGAAAAATTGCAGATACCATTTTTGCAGCTTGAAACCCTAGATAATTTCGAGGCCCCGAGTCAATCAAAATTAAAAGAGGGGGTCGACTTCATTATGAAATCGAACGGTACAACTTACGTACATTGTAAAGCTGGCAGGACGAGAAGTGCGACATTAGTGGCGTGTTATTTGATGCAGGTACATAAATTATTACATTCAACAATTTATTAACATGAATTACGAAATTCATGAAAATGTTTAAAATTTTGTCAGAAAAACCACTGGACACCTTCCCAAGCGATAAGCCACTTGACGGAGTGCAGACCTCATGTCTTCTTGGGCCGAGCACAACTAAAAGCGATCGACACCTACCACGAGAACAATGTATGTAGCAGCAAAACAGAAGAAAGCTCCCCTATAATTTCAGAAAGTTCGACGAAAACATAAAATGGCTAAAATATGCATAAATTTGTAAACTTTATAAATATGTATTTATTTCTTATTTAAGTAAATAACGCATGTACATCACGAAGGAAAATTAAACAAATCGTTATCCGATCAGGAACTAATCTTTGCGTTAATGAGAATATGCTTAAGTCAACCAAATTTTATCTGCTTTCACATATTTATTATACTATTATACATACATATATATTTATGTATGCCAAAACATACATACAAAATCCAAGTACTTATATGTATCTACATATGTGTAATGCTTCTACATACGTCAGGTAATCATCAATCCAATCAAAAATTTACCACGGTTTTCAGCGTAATTTACTTACATACATACATACATATGTATGTATGTATGTATTTGCATGGCCTCTCTTAACAAGAGGGTTGCACAGTAAAACTTATACTTTGTTCTACAAATTTACTTCGAGTTGCGAAATATGCGAGAAATTTCTATCCCACGTATTTAATTCCTATCTCAGGATTAATCAACCACATGCATATGCACAAGTAATGGGAATTCGCGTGACTCGTATAATACTTGGGTCTAGGGTAGCTCGTCGAAAACATGGTCGTCGAAAGAGTAACTCGTCGAGGACGAGTCGTCTGAAGGGTAACTCGTCATTTGGGCAAGTGGTCGAAAATAATACTTGTCGACAGTATTTTTCTGAATAAAATACGATTCTAAATATAAATTATAATTTTATAAATTAACATTTACATGAGAACTCTCAGCAAGAACGCCAAACCGCCTGTTCCAGGCCTCCACTGCATTATTGGTTCTGAAAATATTATCTAATACACTTTGGTGCACATTCCAGAAGAGTATTGGAAACATTAGTGGATCGTATACTATACCGATGTAGGTTTTTTGAACATAACTAAAAAACCTACAGTGCAGACTTGATATAGCCCGAGTCAGGCGTAAATCTGTTTCCAAATTAAAATTTTTTAAACTTCGAATTGTTCAATTAAGAGCCTTTAGTAACCCATATACTAAAATTTATCCACTATCACTAAATTTTTGTTAGTGCACACATTTTTTTCCCTTGGTCACCAGTATCGACTGTGGCCATAACTTTGAAACGAGTGTATTGTTTTTCCTAAAACTCTCAGGATATTATCCTAGTAATATTAGACGCAACATATGCAAATTCCAGCCACGCGGGTGACTAGGTTCGTATACATTTGTTGGTGCACACATATTTTTCTCCCTGGTCACCTGATTGGGTCGCCTAATAAGGTCCTCCAGGTGAAAATTTTTCTTATTTTACTTCATTAGGAGCTATTACCAACTTGTCTACCAAATTTCAGCTCGATTTGACGAATTTGAAAAATTGGTATGGGTCACCCCATAGGGTCTGTCCAGGTGAATATGTGTCCAATTTCAATTCATATTCTTCTATTGGTAGTCATTAACAACCTGTGTATCAAATTTCAGTTCGATTGGATAAGTTTTAAAAATCGGTATTGGTCACTAGAGTCCCTCCAGATGAAAATTTTTGCAATTTTACTTTGTATTCCTTCATTAGAAATCATTATCAACCTCTGCACTTAATTTCAGCTTTCTACGTCAATTTTGAAATTTTGATGCATAATACCCCACCCACCTATATGACCCCCACCGGTCAACCACTTGACCGATTTCGCCCATCTTCGAACTTAACTCCTCATTTGACCCAGACTACATTTGTGCAAAATCTCAAGTCGATCGGATTAGTTTAACGGCAGTTATCGCAAACCAGACAGACAGACAGACAGACGGACATGACGGGTACATAAGCCCTGACTCGGGCTAAAAATTCATTCAGTTCGAGTTTAGTTTGACCATTAAAATTGAACGATACTTTCAATTCTCGGAATGTCACTCTTAAATCGTCGAGCTGAACAAATGCGAGACCAAATATTTATTAATAATGCCATTGTAACGTCTTGGTCGTACTGGTTCTTTAAATTGGGTGTCAAATGCCTAAACAACGCTTGAGTATAGTGAAAATGACACCCGTGATGTACGGAGTCTGGAAACGTGTCGTGTACAGCTTTTATCTCAGCTTGTTCAAAATCCATCAGAACAGCTTATCTTCAAATTTAAGTTTCTCTTTGCTAAGTTACAGTTCGTAACAGTAATTTGACATCTTTAGTCTAAAATATAAGGGTAAAAAGAACAAAACAATCCTCCGAATTACTGCTGTGTAATATTTTGAATATTTTGGAATGTCCGCAGTGTATATTCGTCCCACGATGCACATGTATTGTGTATACGTGTGAACTCATATAGGTAAAATCAGTAATAATGTTACATGAAATTCGACGAGTTTCATGCCACCTAAATTCGACGACTTGCCTTTCTGACGAGTTTTTCATTCGACAAGTTGATTTAGACGACTTACCTTTTCGACGACATAGGATTCGACAAGTAACCCGTATCCCATAATACTTATGTATATATGTACAATATTCATATGTTGTCATGGAAACCAGACTAGTTTTTTTTCAAATTTCACCTGCAGTCTGCACCCATTTTTCTCACCGTACACAGCTCAAATATTTATCTCTATATTCTCTGGAGGATGTATTAAACCCAAGAAATATTCATCATGGGAATTAGCTCGTTCATATTTAACATTTTAAATCCCTTACTTCAACCTCCCCCCGGAGAAAATGGGGCCGAAGGTGTGCGAAATACGGGGCAAATTTTGGCGATTAAGGCCATATCACGGCTCACCTTTTATCCCAGCCTGTTCCACAATGTCATCAAGGCTTGGACGTCAGAAAGGAATTGGTATGATCGGATCGACGAAAACGTGATACTCGGTGCCCTTCCGTTTCGTGGGATGGTGGATGAACTCAAAAGCGAAGGCGTCACGGGGGTCGTCTCGCTAAATAAGGATTTCGAGTTGTGGATGTTCTCGCATGGCAAAGAGGTGCTCATTTCGTATATTTTAAATATAAAATCGGTGATAAGTGTAATTTTATATTGGGATTTTGTTGAGTATAATATTTCTTAGTGATTTGTGATGTAGTTTTGCAAAGAGAATTCACTCACGCTGCATTTTTTCGTTAGCAAAAAATTTTATTGTTGTAAAATGTGTGCAATGTTTCATGAAAAATACTTTAAAGTCAGAAATTGTAAGTCAATGTTGTCCCCAATTTCATATAAGAAGATATGATATGCCGTGAAAACATAGAATTTTATTATTTGTCAATTCACGTAGGCCTTGGTAACTTTGTAAAATCCGCAAATTCTGTAAAGTTACAAACTTTCACAAAAATTTCTAAGGAAAATGAGCTTGCACAAATTTTTGTAAACTTATTCCTCAGATCAAGGGCACCCTTTTAGTTTGCAAAACTTTCTGATTTTACAAGTTTACTAATGACTGCATAAATTAGCTCAGTATTTTTATCACGTATTTTCAGGGCTGGGAGAAAAACCAGGTGCCCTTTTTGCAGCTAGAAACCCGAGATAATTTCGAGGCCCCGAGTCAATCAAAGCTGAAAGAAGGGGTCGACTTCATTATGAAATCGAGAGGGACGATCTACGTTCATTGTAAAGCTGGCAGGACGCGGAGTGCGACGTTAGTAGCGTGCTATTTGATGCAGGTAAATCAATATTCAGTAACTGCATGAATTTCACTCTGATAATTTATAGATATAAACTCTTGTATTTTTTACCCTGGTAGAAAAACAAGTGGACACCTTCCCAAGCGATAGCTCACTTGACGGAGTGCAGATCACACGTATTCTTAGGGCCAGCACAAGTAAAAGCAATCCATACATATTACGAGGAGAATGTAGCAGAACGGATGCAACTGATGCAAGATGCACTATAATGTTTTTCAAATTTTCTTTGGAAATATAAAATTTCAAAAAGGAAAATATGTTAATATTTATTTCATGTTTCTACATAATCATATGTTTAAAGGCTAATAATATGTAAGGTAAAACACCCCAGCTCTCTACAGATCTGCTCAAGTTTAGGTAACGATTTGAAGCACCACTTCCGAATCAGTACAGCATAAATGGTATCGCAATGTAAGGTCACATAATGCACTATTATGAATCATAAGCTAATAAATTAACTATACCTAAGGCAGTAACTGTCGTATTGCTAAAATATGCAAAATATATTTGCTCATATTTAAGTTAAAATTTTTAACTACTTCATATTTTTTTAGAATCTGAGTCGTCTGCATAAAAACGAGTTTCTCTCGTCGGAACAATTACCATCATACACTTTCTTGGCTACAATTGCCAATTAGTGTTTTTTTAAGAGTACCTCGAATCTTATTCGACCCGAAGGTGATGACTTCAGTCCGCATATTTTTCTCTACCGGGTTTGACCACGGACCTATGTACAGCGCCGGCCTGCAAACGCCTCTCTCCCCTTGCGAGACCAAGTAGCGAATCAAATCTGTCAAATAATAATGCAAAATTGGAAAAAAAAATTATTCATGTGCGAATTTAACGTGGGACAACCTACCCAAAATTTGCCACTGTCTGTTTTCATCGAGTTGCTTCTCCTCTCCCGGGGCCTGACCCTTCATACGCCGTCCGGTCGGGGTGGCATCGCGAAGTTCGTCCTCGTCAAAGATCTCTTTTATCAAAAATTGTCTCCCCATATGAACCGGACCGTTTGAACGGTACAGTTTCTCAGCACCGGTCCACGTTTTATGGCAAAAAGCGTGCGTGCGGGTAGTCTCGCCGATTTTTAGTGTCTGCGAAAACAAGCATAATTTCAAGAATTTTGCAAAGTACCTATCAGCACATACATACAAATTCTTCAAATAAATTGTGACTGAGAAATTTGCAAATTTCACGTGCAATTTTTATTTGAAGTTCTAACTCTGAACAAGCTAAAAGTGGCTACTGATTTATTCATGAGGATGATTTAATTTTGCAACTACCCATCAGCATACACAAATTCTGCTAATAAATTGTGACTGAGAAATGTGTAAATTGCACGTGCAATTTTTACTTGAGACTGAACAAGCTAAAAGCGATTACTGATTTATCTATGCATGAGGACGCCAGTGATCTACCCCTACATGTTTTTGGAATTAGAATAAAATAAAATTTCCATAATATTTACCAACGACATATAACTTGTTTCGGTGTAGTCCTCTCTCAACAATTTAGGCTCGATCCCATTAATAAGTCCCGTTCGTTTCCATTCCTTCAAAGTTTCCTTATCCAGGAAGTTTTGTACACAAGTAAACCGTTGAGCATCTTCAAGACCGTCGTTATCTTGTCTAGGGGACTGACCCGGATTTTGAAAAACAATACCGTCCGGTGACTTTGATACATCCATCTGCGCAGAGTCCGAGATTGCTTGAAATACCGCGGGAGAATTAGGCTGGCAAGAATGGGGTTGATTTTGGAAGTTGGCAACATTTAGCATATTTTGCAGGCCAGGTGGGCCAATTCTTTCCGGCGTCAAATGTGACCCCTGGCAAATTTGTCCAGTTTGCTTGTCCTCCATTCTCCCGAGGACAGCGTGCTTTCCATGGAGCCGAATCTCCTCATCTATCTGTCTGCACTCTTCCAAAGTTGGGTACACGTTATGGGCGGAAACTTGAGAATCATACATCTCCTCGTACCCTCGTTTATTGTGTCGTCTTTCGTACAGAAATTTAGACGCGCCTAAAATATGGGTGCAAAATAAGTATGTACGAAAAAATCGGAAAGATTTTGAAACTTGTCTAATTATATAACTCACGATAGATGGCCAACATTTTGACTGAGCAAATGGATCCGACCCCTTTGAAAGTTTGTATCAATTGCCCAACATTGCCAAAATCTAAGCGAATAATTGTACTGGATAATTTCGCTGCTACTTTTGCAATAGAAATCTCCCCCTGTTTGAATGCTGCTTTCCAACGTTCTTCACTAAATTGAACGCCATCCTGTAAAAATGTAAAAACTAGTAAAAATTGATTAAAAACTGCGATTAAAAATTGCAAAAAATAACGAGGAAACGGACCACGTGCTGATCTGTATTCTGCGGGATGGTGCTTTTCGTCAAGGCGGCCGCTATTTGCGCTGTGTCCATCCTAATCCCGCCAATATTTGAGTTTCTCACCGCCATGACGCACCTTTTGAACATTTCCTCATACTTTGTTTCCTCCTTTTGAGCTTCAATTATGAAGACTTCATAGTCATCGGGCAAGTCAACATCGTCCCAGAAATTGTGAGCCAAACCATCCATTCGACCGGATAACTCGTTGAGAAATTGGGCTTGATAAGGCTCGTCGTTCTCGCGGCGAGGGTCATAGTTTCTCAATGTGGAATTTATTTCGGCCATCATGGCCTCGTCCGGTTCGGGGAAGCGAGTCATAATTTCGTGGAAACTTGACGGAAATGACCACGGATTTATGTACGAGGTAGGATGGAACTTGGACATCATGAAGATGACGGCTCCTGACAAAATTGGGGAAAACTTGTTAAAGAATAATTCACAGTTTAAGAAATATTTATTATGATGGGAGAATTTGTATTTATTTTTTCATATTTTTTGCAGTCAATTAAATGTTAAACGTATGTAGTAGGCCTTTAAGATACATATTTGGCAACTTGTGGTGATGATGGAAATCTTGTAAATGTGTACATGTACCGTGTGCATGTCAACCTATTATTTCACAACTCATTTAGCAATGGTTTCCAAAATAAAAATAAAAACATGCATAGTTTTGGTGCAATTTGTTAATATATATTAACAATGTCGTACTTTTCTAACAAAAGTGTTACCAAATTTTTACAAGTTATGTTTGCGAGATTTTCTATGTATGTACGCGAAAGTTGCCGTGAGTGCGCCCAAAGTCATAGCAATGCGAAAAGCACTTGCACATTTTTACGCTTATCGGTAACTGATAATCAATTATATTCTGCATATGTAAAAGCTTAAATACGTACCTACTTACATACCTACGTATGTATTTGTATGTATCACTTGTATACATGCATAAATCAATGCTATGTACATACCTATGTAAGCATGCATGTATGCACATAATTTAAATTGTTATTACTAAATTAACTCACGTTGTATAATTTTGACCATGTTGTCTCTCGCAATTGTGTCCAAAATGATAATCTTGCGACACTCCGAGTGAACCATTGCTTTCCAAACGAATTGAATTGTTGAGGCGAGATCTCGCTGATTAAATGCGGTAGCCCATGCGACAGGTTGAATCCGAATTTCAAAAATATTACCAGATTTCGCGAGTGCACTTGGAATCTGTAAATATGGAAATATTAAAAACACAATTTTTATATGTATGTACTACGAAACTAGTTTTGCATGAATCAGCTCAGCTAGTGAGTTAAACTATTTTTGCAAATTAGTGTGCAATTTAAATTTTCATAAAATATTTCGTTGATTTGAACTTACCCCGCTAATTAGTAACCAGTATTTTAGAAAAGGCTCGAAATATATGATATGTTCGTTTCCCGTCTTTTTAGTCAGTGATGATTCTGGCTCCATCTTTGCAAAATATTTCCTCGACTCGCCAATTTCTTGGGGGAAATTTTCATCCATAAATTTCTGCGTTATGGACTGCTCCCTGGGCCGTTTTTTTCCTCGGGGTGTCGCCATCGTGGCACAGAACTTTAAGAAATTTGAAACGTAGTAAAATTTGTTCAAACAAATTAATTCGAAATTTCTATGTATATTTATTTATTTGGCGTCACGGATCACAAATAGTTTGGGAAGCAATCTTAATAACGTATCAATTTACTGGATAAAGCTCCCTTCACTTATAAACAAAGAGTTTTGCAAAATTTTGCAAACAATGTTGATCTGCTAAATTTAAAAATTGTCGTGCGTACGCCCAATAAGAGCTCAACACAATCTTATTCTTAGTGTCTGTATTATTTGACAATATTTAAATTTTGAAAGTACTGGCCATCAAATTCTGCTAATTTTTCCTTCAGCTTTTTAAAAACCTTCTACACAAAATTAATTTTATTCGTAACGTCGATACCTTTATGACACGAGGTCTCTTCTCTAAATGAATCACAGGACAAGCTCAACCCAGATTTATATGCTAAACTACTGCACCGTGGACGAATCTGTACATATTTGTTGGAGGGCAAACAGTGTAGTGAAATGTACTTATGTAAATTAGCCACACAAAGTCAATCATAAGTGGGACAGGATTCTTCATTGCATGAATGAACTCCTATCTTACACAATGTTGTCAAGCTCCTGATGGGACTTCAGTGTTTTATCAGCCACTGAATATTATCTCACATCCTTGATAACCCGCGATGGAAAGGATGCAGCTCGTCATGAGTGAACCTAATTGCTCACTGGATTTCATGAACTTTTCATAAAATCAATCCTCAGTTTCATGGAATATTTGAACTGTGCATGAAATTATCATGAATTACGGTGCATTTTTGTAAGGTGAGGTAAACAACAACGTTACACGACATCCGAGTAAATATTGGCCCCCTGAAAAACTGACCAAATGGCACATGTGCGAAGAAAATGTTGCAAAATTAAAATATTAATTTAATGATGACATAATCGTCTGTGAATCAATTTAATTTGACTATTCTAAAATAATTACTGTTAAATGCGAGGCTTTTTCGTCTATTCTTCTTAAAGTTCACACCTTTTTAATGTCATGTACGTATTTATGTAATTGAAAATTATTCGTTTTTCAATAGGTTCGCATTCGTTTCTCACGTAGCAGAGCTGATAATTAAATTCGATTAATTGAAAAATTACTGAGTTTCACTTTGGAAGTTGGTGCCATTTAAAAATTATCTATATTAAATAGTGGGAAAGATATTTCATAATAATAATAACGATAATTAATCATAATAATTATAATTCTACAAAGTTGCCGCTCTAAATTTGCAAGTATTTAAAAGTTGTATGCACGTATGAATCTCAGTCTGAAGTTCATAGTCTGGCCAAGCATTAGATTATTTATTTTCCAAATTATTTACGTGTGACATTAACTAATAGAATAGTATAAAAATAGAAAGTCTAATTTGCAAATTGGAATTATTAGAATTATGAATGACAGAAACAAATGTTGATGTGTACATAGATAATAAAGTACATGGCATATATAGTTCCACGAATTAAAAACGTTTTCATGGAACATGAAATCATCCGCTTTCCAAATTGTTTTGCACAGCTCAACTTTCTGCAAACACTTTGTCACTGGATACATATCTTGTTAAATGTCTTTAAATCATGCAATTGCGAATAAATTAAATACAAATATCTAGTACTTCATTTAACTTTGGAACTCGAAAGGTGCATAAATACCCAAGAACATATTGAGCACACTATACATTTTAATGCATAAATTTTATAAATGTTGGAGTAGTACATATATAAGTACACATGGATTAGATAAGTATGTATGTATCGATTATTGATTACGCCTATCTTATATATACATACGTACATACATAACTGCATACCATCTTAAAGCTTACCAAATTTTCGAGCATATGATTTAAAACCTTGGGCAAAGCGAGACTTAAGTATAAATAGGTAGATAACATAATGTATAATACCGACGCATCAATGTTTCAATAGTCTAACTATTAAATTACAAATATTCTTACATAAATTAAACATTGTTGGAATTTAATCAGTCATTGGTAACTTATTATAAAATTTGCAAGTTTTGTAAAATAACTTTACAATCTTTTACAAAGAGACGCCCTTATCCAGAAACAATTTGCAACCTAATTTTTCAAAGAAATATTTGTACAATTTTTGTAAAAGTTTGTAAGTTTACAATGTTACTCAAGACAACTTGCACAGCTCATCGTTAAATTATATAGGTTAAAAACTAAAATAATTATATGTAACTAATTACATACGTACATATGCATTATGCATATGTACACATTGTACACTGCGACCCGTAAAACAAGGACACCTATCATTTTTTTCGATTTCTCCGAGGACGTCCAAAATATTGATATGTTTCTTTCGCAATTAAGTACTACGGTGGGTAGTAGTCTTGTCGCAGCTTTTCATCCTGGTTCATAATCATACAACTTAGGAATCTACAAAAACCTAAAATTCAGGTGACCCATAAAACAAGGACATATCCCAGAAAACAGAATGTATGTTATTCCACTGGGCGAAAGCAATTGACTTTGGGCCAGAAATTATATCATCAGTATGTTGATGACATTTTGGTCTATGGTAGGTGTAAATTAAACTTTTTCTTAGGCAGGTATGCTATGGCGAGGGCTAAATTCCAGGCAATGCGGCAGAGGGGCAAAGTAGAAGCTTTACTTGCAGATCGGTGGAGTATATCGAAAATTCCAAAGCACCAAATTGTCAGCCGACATTCCGTAGTAACGTCCAATGTCAAAGGGACCACTTCCTGTGGAAAAAACAGGCAAGGAGACATGCCTCAGATGATGCAGTGAGAAAAATCCATCATTCTCCGTGGCTCATGCAACTGGTTTGTGGCTGCAAACCAGACTAAAATGGTTTTCAACCTTCCCTCAGCGAAATCAACAACAAATAAAGTCCGGCGTGCTTTCCCGATCCTCTACAGAAGGAAAATGAAGAAGAAGCGTTTGCTTTCCCGGAAGCACAAAGACGCTCAATCGCAGTGGGCGAAATATCGAATGACGTGGACCTCTGTGTCAAGCAGCACCGTATTTAGCGACGCAAATGAGTTATATTGGATAGCCCAGATAGGATCAAGCATAATTTTAATGACCTTAGCAAAGAAAACCTAACTTTTACCACATAAATAGCAGGGAAGGTAATGCCATGATCTGGCCGCTCATCGGTCGCAGGATGAGGTCTCATATCTTGGTGTTGCGACCACGCTGAACTCACAGGGTTATCAAAACATTTCAGGGGAACATTTACTTCCTCGGAAACAACAATTTGGAAGAACGAAACGGCTGCCTTAACAAGATAATGCCCCATATTATACTCCTCTGTGATCAATGAAATGGTCCCAAGACAACGATATCGACATTATGCCTTGGCCATTGAGGTGTTTGGATCTAAATCCGACTGAAACTATTTAGGGATACTAGTCGCGTCTAATTTATGCTAATACTCGGCAGTGTTCAACAGGTTCCGAACAAAAACAAGGAATCATTGATGCAAGAGATTCAATGTCAATCAGTGTTGTCAATAAGCAAGTTTAGTCATTGAATTATTGATTTCTTTCTGATATCAATAAAGGGGGTAGCTATACTGAGTATTGTTGTGAAAGAGAATTGATCAAATACAAAACAACTGGCTAAAATGGAAATAATTCCAGACCTGTCCTTGTTTTATGAGCCACCTGATTTTGACATATTATTAGATAACTTCTTCGCCCCTGCATCAATTTTAACGAAACTTTGCAACAAGACTACCAGGCACCGTAGTACTTAAAGGTGAAAGAAACATATATATATCTTGAAGGGCCTTTGAGAAATTGGAAAAAATCCTAGGTGTCCTTGTTTTGTGGGTCGCAGTGTAAATATGTATCTACATTGAGATGCATGCACAATTAGTTAATATAAATCTGCTTGAGGTTCATACATGCTGCATCGACGAACATCAAAACCATTGAGCCACCACTGTGACGAACACATTCATCAATTCATGGAATGAGAGTTTATGAGAGTGAATTCATGAAAGTGGTTTCAAGGAAATCATTGCACATTTCTTGGTAAGCATTACCTACCCACAGTTTTGTACCAACAACCAATGGTGAATTTATATCGTGTTGCTCAAGGTACAAATACATTATGTTTTTCGAACCTTATAGTAGATATTTCCTGCTTTAATATTTCCTGAATATTACAAAATTGTATGTATGTATGTACATACATATTTATCTGAATTTCATGGTTAGAAACTATGATTAGCATTTAGTCTAAATTTGAACAGATATGATGACAAACTATTTTTTTCTGTAATAATTTAATTTTTCCGAGATAAGCGTACTTTTAAGAAAGCTAAAAACTAGAACTATTAACGTATACAAAAAATGCAAAAAAAACGTGTAAACCATACATTGGTACTTGCAAATAAATATAATGCACTCGAAGTGCATTACCGTATATTTGTCCTTAAATGACAATGACGTACGGCACAAAGTAGAAATCATTACCTGTACAACTTCTCATTCGATGATTTGATTGAGCTAATGACTCATTAATTAAATGTCTTATATAGCGATATGTGCTCCAGTAGTAAATATCCTATATTCAGCTAAGTATGTACAAACAGTAGGTAAATTCTTGGGAGAGAGTATTAGTCTTGTTTAGTGCTTTTCTTGATTGAGAGTCTCAATTTGAGACCTAGGTAAGTTCCCTAGTTGCCGAGATATCTTACATAAATTGACTGACGCCATATCATCGAAATATCTCATTCCAACACGCACACGTTCCTTTCTTTTCTCTCTGCGCTTAAATAGTTTGCTCACCCATTCACTATTATCCATGGAATGTACCAATAAAGAACCATAATTACCTACTTTATTGGATTTTAAACTTTATAACGAAAGCGTTCCTTGTTGACTGGATTCATTTAGCGTAACATCGAGTCAGAAGGATGGCTGGACCATTTTGCATTTTTGCTATATCTGCGATTTTTCTGCCTCTTCTTATTCCTGCAGAGGAACTGACCACTTCTACGCAATTAATTGCATTCCTGGCGGATTTAATTAGTCATTCTAGATACTCGCATTGTGCCCTCTTCTTCATACGGGAGAAAGATGGACCCGTCGACTATAATAACGTCAAGGACAGCTTTATCAGAGACGTAGTGACCAGTGTCAGTGGGGTACCATTTTTCAATACAGAGTTTGGTTCAGAGACTGAAAATTTCGTCGCCCCCGAAGTAATTTACAACAGGAGGGCAGACATGTGCAAGTTGGTTCTTGTTCTGGTCAAAGATGCCAAATCGGAATTCTTTCAGGAGATTAAAAAGTAAATTTTTCACCAATTTTTCTGGCACATTGTAAATAAGATGCACAAACTTGCCTAATTTTGCAAAATGCAAATTTGAATTTCAGATAATATACATGCATAGAGGGTATTCATTATTTCTTCGTATCCTTAGTATTCTTCGTATCGTAAAATAACTTACGACGCTTACGAGATTTTGTAAGCGTCGTAAGATTTTGTCATCGAAAATCACGTTACTACGCTTACGATTTTTACGAAACCTGGCCCCTTGTTTCTTCATCGTAAACTATTTTACGATACTACGGATAAGAAGAAATAACGAATACCCTCATAATCTTATAATGATGTCTTAAAATCTTGAGTTGGAAAATAATGTAAAAAAAATAAAATATTTGTTAGAAAATAATGGAAAAAACTTAAAAAATATTTATATAACTGATATACATCAATATTTCTACTTGTTACATACATTCCGCACCGTAAACGGTAGTTACAAATCAATCTGCTTACAGTTTTGCTTACAATGCGATGACGCCAGCGGTCTCGCTCCGATTTTGACGAACCAACGATAATTATGTAACCTTACACAAATAATTGAACACGTGTTTCGGGATTTTTCATAATGCTCAGCTTAAACGAAATTATGACGTGATCCGTGAGCGAGAATTTCAATTTCTACCGTGACATTTTTCTCGTGAGGGAGAAAAATCCAGATTCACGCTTAGCGATTCCATCATAATTTTGTTTAAACCTAAAATGCGTGGGCATGAAGTGGTTCTCTACCGATTTCAAATTGCTCGCACAAATTTTGAAAAATTTTGAAAATTTTGAAAATTCAACAAACCAGAAATTTCGAAAAATCAAACTTTTTGAAAACCAAATTTTTCTTAAGTTACTCAATCGAATTTTCTTAAGTCACTCAATTTCCGCTACAACCGAAATCACGCGTCTTCATGAGAAAGTAAAAATACGGGTAGGGTTATTTCGGTTGTGGCTGAATTTTGGAATAAATTTTAAGCCAAATTAAGGATTTATCGAAATGCGGTAAATTTTCAAATCTTTATCAGGTTTCAAAAATGCATAAAGATTTTTGCACATAATTACATTGAGTAACTTAAGAAAAATCTGGTTTTCAAAAATTTTGATTTTCGAAATTTCTGTTGTGTTGAATTTTCAAAATTTTCAAAATTTTTCAAAATTTTCAAAATTTTTCAAAATTTTCAAAATTTTTCAAAATTTGTGCGAGCAATTTGAAATCGGTAGAAAACCACTTCATGCCCACGCATTTTAAGTTTAAACAAAATTAAAATTAAATCGCTAAGCCTGAATCTGGATTTTTCTCCCTCACGAGAAAAATGTCACGGTGGAAATGGGAATTCTCGCTCACGGATCACGTCATAATTTCGTTTAAGCTGAGCATTATGAAAAATCCCGAAACACGTGTTCAATTATTTGTGGAAAGGTACATAATTATCGTTGTTTCGTCAAAATCAGAGCGAGACCGCTGGCGTCATCGCATTGTTAGTGTGGGTTTGCTGCATTTCTTGAACTGCGATACAAGAAATGCAAGGTGCCAGAAAATGCAAGAAAGTGCAAGAAATATGCAGCATCAAGCCAGGCGTGCTATCAACTATAGCTAGCTGCAAGTCGTAGTTTCTCGCACCTTGCATTTCTTGCAGGTCAAAATAGTTGTAAGAAACCACTTTTTTCCACTATTTCTTGCACGTGGTAACTTGCACTAGAAAAATTGTTTATTTAATAACATGAGTTCACAGGAAACTTTTTCAGTCTTGAGCAATGATGTTTCGAAATTTCATTTGGCTTCATATATAAGTAATCATCACTTTTCCAACCTTTCAGTACGAATAAGTTTAGAGTTTTACACGGATTAACAATCGTAATCAATCAGGTCTGATGAGGAATGTAGATTCAATCAAAAATCGCGTGTGGTTGAAATGCCAAGGAATTTTTTATGGGCCATCAAACCGACAAGAATCAAACACCTGAACGGAACGCTACATATCTGAAGTCATTCACAGAAGGAGTTTATCAATTCAAATCAAATTCACTTATTTAGGTACATTCATGCCCGCATGTCGACACTATGCATATACACACGAGCAAATATACCCCAATCCAATTAGTCTAATGAAGCCAAACCTAATTTCGATAATTGCTCAATAATTCCATAAATTATCAGGAAACCTGTGACAAATACGTAGCATACTAGTTTTTAACTCCACCCCTAAAAACGATTTATTTCCGCCTACACGTTTAAGTAAGTACATGCGTGTTTGTACATCTAATAATAATTTACACATACGTGTAAATATTTATGTAATCACTTTTCTTTTTCTGTCCCAATTAAAGTGAGTAGCATATACAGACATATGTCGCGTGGAAAACATAACGAGGTAAAAATGTCAATTTGCAAAAGCGAAATCCATGATCAGGTAGATTATGTACATATTTACATATGTATAGACACGACTCTTTGTAGGTGTGTACATAAGTTGAGATTCTTCTAGAAAACTCTTCCACATTTTCAAAAACAAATTTACCTTTTACATTTTCGATGGTTCAAATACAATTTTCTTCGTCCTTAGTATCGTAAAATAGTGTACGAAGAACAAGAATGTGTCAATCTTCGTAAAACTCGTAATCGTTTTCAATGACAAATATTACGACCCTTACAAAATCTCATATCGGTTGTCCGTCGTAATTTATTTTACGATACAAAGAATACCAAGGATACAAGGGAATAATGAATACCCTCAATGTCTATTAAGCAACCAAGCTAAAGTGTATATTTTTCAGAAGAAAAACACGCTGCTAATTTTTTTGGCTGTAAAATATCTATGAATGATTATGTACTTAAATATGTAAATATGTACAACATAAATATGTATACTAATCTCATTATTAATTGCTCCAGGACCCTCATCCCTGCATATCTCCCCCTAGTCACCAAAGACGTCGACCCATGGATTTGGATAACCACTAAACCCTCACAAATAGACTCAATTCTGCTCTGTCCCATCCTTCCGGCCAGGACGAAGTATAAATTGGCAATTTCTGTCAACCCTTCCACCGGAAATTTAGTCATTAAATCCGTTTGTTTCTTTTGCGATTCGGGTCGACCCTTCGTGGTCACTTTGCCTGATAAACGACCCTCCCAGAACTATGACTACTTTCCCGATTACGTCTCAAATTTAAACGGACACACTGTTCGGGTAGCATTTCCTGCAGTGAAGTCCAGAGTCTGGGCAGACCCTCCGTACACCAAGGTTAACAATGCGAACAGGGGAATTTGGAAGGGGTACATTGAAGAACATCTTGTGCCCAAGTTCAACTGCACTTATAATTTATTCATGGCGACGGGAAAAGGCACTGGATTAAAGCTACCAAATGGGACTTGGATCGGTATGTACATATCGCGTCACAAAAAAATTTAGGACTAATTTGATGGTGAAATTGGTAATCTTATGCAATTTGACAGGCACTGTAGGAGACATAATTGCTGATCGGGCCGATGTCGGAATTATAACTGCGCACACGCCAGATAGAAGTGAGTTGAAATTTGGAAAATTTATGTAGCTTCACGAATAATTTTTCAGGAAACGTTAGCACACCAATGTGTGTAATTGATAATCTTTCAAAAAATATATTGATAGTCACGTGATAAAAAATGTTTACAAATGTGTGTATCATCAGTAATTTGGTAGTTTAGTTTTACATGCAAATATACCTAGACATTTTCATACATATATGTATGTACATATGTAAAAATTTCAGTTTCACACCATTTAAAATTCTGCTGAATTTCCAACTTTCCTCATTTTGTACGCATCTATTTTTTTACAGTAAAAGTAGTCTCTTTCACCAACTCCTTCATGGACATAAGTTTCCTAAACTTCATTACGTCACAAGGAACCCGGGTATTTTCTCCGGCCGCCTTGCTCTGGCCTTTCGACTTGACAATGTGGGCTTGCCTCGGCCTTTCCACCCTCGTCGCCTTCATAGTCTTCAGAATCATCAGGGCGGGCATGAAACGGATTAACGACGATGACGACGGCAGCAGTTGGACCATCCGACGACAAGTAATGTTCATCCTGACGAGTTACCTCGACCAAGATTTCGGAGAGAATATACCACAATCCACCCCTCTGAGATGTTTTGTAGCGTTATGGTTGTTTTTTACAATCATTGTTACGACAATATACAGGTAGGGAGATAAGCAATCCTACTCTTAATTTATGCAGAAAAGTCTCCAGAAATTTTCAAGATTTCATAAAATTTAGGAATTTACTTATATACATAGTTTACAAGATTGTTTCGCAAACTGAATCAATTCCGATGTGGAATAAAACTTGGGTTTTCAAATTATGCTTTTCTTAGCGAATTCGTGTTTTTCAACTGAGGATGAATCGAAAAAATTGTTTTTATTCATTACGATTTATGGTTAGAAACGTTAACAAAAAACGAAAGTTCGTAAAAAAATGGCTTGTAAATTAATTTGCGAACTTATGTATGTACACACCTCCAAGGACATTTGTATCTTTGTTTACAAGTACATGTATCTATCTCTTCCCACAGGTCAAAGATGGTGGGATTTTTAGCATTTCCCTTCCTGGAACAAGTTCCGGAAACATTTGAGCAGTTGGTGAAATCCAAGTACCAAGTCGGATTTTCAAAACACGGTGACGCTGCATACAACACCCTGAAAGCTTCGACAGATCCAGTTTATGTGAAGTTGGTGAGAGACATGGAGATCATCACGGGCGTAGGATTGGAGTGTTTGGAACGGGTGGTGACTAAAAAATACGCATGCATCATGTATTCCGTCTCAGCTATTTATCTTCAGGCTGCTAATTTGTCGGATTCGGACAGCAGGAAGTTGGTGTATGCACCGGAAACGACGTACAATGTGAGTACAGGTTCTATACTAAAATGCAAATAACATCAATTTAAAATATCTGCAAACTTACGGACATCTCGACTCTTAAATTTTTTCCAAGTAGTAAAGCTGAAGTTGGAATTAAAAATTATTTGGTGCATGTTTTTAAAATTCTTTAAATATTTACACATATAAATACCTATGAATTTTGGAAGGTTTAGAGAATTATCTACTGTTTGAGTAAACATTAACCCTTTAACGTGTATGATCAACAACAAGAAAATGCATTAAATCGGGGACGTTTTAAGTATGTTGTGGTCATGGCGCGGGAGGAGAAATTCAGGAGTTTTTAATAAAACTCGAAAAACTGAAAAATCAAAAATTTAACATTGAGTTGTATAGGGAAATATCCAAAGTTTTGGGAAGAAAATCTTCAAATTTAGCATTGTGTTGACATAGGAGAAATCCCTCAAAATTGCAACAAATTTTAGGTCGCGGAGAGAAAATGGTGAATATCAATGACCTCCTAGAAACGACAATTGTCTTCCTTCCGCGCCATGACCACAGATTTTCAGGACGACTTTTGTCGTACTCCCGAATTAAACCATTTCTTATATAAATAAATTCTTTAAAAAAAACTTAGGTGAGGCTTGCTTAAAAGAGAAAAACAAGTTATTATCATCGTATACTAAAATTATTTGGTACATCAGTGTTTATCCAACGATTTAAAATTTTTGGTAAATATCTCAGTATATACATAATATGCATTAGGGACCTTTTGCCTCACCGTGGGCCGTGATCGATTTTTTGATCCTATACCTTCTTGATGGTCATACCTTAATATGAAAAATTTATGATAAGTAATTAAACTTCTAATGTTTCTAATGTTATCTTTGATGACCATCATGAATATATTTCAAAAATTTATTTACATAGGTCTAAATTTTAGAAATACAATGTTCTGATATGTAGTATTTTATACTAGAAATGAACGCATACTTAATCAATTTGATCATCAATTGATTCTGAATAACGAAATTCGATGACCCTTAATCAATGATAGGAACTAATTACTCAAAATTATGTATGAGCGCAGAGCAATATATTAAATAAGCTGCAAAATTGGATTACCCAACCTTAATTACCAGGTTTTCTGAAGATCCCATAAATCTCTAAAACCTGGCATAAGTTGGGGACTTGGCAAAACAATAGAAAATCTTGGTAAATCCAGCATCGTTTCATATGAATTATTTACCCAGTGTTTGCACTGCATAGAACACTAAATTAAAAATTTGTTTCAATTTTCAAAACGGCCCACGGTGAGGCAAAAGGTCCCTAATGCATATTATGTATATACTGAGATATTTACCAAAAATTTTAAATCGTTGGATAAACACTGATGTACCAAATAATTTTAGTATACGATGATAATAACTTGTTTTTCTCTTTTAAGCAAGCCTCACCTAAGTTTTTTTTAAAGAATTTATTTATTTTTTGTTTTTAAGCCTTGAAATAACCAATAATCCCTCCCAAATTAATTTTTCTCTTAGGGTGTAGATGCGTTGCATCGTTGGGTGTAGGTGCATACCAGTTCCTCTATAACTGTGCAGTTCATGCATACAAAAGGCGTTAGGACATGGTTTTGACGAATTCGCGGGTGAATATCTCTAGCGGGGAGTTGAATTTTGAATTGATTTTTGGTCAGTTGCAAGATAATACTCTCAAAAAGATATATTTAAAATTTTAGGCCGATAGCTTTATAAATGCCCCATCAAGTACCCCCAGAGTTGGAAGGAGCTAAAAAAACACTTTCCAAACTGAATTACTCATATAGCATGATAACCTAAGAGGTCACAGGTGAATGATTGTTAATATTACAACCCTAGATAATCATTGCATGTAATAATAAAAGAATCTACATGAATTACATAACGTTGGGCCTCCATCGTCGCTGATACTTTTTCATGAAAATTGATAAATCGGACCGTGCGCAGGAAAATTGACCTGCTGACCTTGAAAGCGGACCCACTCGGTCAAATGAAGATTGAGGGCAAAGCTCTAAGTGTCCCAAATAATATTAAATTAAACAGTGAAGATTTTGTGTAAACAGTTCTGGAGAACGACCCTAGCTAATCAGCTGTCGCGGAATCCTAAAAAACTCGTGAACTTATTTGGAAAAATAATGGTCAAATTTTTTCGAAAATAAATTTTACTAATCTTTTTGTGTCCCCTACTGCAGAACTATTTTATCTACAAGGTACAAGTGACAAAATAATAAAACTATTGCGTTTTGGTTAGTTAAATTATTTCTGAAGTTCGACATCAAAAACGACGGGAACTTTTCCAAAAATTTTGAAAAGATGAAAACTCAGTCCGTGGGGTATAACCACTTATCAAAATTTTGTCAAAAGTACTTACAGTGCAATATACTATATGTACCTTGGATAAAAACCACGTTAGGGATTTTTAGCATCAAAGTCGTAAAATGTGGGGGCCTTAAAAGTGGAAGAGTTGCGTTAAAGAGCGCATTCCATTAGGACAAGTATGAAATTAGCCTGCAAAACGGACTTAAAATATAAGCATAAGACAAACGTGGTTTTATATAGTGAAAAGCATGCTAAGTCTCTTGATAATAGTCGCAAAGACGATTTTTGTATTAGGACCTCAGAAAAAAATATTTTGTTCAACGCCATTTTATAAGAACACTGGTTTGGAAAACTAAAAAAGGACACCTCTCCAAATTTGACCTTGCCTCATTTCGCAGAGTACACAAAATCGGAAGACAGATATGCTTACCTATAGTTTGAGACATGGGCTTTCACATAAAAAAAGTTAGAAATCTCTACGACTAAAAACCATCCCGCAATTAAGGTATGAATTCGTCAAAACCATGTCCTAACGCCTTTTGTACACTGTAGAAATCTGGTATAGTGACGCAAGTATTGATTTCTCGGTATTAAAGTTACTACAATTTTGCTACCAAGTACTACAATGTGCTACTCATTAATACCAGTTGTATAGAGTCATGTATGAGTATACTCATAGCGGTATTCATATATGAATACCGCTGGGTATAATTTTAATACTGGATTTCTAAGAGTGAACCAAATTATTTCTACCGTGGATGTGAACTCATAGTTAAGAATATACATTATTATTATATACACCCATATTTAGATGGACATATTTATATGCATACATATGTCAGTACAGGTCTCAATTGTTTCTCTTATGCTGGTTGCTAATAGAAACCTCATATTTATGTATGCATGATAAGTAATGCAGGACCGTTACAAGTAACGTAACTGGCTGCAGATGCCACCAAGAAAATTCCTTCATTTCTTATCCGATTTCGCTCGGGTTTGTTTTAAATGACGCGTTATAGATTTCTGCACATGAAAATCAGGGTCTCGCACTATCATTGCATGGTAAAAGTGAATTTGCCAGTCGTTTGAAAGTTTAAAATCGATTTGAAATGGGTTAAAATAAGATTGTCATGTTTCTAGACCTGACGGGCATCATCTACCCAGCAAGGTCTGCACGATTGCCTTTTACACCATTTTGATACGGTTAGCCGTTTTGCCACAATCTTGAGTGGAACTTTGGGAGGGGGGGTCTGTTCGCATACTTAGGCTTTGCCGTAACCATGCATTTTTTCATGTGATCATGGTTACTATGCCTCACCTAAGAAAAACGACTATTGTCGTCGTTACAATTTAAAGGGTTAAGGGTATTCGTTATCCCTTGGTATCCTTAGTATTGCAAATTTGCAAAATAAGTTGCAACAGTTAGGTGATTTTGTAAACGTCGTAGGTATAATTTTGTCATAAAAAATCATGTTACTAAGCTTACAATTTTTAAGAAGATTGACCCCTTGTTTTTTATTCGATAACCATTTTACGATACTTAGGATACGGAAACAATTGTGAATTAATGTACCATTAATGTCAATTTATTCAAACAATGTCCCTGGTTTCCAGATCTACATGGGCTTCGCCCTCGAATCCGGATCCATCTTCAAGGAGAGTTTCGAACGTTCGATGGGCTGGACGCGACCGTTTCATCTTCCCGCCCTCTGGGAAGAGCACGACATGTATTACGACGTGCGTCTCCCAAAACGTGCCTGGTGGCGCGATACTGGTCAAATGGACAAATTAAAGCATTCAGCCGGCAAGACGGACGATGATCTCACTTTGAAACACATTTCGGGAGCTTTCTATTCTTTGGTTGGATGTCTTGTGATTTCTGGAATTGTCTTTATATACGAAATGCTCTATTATTACAGGAAAAAACAAAGGAAGAAGGTTAGAAGTCAATTTAAAATAGGAAATAAATCTACAGCAGTTGACGATTTTGGTTATTCTAATCGGGACGGTTTTCATTATTAATTGAAGGACGTGTTTTGGTATACCTCTGTAATCTGCATATATAACTAGCTTTATGCAAATTTGTTACCGGTGTTATGTTGTAGGGAGGAAGACTGACAAAGTGGAAGGTTCCCACTTTTGGAATTTTTACTGCTTATTTACTTTATTTATATCAATCAATGTGTGCATTTTCATCCAATCTTTGAACATATTTTCCTATGTGACAATCATTCTGTTAATTTTATTTCCTAAGACATGATAATAAATGCATACATTACAAATACCATTATGAAACTCAAAAAACGACTTCTCCATACGCACAAAGTAACTGAAATTTATTTATTCCTACATATTTATATAAGTATGTACATGGGAAATGATTTGTTTCATATTTAGATATATATTTGTATTTATGTCGACAAAGTGTAATTCAACGATAAGCTTAATAGTTCTTGCCTGCATATAAGAACAGCATAGTCACTAAAATAACAATTATTTCACAATTTCTATCCAGCATACTTTTGTGTATGTATGTATCACACGATAAGAAATGTAGCTCTGTTAGATAGATAGCTCAACTTGCCTCAACTTGGTGCGGTGCACGGGCCTTTCCACACTTAGCACCAGAGCACGTCCACACAGAAAAGTGTGCATCATATTACAATACAACAAATGATCTGAACGAAAATCATTCATTTTATGGGTTATAATTTAATCAAAATAGCGGAAATAAGTTTTCAATTTTTTCACGGCGGTCTCGAAAAACAAAAACGTTGTCAATTTTTGAAATTTGGTATAGAAATTATGGTAAAATTGCAGTATAGCGGCCTAGCTCGGATTTGACTGAAATTTTTTGTGTGAATACCCTAAGGTCCCATATGCATAAAAATACCTTTTTTCGCGGCGGTTTCAAAAAATAAAATTTCTAAAAATTTTTGAAATTTTGTATAAAAATAATTTTTCTCTTAGATTTTCATGAAAATGGCTTTTGAAAAAGGAGAGCTAGCTAGTAGTGCTACCTAGGAGAGCTAGCTAGTAGTGCTACCTAGGAGAGCTATCTGGGAGAGCTAGCTAGTAGTGGTACCTAGGAGAGCTATCTGGGAGAGCTAGCTAGTAGTGGTACCTAGGAGAGCTAGCTAGGAGTGCTGGAAACTAGAAATCTCATCTTACCCCGAAAATCTGATTTTACCACAAAATATTCCTATCGTGTGGGAAACTGAGAAAAAGTCTTGAAATTCTCTGGAACATCCAAGAAAAATTTGTATACAAAATTTCAATAATTTATAACTTTTTTACTATTGAATGTTTTTAAAAAAATCCTTCATATTCTTGTTCAGCATAGTTTAATTAGTCTATAAAATCATTTTCAGGAAAATCTGAGGCAAAAAATAATTTTTATACAAAATTTCGAAGCTTTCTAGAAATTTTAATTTTCGAGACCGCCGCAAAAAAAAAAGTATTTTCTTGCTCAGGGGACCATAATAGGTATTTACACAAAAATTATCAGCCAAATCCGAGCTAGTCCACTGAAATAAATCCGAGCTAGGCCGTAATAATGCAATTTTACCAAAAATAATTTACAAAATTCACTCCCCAATCACTACAGAAGAGAATAAGAACCAGTTCAAAATAATAAATTAAAGAAGGAAGGTTGAAGTTTATTAATTATTTGGAACATTTGTTATAATTTATAATTAATTCTCCAGTATAATTATTCGACTTGAGTAAACAAGAGGAGAGAAAAACAGAACGAGAGTGGGCATGGATGAGTGTTCAAAAGTTGTTTTCCCACGTCCAAAAAGCATCCTCGCGAAAGAAACAGTCTATTCCAAGATATATTTTGTCGTATGTGTATGTATGACATGCTTTCAGTCGCAAACCCAACAACTTTAACAAAACAAACTTGTGCATTTTGAGTTAAATTATTTTCCAACAAATGTCATTAAGGTCGCAATTACCCTTGCATGTAGTTAATCAGAGTCTGAGCCAACCATAATCACCAACATATTTATGTATTTCGAGAATTGCAAACACGTGTAAGACGTGTTGAAAAATATATAAATAGCAAAACCGGTTTGTCATTTCCAAAATATGTACATAGATAATTCCAAGAATTTCAATTTTACCAGGAAATAAACCAGTTGCATACATGAGTATAAAAGGGATACAAATCGGATCATGTGCCAGTCTGATTACAAAATTGCTCACTAAATATCACACAGATCCTGAAATTTTACAGAAATTTATATCCAACATGACTTCAAATCGTACCATTGCAGTCTTCACATTAATCTTGGTCATTTCATTCTGTCTTGTATTTGGTAAGCATTTTATATACAATTAATTTTTAGTCTAACTAAATATCTAAGTAAATATATTAACTGATCAATATTTTTATTACTTCATGACCGCGTATGATACATATCTAAATATATTATCTAAATATATATGTATATTTTTTTATTGTGCCATCCGCAGTGACCACGTATGAACCATGCACCGACAACTATGAGGAGTCTTGCAGCAAGGCTTGTGGCGAAGGAAGGGACGCGATTAAAAAGTGTTGTCGAACTTACGGGCATAGCACGGGACATTGCATCGGGACGGGGTCAGATGGGGCAGGAGACGCGTATTGTTGCTGATGGAAATAAAACACATTTTAAATTCAAAACCATGAAATTTTAGTTTGAGTAAACTTGAAGCTTGAAGTTGCGAAAATTTGATCTCTCTTTTAACTTTGTTTATTAACGTGCTATCAAATGTTTAGTACAACAAATCGAGTACAATGATTTTGAAAAATAATAATAAAAGTAGTACCAAGAAATATATCATAATTTTCTACATACATACTCCTAAAACTACATAAATATCTAGTACATTGAGGGTATTCATTACGAGTTCGCATGTTCGCATCGCAACATAACTTTTTCGAAATTGCGAATTTTGCGAAGCATAACGAAGTGAAGACACTTTGCAAATGAAAAAGTTCGTAAAATTTTATTAAAATGTCTCGAATTTTGCAATGGGAAAAATACGTTAATTTCCATTAGTTACCGAAATTTTGCATCTGAAATTTACCAAATAAGAAAATTCAAAAATTTGAATGGCACAACTTTGGTAACTAATGGAGATTTATGGACTTTTCCCATTGCGAAATTTGTGAAAAATATTTTGCGAACTAAATACTAGCCTTGGAGATGCGCAAGTTCGCAAATCAATTTTCAAGCCAAATTGTTTTGCGAACTTTATTTTTTTGCGAACGTTGCCAACGATGCGAACTCGAAATGAATACCCTCATTATGTATTACATATATTTAAAACATTTTAAATATATAATTAATTATAGTCATTACTTAAAATTAAAAAAATAGTATGACTTAACTCGTAAGATTACAATAGTAAAATAATAGTACACAATTAAGGAGAAAATATTTAGTATAAAGTAGGATAAAAAGATTTTAGACAAGTATGCCTAAACGCGGTAATGTTTAAACTTTCAATTTCCCAAAAACCGTTTGAAATTAAAAAAAATTGTAGCATGCAAGTTTTATAAAAATCATGTAACTCAATACATAGATCTGGAGCCAAAAATGTTAATCAAATGATTAAAAACTGCTAATTACAAATTGCAGCAGCATTGATTAATATAAATTCACACCATCGAGTTGGATCAATTAGAATAAGCATGTTGAATTTTCACGCAGAAATTTCATAACTTATTTAGTACTATTCCTACGTTACGGCCTAAGTGCTATGCAGAATTATGACATTATTTATTTAATTGATTGATAGATACGCTAAACCTGTAGTAAATTGATAAAGATTTGAAGAAATAGTTGAGCCAAACGGGGACAACTTGAGTAAACAACTAACCAAGTGTTATACGAAGAATAGCATTAATATTTTTTTCATAATTTTCAACAATGAATAATTATATTGACGTGGACATTTCTCTTTTTCAAGATTATATTTTAGGACACCCATCTTGATTATGGCATGGTTACGAATAATGAATATGAGATCAACTCGTGTGAAAACATTACAAAGTTTCTCATGAATAAAAAGATTATAAGCTCAAACTTAGCTAATTGTTACGCCGTAAACTAAATTTGTTAAATATACTACTATACTTTCGAAGAGGACTATTAGATTATGAGTGACCCTTAAAAATAGTCACCATTAATTAAGCAAAAAAAAACTGCAGAAGAGAATATGTTGTCCTTACCGCGACTAACTAATCATGAGTACTTATCAATCTAAGAAATTTAACCTATAGTCTATTAGGCACGAAAGAATTAAAAACAAGGAGACATTAAAGTAATAAATAATCCCTTACTTTCTAAACCTGTCAGGAAACAGCCAATTTTACAATTAATGGGAGTCAGTCTAAAAAAATGACGCTAGTAAGTATTAGTAAATTTGAATCGTAAATTAAAATCAGTTTTAGTAACATAATTCCAGCCTATCCTAATTTTATATGAACAAGATGATCTATTTTTAGGTTTTACATAATTTTCAACTTCGAATTTTCTCAAAATCTCAAATGCATAGCATAATTGTCATACCACTAAATACATTTGGCATACAAAATAGTAAGAGTGCCCTCACACGAGCTAAATGTTCGAGTTTGGAAAAAAAAAGTTATTTCGACCCTCTAAAATTTCAGTTAATAAATTGCACGTGTGTTGGCTAAATAAATTAAACACGAACAACTATCCATTTGAGATATGAATCGTCCGTCGAATTCCGAAATATCTAAAACCAAGCCCACTTTTACAGTTAATGGGAAAGTAAGTCCTAAGAAAATGGAGAAACTTGAACGAACCTTAAATTGTTAGTCTTTACCTATTAAATTATGCAAGACTTCAAGAAATTGAAACTATCGTCATAGCTTCTCCCGTTGCTGAATTTTAGCAGTTTCAGTTAGCCTTAATCCTTTTTTCAAGAGTACATAAATATTGAATTAAAAACTTGTAACAATAGTCGTAGGAATATCGAAAAATGTAAATATTTGTAGTACAATAACATTACCCAGTTATTGTTCAAAATGCGAATGCAACATGAAGACACAAACAACTGATTTCATCGTGCCGATAGTGCACTAAACCTACTCAAATAAATGCTACTAACGTATTCCTAACTCCCAAGTATTTGATTTATCGATACATTTGGTAAACCTGTAGTAAATTGATTATATTTTAGGACACTTATCTTGATTATGGCATGTTTACGAATAATGAATATGAGATCAATTTGTGTGAAAACATTACAAAGCTTCTCATGAATAAAAAGATTATAAGCTCAAACTTAACTAGCTAATTGTTACGCCGTAAACTAAATTTGTTAAATATACTACTGTACTTTCGAAGAGAACTAATGAGTGACCCTTAAAAATAATCACGATTAATTAAGCAAAAAAACTGCAGAAGAGAATATATTGTCCTTACCGCGATTAACTAATCATTACTATCAATGATCGAAATTTAACCTAAAGTCCATCAGGCACGAATCAAGTAAAAACAAGCAGACATTAAAGTAATAAATTATCCCTCGACTTTCGACTTTCTAAACCTGTCAGCAAACAGCCCAATTTTTACAATTAATGGGAGTCAGTCATAAATAAATGACACATGCAAGTATTGAGTAAACTTGATTTGAAAACATTTTACAGTTTTAGTATAAATAATTCCGGCCTACCCAAGTTTTATATGAACAAGAAACTTAATTTTCAACTTCAAATTTTCTCAAATGCATATTTGTCATACCACTACATTTGGCATACAAAATGATAAAAGCGCACTCGAACCAGATGTACGAGCTTGGAAAACAAATTGTTGGGATCCTCTAAAATTTTGTGTTGGCTACAAAAATTAACACGAACATCCATTTGAGAAATGATTCGCCCGTCGAATTTCCAAATATCTAAAATCAGGCCCATTTTTACAATTAATGGGAAAGTAAGCCCTAAGGAAATGATGCAATTTTAACGAACCTTAAATTCTTAGTCTTTACATATTAAGTTATGCAAGACTTCAGAAATTGAAACTATCCCCGTCGTTTATCGCATTGCTGAGTTTAAGTTAGCCTTAACCTTTTTCCAAGATTACATGAATATTGAATTAAAAACTTGTAACAATAGTCGTAGGAATATCGAATAATCTAAATATTTGTGGCACCATAACATTACCCAGTTAAGTATGCCAAACTGCGAGCTATTTAGAGTCGTGCAACTTATTAGTTCAAGAAGACACAATCAACTGATTTCGTGATCATAGTGCACTAAACCTACCTGGTCAAATAAATGCTCCTAATGTGTTTCTAACTCCCAAGTATTTGAAATTGTTTGAACTCACAAGGGAACATACCGAGGTGTCCAACGAGTTAAAGGTCGACACCTATACCAAAATGACCACAATACATGACTTATTAAACAAACTGAAGGAATTTCCGTGTAAAATTCACTTTTCGTCACGTTGTGACGATATTTGTGACGAGCGCATGACCAGCGGGAGAGGTCGGCCGCTGAACGATCAGGTCGACCACAGAGAAGCGTCGTCGTCTTCAGGGATTTTAAATTCTTTCAAATTTTGAAAACATCTTGAAATTTTGAAAAAATTTTGAGAAAATTTTGAAATTTTGAAGAAATTTCAATTTTTTTCAAAATTTCAAGTGGTTTTCAAAATTTGATAGAATTTGAAATCTCTAAAGACGACGTGAAGACGACGACGCTTCTTTGTGTTCGACCTGATCATTGAGCGGCCGACCTCTCCCGCTGGCATCCCGATGGTCATGCGCTCGTCACAAATATCGTCACAACTTGACGAAAAATGAATTTTACACGGAAATTCCTTCAGTTTGTTTAATAAGTCATGTGTTGTGGTGATTTTGGTATAGGTGTCGACCCTTAACTCGTTGGACACCTCGGTATGTTTCCTTGTCAGTAGATCTCAAGATCAAGATTTAGGCGCATACTAAAACATGTATTAAAGAGTGCCACAGTATAAATACATATGATGAAAACATTTTGTAAAGATTGTACATTTACCGTTTTTGCACAAATTCGGTGTGAATAAACAGTACCGTCGTTTACCGTGTTTTTTCCTACCTAAGTCTAATCCAATATAAATAAATAAGTAATATAATTAAATAAAGAATTGCGTACAAGGACATGTTGAGTTTGATTGCTTATGAAATATCATTCTACACCTAATTTGTCTAATTGTGCAAAACTAAAATAAAATCGGGAACTTAAATTTAACTAATTTCCCTAATAAAGTTACCACTCTGAAAGTTCAGATCGTCAGTAATGAACTAGTAAATGAATTTTGTTTTAACCAAAATATGTTTTAAAAGACTGCAAATGTACCATTTTTGCACACCTCGGCGTGCCTGCTGTCGAATTAAGAAGCGGCTCGATCATCTTATCGCTCCCGAAATATCATTCTACACCTTTTGTCCAGCTATGCAAAAATATTATAAAATCAGAGAAATTCAACAAATATGGGATAGACGGGACCACCAACTCAGAAGTGTACAAGTTTCCCTAATTAATTTACATCGTTGTTTCGACCGTTAATAAATTCCACACGTAAATGAATTTTGTTGTAATGGAGATATTTTTTAAAAAGGACGTGCAAATCTACCATATTTGCAAATCCGGCGTTAGATAGAATGTTCACGTAAGTATTGAGAAACTAGTCCATAATTAAGAAATACGATTAATAAATTCAGAATTACGGACAAATGAGTCCATGATTACTAAACGACTTGACTGTGTCTAGCTGATTTACGAAATATCATTCTACACCTAACTCCGTCTAAATAGTTGTGTAAAAATTAAACAAAATCCTAGGAATTTAACGAATACCGGATAGACGTGATGCCAGCAATTCGGGTATTTACAAGTTTCCCTAAAAATTTTCACTATTATTTTTTTTTAGATATATGTTCCACTGCTATAAAATCTTGCTTAAGTTCAAAATTGAAACGAAAGATTTGCATCTGTTTTTTTAAATGTCCAGAATAACTTACATTGCTATTTTCTAACATGACTTTAACGACTCGCCAAATAAAATTAGTCTGCGTCAGTTACTACTTGATTAATAAACCCTGTACCCTGACCCTAACCCTGTACCGACTTTCATTTCGTTAAGGCATATCTAAATTGAACCAAAAAATCAAGTTCACTAAATAAGTAGTAGTTTAAGTACGGGTACGGAGTAGAATAGTGAACCCACAAATGCGTAAATATTGGATAAACTAAACTGGATATTAGTAGATAGTGAGAAGCGGCTGATAAATGGAAGGTAATTGTGTGGTGGTTTGAAGTATTCAATAAATCTTAGCATAAACACTAGAAGGATTTAAATTTAAGATATGAAGGAATAATAGAATTCAACGAAGAACATTTCGCATAAGAAGAAATGCAGAATACGTTTCTAATTTCTAAGTCAAACACTAAATCTGTTGGTTTATAGATACGTATGAAATGGTGTCAACTCAAAATGGACCAGATGAGGTTACTTATCGACGAAAGAACTAGGTAATTTGGTGGCGACGAGGTCAATAAGCTTGGCGTAAGTTGTCCAGTCATGATGGTAAGGCAGCAATTGAGTTGTAAATTTGGGAGAGTAATTGATTCGACACGCTGTAGATTCCATTAAAAGTGGTCGCCAACCCTGAAAAGTAAATAAACCCAATGAAAATTTGAAGGTCATACAAATGTTAATAGTTGGTCATATATAGAACATGTGCTGTAATCCACCTTCATACATTATTTACGTCGAGTCGAGTAGGGGAGTAAGTTGACGACACAAAGCGAAGACATTAGGCGAGGAGGGCGGTCCGGTCATGATGATGGTGGATATTGAGGCAATAGTTGCAAATTTAGGAGAATATTTGATCCCACACGAGGTAGAGGATCACATTGCAAGTGGGGCAGACAAGAAGTGCATGAAGACTATAAAAAAACAATGAACATATCTATATTAAAGTTAGATAAATATATATTTACATTGATCCAACCAGAACGAAGTTATCTACTTACTGCGAATAATAATTTACGAACGTGTCCAGAATCAAACGGTGAAACAAGGAATAAAAACTCGAAAGCAGAAAACTTTGCCGACCTAGAAAACGAACAAAATGATATAAAATAAACATGTTGTGTTGGGCTGAGTAAAATGATTTAATCGAATGGGAGGGGGGAGAGAGGAAGGGAGAATCAAAATAAGTAGATATATAATCTTATGCTCTATGACCCTTAATTAATTATGAAATGTGGGATTTACTTACGCCACAGAGACAAACTGAAGTAAAATTGGAACAACTTTTCGCCATCGGGAAGAATTTAAGCACCCTGTGAGAAATCAGATGATTGATCGATGCAGTGCAGAGTTTTCTGCAATTACAAAGAAATTTAGTACTCATATTAATAATCACAAACTAATTAAGTCTTAAATAAATTTGATTTTCACTCGACGAGAAATGATTGGACTAAAAAGCACCTTTAATTAATTATTCTTCACTAGATAAGACAAATAATTATTGAAATACTTACTTGTCTGATGAATTGCTGCTGATTCATGTGGATGTGTCTCTTTTCCTTATCTTTGGTTGCAGTTTAAAAATTAATTTTAGTTTCACGTGATGCAACGAAGTTTAGCAAATTTCCTTATTTAATCTAAATAATTTACTTCATCGCAACTTACTCAACGTTAGCTATCAAATTTTTAAATTCCAGTCGGCCTTATTTCAAGTTAAATGTTAAAGAAATTCAGATTTATAAAATTTCAAACCCGGAGAGAGGTTCGACTCGTACGTACTGGATAAGAAATCGTAAAATGGCAGCTTTCTCTCGTGCACGAGGAAATAAAGGAATAAAAATAAAATCCCTCCCTTCAAAGTAAGGACACGGACACGCCGATGCGATGTAAATAATTCTGATTTCTGAAGAGAGAGTGCGTGGCATGTGCCGGTTGGAACTTTGTATGAGAACGTCCATACATTCCGTCGTCAAAAAGGTGAGTGGGTGATTTTTAGTCGCCTATCTGACTTGTGTCAACATTAAAATGAGTAGGATATGGAAGGGGTGGGTTATCATTTGGTCTAAAAATTGGCATTTTTTGATGATTTTTTGATGTATGAACGTTCCATAACTATGTATGTATGAACTACTTTTGCATGCAATTTTAATTGATGAGTTGTTTTTTTTACTCTAGAATTTACTCTTTAGTCAATTAGTCATTTAGTCATATTAATAAATATAAATATCATGTCGCGAAATGTATTTATTTTTATTTTTTGACCATTCACTTTCCCCATAATGAGCAGTTTACTAAAAAAACATGGTGTGCGCTGATTCCAAAGAAAACTGCATCCCGTCCACGAGTTGAGTTTCGTACAGGCTGCAATTTACAATTAACTTAAATATCCATTAACAATTAATTACAAATTACATTTATAGCACTAATTGGTTAATAGCATTTACACCTGTGAACTTTGACTTATAGTACATTCTGCTTCCATAATTCCATATAAATAGTGGTTTTCCCATCTTAAAATTAATTTCTTCAAGTCTTACTTATCAGATCTTGAAACATAAAAATATAATTATGGCCCCACCCCGCAATGACCTGATGGCGATTGCGGCCTTGACCATACCCGAAAATCCTTGCAAAGAGGTGAGTCTACTACTACATACCAAACTAATTGTTTCTATTAATAAAATACAAAGTACTGATTTACAGTCACGATTTAATTATTTTAATTTCACTTCTTCCTTCCCAGTTGCGGCATGCTATCCTTGATGAGAACCGGTATTATTGGGAAACAGACAAGTTGGAATTGATGACTGCCAGCAAAGAATCTGACCTGGCCGGGAAATGTTTCATTTTTCGTGCTGGTCTTAAGATCGACAAGATGTCGAGGTGGAAAATCTCCTTCGTCCTGGACCCCACCCGCCCCCACTTTGCTCACGGAAGAGTCAATCTATGCTTGGAATTGCTGCAATATGACGGCTACGACACGGGCATGGCCGGACTTGAGGTGATTCTTCACAGTTCACAAGGCTGGGAATGGCGTGAGTGTGAATTTTAAGCCATTCTTTCATCACAGTTTTGTAAATTGAGTTTATAATCATGATTTTCTTGTTTCCAGATTTCCGTAAGTTTAATTTCACCGCAAATTGTGAATATAAACCGGTCAAGGGACAATTCCAGCGGTTTGAAAAGACGTCATACGTCACAGAAACGCGATCCGCTTCGATGCCGTTTCCCGTAGATTATGTCGTCTCAAAAATGTCAGGCCGATATATCCAGATGACCGTGGCATTCACTTTGTATGACGCGAAACGCTATATCCACGAAGGGGCGCTGACGTGGGATAAAAAGTTCAAACCTGACGTTCTCGCCATGTTGAATACTGGCGATGGTGCGGACGTCACCTTCCAAACGAGGGAGGGACTTCTCGTCCATGCGCACAGGCTAATTTTATGCGAGCGAAGTCCTGTTTTTGACGCCATGTTCGCCGACACGATGAAGGAGAGCGTCATCCCCGTTGTACATGTCGAAGACATGGGAACCGTGGGGTTTAGAATGTTTCTGAAATATGTCTATACCGGAGAGTTGGATGCAGCTTGGTGGAAGTACTGCGACGAGATTGTTAATGCGGCATATAAGGTGAGAAAGTTTATTGAGTAGATAAGTTACTTATTATTAGATCGATATTAATTAATTACTTTTCAGTACAACGTCGCGTCTCTAAAGGATATGTGCCAGGAATTGTTGCCCATCGTTTGTAAGGAAGACAATTGTGTGGAATTGTACCAATTGGCCGAGGTGTATGGCATGTTTCATACGCAAAGGAGGATTAAGCGGTATATGAAAAGGTGAGAATGTTTGGGAGCGATTCATTTATTGAAGTGTTCTAAAATTGTAATTGTTAAAACTGATTATAGGAGAAACATCGGCATGATGGTGGACGGGGGAGAACCGGAGGAAAACTCAAACATGTGTCGTATTCAGTAATAAGATGCGATTTTTCGACATTTGAACTTTATTAGCACTAGGATTTAATAGTTACTTCTAGTCTGTTAGAATTTATTTTTCATAGAATTTATTTATTTTAGTATAATTTGTGATGATCTTGTATTACTAAGTTAGTTTTTTGTTAGAATAGAGTTTATTAATTGTAGTTAGAAATTTGGGGTTAGTTTTGGTTGTGGTGTTGCTATTGCTATTATAATGATTGAAATTGTTATAGATTAGATTTATTTTTCGACAATTGATTGATGACTTGATTAACAAAGTAACTGTTAAAATAGGAAAGAAGGAGTAGCAATTAAAAAACATACGGTGGTGGTGTTAGTTAAATATGTGCTACTTAATATGGAGAGAAATAGACTTGAAGCTACTTTTGTCTTTTCTAGATTTATGCATGTTCATAGATCGTAAGACAATTGAAGTTAAATGTTACCAGTGATTCTACTCGTAATTAATTCAAAGGGTTAAAACATATTTGTTATTTACCCTTACTATCGAGGGTACCATTATTTAGACGTTGGCGACATTTATTTTTTTACATTTTAGAACTGAAGCAATTAAATATATAAATGCAAATTCCTATTTAAACTCCAACGTATTATTTTTATTAATATATGTACATAATTCCATCAGGAGAGCTTACTTTACGACATATGCTTTTTCATACATATTTAGGAATTATATATGTAGTAATTGGGAGATTTTTCATGGTCATTATATATTTACATACTCCAAGCACAACGAAACAATGTCAAATGCTTCCATGCAAAACTCGATATATGGAATTGCGATACTTGATGAAATCAATGAAATCATGACAACTTACAATTCACGTGTTCACGACAATCTTGGCATATCTTGCAAATTGAGCATGCGAACCTCAACCTAAAGTTTGCCACATTTTCAAAAATTCAATGAGAATCTTTGATGAAATTTACCAACCTGGAAATGCTTATATCTCGCAAACTATTAATAAAGTTAAAGGATACAAGAAAACATTCCCCCGTACATTTATATTAAGATGTGTGGTAATGAATTTAATATTCATTTATTGAATAAAATAATTAAACATGCTTCGTATTTTTACAAAAAACAAAAGTTTAGCTTTTATTTATTCTCAGCTCCGTCAATTGTTTTCAGTCATAAATTATGGAGATTTTATTGTAATTTTCTTAACTATTATAATTATTATCAGGCCCACAAGTTGATCATTTGTCAAATTCTTACTTTAAATTTTAAGACCATTCAATGGTAGCATTTGCTTCCTCTTCTTCATAAAACGCATCCTTTGTCGATGGGGGCAGCCTGTCTTTCTTCTTCATAACGACGCCATGAGCCCCTTTCAAATGCGTAATAAGCGCCCACTTGGTGGCGAACCCCTTTCCGCACTGCTCGCAAGTGAAGGGCCGCTCTCCGCTGTGTGCTTGGCGAATGTGACCCTCCAGAAGGGAAGGATATCCAAATCCTTTACTACAATGAGGGCACTTGTGAGCAGAAGGGGCGACATAGCCTGGAGTGTGAATACGCTGCACGTGTTCCCTCAAATTAGGATTATTCTTGAAGGCTTTTCCGCAGTGGGGGCAGGGGAAGGGTGAATCTACTATGAAACAATAAATAGTGCTGTGCGAATACATACATATGTAAAACAGCCTTCTGGAATTATTTAATTAGATGAAAAATCTATAACCTGTCACACGGAGATTCATGTTACGAATTTGTATAACTTTCTTGGTTCCATAATTGTCGTCATCATCATTTTGTGGCTGGGAGGAAGTGTCAGAAAGTTTGGTAAGAATTTGCATTACTGTGGCCCCAATTTTTTCCTCTAGGAGTGAAATTTGTCTCTTAAATTTTTCCATTGCACTGAAGAGAGGATGACAATCGTCACAAAAATCGCACATCTCGTCGTCTTCAAAATGATACCGAGAAGATTTGTAGTTAGGATTGAGCAATTTGCAAAGTTTTTCTATTCTGATTTTCTGCTGGGATTTTGCTGCAGTATCGTCCTTGTCGAAAACGCGTCGTAAACAAAGAAGGCAGAATGTGTTGGACATGGTGACCTAATTTAGAAATAAATAACAATGTAATTGACATTCGTGCGTACTTACATATTTCATATTTTGAAAGCAGAAACTTACACAGATAAACTTTAGCAAATGATGAAGTATTTCCTACCCAATGAACTGTACCTTTGTAGGAAATACGTTGTAAGATAAATACGCTTTTCAGTCAAGTTTGAAGTTTCAAAATTATTGGAAATATTAAATTTGAAAACTTCCAACCCGGCGAGAATCCGGTAATCCGGCTGGATTTTTTGTTTATATTTACAAACTCAAGGGAGCATATGAGAATTCAAATTCGTGCCAATAAAAAATCTCATGTGTTGCGAAACAAAGGAAAACGAAGTTCCATGCAAAACTCGTCTCTTTTTTCGAGTTCCATGCAAAACTAGTTTGGGTATTTTTCCGAACAGATAATCTGATCTGATATATATTTGGTCTCTTTGTGTGAAGCATGTATTGAGGGGAACATACATATTGTTACCTGTTATCCAGATTTGCATAATATTATACTCAATGTAAGAAATTCAAGAGATTATTTCGAGGATTAATATGTTTATTCATAATTTGCAAGTTCTATAATTTTAGCTCTTTTATTCATTTATAAATAATTCGGAAAGTAGTGAGACAGGTTTATGTTAATTTAGTTTGTAAAACATTCAATGCAATTTGAGTCGCCAGAAGTGTTTAAGAATTTAATTTATAGCTAAATAGATTTTTTCACAACGGGTAGTAGTTGTTTGATTAAAACCTGAACAGACTCCTACCCCTGAGTGGATCATATAGTTTACAGAGAAAACTCGAAAACATGTGACTACAGACAGCATAATCCCACCTATACGATTAACTAAAAATCAATTTTACGTACTATCACCCTAATTACTCCTATAGGACAATGACGCTGTTATCGTGTGATTAACTATGGCTCCAGTAAACGCCAACTTCGTCGATTTCTCACACTTGTACAAGTTATATCCTAAAAACCCCCCATAAAAAGCTATTAAACGAATAGAATGCAACTTTCTCTTCAAATATTTCTTATCGCAACTCCCACCCAATAAACGCCTCCACCTCGCCCGCATCACAGCACCATCTTCAAACACGCTTATTATCAACTGCAATAGCATGTTTATGACCACAACAAGGTATGCAGAAACGGCAGGAAAAAGGGAAACGCATAAGGCGGGATAATCCCATACATATTGAGCGAAATGAAATTAAACAAGATGCTAACGCACAACCCGGCAAACATTAAGGTTGCAACACATGGAGCAGTAAACTGGTCTGCTATTGCATAAATTACTCGACAACTGGCATATCGCTGAAGGTATTTATCCATATTGGCCTTATTTCTAGAGGATAAATAAAAATAGGCCGTCTGGTCAAGGGTCGATATGCATTCGAGAAACAGGTATAGGCCCATTACGGGAACACAAACAAATAAGCAGGTTGTACGATAAATTACAAACAAAGGGATGAAGATTGTAAGTCGGAGGAACAATAAGGCAAGATTTGCCAATAGTGGAATTCGCCATTTATTCTCCTCAAACAGAGAATATAGTTGGCTATATGGGGTTAAGGATAAGTTCGAGATGATTAAGGTGGCCAGGTAAACGCCAAAAGGTTGACAGAAAAGAATGACCACGATCAAGTTGAAAGTGATTCCCTTCGTGTCGGATGAAGTGGCCATGTTTTTGTTGATGGTTGGACCGCCTGGAAATACAAAATATATATGTAATTTCAGACAATTAGTATAGTATCATCCTAAGTAGTTCTTCGCAATTTTGCAAACACGTGCTTCACGTACACAGTATCTTTGCTAGTGCAGATGTACAATTCATGGCGTAAGTAAAATTTTTTCCTGCAAATACGATAAGCGTTTCTAGCGCGAGGGCATAAAAAACCATTCCAGCCCAGCAGAATATTACGAGCAAATTTATGAATCCAAGGCGAGATATTCCAAACAGTTCGGAAATAAGGATTAAGAATAAGGTGATATTTAGAATGTTGAGAAAACCATAGACAGAAATCATGTAAGGAATAATTTTCCTTGAGACTGGGGTGAAAATCAGCATTTTCGTTTTGGGGTACCATTCCAAAGGATTTTTCCAGAAGATGCCGAAATAGCGGGTGAATCGATCCAAAGATTTCCACATTAATGCGGTAATGACCATTTTGAGCTGTTGGGGAACTTTCGGAACGGTAGCTAGCAAGGAAATGAGTACGAAAATATGCACAATAATTCGGACCTCGAGAATCTGTCCAATTTATTTAGACTGTCTCCCATTTCCAAATTTAACTCTTTTTCTTGATTGCATTTTCTTTATTTATATCAAAATAAACTATACATTTGTCTGTCTCAAATTATCCCAAGTTCAAGTAGTATTGGCCTAATTAATTACTATACCTGTTGACCCAGACGAGGTAAAGCCAGACTCGTTAAATCTATAAAAATATTGTCTACCAATATAAATAAATGCACTCATAATACAAAATTTCACTAATTAACTTTTCCGTAGGAGACACGGTTTTCTACAGCTTACATAACTGTGTGCGGGTTAAAACCTAATTGACTTACAAATTAAGTTTGTAAGTCAATTAGACTCCAGGTGTAATAATATCCACCTATTTACTTACATATATTTTTATGCACGTACATCTGCAGAATTTAGTAAACATATACATAAGTACGAAAATATATACCCCTCGAAATATATCATAAACGTATACATACGAACATAAATGTGCAAGTATGTGCAAGAATTTATGTACGATTAATTATGAACAACACAGTTCAAACATACGTACTTAAAATAGATATTTAACCAATTCATTTCCGTATTACGCATTTAAGCACACTGATTGACTTTAATTTCCACAAATTAAAAATATGCAAACTTAAAACAGAACATAGTGTGTTGATTATAATTGCATTTATACAACAGGACCGTAATTTTAATTGAGATCAAACTTGTGCGCATGCTCCGCATTGAAGGATAACGACGCCGATATGGTGTAACTAATTATAGCTCCCACAAAATTCATTTTCGTCGACCTCTTGCACTTGTACAAGTTATACCCTAAAATCCCCCCGTACACGGCAACTGAGCGAAGCGAACGTAACTTCCGTTTCAAATATTTCTTATCACCACAGCCACCCAACAAGGGTTTCCACCTGGCCTGAAGCACCATACATTCTTCATAAAGATCCACCAATAACGGCACTAACAATCTGACACACCCTCCAACAAAGAAAGCCGCAACCGGAAAATTTGGAAATATCGAAGGAGGGATAATTCCGTACAAATTTAGGGAAATAAAATTAAACAGGACGCTCACCCACATCGTAATAAACATCACCACTGCCACACTTGGTGTAATAAATTCGTCAGATATTTCAAAAAGTAACTGCAAGCTGGCATAATCACGAAGGTATTTATCCACAATGACTCTATTTCCAGACGACATATAGTACATCCCCGTTTTGCTAATGGTCAAAATGCATTCGAGTGCCAAATAAGCGGATATCGCGGAAATGCAAATAATGATGCAAATTATGCGAGAAGTTTGAAACAAAGGGATGATCAGTGTAAGTCGAAGAAAGAAAAGGGAAAATTTCGCCGGTAACGGGAAACTCCATCCTTTTGTGACAAGGAGGGAATGCAATTGACTATACGGGTTTACGTTTGAACTAATTATGGCGAAAATGTAAATATTGAAGGAGTAACTGCACATGACGATTACGATCAAGTTGAGCATGATCCCCTTCAAGTCCGTGAATGCGGTAGATTTCTGCAGGATGGTTCGCCCACCTGAAAGATGATTTTGTTCTTAAAATTCATATGTATTTATGTATGTATTTATGTCAATGTTTGCTGTACGAGGAAACGAATTGCAGGAAATTAGCAACACCAAGCGGATCGGTGGCGTCTTGCAATTATTGTAATTTCTTGCAGTGCAAGGAATTAAGCATTCTGTTTCGTGTCATTTTCATATTACTAAAATTTCTATTTAAATTGTTGAAGAAGAATTCATGGATTCTGAGGACATGATAAATATTTAATGTAAATATGAAACTATAGCTTTCGGAATACTTATTTCTTCGTCAGGTGTTTACGAATTTGATATATTCCCATTTTTTAAACAATTACTGTACTTACAAATTTTCCTTGCCAATGCGGATAAACAGTTGAATGCATAGCACGCACTCATGCCCTTTAAGGCTACAAGGGTTTCTAGCACGAGGGCAAACACAACCTGCCCACTCCAGCACAATATTATGACCACCTTCGTTAATTTCAGGTGTGCGAATCCGTACAACTGCGAAATAAGGATTAATAGCAAGCTACCATTTAAGACGGTTAGAAAACCATAAACAGAAACCATCCAAGGAATAAGTTTCCTTGAGATTGGGGTGAAAACTAAGGTTTGCGTTTTTATGTCCCATTCCACCGGATTTTTCCAGAAGATATCAAAATATTGGGAGAAACGATCCAGGGATTTCCACATCAGTGAGGTAACAACCATTTCGGATTTTTAGGGAACCTGTAAACGAATTGGAGATGGTTTTGAAACGATCGTCAAAGGAAATAAACTCAGAATTGCGTAACAATAATATGACAATTAGGATTTCCAGCGAAAGTGAAAACCCAGAATAAGCAAGTAAATATGTATGTATCTGGCCCGTTGTTTTGTAATTGTCAGAATGTATTTCTTTTTATTTCCAAATTAATTGACTTTCCATTATTCGCTTTTGTCAAATGAGTTTTATAATTAATGACCACCAATTTACGATTAACCTAATTTCGAGACAATGTAAAGTTGAAAGTGTGACGCCATAAAAATGTACTTATATATTATGTAAGTACATCATAGTTAAACTTAGGAGGAGAGTACGCCAACCTGATAATGACAGATCTTGATGTCCTTTGGATATATGGTAGTACCCCCTCTGAAAGTAAAAAGTGTGAAGCGGTTTGATGCCATGGCCAAATTTACGTCCGTCACACCCCTTTGAAGGCGCGCCCGATGCCAAACTAGCTGCACTAAAAAATTCGCCAAAAATCCAATTTTGTTCGGATTTTCATAATAATTATATATTTGTGATCCCAGATAGTCCCTTTATCATATTGAGTTGCAAAATTAACTTTTCAGAAATTTTCAATATTTTCGAATATTTCCTGAAAAGGGCATGGCTTGAAAAAATTCAAAATTCCAAAATAGTTCAGATTGATATCTGATATGACAAAGCAACTATTTGGGATCATAAATATGTAACTATTATG